TGTAAGATAGATAGATAGACTGTGTTTTATTAAAATTACATTGCAGATAAAACTGAATTGCGTAACTTCACATTAATTAATTGTACAAACTGTTTCTGCAACACATATTTATGAAACTTGTTGCCGCTCTGTCGGTCTTACAACGATTAAGATTGAAATTCCTCTGTTTCCTGAAATTGTAATTAGCCTGATAACTTTTTGGGATTAAAGAATGAATTTTGTTGTTTTTGTTTTCTAAAACTGATCGGAAAAGTGTCGATGTCAACTGTTCTTGGTGGGTTCTCAAGCTTGGGATGTTTGCTTGATCGAGGGCTTCTTTGTATGATGCTCCAGGGAAGATGCATGCGAGGGCTCTTTTCTGCACTCTCTCCAGATCGACTTGTAGATATTTCGGAAGTGCATGGTGGAACACTGGGCAGGCGTAGTCTAGGCAGGACCTGATGGTTGCGCAATAGATTGCTACAAGATCGATTGTAGGTACTTTAGCCCGCTTAAGTTGAATCAGAAAATAGTGTTTTGAGTTGGATTTCTTTATTATTTCTGTAATATGGTTGTTCCAGGTTAGAGTTGAATTAATATTGAGTCCAAGAAGTTTAACACACTGCACAGATTCAATTAGTTCCCCGTCCACGTTGGTTTTTGGAAATTGGGGGTATTGAGGGCTAAAGCTGATCAACAGTTCTTTGGTTTTTGCGCAATTCAATTGAAATAGATTTTCCTCAGACCAGGACTGTACTTGGTCAACTGCACTTTGCGCGTGACTAATCTTTCCTTTCGGGACGGTTTCTGATACCGTCGTATCGTCAACGTATTTCCACAGATTAAAAATGTCGAGCGAAACTGACAAATCGTTTATCATTAAAAGGAAAAGCCAGGGGCCCAGTTTGGTTCCCTGTGGTACTCCGGCAGGCACTTTGCTCCACTCAGAGAAACAGTCATTGCCAAGTTTAACTCTCTGACACCTATTTGAAAGGAAGTCAACTATCCAGTTAATAACGCCCTTCGGAATGTCCAGTTGATTCAGTTTTGATATTAGGATGGACTGATCTATTAGGTCAAAGGCCTTTCGGTAATCAAAAAGAAGGACCCGAACTGACGCTCCGTTTCCGTCTGTTGCTTCAAGCCAATTGTATATCATGCTTAGGAGTGCCAGTACAGTGGATGATCCAGATACCGTTCCGAACTGATTTGGGTCCGCTACTTTTTCCACGGCCGGTTTGATGAAGTCAGAAACTATAAAATCCTCAGCAAGTTTTGATAACGCAGGTGTAAGTGAAATTGGCCTTAGCTCCTTCTTGGGATCAGTCACTTGTTTTACCTTTGGGAGGGGTGTTATATTCGCCAATTTCCAAACTGACGGCAATTTTTGTTCTTTGTAGGAAGTGTTCAAAATGTCCGTTATGGGCTGTGCTAAAATTTCGGCGTATTCCTTTAGAACCCAATTAGGTATGCCGTCCGGGCCAGGAGCTTTGTGTTTGTTGAGGCGTTTCAGATTAATGTACACTCGATGTGTTGATATTTTAGGGAATTCGGCGCCTTCTCCTGTAGGAAGGAGAACAGACGTGTTCTCACAGTTGATAGGCTGATAAGACTGGAGCGGTTCTAGAAGAGCTTCATTTATTGCACTGGCGATTTCTTGGGGGGACATGTTGGTGAATTGCTGTACATCGAGGGAGGACAGTAAATTGGGGTTTTGTTTTTTGGATCCACTCAGTTTATTTATCTCTTTCCACCACTGACGGGGATTCATACCTTTGAGATCTTGCACTTTTGAAGTATAGTAGGCTGCTTTGCATAGTTTCCTTTCTCTATTGACAGCATTGCGGTAGAATCTGAAAACTGGACCCTTCTTGTTGGAATGAAATGCATTTTGACGCAAACGAATCAACTCCTTGAGTTTTATTGTCATCCAAGGGGCGTCCTTCGGGTAAACTTTAATCGACCTTTCTGGCATGATGTTATTTATGCCGTTTGTTATCAGTTCGTTGAAAATGCGGAGTTTTCCCTCACAGGAGCTTTGCATATTGATGCATGACCAGTCGACATTGCTGAGATAGCGGCCGAGACTTGTCTTCTTGCTTTCTCTCATATCCCTGATATTGATCTTTTTCCTGGTATGTTGGTTCAGTATCCTTTCCTTCGGCTTTACGATGACTGTGCTATGGTCTGACAGACCAAAGGGGGGAAAGCTCTCGGGCGTTGAGAAGTGATTGCCCATGTTTGTTAGTATTAGATCAAGCGTGGCCTGGCCTCTTGTGGGGAATTTAACAAGCTGCTTTAATTTAAAATGGTTCCGCAAATGGCAAATATCAAGACGGTTAAAATCGCCAGTGACAATAATTCCACAATTTGGATACAAAGATTCGGCTGATTTCAAACTGTCAAATAGATGGTTGAGCAAATTCTGACTGTCGGATTCTGCTGGACTGTTACGGCCTGGGTAGTAAACGACGGCCAGCAAGATGCAAGAAAAAACCGGGGAGAGCGTGATGGATCTAATTTGAGCCAGATTATTTCATGGTCGTTTACAGCAACGTAACTTCTCGGGAATTTCATATTTGACGTCCTCCTTGACATATACACAGACTCCTCCATGCTCGTGAGATGATTGGTCATTCCGTGTGATGTTATATCCTTCAATGTTTACAACTGTGTCGCTGATGTGGTCTTTCAGCCAGGTTTCTGTAATGCAGCAGACCTGAATTTTTTCCCTTAAGATTAGTTCTTCAACTTCACTCAGCTTAGGAACCAGTGACATAGTATTCGCTAACATAATGGTTGGTACGAAATGGCTGGTGTTTTGCTTTTGCATTTTGCCATTCTTTGTTGGAATTGTAATAAAATTATTGATGTTTCTTCCCGGTGCCCGTTGATAACTTCTTTGCAAGTGTCGTGTTTTCAGCGATTGATTGGATATAATTACTGGTATTCGGTGCTTTCCTGCTCTCTTTCTACGATATCTCAGAATTCCAGCAAGTTTTAACGAGCCTAGAGCATTAGAAGGTGGCGGTATTGAGATGGTACGGCGAATATTGAGAAGATCTTGGCGTGAATAACAGAGTCTCGTGCAGTCGTTAGTATGCAAATAGGAAAGACAAACTGAATTCCCGCGAGTTTTAAAACTTGGAGGATGATTTATGGTTCCATCTGTTTGCCAGTTTCGTTGATGTAAGGAAGAGCTTGGGCCCGGGTTGGTTGCAACATCCATATACATAGTTATTTCAATCGGAGGGTTGTGTCCGGGAATGCTGAGGGAAACAAAGCCATGTTTTCTCCAAGCGCAAATTGCACGGCCTGTTCGATGGAAACCGGTTGAACCGCTAATGTTGACAGACGTTAACACTTGAGATATTTGATAGGGATATTCGATTTGGTCTTGTAGTGGCAAGTCTTGCAGCTGATTAACTGGTAAAATACCAATATAAGATACTAAAAACAAGCACAAAAGTGCAGAACGAAAAAGATTCGTGGCTGCCATTTTGGCGCCTGCGCAGTATGAAGTAAAGTTTATTGATCGTGACCCTTACTACTACACGCGCAGGGTCAAAGAGGTAATTAATATAAGACTTTACCCTGACAACATCAACACGATCAAAAAAACACAACAACAGGAGAGTTGTGCGACAGCGGACCGCCGAGGGAGCAAATCACTGAGTTAAACAACAAGGATCGAAATACACCAATTAGAGCTGTTGAAAAACATCTAATCACAGTAGAGCATTATGCTTTATAAGATCACGCATGACCAGTCGACCTCATCACCTGAAGAAGACTAGCAGTATTCAGTCGAACTTCACTATCTTCATCACACGTGACTACATCGTGAGATAATCATACAAGTCGTATATATCATAATTGTGGTTTTCATGTACATTTGTATCCATAAAGCCGTTGGGTTTCCTCGTTGTTAACCCTTTTTAACGGTCGACGTTTTTGATTGAAACATTACCGTATTAACACTCACAAAGAAGAAGGTTTTGTTACTCTTTCTTGCAGCCAGACAAATAAACTTTTGAAAGCACTTCTGATCATGTTCTTTGCTTTTCAAATATAGCGCTCCCCATTTTCGTACGACAAGGCATTGGATTATGATGTTCCTCCTTAGGGTCAGAGGTTGGAATTATTAACAGACTTACCATTATTTACAAGTAAAGCAAACTTTGTCACCAACTTTTTGTCTTTGGCAATGCCCTCCTAATTCACGAATAAAATTTTCCGCTTCGGAAACCGTAGCGAAAAGGGAAGCCATTTTATTTCTCCCTTCGACTGCTTGGAGATGGATAGTGCAAGGTCAATCAGCGCTTGCGATAATCGACGGTGTGGTACATTCTCACTGTTGTAATAGCTACTTTGAAAATAAACAATTTGTTTTTACTTTAAAAATCTACTCTAAAAGCAACCAGCTCAAAAATAAAAGGCTCTTACTGTGTCATCCAGACTAATTTTTTTAAATTACCTAAAAACATTTTTATTTGACTGGAAACCAGCGATCAAGATACGGTGTTGTGGTACACGTGGCAAAGCATAACAAAATTCAAAGCCTATTTTCGTTTGATTTCGGTTTGGAATTCTTCATGAGAAAGATGGTCTATACGGCTAATAACAAAACGCAGTCGCACGAGTGCATTTCGTAATTTAGGAGCGAAAGGATGTTTTGAAAATTCTTCATTGCTCGAAACACAGGTTCTAGTAACTGATGCGCACGAGCAGTTCAAACAATTTTTATTAGTGACATTCTCAATGAAATCCCGTCACGACCCAACTTTGCACTTCCTCCGTGCACATTACTCGAAATGCTTATCAACGGTTTTGAATATACTGAACAAATTATTTTTCGTAGTATCATGGAGATTTAACATCTATAAAAGCTTAACTTTTACGATGTGCGATACGAATATCACTTAAATAATTAATTAAGTGCATTCGTCACCGAACGACTAGGAACATGTCATTTTGTTAAGTCTGCGATAAATGACCTCAGCCAAGCAAATTAACTGTCTTTAACCTACCACTGGATTGCTCTCCTCCATGAAGGTGTCCCTACTGAAGGTAACTTCCATGATTCCACCGCAGCGCTCGCCATAGCCCGGAATGGGACCATCGCGGTTAATACCTGTTACGGCGATTGTGTGTTGTGTGTATGTTGTTAACATAACCATCGTATGCACAAAAGTCTTGAAAAAGGCGTCCACCATTGCCAGCAGCAAACACATAGATTGAACCTTTTCCGTTGCGACCCTATGTGAGGTAAACCAGCTTCAAATTAACACAGCTGTTTAAAAAGAGTTTCACACATTTTCAGTATGGATCGTTGGCATATAACTTTCATATTTTTATATATCTAGGCTATATTGCCTTGCGTCTGTTCAGCGATAGATCACAGATGACGTCAAAATGTGGTAAGAACAGATAAGTGGCAGACGACTGGAGGTACAGCCGAGTGTGTCACTGATGTTCTCACTACATTTTGACGTCAACTGTGATTCATTGCTGTATAGACCCACGGCAATATGAAAGCTATGTGTTATATACGATAAAAAAGAAAAATTATGTTAATGGTGACATCACTTGAGCGTCTGTCCTCCAAGAGATCATAAGTAAGAACGAATCAAAATGCGTGAAGGTTCAGCTAGATACATACATACAGTGTGCATGTAGATAGATAGCCAATCAGATTGTAGCATTTATGATAGAGCGTAAGTAGATTTCCACTAAATAATTTTAAAATTTCCTCCCAAGTCCGTTTAAAGTTGAGGGTATTCCTGCTACATACTTGCATTTGACCCTTTCTCTAACACAGACTGTGTCAAATTTACTGGGCCGTTAACTTCAAAACCCATGTCACCTGGTCCCCAGCTATTTGAGTAAATATCGATGTAGTTTCGCTTGAAGCTCAGAGCTATGGCCTCCACATCATCTGTTGCCATTTCATCATAATATAACCGAATGTGTAAAATGAAAGATTCAATGGAAATTTTATGGATAAGGAGTCCTTAGGCTTCGATTTAGTTTAATGCTAATCAAAGGCAACACATCAGCAAATGTGGGGATGATATTGTTTTAAAACGCCCGGAGAACAAGAAAAAAAGCAAGAGAAGGGTGTATCTCATGTACCGTCCGGGCATTTGTCACTATCTGTTAACTCCAAACACGAAAACATGCCGCACTGAGTGAAAAGAAACGACAGCCGGAAGTCTTTTAAATTCCCTAACTTTTCCCTGACAAATGTAAAAATTCCCTGATCAAATAAATTAACTATGTCATAAATAAGTCCTGATAGTGCCTTCGACGTCTTTAAAAAGAAATTTATTTACGCTTTCAACAAGTCACATGCAGTTTACATAAGCTGAGACGGGTAAGGTAACGCCGAATCCGATCCAAATAACACGTCGGTCGACTGTCTACTGTACGTTAATTGACTGTCTACTGTACCGGCCGACTGTCTAAAGTATGTCTGTCGACTGTCGGCCGAATGTCGACCGACATTCCTGCGCTTACTATTTTGATGTCAGCGTTCAGAATCCGGTCCGAAAAAATTGTCCTCAGGTCGCTCAGTGCCCTCATCATTGTAAGCTTTACTTCCAGACACCTTTAAAGCCCAAAGGGACATCAGGTGAAGCCATGTACTCAACGGGATGTTGGATCCTTTGATAAACGTGATGCGCAAAAAAGATTGACTTTCTGGGAAACCAAACTTTAGCTCGTCGTTCAATTTCATCAAACAATATTCTACCAATCATAGGCGTTTCATGTCTATGAAAATGTACCAAAAAATTTAAATCTTTAGATAGCAGTAAAAACAGAATAAAAAGACATTTTATGATTTCATTCACAAACCATCTTGAGCTTGAATTTGAACGTTCAGTATTGTGCAAAAGCAACAAAAACGAAATGCACCACTTTCGTTCTTTCTTTTTGCGAAGTTTCCTCGAAAGCGCAAAGAAAAGTTTTTGCGACTGATTGTGGCTTTCCAAGCGACATAGCGAGATTGTGCGAGATTGCTTGCCTGTGTTCGAAAGTCCACGGAGCAGTCGGTCATGTGACGAACATGAAAGGTTTCAGACATCAAAATAAACTGCATTCGTTATTGTTTTTCTGTAATAGCCCCTGTACATAGTTTTCCTTCGACTGTGCCATTGATGGGCCGGCTGTTGTCTGTACCGGCAAATTCAACTTCGTCGGTAAGAGCGGATGCCCGGTTGTAGTGATACTGGAAGCCGCGATGGCATTCTTCTCGACAAGGGGGTTTCCGTAATTCCGTTTGGATATTGCCAGAGAGAGGGTTGTCGTTGCTCTACTTCGTCGGCTTCGTTGTAGTCGTCGAGGGGCTGTACGTTTCTATGTCCTGTGACTTTGATGATATCTGAGCGTTCAACGTTTGCTTTCTTCAGCTTGCTGACTGTTTTTCTTGCATTGTGATTCGTTAGTTTCTTCTCACTTTCCCATACCTTTCTCTATCACTTTCATCATTACTGCCAATCAGATCAAACCACTTTTGTAATTTTCACTCGTGTTACAACTTTGCACCCGTGTTACATGAAAAATGCACTCATTTTCAGGCAATCGGACGCGCGTAAGCAAGTTCTTATTTGCTGGAAATGTAAGTATATGTCTCATTGACACCTGAACCGACCGTAACCTCGATGGCAGGTGAACATAATGAAAGGGTATATTACTTCGTAATAGACCGCGCTCACCGTGGAGTCTCTGTGGCTCAGTGGCAGAGCATCGGAGCTCGGAATCCGAAGGTCTAAGGTTCGATTCCTCATAGAGATTCAGATTTTTTTTCCTTTGTCCTACGCTCGTGACAAGACAAAAAAAACATCTTTCTTTGTTTATGAACCTGTTGGTGAAATCAGGCCTTCGCGATTAGAACCGCTAGGACGAACTTAAAATAGAGCGCGATAGTCAGAAGAGGAGCCGCACCTGCCTCAATCAAGGAAGCGAGAATGGTGAGTGCATTTACGCTTGTAAATAAAGTATCTAAAATCAGTCGCTTATTAAAAGGAGGAGCGATCAAGTAAAGAAAACCAAATGTGCAGACTCTTGAATACCGCGGGAGCGTAGTGTTTTTATGCTACACGCATGCACCTTCCGAAGCTAAGGTTTCACTGACTGAAAATATAAACATACAAACTTGTGGAATTGGATGGATGGATAATACACGTTTCCACGCGATTGAATCGGTTTTAAGTTTTCCTGTGTTGAATTTGGCGAGTGATTAAAGTTTTCTCGGCTTCTACCTAAGAACCAGGTTTGTGTAGTTTCGGCAGACCATAAAATTTCTGTGGATGTGGTACTGAGCACCCTAGTCGCTAGTAGCGTTGGGTGTCAATGGCGTTTGTCACTGACATACAGTTTACTAGAGAGGTCGAAGAAAATGGTAAACTACCTTTTCTAGACTGCCTGGTAAGCCGTGACAACACTAAATTACCTGCTATACTCTCCCACCGACGCAGCACCACAGTATCTTTAGAAACTTACCCCTTTATTAGTATGCAATACGACAGACAGCTCATCCGACGAGAACTGACAAGTACTTTGACCGTGTTTTTTCAAAGAACAATTACAACGAAGAATTCATCCAACGTAACACTCACCGACCTACTACTATTACAGAAGCTAACGACAACGCAACTCCTACGACCACAGCAACTATACCATACATAAAGGGCATGTCTGAGAACATCTCGCACATCCTACAACCCTTCTACATCAGCGTCGCTCACAAACCTATTACCACACTACGGCAGTTACTGACTAACGTCAAAGACAAAGACGAACCCAGGAACAGACAGGGAGCAGTATATAAGATCAGTTGCTCTGACTGCCACGCCTCCTACATCGGTGAGACTGTCAGAAACCTCACAACTATACTGACTGAGCACAAACGAGCGACGAGGAAAGATGATGTCAACAATCACATTGCTGAACATCACCGACTTACGAACCACACTATTAACTGGGACTCTGCGCAATGCCTAACCTACAGCACCAACTACTTTCAACGACTGACCCTGGAAAGCTGGTTCACTAACTCGGAACAGACTCCCCTGAACAGGTGTTAACCACTACCGGCACCATACAAACGACTCCTTCACGACATTAACATTACAAACGAACCAAACAGAACGACCTAACTAACGGATCCAAACCGACCAATCACGACTGACCTACGTCACTTGAGTCTTACAGCCAATAACATCATGGAAAAACTGACTAATCAGTTTCTACAAACCGGACTAAGTACATTCGACTGACAACAACCTTTCACTTGACTCTGATGATGACTTCCGCTCAGGTTGTCGAAACGTCAGTCACCATTACAGACAGCAGTCCTTCTCAGGACTACACTCACGCGGACGATCAAACTACACTATTGCATGTTACCCCCGGGTTCAAACCATTTACTGTATAAAAAATATTCTCACTTGGGTTTAAAAAAATTGTAGCAAGCCAGAAGGGTTTTTTATTTGGAAACCCTATGTAAAAATTGATGTCCGAATCAGAGTCTTTAAGTCTTGTTATTCCAAACTAGCTTTGGAGAAGCTCGTCGACGTTTTTCAAAATATTTTTATTTTTTAGCTGTAGAGACTTTATTTGATCTTCTAGCTTCGCAATGTGCGCAATCGGTGTATTCTGCAAAGAACATGTGCGCGCGAATGTTAACTTGTATATTTTGAAAATAAGTTTTCTGAACTGCTCCAAGGCAAAGACAGGGTTTGCAGCGATCATCCAGCCTTTGGTGGATTACGAGTATCAACATAATAAGGAACTTCAACTGAATTTATTATCCACGCTCCTAGAAATTTCGTCCTCTCAGTCGCTTTGTACCATAGAACAATTGAGGCCAATTACATAGAAACATAATGAACATTGTTTTGGCAGGCCGATACCTTTTGATGACCTATTGTTGTTAAACTATGACAAACAACGCTTCCTGCTCAGATCACCAGAACTGGACAAGTGTTTTCACGACGTTACTACCATTCTTTGTCCTGGAAATCTTTTGCATACCGTTCTACAGCCAACGTGGCTCGGGTTACCTTGCACGCCGTCCTCGAAGATGGCTTTCAAACAGTTCCATCAAATTCTCTTACAATGTTGTCATACACCATCAATGCTATTACTTGGTGGCTGTTACTATCTCAGCACTGGGTTTCATAGTCTCTCTTTGTATTCGCTTACTTCCACAACTCACCTGTTCCTGTCACCGTTATCAATAATTCACGTCCCATGTAATACTTCTTTCAATACACTTACGTGTTTCGTTTCTGAAAACCATTTACCTACGTTCCCTGGGCAACCGCAACTAAAACCTCAGTTAATATTTTGGTACCCCACATTCCACTTACATCGGATTTTAAGGTCGATAATTCCACTCTCGTTTCTCTTGATAATACTTACGACCCTTCTCGACCATACTCTCACACAACGCCTCACGCAAGTCAAAGCTGACATAAGTCGGCTGCAACCCACTTTCATTACCTCCGTCAACTAAATTTTTATTTGTCTAGCTTTCACATTTGCTCTTATTGATTTTGTCGCTGTTCTAATTCTCTTTCGTCACACTCGCCGACCACGTCAACTATTAAAAATACCGACCATTTCTTTGTCAACTCGTGGAACTACCACGCAAGACTAACCACGCGTCACGTAAATTAATTTCGCACTTTCCAGTTTTTATCCTCACCTATCGGCATTTGTTATTCCCTTCGTTGACCGCTCTTTGTATATCTTGCTATAAAGTTCAGCCCATTCCCCCTCATTTGTTATCTCCAAGTTTTCTGGGCTGTTCCAGTTTTTGAACAAAAAACCTCATAACGTTCTCTAATCCGAAATAGTCAGGTATATTGATGTGATTGTCACAGTAGATGGATTCTGCATGGTGAGGAAGAGTTTACCGTAAAAGCCATGGCCGTGGTTTCGTTAAAGGTCTCCTTCCAGTGTTCACAAACCTACCACACTGCGTTCCTCGCGTATCTTCCTTGGGACAACTTGACAACCTGCATGACACAAGAAAAACGCCATGGTCACTCCATCGATACTCCAGGAGCCGCTCAGTACAAGGCGTTGTGCCATCTACGCTGGGCCCTGTGCCAGGTGCAACTGGCTTGGCTGACAAAAACGCATCTACCGTCCCCACCAGTTCGCGTCTGGACGAAAGGTCTACACAATTCGCGTTTCGTTGCGACTCTCCTCCCCTAGTACGCGCCAGAAGTGAAGAATCCAGAAGACCTGGGATCCCCGGCAATCCGTCAGCTGTTACCAGACCAAGACCAACGCGTAACTCCGGAAACGCTGGAAAAGGTCGTCTCCTTAGCCGCTTGGGTCGAGGAACAATAAAACCACGAACAGTAGTACGCTGTGATATTTTTTTAAATGTCATGATTTTGAACTGCTCTTCATTTTTCTCATTTATCAACTTAATTCCATTTTTGTACTTGCTTGTTGTTTCTTTTGAACCGCCGAGGTCATTATATGTTGGCTTGTTCGGTTTCTGCCGCGGTTCAGGGACAAAAAAAAATCAAATACAAAATTCAAAAACAAACGCACACAATCTAACAAACAAAAAAGACAACCGTCCTACGTCTTCTTTGCTGTGCTTTTAGGTTCCTTGTTAATGATTCTTTCCCTGTTGATTTACTGTGCTTTCTGTTTTTTCTCTCAACCAGGAGGTCTCTATATAAGGTGGGAGGAATGTAACAATAGGATTTTCAGTCATCAAGTTTTTGTGTTAACGCTAAATATATATATATATTTTTCGTTTTTATTAAGGGTAGTGCCCCGCATGGGACTCCATGTCCCGTTCGCACTGACCCTTTTGGCGTATGTCTATCCATTTCTTGTCTCTTTCCTTGTATATGTATTCATTTTGAGCTTGTAGACGTACCCAATAAAGTTGTTAAATAAATAAATAAATATATATATATATATTATTCAACAAAGAAACTGCGAGATTTTGCTAAGTTCAGCAATGTTTAAATGCTACGCTTTCCAATACAGTCAGTCGTAAACAGTTGTTATTAGATCATAACAGTAATTAGTGTCAAACTGTAACCGTCGCCTGTCATAGCCTTTTGTGTAGTTGTTATTCACCTGAGCTTTCTAAAAACGATTAATCTTGTAAAAGGGGAAATTCCTGCCTAGCCAATCGTTGTATCAGATTAAGTGATCCTTTAGATCATTCACAGCATTACCTAACCCTTTGAACCCTAGGCTAAAATAGAGTTGTTTTGTAAAGCTTTCTTTGCTCAAAGAAAATACAAAAACAGTCAGCTTAGCTGTGCTTGCAGAATAAATCTACGTCGGAGCCAACTTTGTTGTTTTTAGTCATTGTCTCAAGGATAGTCAACAACCATAATAGATCCCAACCTTTCCGCAGCCAGCGAGTGCCCCTAGGAAAACCTTTTCCCAGAAGAAGTCTATCGGGTTGTTCCCCGTCCGTCTATTTGTGAAGGCAAAAACCTGTTTTCACATTATTTATCACATGGCCCCCAAATCTCTTACCACTGTCAGCTCATTATTTATTTATTAAGCTTTCTGTCTAACCATTTCATTAACCTCAAAAAAATGCGTGGGCCTCATCTCATGAGTTTCAACTGGTGCCGTTTTTCTCATTTTCATGTGTTATTTGAAACGAATGGCATCAGCTTCATTCTGTCTTGTTTATTTCAGTAGAATACTCCTGCCATGCGAAATAAATTTTGAGTCGAAGTGTACCATGAGATTCGAAGATTAATATTATCAAACTTTCTCTGGTTCTTGAAATATGAAACAAGTGATACAACAAATGGATAAGGGGCTGGAACTCTTTGTTTAGGTATTTCTGTCGTATTTAAAAACGAATTTCAGGTTAAAATGCCTTCAAACCAGTTCGACTTACATTTCACTTTGCCAGAAGTGCTTTGATCCTTTGATTTTTATTTCTTAATTGAGAATGATGGTAAGAATTAACTTTTGTGTTCTCTGCTGTTTAGGGAGATGTGAAGTGACCCCACTATACATATAGTTGATACTATTGACAGAGTAGATAGGTGTAACATTTACTGTGGCAAGCTAGTATTCAAGAGATTGTCATTAATACTGGAAGCTTACTACTGGTTTAAATTATCAATCTTTTGTTCTATCCACACAACTTGCCTAAACTAGCTTATGCTACATGCAATTTATGTCTATACTTAATTTGCAACTGTAAAATTAACAATGAAGTTTTTGAAAGTTTTGTCCAAATTTCATTGGAAACGAATACGAGGAGTGATCAGGTGAATTATTGTCATGTTCCTTAAGAGTGTTTGAGCTTCCCGTGAGAACTAAAAAATTTCTTAAGTGACTGATTTATGATTTGTCTGCCCTAAAATTGGCACAGCCAAACCCCTGACTACAAAATTATAAATTTCCTTAAATAGCCATCCAAGCCGGTGCCCATTACAGCAGAATATGCAATGTCAAAGTCCCCTTTTGACTTAGATCTCATTTCTCTAAAATCTGATGGATGTAAATCATCCATTTTCATAAAGAGATCAACAAAACTCTCCACATTAGTTTAAACTGACCTCATTTAGTCTTGTTACCTGGAAAAAAGGCTTTTGGAAAAATTTTGTTTTTCATCCTCACTGTTAAATATCAGGTTCTTTCTTGCTTGGCATGAAAAAAGAGTCTGCTCAGACCATCCGATTGTCACTCGACGCAGGTGTGTACCAACGGTCTCTCACATCAAACAAAAATTTATAGAACATGCGCAAACAAACTGGCTCTCTGCTCATCCTTTCACAATATTCACGGTTTCCATAATTTCCCCGCCGACCAAATTTACTGTGTACTCTTACCGTCGACGAAACGCCTTCGATATAGCGTCACCCAATTCTTGGACATCGAACACAAGCACTACTGGACATCAGTGGCCCTGTATTCTATAGTTAATCCGTGCAAGATAAGAAGGTTTATACTTTTAAGCGATTCATTTCGAGGAATCCTGGCAAGAATCAACGAAATGGTGCACAATGGCAGATATAATTCTCATGGTGCGTGTCACTCAGGGAGCCGATCGGAAAGTGGACAACGGCGGTTTCGTCAATACAGAAATAAGTCCTTTCCTGCCAAAACGAAGGTGTAAATGTCTCAATTCATCATATTCAAGCCCACTTCCAGCAATTTTATCAGCCATATTCTGCTTTATAGGGCCGTCACCACCACTATTTTAAAGTTCCTATTTAAATTCACGACTTATACGCAAGAGTGGGTTACAATTTCGTAGGAGAATGGGAATGTCAAATGAAAATACATTGTGACCTGCAAGGACTGTGCAAACGGGCTTTGATGTGTTCGAAGCAGATGCGGTTGCGCTTTCCTTTAGAAAGGTTAAGAGATCAGTTAGTGCACTTTTTAAAGGTAAAGTTGCTAGAGCTTGACTCTCTTTGAATAGAGTACGCTTTCCGTTAACAGTTTTCACAATAAGCTGGTTTACTTTTGACGTGTGAGGATCGATGTCTCTGTTGGGAAGAATGCAGAACTGAAACTGTTTGCCAGAGTGATCTACGGCAGCTACCTGGCAAAGTTCTGCTCTGTTAGCTCTCCAGTGGAATTTGTTTCCGTGTCAAATAAAACAAAATTAGAGAATTTATGATCGTCGAACTTTTCCTCCCTAGTACATGGTCGCTGTGTGAATTTTTGTACTGCATTTTCATATTTTTCTTGTTTTGTTTTTGTAATGTGAACAGCATAAAGTACATTAATTGACAATGTAATGTTGACTTCGCCTGATGTCTCGGATAATTTCAAGTTTAGTCCAACGTTACTTTCATACGTTCTTGTCTCTTTGGTATCTTTTCTAGCTACGTCTGAAAATTTTTCGCTTGCTTAACTGTGATCTTCATCGTTTAAATTCTACAGTTGACTTTCTACATTTGTGCATGTGACTTTTCCTATCCATGTTTTCGTTGAGTTCTTTACAAAAATCTCCGGCTCAATCTTAGCCACTCTAGTGTTCTTGAGATCTATTCGTAACCTATATTTTTGGTGAGACACAACAGGACACTTGAAAATCATTACTTCCGCTTACTCCATAGTGGCGAAATTTTAGGTTCTTGTACCCGACTACACCACTGAAAGATTCATTGCTTTGGGAATTAGCTACAGGGATAAGTTTCTCTATAACAGTGTCTGTGCTATGTTCTCCAAACAGTGATGTCAGCACTGAAATTGACATCCCTGTGTTTTCGAAGTTGTTTTTCATGGACGGGTTTCCCATGAGGCAGATCTTTATGGGTGTACTTGGAGGAATCCGTTTTAGAAGCACACCATGAATCATCACGGCCATGATGTTCGCCAAAAGCATATGGAATTATGTTCTGCACTGCAGTTTTCATGCAGGTGTGATTTCCCTTATTTTGCACAATACAATATGTAAAACATTTTACAAGATAGTTAATGACTTGTTGGGACAAAATTGAATAGTTTGGAAATTTGCTGCGTTGACTTAGATTACTCAAGCGTGTTGTAGAAGACCTCTCAATGTGGATGGTGTCACTCTACCTTTCTACACCATAAGGGACGTTTTGCTTAATATGCAGTTCAGTTGTGGAATCTTCACCTCCTGAATATGTGGATTATCTCACATTTGATTTAGGTGCATCGTTAAAAAGTTTCAGAGCGGCAATAGGCTCCATAGCCTTGGATAAACCTGTATGGGTTTTTCTGCAGTCGTGCTGTTTTGGTGTTTTTCCTGCTTGTTTCGCAGCAGAACAGCAGCGAAATGTTTATTTTTTTGTAATATGCTCCAGCACTTTTCCAGTGGAAAGGCCTATAACTGCTGTATGGCCAATCGTTGAATTATAGCCACGCCCCAGTTTTTTGTCATCCCATATCATACGAACACGAAACTGACACCAATTTTTTTTATTTATTTCAGCACCACTTTCAGTTGCTTGCATTAAATCCCCTTGTGTCTCGTTGGAGTGTATCATTCGAATTTGGTTTTTGTGGAGGAAAGACCAGATTTACACACGACATTGCAGCAAACAAACAAGCAAACTCTCACAACTTCAAAATAAAAAATTTGAATTTATTTAGAATTGCTTTCTTCGCCGTTTACTTAATGAACAGAGGCTCTTCGTAAATGAATTAATCGTCGATGAGAGTGAATAATATTTTCCATATGATCATTGACTGTTTTTGAAGAAAACATTGTGGTGACAGTCCTTGCCAAACTAGTTTCGTTGTTTTTCAAAAGTGTACACGCGCTTTTTTTTTTCTTACGCACTCTCCAATTGACAGGTGTCAGATTGTGACAGATACTTGTAAAATAATGTTTCAAGGTTTGTTTGGAAGCCCTTTAAATCACCTTTATCATCACGAAAATGGAAATTGTTTCGGTGAAGCATCTCTCTTTAATTTGCCACACCTCTACTTTAACCACCATTTACTCGCTCAAAAATGGTTCAGTTCATGGAAAGAATTTCGATAAGTTTTTTATAACATTAAATATGTTATTTACCGGCTAAGGGTCGGTCCATATACATCCTCGGAGACCTAGGGGCTGTGAGTCGATTTCAAGTCAGAGCTCTTCCGCCCTGACTTGAAATCGACCCACAGCCCCTGGGTCTCCGAGGATGGTCCATATAGTGAAAAATTGTGACCGAGATCTTGAAAATGCTGGAAAAATGAAATTTGTCGATTTTGTGAAATTTACTGAGAATGTAGGGCCGCCGGCCATTTAGAGTTTTGAAAACCTTGAGCAGCAGTCGAGCTGGAAAAAGTTCTAAGTGTCACAAAACATGGTTTCGTCTTCTGAGCCCAGCGTAAACCAAACACTAGACTTGAGATCCATAAAGCATTTTAAGATCGCTTGAACTTTCTAAATCGACATATGATAGTTTAGACTTGCTGGAATTTTTCGATTTTGTGAAATTTACCGAGAATGTAGGACTGCCGGCCATTTAGTGTTTTCAACACCTTGACCAGTTACTGGCCATATAGCCACAGCGTTTACTTAATGATTCTTCCGTTCTTTTCTTTATTTTTGAGGTCTTCTCTAAGCGACCGAACGCGCCGCAGGTGTTGTGTCGGCCTTTTTCAGGCGTAAATGGTCTAAAAATACATTGGCTATCGTTACTGGAATTCCCAGAGTCCATAATGTGGATATAGATATATTTTACACGCCTCTTTAGATCTGAATCGTGCGATCGTATCGAGCCGCTGTATTTGGTTTGCTCGGCGACATTTTTAAAGCTCGCGCCATGTTCGGGTCCAGATCTCGCGCGGTTAAAAAACCCTGCAGAGCCACCACGAGCAGAGGGAACAAAAATTGCCACCTACCCCACAAAATTCCTCTAGAAGGGGGAACTTGGGCTCATGATACACTGTATCGATGCTTGCAGTAATTCGCCCTTTTTTCGTCCTTTAGCTCACAATTAAGTTTAATTACTTTAACAAAGTTTTTAATGGTTAGAAAAATCGCTCCCATAGGCACATCATTTAAATCTTACATTTTTTTCATTATGTCACGATGTATTTTTGTAATTGTGAGCCCTAAAAGAGATTAAATGTAATCAAACCTATGTGCGGGCTGAGTATTGATGTCGATCGACACTATCAGTTCTTCCGTGACAATTATTTCCGGACTTCGTGACAACGCCCGGCCACCAAATACCGGATGCGTGTCGTCGGAAATTCCTCGGCTCTTTTCGAAATCAATCGCGTGAAACCGGACTTTCATCAAACCAAGCTGATATTTTGGGCGCATGACTCACCCGTATGAACGCTGACCACAGGTGTGCGAAGTGTGAAGTAAAGAGGGAAGTGGGTAAAGCACTGTTGTTGTTGCATGCTTCGCCATGTCTTATTGGGGCATGTGTGCCTAGACTTTTTTAGTATCTTTATGGCTTAAAATATGTCTTCAAGGATGAAGCTACGCCCTTCGACAGAGATCTGTGCCGATTGTAGCGCGCCCGGTAGGTTTGTGCCTTGCTGTCTTACGCATGAATAGTAGCATGCGAATTACCCACTTGATTTAACGCCTAGTTTTGATGTTTGAAGATTTCATTCTTGTTCTCGGGGATGTTAGATTGATTTGAAATTTTTAAAAAATAGGACCAGAATGGGCATCTGTGAATCGCGGCGTGTTTATCTGCGACGAATGCTGCAGTGTTCACCGCAGTTTGGGTCGTCATATTTCCCAAGTGAAGCATCGGAGACATTCTTCCTGGAGTCCAACTTTGCTAGCGGTTCGTACGAAATTCATTATACTAACATCCTAGTAGAAGTAACTATTTTTATATGCTGTGTTTTTAGTGTCAACAGCGACTTCTTTATTGTTTAAGAGCAATTTTTTTTTTCATGATCCAACAAGTGTGGTCGATTACAAATTTGTATTTTTTCTGATCATTCGCTCTGTTGTGCGCCCATCAATTGAAGTAACTTCCGATTGAACCTACAATCTAAAAGATTATCTAAAATGTATGTGCGTTGTATTAAAAAGCATAGGAAAAAAATTTAAGTTTGTTGTGAAGTTGTGTTTTGTTGATCTTTGTAAAGGCAAGATTACACCGATTGCATCCTTTACAGTTAGTGAGGTCTCATTCGATCGTGTCTTTTGAAGAGGTCATTGTCTTTTACAAATGACACTTCTTTATTCCCAATGAGAGCAAGGTCCAAGATTTTGGTGCAACTTGTGTAGAATGATGTTTAATAATTTTTTTTTAAAATTAAAAGTTACATTTTGGGCGTGAATTGTCCTCGATTACTAACCAATTTGTGATATTTCTATTGTCAATGTAAAATCAGTTCGTCATGTGAATCATTCAGCAGAGCTGACTAATGCAGCTGGCATTTAGGAATTGTTGAAAACTTAATTGCAAGAAAACAAGCGTTTCTTTGACTTCATCGAGCTCAAAAAAAAGAATTTTAACTGAACATGCTTAAGATTTAATTTTGGTAATTAAGAAAATCAAGAGCCCTTGTCCGAAAGTGTTGCATATAATTGTGCAAAATGAAAATCAGAGAGGATCCTCAAACTTTGTCAGAACATGCAAGGAGACATTTTTAAACTGTTTCAATTTAATAAGAACTTTATTTTTCGTGAATTAATGAGAAAAACATTGAATAAGAGGCTTTGAACTGGCTGTAACCATCTTGAAATTACACAGTTAAAACTTGTTCAAAAATTCAACAAGGAAGTAACTCTATAAATGATTTCATTCCTAGAAATAGGACATGTTTAGCAATAGACTAAAATTGAACTGTCAAATTTAAAAGCATTACAAAATTTTCTTGAGAAATTAAGTTTATTAACTTATTTTCTTTTCTTTTGAGGGACAACAGTATTTACAACTTTTGATATAGTTTAAGGTATATAGGGGCATATATTTTGCTAATTGCATTGTATGAGCAACAAGAATTATTGCCTGCTTGTAATATTAGTTAAACCATCCTATTATATCTATATTTTGAGAAACAGAAGGAAAGGTTTAACTAATTTAAAACTTAGTTGCCAGAAACCACCGTAATGCACATTATTAAGGTAATTGACTGAGTTGCCACAGGAGCCAGAAATGAAATGAACTTCCCAGTGTGGTGCAAAAATTAAAAAATTTAAATAACCATTTTCATGGCCACGTCTTGTCTCTATACCTGTCTCATGACAGAGGCTAACAGTCCATTGTAGAGTGCAAATACACCTTGTGTTGGAGCAATATGAACTGCCATGGACAAAAGTCTCCGTTTAGCTGCTTTGTGTGCGAGTAGTCGATATGGCGGCAATAGCGACCTTTAGTAGTTTGTGTCGACTTTCCTTGCCACTAATTCTTAGTCTTCAGCTCTTTGAAAGGAACAACCATTACATACAACAAAATGCTCTTCTTTCGATGAAAGTCTTATTTATTTGACTTTCACTGAGCACAAACATATAAATATGATAAATAATAGTTAGATGACAGTTAACGTAAGTTTGTAAAAAAAGAAGAGGAAAAAAAACTGAAAATAACAATAGTGAAGAGAAAAACTCAGTGAGGGACAGTCATGACAGAGCAAGCTCCAACTAGGTGAAAGCCCAATAAAAATAATGGTAGGGGAGAATTTAAGAAAAATGCAAATAAAATTGATAATTCACTAAAATATCAAAATATGTGTATATGATATAAGAATTTATGTGTAAAAAATATATATCAATTCTTATTATTAATATCTACTAAAAACAATACTGGTGAAAACTGCTTAAATTCCTAATAGAAAAGCTCTTAAGACAAAATGATTTCCAAGTATAAACATTATCCTGATCAAACGTTTCAATAAGTGCTTTTTTATAATATTTAACTAAAGCTGCTTTGAAAGCGTTAACGCTGGGTAAGGTTCTTACTGGCAAAAACCTGGAATTCCACAATTGAACAGTTCTATTGAAATATAACTACGTTGAAATAGTGATGTTCTGCATTTTAAAGGCTGATAGTCTAAAGAGCAGCTATGACGAGTGGACCTGGTTATGACTTTAGGTTGGACAAACTCTGTAATGTCAATGTTATATACCGTATTTACCCATGAATAAATTGACCCCCCATTTTGAAGCCCAAAAATAAGTTTTTCTTATTTCTAGGCAAGAATTTCCTTGAAAAACTAATCTTATATTTCTTAGAATTTTCTTTCAGGTACTATGGTTATATCAAAAAAATCACAGCAAGTTTGGATGTGAAGTTTATTATTGCGTGTACGCGAGTGTTTTAGTGTGTTTTAGCGACACGTGTAAGCAGCATTTTCTTCACAATTTTTGAAATTCACAATTCACAAGTTTTGAAATTATTTCTATCTATAAGTAGCATTTTGATTGGTTTGTGTTTAGTTACTGAATGCAAAAAACACAAAAGAACTTACCAACAGCAATTTAATTGGTAAAGGTGGGTAACAACCAAAACAAAAACCCTGCCAACCAGCATTTTATTGGAACATGTGCTAAACAAAGTCCTCGTGCTCACACGATACAAAGCCAGGTTACTAAGCAGCAAAACTTTGAAGCGAGAAATATGGCTTTCGTCGAGCGGAGTTACCACTTTATCGGCTGCAACTATCAGTTCTTTATTGAAGAATTGTGCCAGTGAATATCTACAACATTGAGCTTTATGTTAGGAGATAAATCTTAAAGCATTTAAACTTAGACTGCTCGAGTTGTGCAGGGAAAAGACATCGGAACTTGTGCTGTGTAAAAGTGGATTGTTTGTTTACATATCAGACAATTATTATGCTAATTTGTCCTGAAAGTTTTTTTATCTCAGATTTTGACCTATGTATAAGTCGAGGGCAATTTTTTGGACCGATTTTTAGGTAGTAAAAGGTTGACTTATACACGGGTAAATATGGTATGCCATTAATGGCCTTAAAGAAAAATACTAAATCCCTGATTTCATGCCAATAAGACACTGGCAAGAGGTTCAGTTTAATAAGACTTTCCTTGTAAGGAATTAGGGCATCTGGATACCCTAAGATATACTTTGTTGCTCGACATTGAACTCCCTCAATTGTGCATAAACCACCTATCTGCAGAGGCGTCCACACTTCAATAGCATAGCTAAGGTAAGATCGCACCAGGCTCAGATACAGAGAGCACTTAACTGACACTCCAAAACAAGGGTCAGAGGATCTGTAAAGAAACCCCAGTATTTGGTTGGCTTTTGATGACGAGGAAATGATGTGAGAACTCCATTTGAGATTGTTGTTAACAACAACACCGAGATCTTTTTGGGTGTCGGTTTGAGAAACAACGTGATTTCCAATATTAAAGGTGCCTTGAATGGGAGATTTCTTTCGGGTTACATGTACAGCTTTGCATTTGTCGAGTTCATCAGTTCAAATCATTGATAGTCCATAGAAAAAGCAATGGCCCCAGAATGCTGCCTTGAGGTACTCCAGAGAGAACAGGGAGGGACAAAGATGTTGTGCCTTTAATTAACACTTTCTGGGACCTGTTTGTTAGATAAACTGTAAACCATTGGAACAAAGAATCATTAACACCAGAAGCTGTGAGTTTATGTAATAAAAGAGAATGAGAAACAGTGTCAAATGCTTTGGACAGATCTAAATAAACAATTTCAGATTAAAGTGAGTTATCCAGGGCCTGTCCAATTTTATGAAGAAAGCAAAGCATCTGAATGACTGTCAATTAGCCACTCAAAAATCCATGTTGCCAAGAAGATAAGGAACTGCTTAAATGGTTGATTAACCTATTGAAAATATAACTTTTGAGCACTTTGGACAGAATACAAAGCCAAGAAATAGGCCTGTAGTTTTCTGCAAGTTCTTTATTACCTTTCTTATGAATAAGTATAACCAATTCTTATTTTCATAATTCAGGTAGCACACCAGAAGAAAGAGATTTATTGAATAGTTTAAAGAGTTCCACATGCTTGGATCATTTATATACAACTTGATATAAATTGATCATTTATATACAACTCATTCGTTTTTTATTGCTAATATTTCAGTGCCAAAGATCGGTTTGTCAGATCACCTTCCTGTATTTTTCAGATGAAAATACACCAGGAATAAATGGGATGGAGCATATAAATTCATAGAATATTGTGATTATAAAAACTTAAACAAAGATAATATACTGCTTCATTTAGACAACCCCTCATGTGACACTGCCTTTGAATTGATATGTGTTAATTAATGAGGTTCTCGATTCATAGGAAAATATGCTAAATAAATTAATTGCCACATTCCACTGAAAACAAAGCAAGTGAAAAGATGAATTCAACCTGCCTGGATGACAACTGAAGTTCATGAAAGCATAAAAACAAGGCACAAGTTGCTAAGAAGAGTGCAAAAGACAAACAAGCAGGGAGATTGGAATCAACACTCCAACACTAAATGCAAAACTGCCAATATCATCAAAAGATCAAAATGATCCCTTTTTTGTGAGCAAATTGATGAAAATAAAGGAAATCCTAAGGGCATTTGGAATGCCCTAAAAAACCCAAGTGGCTTAGGCAAACAAATGACTAAAATCATGGAATTAGAGACGGAAAATGAGACAGTGTATGATGAGTCATCCATAGCCAATGAATTAAACAACTAAGGCATTACCTTACCTTACATTACTTCACCTAGATAGATTTTAAATTTATTATAGGTCATGGAGAGGTTTATGCAGGTGTTAACTTTTCAGCTACAAGTTCTCCATGCCACCTTAATGATAGGGTATTTCTTGTTAACTAAATGTTTCATGGGATTTCAAGGGAGTAAAGCCGATTGGGATTGTCTGAATAAAGTTTGTCTGCACTAACATAATAAAGATTTCTCTTCAAATTGAAAGGAATTTTTCTGAAAACAGTATCACTAGGCCAACGTGAAAGTTCTGGTAAAGCTTGGAGATTTTTAATGAATTTTATGTCGTACATCTTCAGTGTAGTCTTTAGTTATGATGGAATCTCACTCTCCTAGTGGTAGACAGGTGTACATATTTCAGTATGATCTTGACTTATTATTTTATTTTGACTTCCACTTTGCTCTTTAGATGGTTCGACAGCTTGTGACAAATGGGGCAAACTCAATTTGGGAACATTCACTTTTGGATCCAAATCAGATGAAGAGTGGATTAAGGAAACCAAATCAAAAAGATCATGTTCAGTATGTACTGAATTTTCTTGCTTTACACCGGGTTTTGAAAAAACATTTTGGGTCTCCCAAGTTAGGTTGTAGTAATGTTATGGGAGAGCTCCAATACTTTGGAAAGAAATGAAGCAATTGTAATGTTCTTATCCTAGCTTTAGGCAATTGAGACCCCTCGCTGTGGTTCATTGGAGCATATTGCTGCACTTCTGATTGTCAACCATGTCATGCATGTGCTTCAGTATACATGTTAATGACTAAAAATGTTCTACAGCTGCAAATTTAATTGAGGTGTTCAGATTGTAAGGCCAGTTGCGTAAACCTCTTTTAACCCTCTTCAACCTAACATCAGTATATATACATGTATACCCTACAATGTTCTGCATAACTTTCACAAGGTGCTGACTTGGAGTATTTTTGTAACAATCAAGAGCTTCTACAGCTTGTGATCATACCTAAATGAGATGGTAGTCACTCTTTGGGGCCAGGGGTTGACCAAACATGCTTGGTGACATGTTCCATTTTTAACCTAACTGTAGTGTGGTATGGTGTGGGAGATATTCTTACTTATTTTTGTCAGCAGAAGTACCTCACTACCCCCTGGTTGATCAATAATGCAAAGGAATTGTAATCATTTAAGTAGAGTTTGGATAGTTATTAAGGCAACTGTTAGCTTGACTACATAAGGATCTCCCATTAGGAAGGTGATGCTTAAGGATGAATTTCTGGATACACAATTGAATTGAGAACAGAAATCTTTGAAAACAGAACTCAAAGAAATGAGTAACAATGTGGTTCAGTAGTTTATATTTTTTCATTCAAATAGCCAGTTTCTGACTGATGGTGGTTTTCATATTTTTAAGTACCACAAAGTCCACATTCATCAAAGCAAAATATCAGAGGCTTGCATTTGTCCCTCGTCTTCCTTGCAAAGATGATGATACCATTACTGTCTCAGACCTTAGCCAGGTAAGTTGCAGTGTATCCAGAAAGCAGTATAGTCTCCTTTCAACATCTTAATGTTGTGGTTCAAATGTTCATTGAATTCGAAATTTTGCAAGTCATGATAAGTGTTCTCTCCTTTTGCTTCTCTTTATAGTCATTGTATTTAGTTTCATACTTAGCATACACCCTGTAGTATTTGTTTTAAATTGCTTTCTTAGTCTTTTTAAGTGCCCAAGCAATTAGTGGATTTGTTTGCCATGTAAATGCAGTTTTATTCATTATTTTGATTACCTGAAACAAAGGAAAGTAAAAATAAAACTGTTGTGAAAAAGAATTAAATCAATGAAAATTTTGAGGACATGATAGTGCTGTATAAGTGTATATACATTGTACACTAGCCTGTGTGGAGAGCCTCAAACATCAGGGACAGGCTGCCAGGGTTGCCAAGTTAACATCACTTTATTAGTTTTAAAGTTAGCCATTCACACTGGGTAGTAAGTGGCAAGAGTAATAACTGATACATGGGACCAATATGGCAAGATGCAACATATCTGTTTCTAACAAAAAGCTTATCAATGCTAGTGCAATAATCATATGTGCACCCCACATAGTTCCATACATGGTAAGGAACTGTGTGACTTAACACAACAGGTGTGAAGCAGGGTTTTTATTAGAAGCCGAGTCCTGGGTGCTGGCACCTGTCTACTTTGAACAGAGTGCCCGGTTACTCAAAGCACGAAATTTGAAAAAAAAAAATTGTCAAGAAAAAAATTATCAACCTCAATAAATATCAACTCTTCCCTGTTAGTTTAAAACCATTTCCCAGCACAAATTTACCAATAACTTGCCATCAGATCATGGAGAAGGTGCTGCGCAACAATCGTGTTCTTCCTGAAGTGCTTGATTAGCTATTACATTTTTCTTGCATGTCACGTCTGACACATTAAAAGGCAAGTGTGTTTTGCAGAGTCAGTGTGGCAAGCAAATAAAAAACTCAAGGTGTCCTGGATTCTTTTTTGTCATTTGCATACAAGAAGTCAAAAAGTTAGTTTTGAGCATGTCTACACTTATATTGATTACACATTCCTTGGAGCATCATTTGCGTATGAAAGGTCAAGTGTAATGAAAATTAACTTTATGTTTTCCAGTTTTAATTGGATTACAGCCAGTGAGATGATTTTTTGAAAAAATCGCATATCCTTTCTGTGCATTCCATTATTTAAACTGTTTATAAAACACTTTGTATTTTTCTGAAATATAATTCAGGATTTAAAATAAACTGCAAGAGATGAATGTAGCTGTAAAAGATGCTCATCAGCTAACTCGTGTGTCTAAATAAGCCAATGTTTTGTTGGCTTTCAAAGCTTTAAGAATATTCTGAGTAAGTGAAAGAAACTTGAAAGAAACTTGAAAGAAACTTTGTTCCAATTTAATTTTCATTTAAGATTAAGCTAAGAAATGCATTAAAAAACATCGAAAATTTCAAATGTGAAAATTTGCTTTGGCCTGTTCTGACACTGAAAATTTGTCAGTTTCACTCTTTATCAGTTTATAAGTTTAAGTTAGCTTGTAACAGTAGTTAGCTTAAACTGCATCTCAATAAGCCAACATTTTGTTGGCTTTCAAAGCTTAAATATTTGGAGCAAGTGAAAGAAACTTGAAAGAAACTTTTTTCTAATTTAATTTTCTTTCAAGGTTAAGCCAAGAAATGCATTAAAAAACATATCAAAAATTTCAAACATGAAAATCTGCTTCAGCTTGTACTGACATTGAAAATTTGCTAGCTACACTCTTTATCAGTTTACAAGTTTAAATTAGCTTGTTACTGTAAGAAAAAAGGAGGCTCTGAGAACAACAGCAGTGTTTTGATGTAGCTGTAGCTGTATAGTGAAATAAACAAATTCTCCCAGAGTGTCATTCTTTTTTTACCATAATTAGAATAAGTATGCATCATAGCAAGATTTCTTTTCCAGATTGCAGGAAAATATGCTTCTGGGAGACTTACGTTCTAAAAATTTCCTGGGGGAGCATGCCCCCAGAAGTTTGGGCCTTCAGCCCTTAATTTTACAGGGTACCCACCTATTCACGAGGCAGTGCCCTTCTACTTCAAAAGTTAATGAAAATCCTGTGTGAAGGGACTGCCTCTTTGATGGGTGAAGTGTGCAAACAGCATCTGTGGGTAAAGGGTTGCTAAGTGTACATCACTTTTTTTAGTTTTAAAGTTGGCCATTAGTTATTTATTGAAACTGTTAGTATAAAGCATAATCCTTCAGTTTTCTCAATTCTCATTTTAATTGTTATGTTAAAGAACTGCGCTGTCTACAATTGTATTATGTTACTGTATGTAGAGGCACAGTGTGAGGTTCAAGCAGTAATTTATGTTTTTCTTATTGTGCTTTGCAGCAACTTCATTCAAGTGTAAGGACAGGAAATTTAGAGACATGTTTGAGACTTCTCTCACTAGGTGCTCGCCCAAATTATTTTCATCCAGTAAGTGAACTTCAAAAATACTATTAAAAAAAATGGTAATATGTAAATGAACAAGCAAATTACCAATTTGAAGCTGTTGTATTTTATTACCTACTTTAGTTCATTTAAGGTGGTTGAAGGGGAATCATTATCTTTTTAACGTACTGTACTTATAATTTCTTTTATGGATGGATGATATCAAACCAATGCAGATTATTGCTTGATAAGTTCTGCTAGTTTCTCTTGGTTACTCAAAAATGAGCTTGGTACCCCTTTCTTTTTTTCATTGTGTTAAGTTGATTCCTCAGTATTTACTGCCGTCCTGTTCTCTGCATAAAAATCACATAATCAGGCAATTAAGTGTGTGTGCTTTCTGAGAAAACAGTATTGTTTTTTCAGTCAATGTACCAGGTAAAGAGGTATGATGGTCTTTGACCTGAATTTTTTATGGGATAACTTTGGTGTACAAATTATCCCCTTTAAATGGAAGAAATTTAAAAAAAAATTCACTGAAGGGGGAAAAAGATATAGTTAGAGGCAAATACTAAGCCTGTTACTTAATGATGCAAATTATGACCGTGAAAGCAACAAATAGTGGCATATTTTGAGTCAGTGACATTTACAATTGCATGGTTTTTCCACAAATTATATATCAAATTGTTCCCATGGCTCCAGACTTTCTACCTATCAATTTTTTTAAGTGTAACTAAAAAACCTATGCTTCCAGCTTCCCCAAAACCAATGAAATGACATGCCTGTGTAGTGCTAGTACAGGCTTATATGGGGTAAGTTTGGCCCATCATAATTATATTTTAAACAGGCATAGTAAACTATATTTTAGTACAAGTGTATATGATGACAGGTTTTACTTCTTTTGTCATATTTGTTGTCATTGCTCACCCAATAGGATAGAGGTAATACTCCGCTTCATGTGGCAGCTAATGCTGGGCAACCTTTACAAGTTGAACTCCTTATTGTACATGGTGCTGATCCCACAAAGCCAGACATAAATGGAAAGACGCCTGTGGATTATGCCATGTAAGAGTAATTTTTGGTAGTGTGTTGCGCCTGAATCACTTGGCCCATATCTTTGCAGCTTATCCTGATTTCATTGCATAGTTTCCTGGCCTTTTGCCACTCCCCTAGGGCCACCATGTTATTCTATCATAGACCACCTTCCTTCACTTTCTCAGCTTAACATGTAACTGAAAATTTATTGTTACCTGTTTTAGTGCTGTGTTTTTAAATGGTGATTGTGTTCAGTATTGTAAAGTTAAGTGACTTGCTTAAAGAATGCTAATGAATGCTCTAAAAATTATTATTTGGAAAGCAATTTGTTAAATATTTTATGCTCTTGTTTTTTCCAGGGAGGCTGGTTATTCAAATATTGCACATCGACTCATAGAGGTTCAGTTTGAACTTACAGACAGACTCACATATTACTTATGTGGCAGAAGACCTGGTAAATGAATGATTTTTGTGTGATCACCTTTGAATTAGGGAGTACAAAGAGAATCAAAGTAATCCCATAGATACAGTCAAAATACTCTTAAAGTTGTGACCTTAAGGTGAAGTTGTTTGTGTCTAGACAGTCCTGTATGTTGAGTAGGTAAGTTGTGATGACACCAACAGACATTTGATTCACATCTCGCTGCACATATGTGTGTTTGTTTTATTTCAGATCATCAAAATGGTGTTCACTACCTTATACCAACCATGGCAGACAGGTCTAGTACTTTGCTCAATTTTCTCAAGTAGCTCTTTCTAGTAATTTTGATCTGCTGGAAACACAGTCTATGGCTCTTGATAACTAAATCAGTTCTGCTTTAATAATATGAGCCAAGTAAATCACATTCAAAAGTAGACATTTTGCCTTTTTACACAGTAACTAACAGAAATTTCACTGTTGACATTGAGATCATGGAAATGATATGGCAGATTCCTTTTGTTATACACCTGCTTTCTAATGTCTAATTGTTGCATCAGAACATAGCTGTGATTTTTCTTAAATTTGGAATGAGGTTCTCCTAAGAATGGACGACTCACTGTGATTGGCCTCTACAGGGAGAGAAATTAAGTTTGGTCCTGGGAATATACTACTTTTAGGGCAACATTATGTTACACCCCAAAGAATAGTTGCTTAGGGCAAAGGAAAAGGTGGTGTTAATCTTTAAGATAGAATAGTTTAGGTTAAGAAATAATTTTTCATGTGGTAATCAAGGATTTTGAACCATGCAACATCCAAAATCTTGTTTAACCAATCTTGTCCCTTAGGTATCATAGAGGAAAAAATTAAATTTATCATCCTTCAATACTGTTGTGTGGTAAATTTACATAATGATCATTTATACACCAATGAAATGCTATTTTATATACATGTAATGCATCTGAAAGTCTTCTTTAATCTGTGATACTTCAACAGTCGCTTGGATTTGTCAGATGATGCACAGAAGGCAAAATTAAAGCTACAAGCAGTAAGTAAATGAAATTTTATTAAAGCATGTAGTAACTTCCATAAACTGAAGAAAGCCATCTTATTTGACGTTACTTGTCTTTTTTTGTTAGCTGATTGTTATTCAAGAGTTTAGCAGTTATAATAACGAAGCGTCTTAAACCTTTAACTCCTAGAAGTGATTGACATGGACTTTCTGCATAAAATATCATGACATTGTTCAGCAAATAGGCTATGAGGATACTCAAACCTATCAAGGCATGTAGAAGTTGGGTTACCTGTCGTTTTGTAACCATGGTTGTTTGTACCCATGGTTGTTTCATACTCATAGTTGTTTTGTACCCATGGTTTTTTCTTACTCAGTTGTTTCAGCAGGCTGAAGGGAGACTTAATCAGATCTTGGAAGGTTAAAAATTTAGTGTTACTTCTGCATAAATTTGGTTGCTGGAACTTACTTTAAGTTGTGTTTTTTTACTTGGTTTATCCTTAGTTAAGTCATCATCTCTTTGAAGAACTGGCATCTGATGTGTATGATGAAGTAGACAGAAGGGAGTGTGATGCAGGTATTGAAGCTGTAATAGACAAGTTTTAATTTGTGCTGAACTTGAGGAAACATTTGAACTTTATCTATCTTGACTATGTAGATCAATTCCTGTTATTTGTTGTCATTCTATTTCATGATTGTAGAGGAGCATTTTTGATTCATAAGCATAAAACTTACTTTCTAGTTGTTAGATTTGGAAAATATATGATCTCATCATCATTCTATGGTATGGCTGGAACTTGACAGATTAGTCTGAAATGGTTTTGAATTCTTTAAATGGGGTTTGGCTTTGTCTGTATCACGACAGGGTACAGATTGAACCACACCCGTTTTGAAGATTTATTTCCAATACCATCCCCTAGAGTGATTTGAGTGAGGTCCATGCGCAACCCAGCAAAATATGTTGAGCAAAATGTAATCCATTTGTTCTATAATGCAGAGAAATGAAATTAAAAAGCAACTGGAACTTTGGACTCAAGGCTCCACCTTTTTCTTGCTGTCAAAGTTCCTGCTGAACATTTCCGGTGGCCTTTACAAGCTCTATGAATGGATTGGTCTTAGAACGTGTTGGATATACATGACAGTCTTTAACTTGTTTCAAATTTTTCCCCTCAGTTTGGCTAGCAACACAGAATCACAGCGCTCTTGTTAGAGATACCACAACAGTACCATTTCTTCCTGTTAATCCTTCGTTCTCTTCAACAAGAAACCAGGTAAAGTGGTAAATATTTTGGAAACGTAAAATGCTCCTAAACAACTATCCTACCAATCCTTTAGCACAAATTTGGGAAAGCTGATTATTTACAGTGTGTATTAGAGATTTTCGTACTGTTGTTTCATCTCAAACCTGTCTCTATCTAGATTTGGGGTTCAGTCAAAAAGCCTTTTGATGTAAGAGTTTTTCCAATAAATTTCTGATCTCCCAAACTTTCATTATCGTCATTGTTATTACTATTATCATTATTATCAGTATCATTTTAAGATTGGTAGCATTTCAAATTTCTGAAAATCACTTAATCCCTCAAAGCTCAAACATTGAGAATGTCAATCCTGATTATTAATTCAATTGGGTGGTTTTTTAGGGAAGACAGAAGTTAGCTTTGTTTAACGCCAAAGAATTTGCAACATTAATTATTGATATATTGAATGACGCAAGACGGAGAGAACAAGACTCCAATCCTGACTTAACTCAAGGTACTGTACACGATCCTAAATTCATTATGATATACTTCAATATCATCACCCTAAGTTTTTTCGCTTTAGTCCTATCCAGTGTGATATTATAAGATATCAATTCATAAACCTCAAGTCACTTCCCTAATGTGTACAATTTTAAGGGCTGAGTAAACTCTGAGTTCAAGCACGTCCATTGTAGCTTGTGCAGCGCTCAGCCCAGTGGGTGAGGGAGCAAGATAACAAGCTTACCAAATACCGCAATCTACCTACTCCGACCCCATTAGACATGTGGTTTGGGGGGATCTTTGAGCCTAGCCTGAAGAGCAGGCGTAATTTTGGCGAGCAGAGTGCTCATTATTTTCTTAACAAAAATTGTTTTTGTCAACTTTGATTTTAATGGCAACGGAAGCCTGGGAAGAGAAAGAAATTTGTATCGAGGGGGGAGTCAACGGTCAAAAATAAGGACAGGGGTGGGGGAAGGGGAGTGAAGATTCTCGTCCTCACCACCCTACCCCCACCGTGCACTGCTTGTCTAATATTTTGTTTTTTGTTTTAATTCCGTTTTCTTCCTCACGATATTCTTATTTATCCAGCCTTTGGTACTTTGTTAGGTTTTGTTGAATCACACATTTTCCCTATTGAAGAAGATGCCTATGATCACGAATATGATGAAGTACCTTCAGACGAGGAACCAGCGGATAAGGAATCCACACCGGAGGTGACAGTCTTCTTGTTTTCATCACATCAGTGCCGCAGAGGAAGATATGGATAGTTTCTTGCTCGTGACAAACCATCAAACTTTTAGAGTACACTCAATTATATCACGTGCAATTCTCTCTCAGTGTAAATTTTCTTGTGCTTTTTTTCATTTCGTTTATTTGTTTTTTGGTTGTTCATATATTTTTCGGTGTCTTGAGGCTGTGGAAATGATATTCTAATGGCAATTCAATAACTGAGGAGTCGGGTAAAAAGTTTTATTCTTTCTAACATGCTTCTGTTACTTATTTCAGAACCCCTCAACAATGACTACTAAAGTGCAGATCGAAAAGGTGGATATATTTTATAGAAATGCCGCCATGATGTGTTTATCTTTATCACCAGTACCTCGGCAAAATAAACATGTTATCCTCAAAATTGTAGTTACTCGAATTGCAAAAATCAACGAGAAGATCAATAATATACATGCCAATTCATTCACAACCGAGATTGTTCCTGGTGCAGTCATCCCTTTTGGGGTACAAGACCTAAACCTGAAGCAGTCGCAAGGGCCAAGTAGAACAGAGAATAATCCTTGAGGGAGCCGTTGAAAACTCAAAGTATACATTGCACATGTTACTGTCGCTAAAAGGGAAAATGCGAGTGACCGAGTTTTTGATGGATTAGTTTGAGTTTTTCTGTCTCACTGGCCGGGTTTAGAGGGCGCGAGAGTTTTGTCAACCAACCGTAGAGCGCTGTAAAGAAAAGGTGATGCTGCCAAATGTTATATTTGACACCTAATTGTAAATTACTTAAATTTAGTTGACTTAAGATCACTCTCTCTATGCTTGCAGGGAACAACTACAAGCTTTTTGGCTAATGACTCCGTTCCTGTGGAACGTTATCTAGCGGTGGAAAGTGCTTTGGCGACGGCTAATGTAGGTGTACTTCAGTGTAAAAGGTCTCTTCAAGTACATACGTAAATAACTCGGGAAACACCTTTAATGTGGAGTGACTTTACAAGAAGATGATTGCCCCGCCAAAATTTTTCAAAATCGCTGTTTTCATCCTCATCCTTAACATTCTTGTGATTGTTGGCTCCAGTCTTTCCCGTTTGGAGTTTGTCTGTGCAGGTGAACTGATGTTTCAATGTTTCCTTCTATTCAAAGGAAATTTGTTACGTCGCCAAAATACGGCATAAGTTATTGAGGCGTACAAAACCTACTGTATCTTTCATTGGTTAGATGGGTTTTCTCGCTTCCCTCTCCCACCTAATGAGATTGCCGTCTTTACCCTTTACATCCTAACATCAGTATTCATTAAAAATTGAACTGTAACCAGGATATGACATAGTAAAAAAGGCAACAAAAACGTTCTCTGGTTAAAAAGGTTTTAAGATATGAACTTTCGGCTATTATACTATAGCCTTTAACGAATGTAAAAAATAAGCGCGTGAATGGAAACATATACAGGGAAGGGTGTGAAAAAATTAAAAACTAAAAAATACAATAGAAGTGTGAAAAGCTAAAAAATGGACAATAAAACAAAATCAAATTACAATAAGATAGAATATTGTCTTGGTAACGGTTTAGAGTTATTGTCTACGCCGACAGTTTTTGCGGTATGCCAAGATTCTAGTGTTTTTCGAACGCGGAATTCAATTCATATAATTCAAAGGCAATTACCTTTAGCTTTTCACACTTCTATTGTATTTTTTAGTTTTTAATTTTTTCACACCCTCCCCTGTATATATTTCCATTCACGCGCTTATTTTTTACATTCGTTAAAGGCTATAGTATAATAGCCGAAAGCTCATATCTTAAAACCTTTTTAACCAGAGAACGTTTTTGTTACCTTTTTTACTATCAGTATTCATATTCTCCATACTGTTCTCTGTACATCAACTATGGTGCTGTTAAGGAGAATTTGTCTAACATTCAAGAGTTTCTTTAGTTGATGATCATTTCCTTTATTCTCATGACATTAATGTGTGATTCAGTGATGATGCTGTAAGGAGAAATTAGATGCTAGTCAATATAAGGGGTTAAGCAAGCGTTCCGGATTAGCTGAGAGTAGTTTTGTAGTTTTGTTTACCATTTGGTAGCGCTTGGCTGAAGTGCCCTCTTTTGCTTCATCCCAAGGCTCGTGTACAACAGCTTTTGCAAGTTAATGCGAACCAGAGTCACGAAATTCAGAATCTCCAAGCAATGGTGAGTAAATCATCACTGAAGCTTCAAAAAGTCGGTTAATAGAAGGATGGAGAGAGGGTGTGGCTCACACTATGGTGCGATAGGACTTATGGCTCTTAAATTTTTAATTTGGATGTACCTTAAGAAGGCCGAAACGTTGCATTAAATCGCCGGAGTAGTTTAGAATTTATCTTCAGTCTCTTTTTCTTACATGATCTACACATACTGAACATTTCGGAGAAGATACCAGTATCTTCTGGATCCCCTAACTGGGACTTACTCGTTCGGTGACCAGTTCACATTTTCTCTCTATATACATATTTTTACACTTTTTACTGATTTTTCCGATTTTCTTGGTTTTTTAGGTTCATAAGTTGGAGGACGAAAACAAGAACTTGAAAAGTCAGTTAGGAATACTAAATGGCAGCGATGACAATGTGTTTGCGCCGCCAGTAAGTATCACTGACTAATATGTGCTAAGTTAACAAATTTACAAGAAAAATACGAACACTGCTTAGGCCTCAAAAAAAGCTTTCTTGCTTGCCTTTTTCAGGCAGATGTCAAGAGCGTGACTTATAATTATTATTATTCATTTAACCAGGCTTACCCAGACGCCAGCGACGAAGAGGATCACGTGGACATCGAAAACATAGAACCGTATGCTTCCCCAGGCTCTCTCTTAAACCGCACTACTCAGCAAACTCCCCTTGGGCAGCCTCAGGCAGGGGAAATGACCAAAACTAAAAAAGTCAATCCCTACGATAATGTAACTGAATCGCCAGATGACCCAGACGGAGAACGAAGATATCTCAATATTGAAGAGATGAGGGAACACGAAAGAATGAGTTCCTGTGAGTGTTTTTTTATGTTTACATTCATATGTACTTTTCGTCGAAAGATTCATAGAAAGTTTGCGAAGTGAAGAGATCTTGAATTTTATATAATTGTAGGAAACAAATTGTCGATTCATTAGAGTTGACCCGTGTTATATTTATGTTAAAAATCATCGAAACGCCTGTAACAGGACAAGCCAACCGATTGTCCGTCGTAAAATGAGAAAATCCAACATCTGCTGTTTTTGCATCGTCGCGGCATACTTAAAAAATGAATTGTCTCTTGAGAAAGCTGCTACCAGTGTCAAAAAGATACCATGAAACCATGATTTGAAGCAATCAAATATTTAGTAGTGAGAAATGTCTTCCTTATTTTTCGATTGGTGCTGATAAGAATGCTAACATTTTCTTTTAATCAGCGGACAGTCCCTTTGATGAACAACTGGATAGAGAGGCTGAGAAGTTGATCCATGCTGTAGATGATTTAGTTAACGAAGCCACGAAAGATTCCAGACCGCAGCCATCACAAGAGGATGTTGTGCGGTGCACAGAACAGATCACCAAAAAAATTCAGGAACTGTTGCTATCAGCGCAGGCTGGGAGACACAGTTGGTGAATATCCAAACTCTACTTACATTTTTTACTGCATTGTTCAATTCAATCATTGTAGAGACTGAATGCGAGTTCATGTTATTTGTCATGCTAACCCATAGAATTCACTAATGAGCTTTATGTTTCTATTGCAGTTTTATTCCCTGCTCGAGTAATATTTTCACGGCTGTTAACGACATGGCTAGCTTATTTCCAGAGGTATAATATTTGATTTTAGTTTAGAGATGAGTTAGTTTTACGCTGTACATATGGAAACTTCCTGTGCTTGTTTTTTGCGCAGAGGAGCTTAGCTGTTTACTTTGGTAGGAAACTTTAAATCAATGATTACCAAGAGTGACCTTTTGTCTTTTGTTCAGGACCCAGACGTGGACAGTATGCGTGTCTCGCTGCAGCTGATGAAGAGCAGCGCTGCTAGGCTGCAGGTCGAATGCAAGAGTGCTGTATTGCCTGGTAACACGGTAGATATGGCATTTCTCACCCAGCAGGTCATACAGTGCGCTTACGATATTGCTAAAGCTGCCAAACAACTTGTCACGACGTTTTCAGTTGATTAGAGGCTCTTAGTTCCAAGGAAATGACAATAAGAGATTCCAAGAAAAAAAGGGTCTCCGTGGCATCTCTAGGAATACAAATCCAAGCTTTTCTTTGCTGGGAGACGGAGAAATAACCTCTCTGCGACGGAGTAGTTATTTTTTTAGTCGAAGTAGTGCAGCTGAAATCCTCCAGTTATGATTGAGTTCTACCCTGCCATTATTTTTTGTGGAGTTCAGTTGAGTCATTTGTTCGATTTATCAGTCGTGTGTCAGTCTCTACTTTTTCTCGTTTGACTGGTTTTTTTTTATGGTGATCCATTTAGTTTTGATTGGTGGCGCAGTAGAACTCGGTCGTACAAGTACATACAAATATTTAAGTCAAACATTTAGTTGGTTTGTAGCTTAAAGCATAGAATTATGTAGTCTTTCGTCAGTGTTTTGAAATTTTCTCTCGAAGCAGGGCAGCGTCATTCCAAGGTATACCAAAAAAATCATTTGGACCAAAAGGAAAGGAAAACTTCAGACACTACTGCTCTTGGAAATATTTTAAATCTCCTTATCGAGCCATCCCATTTAATGGGAAATTGTCCTTTGGCCGTCATAAACTGGCTTCAACCCGCTTCGGGAAATTCCAAGCTATCTCGCCCGCTTCCATGGCCATAACGCAGATTTTACTTCAGTTTCTCCGCCGGTGTGGCGAGCTTTCGTTGTTTTGCTTTAAACGTGGAGAAGAAATTGTACGCGTAGTGTTGTGGTCGTTACATCTGGTATGAGGGTTTTTTTAGACGAGCAGGCATTGAATAATCAATACACAAGCTTCGCTTAATATTTGATTTTATACACTAAGCAAAAAGTTTCCTGCCCCTCCTCTCGCCGCCCCTCATCCTCTCTCATGTGTTCACGGAAGCCCCCATTTTTTTTCCCTTTCCAACTTGTTGAAAAATCATGTTAAGGAACTGACATCGAGAGCTCGCTCTACAAGAATGCCTCTACGAAACATGCAAGGAATACAGTTAAGGTTTGGAAATTATGGTTGGCAACTCGATTGCCAACCAACTCCGTTGAGAACAGGAGTAGTGGTTAAAATAACTAAGACTACGTTTTTGCTTTACCGAACGGATCTTTTATTGTTGGAAACTTCGTTCATTTAGGTGCAGCTTCCTCACGGACCCATGCCAACCGTTTTAAAATTCAGACATCTACTAACGAATATCAAGTCGATATGCTGAAGAATCCAACCGGCGGGACGACGTTATCACTTTCGTCCAAATTTTTGTACGGCATAGGCTCGTTTGTATGGGTGAGGGGTAACTCAGTTTCCTTTCAAAGTATGTTATTCGTGAATGTGTACCATATGATAAAGAAAATTATTATGATTAATGTACTTAATAACAGATTAATATAGCGTGTAATTCAAAGGTGATGATGATTAAAAGAATGATTTTTATTTAGAAACTGCCTGTGTGATTGATGATTATAGTTATCACATACTCCACCCCATCTAGAAGTTTTTCAGGCATAATCTTGACAGGAAGTATTTATACACCGATTTATTTCAAGCGTTAACTTCCTCCCCTCCCATAGGCATTGAACTGTCGTCCGTGCCCAGGATTGGGGGGTCAGGAATTTAAACCTTACCAGGCTGGAGTGGGGAATTGGAACCTTGACTGGCTGAGGTAGGGAATTTGAAGCGGAAGTGCTGAGTCTTTACGGTGGAAGAGAAGTGCTTCATATGGAGGTGTTCAACTGTAAAGAGAGGGATGTTGAAGCTTCAAATTGATCGACGCATTACGTTAGATTTAAATTTTGGATAAGCGGATCTGGTGAAGTTTCGACCAGAAGCTTGGTGAGGACGAGCGCCTGTATTTTGTCGGTGCTTGACAGAATGCTGCGATCAGCGATGACATGAGATGGTGAACAGTTCTCTAACCAACCCTACTTTAAAACATCTCACTGGTATCTCATTTCTTTTTTGCGAAATAGCAGACTGTGCAAAACAAATCTTTGATGTTTATTTTAAAAGGAACAAAAGCAGAAGCTGTAGAAGTAACAAATATAGAAAGAATATTTGCGTAATATTGGTAGGAATGTACTCTAACAGTGCTACCACTGAACTAGAATAGGGGCGTTTACCAGAATGAGGGTGCTTAGGTAATTGGGGCGCTAATTGACAAAAACAAACTCGAGAGGGGGTGCTTTTTGAGACGAGGGTGCTAAATCGAATCATTACGGTATCTTGCTATTATCTAACGGTGGATGTTTTCCCCGTTTAATCTCGCAAAATGTAAGAGGTACAGGAAGGAGGTTTGAGGGCAATGTAACCTGAACTTCAAGTCCCAGCTGTATAAAGGGCGGATAACGCCATTTAGGAGGCGGGGGAGAATTAATTTTTCGCTTTATTTCAACTCGCCAAACTTGAGTTTGAAAAGGTCGATACCTGCAACTTATATGATTTATTTGGTCATAGCTCTAAGTTGTATGAAATATTGGATCCTTACCAGACTAAAGAACTGGCGGAACAACAACAAAAGGTACACGATGTGTGTTAAGGCTTGATGAAAAGAGGCTGGGGAGGGGTGTGTCATTTGATGGTCATGGGCTGGAAACAGATGTACACGAGATCTTTGATCAGCGGCTGCACACGCAAATGACAACAGCTTGAAAATGGTATAAGATGGCGGCTAGTGGGAAGGACATTTTGACCGCATATCCCCCCAAAATTTCACGTGATTCAATACTCTCCGTCTATCCATTGCACTGGCACGTCTGGCATAAAGATGCCTCATCACTCGAAGAAGAACTTGCTTTGAACAAGGTAGGTGCTTTACATGGAACGGGTTTTAACCACGAGACAAGTGAACATTTGTTCGCACGGCAAAACCAGCGGATTTACCAACCATTTGTGGTTTTCATGTAGCACAATAAAGAGTTACTGGACCCTCGAGGACGGACTCCACTTCATCTTGCGGTTAGTCTGGGTTATGTGGATTGTGTAAAGTGTCTTCTTCGCGGAGGCTGCGATGCAAACGCTATTAATCAGGATGGTTGGAATGGTATGTAGTAAAAATATTGCTAGTTTTTATGTAAGAGATGTCTTTTCCCCACCTTCAAAGAATTAATCCACTTAGATAAGTAAAGCGAGATCTGAAAGATAATGTGAATATTGTATGTGGCAAATTTGATGCTGAATTTCAAGTACAGTAAATATTAATTCTGGCATGGGCTGTGATTTGAAATACTTATGTCCTCCTGTCCTAACCCGTTATCTGTAGTTTACACCTTCCACAATACATTGTATGTGTCCCTTCCTATGTTATCTGGCTATCTGTCACTACACAGGCCATGCTAAAAGACTGCTATGAAGCAGTAGGTTAGCAAGCAATGGTTAGGTTTAGCAATAAAATAGAAATAAAAAAGAGGAAAACTATTTTTGTAAGGAGGTTTTTCACGACAATGCAAAGTATGTATCATTTTGCATAGCCACTTGTTTGTCTGTTTTACAAAGTCTTCATAGTATCCTCAAGCTGATTGCTAATGTCAAAAATATTTTGAGGAACTTATTTGAGACAGTAAGTAGATATATGGGGATGCAGTCATGCCTCCATGCTGAAAATTGAGCCACAAACGTTCAGAATTGCAGGTGCATTTTTATAAGTAGAATGTGAAAAATGCTGGTTGTCAGCTTATTTTGACAACCCTTTGTGGGAAAAAAGTTTTGTTTAATGTGTAATTTTTCCTCTTCTTATACTTCAAGCATGTTAAAACAAGAACTTTATCTTTGGTGCTGTGGAAATTTCTTATTTCTTACTTAGTTTGAAGGAGTTGCATTTACACCTCAATGAAAATGAAATTTCTCATTTTTCAGGAGCTAAAATGCGAAGAAAAACAAATAACAATGAACTCTGTCATATACACTTGGTTGAACATTCTAAACCATTAGACAAGTATTGTTTTAAATGGATTTGAATGGATTTGATATTTTTTAGTGTCACATGAAGCGATTAGCACTGGAAACCCTGAAATTTTATCACTTGTACTTCAACACCGAGATTTTCAAAGAGGAAGTCAAAGGCTTGCTGGAATTCCTGAACTATTGGAAGAACTCAATTCTGTTAGTCAGATTCTTTTCTTCAAATATTTTAACCTTATCATAAATTTGGTAAAAATGCTATTGCTGTGTTTGTCCCAGACCTTTCCATGGAGAGGTCTTTGATCTAGTTGTATTTACATGTAGTGTATTTGCCAATGCATGTTCATTGTGTGATACATGATATTGAATGCTCTCAGGAATATCAATTACTTTAGTGGTAGATGCCTTGGATGAAAGATTTTCTAGAAATGTCACCTTTTGTGTCAATTACATAGCCTTCACAGCTTCAGTTGGGGTCAAAAGGTCTAGATTTAAGAGCTAACAGGGTTGTTGTTTTGTATTATTTGGCAAGACACTTAACTCTTAGTTTAACTCAACTTTCACAGTGTCTCTCTCCACACAGGAATATACTTGGGTACCAGTGAACTGTCAGGGAAGTGTGATTAAATGGATGGGGGGGAGGGAGGAGGGAGAGGGAGAGGAGAGGCTGCAGGATAGGCTCCTGCTCAATGGGCCACATTACTTGAAAACAGACCTTGATAACAGAGGAAGAATATGCAAGTAATGTCTAATTGTAGACTTATGAATTTTAGGTTTGTAGTACACAGTATTGACTAGGATCTATTTTTCTCTCCTGGACATTACAGACTCCAGATTTTTATGTGGAAATGAAATGGGAGTTCACCAGCTGGGGTAAAAACTTCTTCATTGCTGTTTTTTCATGTACAGTTATAATAAGCTATTTTGATTTAGAATGCTTATCAGTCAAAAAGCTGTGTTCTGCCGCAAAATTGCACTATACCAATACATGTAAATGCAGTGTGATTTTTAATAATTATCTGGCTGAGATACAGATTCTGTTGAGTTGCTCTGAGAGAACTAAGTTGCTTCTCAAGCAATGATTTAGTTGATAGAAGATAAGATATAGATGCCAAAGCTTCAACCTTGATATTACTTGTCATTTAAGGAACCGTTTTGCAGAAATTTTTAATTGATGGGATGAAAGTGACCCTTCTTCATTCTAGCAGTACTTTAATTGAGATACTAAGCTCCAGGAAGATATTTGGCTTGAGGACATAACCTATGCACAAAGTGCAGCAAGGTCTGTGTGTCCTGAATGAGAGCCAGATATTTTTCTGTCCAGCCTGCCCAAATGCAGCATTTTATTATATGACCACTAAGTGTTGAAAATAGCAAAATTTTATTTCAACCAAAAGAAGACACAAGAAAACTCCAAAAAGTCAATGAAAAAGATTTTTTTACATCAACACTTTTCCTTTGTTTTTTTTTTTTCGGATATCAGAACAAGAGACTCACAATTCATTGAAAAATGCAACTTGTTTTTCTTTTTTTTTTTCATGTTCTTTTTCCTTTAAGTTTTTGCCCTGTTAGTGTAGGGCCAGATAGTGTTTTCCAGACAGGCCCACCTCAACCCATCGGGGGTTTCACAGATCAACTTTCTCATTCACGTGGTATATTATGATGACAATTGTTCGCTTAATTTGTATACTAAATTTGAACATTCTGTTTTTGACAGTACCGTTTATGTCCAGAATGTGTCCCAGTGATACATATAAAATATACAAATGTGGTGAGTAAAGCTTTTGGTTTAACTATGTGCAGTGTGCTGTTGATACTGAGCATTTTGATTCAAATGTGAAACTTCATATTTACTGTGTTGGGTAAATTAGTACAACTATGCACCATATCTCAGTGGATAGTGTTGAAGGTGCACTTGAATTGACAACTCAGTGTCTCTGTATCCTTTTCTATTCACCCCAAGCAACTCATGTGGGATTTGCACCCAAAAATATGGTAATTGTAGCAGGAATAGATGAATTAAAATCAGCTTTTTGTGCTTCATTATCTCACTGTTTTATTATACATGTGTACCTATACAGCTATTCATTGGAGTGTTGGTGGCTAGCAGTGGATATTTACCTTGCAGTTTCACACTTAGTAAATGTCCACTACCAACCGCCTCCACTTTGGGGAACAGTTTTTGATTATTTGTTGTTTATTTTTTTACCTTAGTCTGTAACATTCAATATCTGATTTGTTATTCCCCTATCGTTTTTGCAATTTTCTTTCTTGTTAACTAGTTGGGAGAATTTGCAGTTACAGTACATTTATGTCAAGAATCACCTCTTGTCTCAGATGATACTCTCTTTCTTTAGCTGTTGGCTTTATTGATATTTTAAGAAAACCTTAAAGACATAGAGACAGGGGCTGTCTAGAAAACCAGTTGACCAAACATAAAAAGAAAGGTGGTGAATTTGAACTTGGCTACCAACTATAGAAGGTTGTTTTAATTTGTTTTTTTCCTTCACATTGGACAAAGAAACAATTTGAGTCCCTACAAGAAATCAAACCTCCAACCTTGTCTAATGCTCCACTGTTGACCTACACACAACTTGGTGGGGAGCTAGATTAACTACTTGGTTCATACATTTATATGACCTGCATTGTTCTGGGTCGTGGACGCACCTAATAACGCAATACACATTTACCTATCAGCCTGGTCAATTTTTTGTTTGATTGTGGTTGTAGGAGCAAATGTTCGAGCTGACACCACGTTAATTGGCTTTGACCAGAATGACTGGCAGAGGGGTAATAGGAGTTACGTTTTTAAGGGTGGAGGTAAATGATGTGATCATTTATGATAACTGATCTATGGAATGCTTTATGAATGTATATTGGGTCAGTAAATGAGTTTGGAAACCACTGTTTTTTTATAAGTCTGTCTCAACATGTTGGTTATTAGATAGAAAATTTCTCTTTGGGCATTGTCTTTGACGTATAAGATGCAGTTTTTCATTAGTTAATATGTGTTGTCCTGTGGATGTCAGTCACTCTTCCTCATGCCCTTGGATACGAAGGCTCACATACACTTACTACAAATAAATCTATTAACAAGGTCTTAAAGGGTAGTGTGGATACATTTTGCAAATATTTTAATTTAAAAGGGAGTCATTCTAATCAGTGAAAAAAAGTCTGTATATTTTGGAAGTATCATTAGGCAAAACTGATTTGTGATGACTGGATATCCTGGTAGATTTTGACTGGTTAGACTAGATCTTATATTATTCACTAATTAAACTTAATTTTTTACATGTGATATACACATTTCATGTCATGTGGGGCAACTGATGATATTGTGATTCATTAATACATTTTTAGCGGAAGGAGGAGAATTTTTAGAGATTGATCATGAAAAAAAGAGATACTTCAAAGAAACTTTGCATATTAGGTATGTTGGGCCATCTAAACATAACTCATGATAGTATTGAAGTTTATAAGTGAAGTCTTCTAATGCGAGGTAGCATTTTATATCTTGCAATCATTCTTCTAAGAATCTTGGACTAATAGTCTCCAATTACAAGCCAGATTCATTTACTGCAAGCTAATATTCTACACACTGTAACTGCCAGTGAAGCTTAAAATTGATGACTCACTTTTTGAGACTAATTAGTCCAATACGTCTCAACTACACTGTGTATTATTTATATTATTTTGTTAAATTTAGAGTACCATACTTTGTTTTGCCCATGGAAAGCTATTGCTAGTCTGAGCAGGCCAGTCATGTTCAATTAAAAGAAAATTATACATCAACATGCATCTATAGTCAGGATTATTTTGAAAACTATGGTCGTCATTGTCTTTCTTTCTTTTTGTAGGGAAGATTTTCGTGACCTGGAGGGGCTTAAACCTTCAGAAGATGTTATCAACGCCAGATTAACAACACCAGCTGTTGCTACCATGCTTAACACAGATAATATTGCATTTACAAGGTAACGTTAAATTAGAACACTTTCTTGATGGTGGGCTATGATGCAGTTATTGGTTATTCCTTGATCAGTTATACATGTTAATATAAGCTATCTTAGCCCTGCAGTTTGTATACAAGACAAGTTGTGGAATTTTCTCTTAAAAGCTGAAGGGAGAAAGCTTTGCACGCTTACAAATTAAAGAAAAATCAAAGAGACACTATGATGACTTTGTGAATATACTGGGTAGAATATAACTGTTTATTGTGTTGGTCAAGTCTAAGGTTGCAAAGTAAATTTGACAGTTATTAAACCCTACCCTCCCAAAAAATTGAATAAGTTCTTAAGACAGAATTGTCAGTCGCTTAAATTCTGATCAATAGTATATTCCACAGTGCATATCCCATGCAAAATTATCCTCACAAAGATCCTCCATAATTGATCTGCCCTGTTGAGGAATCTGTCTGCTCTCATGCTCTCCCAAGATTCCTTTAAGACTGTGTTAACACCACAAAATTTTTGCATAGAACCCCTGCTGTACTCGTTCCACCAGGAAAAATCACAGTTGCCAGTTGTTTGCAAAAGTGTTCTTGCATGAGACAGCCTGTGTTAAACTCCCCCTTAACCAATTACTGGTAATATTTGGTTTTAGGGTCATCTGTAACCCATTTTTAACAAGTAAAATTTACATTTCTGCAGGATTTAGTTTGCTTCAAAGTTAATTACTTTTAATAAGTTAACTAGAAGGAATCAGTTGAATCGACAGTTTGATAAAAGAGTCGGGAATAAATGTGATATTTCATGTGTTTTCTCTCTTCCTCTTTTTCTTGTGATGCAGATTTGGTGTCAGAATAAGTCACCCACTATACAATTATACTGAATCGCAGAATATCATTACATTGACAGTCACTGCTTTGGGCTCCAACCTCTGACCTTTCAAAGTTGCCATTTGATACTGAATAAGTCACCCACAACACAATTATACTGAATTGCAGAATATCATTTCATTGACAATGATTGCATTGGGTTTGAACCTCTGACCTTTCAAAGTTGCCATTGAGTGACCTTAAATCATAACCTTAAGATGGTTGCCAGAAATAAAATTTAATAAAAAGTGGAAAGGAAAGTAGTTAATTGTTTTTTACAAATGCTTTTAAAATTCAAATAACTTCGGACTGTAAATATTGTCACCTATGAAAAATCACTTTTTCATTAAAAAAAATCATAACCTTCGTTCATATAAAATTAACTTCTCTTTAAAATTCACAAGGCACAAGACCATGTGGGGGTGGGGTGGAGACAAGACAGAGGTAGTGAATGGATATGAGTGCAAAGTGTATACAGCAAGTGGGGTGGAGGTTCTCACCAAAACACGAGTGGAGCACTTGAATGCTGAGGATAAACAGATGGCTCAAAGTGAGTTCTTTGAGTTCTTTTAGTTTAAATGAATTGAATTTCAATGGGTGATCCTTAATCATATTCATATGTTACATTATTTTCTAATACATTTGGCCAATCAATGACCTATTTTTAACACTTGATGTTCTAATTCAGGTGGCTCAAATTGGTTCAGCCATTTTTAAGCTACAAATTATTTGAAAGATGGCTATAATTATATCTGCAACTTTTCATTCGTGTCTTTAAAGATAACATCAAAAAGCTGCCTTAATTTTAGCATAATATACCCTTGGCTCAAATGTGAATTTGAACCCCAAATTTCACAGTCATTTACAATCAGCTAATGTAGTTTCATCTTTGCATTAAATTTCAAAAATATATGTCGTGTGGGTTCAAGGCAACCTATAGTAAATGTGGATATCAATTAAGGTGGCTCTGAACCTACTTTGTAGATTGTGTAACTTTCAGAAAGATGAAAAATAGATTGATTTATAGTTTGCATTTCAGCTAATGAAAGTGGGGGTCACTGAATTAGTTTTGATTCAGGGGCACATAAAGCTGTGATCAAGAATGTTTCAAGAAGATGTAGCTTAGCAATCAAAACTTGTTGATGCAGGAAAGAGACCAATGGTTTTATTATATGGAACCATTGATTGAAGCAATGAAGATATCAAATGTGGTTGTACAAACAGATCAAACAGCATATTCTTAAAACAGGCAATTGCTTGAGTCTCCTTAAATAATTATTATACAAGAGGAAGATAAATTGCAGGCAAACTTAATTTAAATTTAAATCAATACTTAAAACTCTTTTAGTCCAAATCAATTTATATGACATCTACATCTCTGAGTTTGCTAAGTGAAAGCATTTTCTTATAGAGATAAGCTACTTAAGACCTAAGTATTGCTTTTTTGAAAAGATACAAATTTGAATCATACTATCCCTTTTTCTGTCTTTTTAACAGATACAAATGATACATTTGCTGCAAATGGTCTACAAACTCTCCTTGGTATTGAAGAAGAGAATGTATCAAATAATGTGGAGGTAAAAGATTTCTTGAGTACACTTTTATACTAATTTAAATACAAATTTGGCCTGTGTTGCGGGTCAGAAAAATAATTAAGACCATTTTATTCATTTTTGTCTGCAAATTTGTATCCCTTTACACACTTTTTGTATCCCTTTACACACTTTATAAAGTTCAAGTGAGAACATGTTTCAATGGCAAATGATTACCAACTATGTCACAGAATGTTTCTAGAATCTGGGAGATAGAATGGTAAGGCCACTGCCAAGCCAATATTTAATTGAATAAGAACGCTATTATACACATATTTACCAGGTGTTAGGATCACACTTGACAAGGACTTGTATGTGTAAATTCCCCTAAATCCCTCTTAGATATTATGATTCCTCCAAAACTAGACTCCTCCAGCCAGTATTGTCCAAGCTTAATTATGGGAAAGTTGCATTTTGACACATTTCATTCTGCTGCATACTTGTTTATTTCCCAACAGGATGACCAAGTTGGTTCAGACTTAGATTGTACCTCTTCTAACCCTTACAAAATGAGTTTAGAGGAGTACTTTAATCCTAATCCAGAATCAAATACAAGGGGTAAGACTTTAAATCATTTTAAAACATGTGTACTGATCAGTGTTTGTGAGCAGATCAATCATCATGACCCTAGATCAGAATATGATGATATTGCTTTAGTGCAGGCAGACTTTCTCAGGACCTCCAAGGAGTTATTTTTTCTGCCACATTGATTTAATTTATCGAGAGAAAAAGATGATGAAATTTTTGCCTCTATGTTTTGGAGGCCAATTGCCCCCCATCTCAGAAACTCTTATGGAACAAGCTACCTTGAAGTTCTGATAAAAAAGGTCAACCAAAAATTGGAATTATTACCATTTAGTTTTCTTTTGGGAGTCATCTGTTGAGCAGTGTTGTTAGAGTAAACTTCTCTGGATAGTTGTTACATTCTTAACCCTTAGGTTTAACTGTTACACCACCATTTAACCTAGCCCTGTGTCAACTGTAATTACCTTCTAGATTACTAACTGCAACCATACACAGGAGAAGGTAAAGAATCCGATCCTACCAATGCATCAACCAACATTGGTGGTGTGTTGGCCAATGTGTTGGTAGTCTGTTGGTGATTTGTCGGTAGTGTGTTGGCTGACGTGTTAGCTGACACATTGATGGGATTGGATTCTTTACCGTTACGCACAAATAGCTTTTTTCTTCTTAGCCAACATTTCAATTATATGGTCCATGATTCAATTTGTTACCTGGGGGCACCAACCCTTTTGGATGTACCTTCAAATGCTTTCTAAGTTTAACCAAAATTGGTTGCTGTTCTCCAGTCTTCACTGCAATAGTCCATTTAGTGTGCTTGGTTGCCAAGCCTTGGAACAGAAGTGACACTAAGGGTGACCTTGTTATGATATATACATTGCTGGTTTTCCAATGTAAATTGCTCTGTTATTGTGCTAACTAGATACTGGTCTCTGTCACAACAAGGTCACCTTTAAACTCAATCTAAATTAAAGGCTTGGCAGCTAAGTACACCACTTTAAAATGGCCTATTTCATTATTAGTATCTGGAACCTCACTAAATTCCAACAAATTTCTTCTACCCAATGAGGTGCAAAAAGTCTGCATTTCTTTGTGTAGACTTAATATGTATCTTTTTACACCACCAGATATTGGAAAATTGAAAGAAATGACAGTGAAGAAGCAGAAATTTAAAGCTACAATTTCAATGTGTGACAAGCACCCGTTGTCTCTTCGCGAACAAGTGCTTCCAATTGTCAAATTACTGGTGAGTACATGGACCCCCTCCTTGATGTATCAGTATATATAAAAAAGAGTGACCTCTAAACTTTAAAGCTTCCCAGTCCTGAAATCTCTTTTATTAACTTAAAGTTTTATATTACTGTCATTTTACAACATGCAATGTTTTGCAAACTTAGTTTGGTGTACAACATCCCTCTCCCTAAGAGTAGGTTTGAATAGTAAAAGAAACAAATAATGGAGATACAATATTATGAAAACAGAAATTCAGACCCTAATGTACATCTACAAACCTTATTGGTGATATTTTGTGGTGTAAAAAAGTGAGGAAATGATATGGCTTGAACTTGTACTTGAAATTAATAAATTAACTGGTTAGATGTGCAAGGTACAAAATATGCTTAATGAAACTCATTAAAGTTATACACGTAGGAGTCTGACAAGTGAACAAATTATATGGGAAGGAAATTTGGGGAATTAAACCATTTGATAAATGGTTATTACTGTAAAACCTGTAGCCAATACTTTCCCTGTATGATCCTTATACTTGGTCGATGAGGTAAATTTATTGCTTACTATGATTATTGTGGACTAATACATCTTGATGCAGGCTATCAGCAACACTCATTTTGCTAAGCTTAGGGACTTCATTGCACTTCATCTACCAGCAGGATTCCCGGTCAAAATAGGTAATGTGTGCTTTGCTACATACATTTTTAACTTATGAGTAGCTGGAATTTTACTCCTGGTAAATGAAAGCCTCCATGTGGTAAGACTTTGAGATGGTGCTGGTTTTTAATTTTCCTTTTTTAACAATCAGTAATTACAACAATCAGTAATTGTCAACCACCAAGAGTTGGGAGTCAATCAATTGATGTTACTGACAGAGACAGTAAAGTTTTGGTTCTTTCAGAAATTCCTTTGTTCCATGTCCTAAATGCCAAAATAACGTTTGGTAATATTGGGGGAGGAGAATGTTCAGTGGAAGGAGTGCATGCAATCAGAGCTGATATACAGGAAACTGGAGAGGATAGTCACACCTCTACTGAGGGGGAGGAACAGCCCCTTGTAGATGGGCTGGCTGCAAGGTGTGTCATAGAATCAACTTGTTTTGATGCTCCAGCAGACTACCGAGAGGTTAATCTGGATCAACCAGTTGGTGAGTAACCTTTTTGCTGGAAGAATGCAAAACATGCATTTTGCAGGTCTTAAAACTGAAAGCTGGTCAATGGATAATGTCAGGGAAAAAATTCAGTTGATGTGCATACTTTCATACATCTGTACAGAGGAGGAACCAAATTAACTGTTGTAATATTTCGACAGCTGTGAATACATGAAAGTCATATGTTTGAATTGCAGGTAAAGAAGTATGAAAGTGATCTTCACAGTTATGAACACTACTTAAGCATTAGTGAAAAGAAGGCCTGGGAAAAAAAAAAATTCAGGCCTGTACGGGATTTGAACCCATGACCTTTGTGATACCTGTGCAGTGCTTTACCAACTGAGCAAACAAGCCAACAACTGATTGCTCTTCTTACTTAAACTTCTTCAAGGTCCATGGCTAGGAACCATCAGCTGGCCTCTAGCCATTAATGGAATATATCTTAACTTTGACTTTTCAGAAGACCTAATCCACTTAAAATTTTGTTTGGCCATTTAAACATGACCACTAACATTCAGTTTATTCCATAGCTTCCTTTTGTCTCCTTTGTGTAATCACGTAGCTATTTATACATTGCGTTGGCCCACTTACTCTTAAGCTTTCACAAACACATCAACCAAGAGCTACATTTCTTTTTGCAAACATCAAGGATCTATTCCATTGGTATCTGGTCAAAACCATGTGTTCTTCACATCAACTGAGTTGATAATGTAAATTGGCCACTGTAAAGAGTCTCAAAGCTAACATTTCAAGTGTTAGGCATTCATCAGAGTGAATGACAAAGGGCTAACACTCAAAATGTCAGCTTTAAAACTCTACAGTGGCTAATTTATGTTATCAACTTAGTTGATAATACTAAATTACCTAGGTATACTCTCTCACTGATGCAGCACCACTGTTATTCTTTAGAAACTCGCACCCTTTTTTCTTCACATCAGATTGGCAACCATAATGCCAAGAACAATGTAGCTCTAGAAATTAGTTTTTCAACTTCATTTTACCCATGCAGACAGCTTAAATTCACAAATTATGACACTAGAGAAAAGAAGGAAGGATCACAAGTCCCTGGCTAACCTTCCCGCAACAATTGTCATGACATAATGAAATTTAAAATAAAGTGTTTAAAAGGGCCTGACAAAAGAGTCATCTTCCATAATAAAGTTAAAATCTAATCTTCCTCAAAAATGGGAATTGAAAATAAAATGTTTAAGAACACTGGAAGCTTGAGCATGTATTGTTTTATCATTGTAATGACTAAAAAACTGACAAAACTGTTTCTCTCTCTATGGTCTATTAGCTCCTCTTAGAGATGAAGAAGACGAGATGCTACAACTAGTAATACAACAGAGCTTACTTGAATATCAACAAGATCCTGCACAGATTGTGACTCTTCAGACTTTACAAGGCAGCCAGCAACAAGAAGATGATGACTTGCAACGGTATTAAATGCATCTTACACTGTCTAAAAAAATTCTTGTTCACTATTCCACAAAACCTATTAGTAAAGCCTCTCATCTTCCTCTGGGTTCTGCTGTATTGAGTACATTTATATTCTTGAGGTGCCTGGAAGATACAGTAATTTACTTAACTAGAATGATAATTTAAGCATTAGCAATTATTGTGTGGACTGTTTTGTTCTATCCTTGAGAATGATGGTATTAATACTCAGATACTAAGTCTTCCCGATGCAAGTGTGGACTGTTTTGTTCTATCCTTGAGAATGATGGTATTAATACTCAGATACTAAGTCTTCCTGATGCAGGTATTAGTAACACCTTGGAACCCTCAGTTAATTTTCCTCCTAAGCTTGTGAATGCATAGTGTGATTTATAATTTGGATATTAAGCAATATTTTTCAAATAGTGCAATAAGAGAAAGTATGAGAGAAAGTGGTGTTGAAGAGGGAGAAACCCCACAAGTTCTTCCTGTTCAAAGACAAGAAGGAGATGGAGTCATTGCCTATGATGAAGACTTGCAGCTGGCTATGGCACTTTCTGAACAGCAGCTGGAGGAAGATGAACGACTTCGAAAACAGGAAGAAGAAGAGCTGGCTCAAGTCATTCAGCTATCTCTTGCAGAAAATTAACTTGTATAGCTTTCAGATCAGGCTATAAAAACTGTAAAACTGTATTTGCATTTAATTCTTCAAACTAAAGTGAAGTAGTCGGTATATTTAGTAACTTCTTAAAGTGAAGTTGAAGCTCTGAGATTTTTTGGGAAGTTATTGACTATTTATTGTTTATTTTTGAAATGGATTACAACAGCAAAAAAGAAAGAAGGCATTGAAAATGAGTTATAAAATTAGGAAACTACAAAAATTTTGAGTATCATTAGGTAGTTCTCTAGGCATTACATTTTTTTTTGATAGCAAGATCGTGCCACATGTGACTTAACAGTCTTGTGAACAGTGACTTCATGTATGAAAAATGGTATTATTTTCAATCTGCTGCATTCATTTTACGTGAAATAACTAATTACTTTGTGTCAAATGACACTTCTTATTCTGTTAGAATCCACACTGTCTGTATGCTTTTAGAGTTGGAGACTAACTTAAGTTGTATTGACAAGTGCTAGTGTCACCTTAAGGGTCAAACACTGTTTGGTGTCTGCAGTAATATTACTCAAGAGACTTCCTATAAGAAGAACATTATCATTAAAAAGAACTTTTCAAATTTTCATTTTTTTCAAATTTGTTTTGGTTAAGTCAACATAAGTTGGAGAACATTTCCTTTTTTGGATTGAATTCATAGTTACTTATACCTAGTATTCTCTATGTAAATTATTCCCCCTAACTATTAATTGTATTTAGTTCTCTTGGAGACTGTACAAATTTAGAGTGAAACAAGAGGAAACATTTATATTAATATCAATAACATTTTATTTATCAGACCAGAAGATATTAACATTTTTGTTTTATCATTGTGTCTGTGCTTCAAAAGTCACCAAAGAGGTGCAGTCATGTTTCTAGTCATGTTGTCCTTTTATGTAGGACTGTTTTTAGGTTTGTTGTTTCAATGTCACATTGGATGGTTGGATAATTCCACTTTTTGTTACCAGTCAATTGTGCAATAATTCATTTTTTAACCATGAAAGTAAATGGAAAGTTTTATTAGGTGGTCTGGTGCTAAATAAATAACATTCTTAACCCATGAACAAGTTGTTTCTTTTGTCATAACTATGATTGATGACAGGACCTTTTTCAAAAAATTGCTAAGTTAAAGTGCAAACACATGAAATATTAGTTTTTAAGATTGGATACAAAAAGGGATGTATTTCCTTCAACTTTAACTTTATGAAAATAGTTATATTCCAATGAACCTTGTTAAATTGTCTTTACTTATGACTGTAAACTGCATTTGTGTACTATATTTCATGATTTGAGGATACACATTTGTGTGTTGAGTTTGGTGTGTGTTTCAATGATGTGAGAATTGAATGAGGTGACATCCTGTGGAGCCTTTTTCTTCTGAAAACATGTTAAACACATCAAGTCAATAACATTTTATTTCCTGGGATGCCTGTGGCAGATCATGTTGAAAACTCACTTGAGTGACATTGTTGTCAGATATATTAGCCACGTACTTGTGCTTCTCACTGAGCTTAAGCTCTGTTTGGTGGGGTTGCTACCTGGATGAGTGACTGCACATAATATCCTGTGTTGTTGACTTTCTTTTGTTTCATATCCTTTTTTCAATTTCATTCCTCTACTTTGAAGAGTCAGTAGATAATGACCAATGTATTCCATGTTAACACCTCAAGTTGCCATGTTGAAAAGTTGTGGCACATTTGTCTCAAGAATCTTCCATGCAATTTTTCAGTTAAGTGACCACCTTAAAATTGTTGCTTTGTTATTTGAAGTGCTGGGATAGTTGTTAAGAAATGAATATGTCAAATAAGTGATTAATTCACACTTTATTTTACAAGTTAAGTACAATGTAATATTAATATAATTAAGGAATTGAAACCCGTTATCAAGCACAGCAGAGAACCAGAAAGGATAAAAAAAATCCATATTTAGAAATCAACAAATTGCAAATTTGTATATTCTAACATTTCTAGACTTCAAAATGTAATGGTTTCTTTTCAATTAATCTCAAATGAACATGATATACAACTGTGAACACTGACAGTATTTTTACAGTTGTGCAAATTGTGTTATTTCCTGACCTTACAGCTAACCTCTTTCCTTTTCCTGGCAAGTGTTCTAATTCTTAATTAATGCCTACAAATATCACTATACAATAACTAACTGCTACTTGATGTAACAAACTATTTCTCAATTTTAAAATGTTCTTTTGAACAACCTTAAATCCATTAAGGATATTTGAAATATTGATTGACTTTGCATTATCAATGTTTGGTACAGTGAACCATAGGCCCTTTGATGTTCCACTGTTGGAGGAGACATCTCTACAGCAAGAAAAACAAATATTGTTTAACATGTATTTAAGTACTACAGACACTGCAACTGGAGATATGGACTTTTCTTGAGGGTTCCTGGAGATATGGACTTCTCTTAAGGGTTCCCTATACCCCTTTGTTAAACTTAGTCCAGGGAAATATTTGGCCTTTTCAAGCATTGCGCACAACATCCAAAATTTTTTTCACATGGACGCAAAATTTGAAACAATCAGGTTTCACCTAAAATAAAACACAAACTTACAACTTAAAATTTTCTCATTTTAAACTCAGTTTATGATGATAACTTATTCTATTTACACAAAACCCATTATTGGTCTGTGTTATGACTTTCTTTGATCTGTATGAAGTCCACATTTTGTCATTACTTAACCAGAGCTATTGGAGAACAATGCAAATGTTTTCTAAAAACAATGTTTCCGAAATAAATTTATTTCAGCCCTTCATTTACAGGACTCTTAAAAAAAAATTACCCATGAGGACATGAAAAGATCTTATCATCTTTAATCACAATTCCGCTCAAAAAAATTGAAATCATGTTTCACAAGAAAAGAAATTGCCAATCACACTTTGCTTAAAAGTATAGGGATCCTCTTTTTCTGTTTTATATTGTGCAACTTCAAGAGAACACTTCTCCCAAATGTCTCGATTGAAGCAGTTAGAACTCTTACTTACTGTTAGACAAAAAATTGGTTGTTGGAAGAAATCAAAGTTTTCATTTTTCATACCTCAAACTTGTGGTATGGTGTCAGACTTGCCAGTTTCAATCAATTAGGTGTACCTCAAAGAGTTCTAGAAGTATTCATTCTCAAGTATATGTTAAGTTAACTATTTACAAAGTGTAAAAACATGACTATCTTCATTCACTGACCTATTTAGCCTTAGGCTGTAAACAAAATCATATATAAACCTAGTATGTACATAAACTAAACAATTATGTCTACTTGTGATCATGGGTGTTTAACCTTTACAGATACCTAAATATCCCTAAAATTGTTTGCCATGACCATTGCCAGTAATCATAGGATAAGCCTTCTAATGCTGTACACCATGCATTATATTTTATCCAAATCTGTCTTCATACAGCATCGTCTGCGTAAAAAAAATAACACAAATCATTACAGAGTTGTTACTGGAAAGTCAAATGGAAAGAACCAAATTCATGTGACTGTCTAAGGGAATATTCAACAACAGAGATTTATCTTAATTTCCTCCCTTACTAATAATTTTGCACTTGATATACATGTTCTGTATCAAAAACTTGAAACAAATGATGAAACTGCTCATGAACCTAAATACTATTCATAAAGCAGTACTAGAGCTACAAATGTTTGACACTGATCGAGACACCATTGATATTCTTCATAACTATGATAGAAAATTGTGTTTCTATTGTGTATATTTTGTGACCTAAATACATGTTGTTGTTTAATGTTTGTTGAATAGACTACGAACCTTCATGTCCCTTCCCCATGCAGCAAGGTTGCTTAACCCTCTTCAGGAATTTTTTCTCTTAGCATACATGATCATTCCAAAAACCAAAGCACAAAATGCCACAACACTCATCACATACAATCCAATCTTGTACGGCAGAATATCCTCTATTAAAAACAAAGTTAAAATAATTATTAAACCAATTGTACCTGGGTTTTTGTCAGCAGAGGTTCACAAGTTAATAATGGTCATAGTACTTTGTGTGTTCCAATTCAATTGGTAATCATACAAGTTATTAACAAAATTGGACAACTGCAAAGCGGGAGTCTGATTTGTTAATCACAAGTATGATTACAGACAGAATTGGATGACACAAAGTCCATTACCAATAAATCAAAACTATGGCAAATTTTGAAAAAGAAACTAGACATCAGTTTTTTGTTTTTTTCATAAACAAACAAACAACAGTTAACTCAGCAAAATGAGTCAAAAGCGCACACATGATGCATTCTGTCAACTTACACAGGCATGATGTGTTAACTGTCCTTTAACTGTCCTATTACACTGTCCAATAACAAGCAGGATGTGTACACTGCCTGTAAGTGCTCAAATCGGGCTTGTGTTAGCCAATCATACTCAAGAATTTTGTTATCATCTTGATTGAGGGAAAAACTTCATTTATTCCTACTTTCATTATCTTATACAGTCATTACCTACCTGTATCAGGTTTCCCCCCAGATGGCAACGGTCCAGATTTGCAGATACATTGATCTCCATCTGGAACCTGGCCATTATCCAAATCACAGTCAAGGTTGCATTCACAATCACAACTTGTGTGATTTAGAACCTTAATGATCTTATCTTTTCCATTGGAGGGATCATGCACTTTAATGTCAATTTCTCTTGTGGTTGATGGTATGCAGGGTTTACGCACTGGGTTGATGTCATCACAAGTTCCTGAGCAGCGGTACAGCAACACATGGTATGGTTTGTAACCTTCAGTCTGGTCACCCAACACTACTGGTCTTGGTTTACATGATTGCTCTGGGAGTTGTATTGCAGAGACCTGAACTAAAGTGATTGAATTAAAATATTATAAGTAACAATTAGTATATTAACTCTTAAACATGGCCAATATATATATTTGAGAATGATACTCAAGGAAAGAAGAGTGTATGAACAAATGTAAACAAGAGAATAACATAAATAAAGGGTGCTAGTTATAAGAATATTTTAATTCAAACAATAGTACAGGATGGCAGGTAATTTAGTGTTAACAACTGGGTTGAAAACGTAAATTAGCCATCGTAAAGGGTAAAAAAGCTGACGTTTCGAGCATTAGCCCTTCGTCAATCGCTCTGACGAAGGGCTAACGCTTGAAACGTCAGCTTTTTTACCCTTTACGGTGGCTAATTTACGTTTTCAACCCAGTTGTTAACACTAAATTACCTGCTATACTCTCCCACCGACGCAGCACCACAGTTTCTTTAGAAACTTACCCCTTTATTAATAGTACAGGATGGTCAATTAAAAATTGCGATAGAGTCCAGGCATCATAAAATTAATTATCACAAAGCTACTATCTAGAGTTGTTTGTTTGTTTGTCATGACTGGTGATATTTTTCCAATTTTGGTGCCCTTTAAAATTAATATCACAAAGAATTTTGGTAACCTAACTTAGGTTGGGCAAGCACGCTCAGGTTAGTATGCTCTACAACAGCAGCATGATGGGAATTAGAGGAAGAAATCACCACAATATTTAACAAGTACATACATTGCAAAGAAAGAAACTATTTTGGGAGTAACACCTCAGTTACATGTGTCGTGAGGCTAACACAATAGACGCTATTCTCATTCAATGACATGTAAATGAGTGGCAGGGTATTCTGCAATTTAACCATATTTGGGAGTAACTGTGTCTTGAGGAGTCGAGGACTTTGGTGAACTTTTAACATATAAAAAGTTACTACTGAACGGAAGAGGGCACGCCAGCCGTATGTAAATTAACTTTGGTGGTTGCAAGGGAGGAACAAATATTACTTGCTACAAAAATTAATTTCGAAGCGGTGGCCAACATGATTGTTTACATAGTGAAGCCGATCTGACTTAAAGAGTACTCTTAGATCTTTCGAGAGTAGAAATTTTGATACCTTTTGGTCTTGATATGTAAGGAGGATGCAATGCCCAAAGCATTTGTTTGAAATGGCTGGGATATCTTTCAATGAAGGTGTTTTAAGAACCACAAAACAAACGCCAGAGCAACTGTTTTGTACATAAATAAATTTCAACTAAAGGTGGCAAATTCCGCGCATTTTGCGACTTGCATTGTTAGTGTAAATCAAAAGTGATTTCGTAAGCACAATCTCTCAGTTTGTGAAAATTAGTGCGAGTCGGCCCACGTTATCGGTACAATTTCGTTGCCACATTTAAGATCACGAAACACTGTAATAAATCTCAGTGATCGCGTTTACATCGCACATTTGCGCGGTATTTCCTACACTCCAGCGTCCTTCAAAAATGATCAAGGCCGGCCGCAGGAAACTTGGCCTGCTCTACTCAGAGGCGCAAGGAAGAGACAAATAATTATTCCCTGTGAAAGATCTATCTACAAAATAATACAACTAAAAGTTCTTCAGAAATGCTATTGATTTCGATCAATCAATCAATCTCAAACACTTTCAAGCGTAATGTTAGATGTTACAAGCTTCTCAAAACACGAAAGGTTTCCTCCTGAGAGAATCGTACGATCGAGAAACAAAAATTCCTGAGTGGAATAGCTTTCACTTGCACTTTCACTAAGAGAAACCCTTGTCAATTTCACGATACAATTTATCGGACGGAAACAGGCTTGACTGAATAGCCAACCAAACTCGAGAAAATTGCAACAGCTCTTGTTGTCAAAGAAGTATCAACTTAACAGATTTTTTAAAACCAATATATTTTGTTGAAAGTTTTGTTAGATTTCTATACGAAATTTGAAGAAATCGTTACTCCACCGAGAACAGTTCGTCGCTACACGTGGAAGTTGTAGTAATTTTCGTAGTAAATTTTTTAACGTGTTTACTCACCTGAAGTTAAGGTTAGCTTGGCTACTACGAAGACATACAACCAAGATTTTTGGGACAACGTTAGACAATTATTGCACATGGATGAATCCATTATATTTCTTGCCTCTGTGTAATAAACAAATGACGTTAATAAATTCTTTGGTACAGCAACCGCTAAAGAAGGTAAGCAATGAATGAAATCAAAATCGTATCACAGGAACTAATATGTTGACTGAATGCCCAACCTACTCTGTCGCCGAGGACCAATCAGTGGACTTGTCATGAAGTGTACAGGAAATGAAGATAACATCTCATGCTGACTAGTTGAAATACGGCTGGCAATTTCATTTTCACCAGGTTGACTGTTACACTCATTTCATAACTAGAGAAATTCAGTGGTCATTTTTCGCCAAATTTTCGTTGAAAAGAGGTTGTAAATATTCAGGTTTCTCACGTTCCTCCACAGATTCAATAACTTGATTCTCAGAAATTCATCTGTGACCTTTCTGCGCTAATGCCATCTAAACAATATGTTAATGTACGTGAAAAACCCAACCCAGATTCCTTTCATCTTCCTGTTTACCTTTTCCGATTTAAACACATACCTTAAGAACCCCGGGTGTAAAGAAATATCTGTTATCGTAGGGAGACTTTTAATTTACTCCAGCTAATAATGCCTTTTTTGTCGAAGTCATCACTTCCATGTTTACCAAGCAGAATTGAACGAAGACATGTGGCATTCTCTACCCTTCATCTGCAAGACTTACGCGATGATGCACTTAGCAAATATCACTAAAATGTAACACGCGGGGTTAAAAAAAAAAATGAATTGCGCTTGAAGGCTGATTTTGTAAGAGCTCTGAAATAGCCTGACTGAGAAGCCAGCTGAAAGCTGGAGCTGAAAGCCACAGGAAAGAATTTTTCACTTTTAGGAATAAACGAAGTAAAAAAAGCTCTAACATAAAGAGTAAGTCGTGAGGGAACTTGACTTCCTGTAGTTCACTTTGTTCTTAGAATTCAATCTTCCGTTAGCATGCTATGTGCTTTTTTACCTCCACGTTTCCGGTTGCTTCTGTTTCAGTTGCATCTCGAAAGATTACCACTACCGAGATCTGTATCATTTTAGGCGAAGGCCCGTTTCATCGCATTTGAACTTGTTGAGTTACTGGATGGTATCTCATATAATTTCACTTGACTGAAAATTCCTTAATTGGTCATTTTATTTCGCGGTTTAAGGGTTTTTAATTAATAACCACCGAACAGTGCCTGTTGCGACATGACGTCACGTTAGTGATGTAAATGAGAACGATTATGCAAAAGTACTACGGATGTTTTCTGGTAAAAATACAACCACAATATCATATCTTCAAGAGCATAAGTACATCATAACTTCAAGTACAAAAGTTATTGAGTTTTTTATTAGCCTTAGTATTGATCTATGATCGCGCAAGAATGACTAAGCCAGTTTTAAAATCGTTGCGTGGCTGGTTTTAGATTAATGAGAATGGCGTAGTCATTCTCTTCCGATCGTCTTATCAATTCTTGCATGACATCGATAATATACTTATGCATGCATCTGATGAACTCGCTTGATTCCGTAATCTCATTGATGATTAGTATCAAGATGTCACTTAATAAAGCGTCGTCGGAGGGACAGCAAAATTTCACAACTGAGCACGTGTGAACTGGGTCAGTGATATAATGGAAAATGGAATTGCGTAGTCCTTCAGATATCCGCATACAAAGTATTTCCAGCTATTGGAGTTATCAATTTTTTTTTCGAAAAGTCACCTCTAAAGCGTTATCGAGGACGAGGTTATACAACTTGCTAACAAGGCTGATAATCATTAAAGGTTTGACTTGGAATGCCACACAATTAACGCTAAAATTATCGCTTAGCAAGTGTTACCTAATTTACATGTTCAATTTCTGACCTCAATAAAAATAATGTTCTTACCTTAGCTAACTTGAAAGATCTTTTCTAGGTTTTCTCTTTTTGGTCAAATTCTGATTTGTTGTGAAGCCTTGCCCAGGAGATTTCCTTGCTAGTTTAGTGTTTTTGGTTCTTGTATACGAGTTTAAAATCGGTGTCGGTTTGATCGTTTATGTAACAACCATATTTCGCGGATCGTTAACTTATATCAATCAATTTACAGAGACGGAATTTCATGAATATCCGTTTTCTCGTTACGCCTTCATATTTGTCATAAATTTGGAAAAAATGTTGACAAGGAGTGGCATTAAGCAAAACCCTAATAACTAACAGTGGCTTATCAAGGCGGCATTCAGTGGATGAAATACAAAACTCCGTGACGAAATATGTGAGCGAAATGGGAAGCTTGGGAGGTTCTAAGGCGTTACAGGGTCAGTCTTAAGTTTGTATTTGATTTACTGAAGTTTCAGGTTCTGTTTCGCCTTCTCATTTATTCTGTTCGGGAGGAATCAATTTTTCTTTTCGCTTGTTTATTCTCTTTTTCTTTTTGTTCTCTTTCATTGTTCTAGATCATTGTCGGGCGGCCGGAAAAAAACACGCGAGTTCCTAAAACAGAACCCCCGCATGGTTTTCACGCGTAGGTTTATTATCCTGTTTTCAATTAGCTTATAATAGGCTTCTTGTGTTAAGCTGTTATCGCTAATTTATTTTTGACTTCCTTGTTGACAGGATTCCCTTGAAATACGGCCGCCCTACAAAACATTCACGAGGAAAGATTTCTTGAAATTTCAAAAGCAGTTGGACGCGTGTGTAGCCCGTGTAGCCTCTTTAAATGGGAAATTCCTGATTTTTCACGAAGGGAAAGTCTCTCTCTAAAAAAAAAAAAGAGAATTGTTCCATCACCTGAAATTTATTTTTAGATTTAAGAAAAGCAAAGGAGATAATCCTTTAATATATACTAGCAAATACGTGTGTGATCATTTTAATCTTTCGTGATCCCTCTTATCGACATGTTTTGGTTGTTTCCGGTTTCTAACCACTGATCACAAGGTCATATCGATCCGCCTCATGAAGCAAGTACGCTTATCAGTTAAAGGTAATCAGGGATGGTACACATGGCAACGTCTCCTGAGATGGGAGATTCTCTTGCTGGGAGGTAAATAGCAATGATGGCACTTTCGTATTTTTATAACCGTTATCTTTATTACTTGTGGCCACGGGAAATGTTCATAATTGGAAAAACAGTGGAAAAAGATTTATTCACTTGTAATCGCTGTTCTCAACTGGCTATAAAATTTATAATGTACCATTATGACACCAAATAGATATGTTAAAAGGGAAAATAAATGGGATAGCGCCTGATTTCCTTCCCGGTTCTTATCCAGTCTCCATCCGATCTCCGTTAAAGCCAGCCTTTTATTTGTAATTATGTTGAATGAACTACAACGCCCGCTTTAGCCCTAAACCTCTAAGAATCCAGTCATAAATGTTTTTCTCGGTAAAATTCAGTGAAGAACACTTTTCTGTTCTTCTCTTCTATTTTACTGTACCGTGATGAACACGAAATACTAACCCCGCCCTCACCCCCTTAGAGATCAGATATTCAGTGTAACTGGTGACTTACATCAGTTTCTTTTTCTTTTTTCTTAAACAAGGACAGTTAAACAAGTTTTTCAAACGATAACTGCAATTGAAAGCAGCCGAAAAGGGATGATATTAAAAGTGAAAGATTCCTTCCAGGCTTAAAAAGCTGCTATGCGTATCCGGTCAACTGAATGCGTTAGGGATAGTCAATGGTGCAGATGTGTTGACGTTGAAAGAAATTCTCTAGAAATATCTTTTAATCAGTGGAGGATACTAAGAATAAATAACTAAAGATAGATGAATGAAATAAAATACTTTTCTTTACTTCTTAAAATCTTCTCAACTGAAATAAATATTATTTACTATTAATAATCAAAGTTCAGTAGTCTGCAGCTTCTTGTCTTCTTTTCCATATATTATTACTTGCTGATACAAATACATGAAAAAATAAATAAATAAATAAATAAATTATTAATAGGTATATAGATAGGAAAATATTTAATACAGCTTTAAAGGAGGTCAAACATCTCGAGGGATATATTTTCTACACTTCATCTCACATGTAAGCAATACGTATATTTAGACATTTATCTCGGAGCCATCGAAAATACTACCGACTGATTGAAATGTTTGATAAAATTGATCTCTGGCTTAAAATATCATTCCATGCTTATCCTTGCTTATCTTAAGCAAAGAGATGGACTTCGTCGCAAGATGTTTAAAGATTTCCCGGCATCCAATTTACACGACAGCTTGGCTCTTTGTGATAGAGGCCTCTACATTGTGGTGTCCTGTTTCTGTGGGTAGATTTGTTTCCGTCTCACTGCTTGATACGCTGAGAATGTCTTCTCTTGACTCCTTGATGTCCAAATGACCGCCTAATAGAAAGAACGACCGACACGGTTATTAACGGGCCGCACGGGTAGACTAGAAGAAAACTCACATTTGGTGATAAAGGATATTATGTCCAGTTCGAAATCGGATTAATTTGCACCGGCTTTATTTGGTTGGAGTAGGAATATATAGCCGAAAAAGGTGTGGCTTACAAGGTATTACAACGAGTCATATAGCAAACAAAGTTAAAAAAAAATCTACTCGAAAAGGGTTTGTGTAATTTGTATAATTAACTCATTCATTCTCAATTCCAAACCTTCGGTATTAAAGCATCATATAGTTTCCATTTTCAGTAATGGTCGGAGATTCTAACTTTGGTCTTTGAATTCCGTACAGTTTATGTATCTTTACATTTTTATCCACCGTTCTAAAAACTCAGAAAAAATTAAACAGAGTCGATAAAATTTACCTTTTGTTGAGCAGCTCCGTGTGATGCGATATATTAAACCAGCTTTCTTACGATAAAGGACCGCTTCAAAAACCATATACAACAAGACAAACTGTCCTATGAATAATATCACGTAAAACTCTTGGCGAAGTCCACCTGAAATGACAAATTGTTATATAACAAAGTTATTCAACCTTAATTACTTACAAGGATTAGTCCTTTAAATTCAACCTTTTTAACTCAGGAATATGCGGGGAAGGGGCAAGGGGGTAGGGGTAGGGGGTGCGGGTTTGAGGGATGAGGGGAAGAGGGGTATTACTTGCAAGGGTTTGAGATAAATGAAGAATTTTGCCAGAAACATTCGAGTAAGTTTTCTGAACCTTTTTGTCAGATTTTTATGCACTCTCTCTTAAAGAAGGCACTACTTTAACAAATTTACTTACCTTTTGAGTGAGGTTTGGGAGATGACTGTTTTCCTACTGCTGGAGGCATCACTTTAGTAGTGCACTTACAAGTCTCTTCATCCACTCGCTTTTGTTTCCTGGCACAGTTTTTGTACCTTCTATCTTTGCAAACACATCCACAAGCTTCTTTATTCCATACCTGAAAAAGGAAAAATTAAATGGAATTTTAAGCTCATCATGAATTTGTACACCCGTACAAACGAAGTTTTTACTTCGCGGCTTTACGTACTGTCTTACCTATGCGTCTCTGTAAAATATGTGTCAAATATTTCACAAGTATCAAATTTCCGAATTTCTTCCAACTCAACAGAAATTCTCTATGATATTACCTTATTCGGACCACAGGATTGAGGCTGCTTATTGCACACACATCGACACTGAGCTCTACTCCAAGTCATTCCTGCCCCACATGGAACCGATGGTCTGTCTCTGTTTCTGCACTGGCACTGACATAGGTCTGGTTTCCATTCCTCTAATTCCAAGTCACAATCTTTCGGGCCGTGGACGCATTCACATCCACAACGCGTGTGATTTTTCACTTGTGTAGTCCGCATTTCATCGGTACCCACCACTTGCACAGTGACAGACACTTCATCGTACTCAAGTGGAATGCATGATTTTACCGAAGGCTGAATATGGTCACATGATCCGCCGCATTGATGAAGCTTCACAAAGTAGGGGAAAAATTTGAATTCTGGATCGTCTATAGGCACTAAAGTCGGTCGTGGTCTGCAGAGTTCGTTGCCTAAGCGAACTAGGAGTAAACAAAAAGCTAATTTCAATACCTTGATACATAATAGTTAATTATTGCCTTGGAAACTAACATTAACTTTCTTTTATAGTTCCATCCTCAAACAGTCAAATTCTGCCGATGTCTTCTCTACCTCATGTCAACCCTTACTTTTAATAGACGCGATTTTCACCTTTAGGGCACCATTCTTCACCTAAAGATTACAATCTCTTGTCTTCACCTTATAACAAATCTTTCCTTCTTCACCCTTAGGCTCTTAGATCCTTTGATTATTTAGTAATTGGAAAAATTCTATATTATAGAAGTCTACCAAGAGTATATCATTTTATATTCTCTTGAGTCTACTTAAATTGTGTGGTGAAAAGGTCAGTCGCGTTCATAAAGTTATATTAAATTTGGTTTAGGAAGTGGCTACTTTCTTGAAACAGTGGAAATCATTGGAAAGCTGCCCTCATTGTAGATGGCGGAGCTAGTGGACTAAAGAGTCGAGAACAAGATTTTCACATAAATACCTGCATGTCCCAGTAGTGGAAGGAGAAGGATTATACCGATTGATTCTTGCATGTTTTGTCGTTGTTTCCTTGTCTGATTAATGCAATCTCTGCAAAGAGGTGTCAGAAGTAAGGTAAGAGAATCATATGCGTTCAAAATTGCAATGGACATTTTGTACAATCTTTACGAACGAAAAACAGAGCCCCCCAGGTCTATTTGGGTTACACGAACTACAAATTCTTCTGTAATTAAGATAATAAATCTTAACTACAACACATTACTCACCATAAATTTGGGTTTCTACAGGTAGATTTTTGCGGTGTATGGGCCACAGTATTACCCTGACAGTGTCTCAAGTACCAAACTGTTCCCGTCGATTAATTTGCGGCCTTTTAAATCGAAGAAAGTAAATGAAACCGGGTTGGGTTTTGGGAGTAGGATATCCCGTGTCATCCATTTAAAGACAACGCCGCCGCATTCCTAGACTTAATGCGTACTTCCACGTACGTATTTCTCGAACTTTCCTGACCTCAGTTTGTATAGAGCTCTAGAATGATCATCACTCCAACATCACTTTAAGAATTACGACAAACCGACAAAGCAACGCTTTAGGGAGAAAATTCATAGAGCGCAAGCTTTTCGTGAGACGCAATGAAAATTTTGTTTGCGGTGTATTTTTCCAACTTTTCTTGTCCTAGCCACTTCAACGATTTTAGAAATTTCCTCGGCGGAACTACGCAACATACACATTGTGGTAACATCTACGAATGACTCATCCAGAAAAGGATATTCTTGAATCGCGGGGAAATGCAAGAGGTACACTTACATTCTATGAGTAGCTTAAATAGAAAGTATCAGACAAAAACAGATCAAAAGCTAAAAAATTATCCTCGTGCGTCACACCTAGACTTTCATGCGAGATCTTGAAGTGATAGCTTTATTTGTAACATAATGCCAATATTAAATCTATGAACTGACCTTTAGCACAAGGAAAAACGCTTATGGCAACCGAAAGCATGCCAAGTTTGGATCGTGGGAACAAAGGAAGGATTTTTTATTTCGATAACAAAACAAACAAACCCAAAAAATAAATAAATAAAATAAAATAACAACGATACAACTAAGGAGTAGTTTCCTATCATTCTATGATCAAATCAAGATCGCTAGCACTTATCCGCTACTGGGTAACAGTTTTTTAGTTTCATGATAAATTTAAATCTTGTATTTGATGTTGAGTTCAGTCTTTCCATAAATGGAAAATAATCCTGCTTTGGTTTGAAATTATGATTTGTAATGTATCCTCTGTGGCTTTCTTTGCAAAGAGGACCTACCCCTTCTAATGAAAAGAGTTTTCGGCAAACATTCTTGTTGCTTTTTAGTCTTCTTCCGCTATTTTTCTGCGAGGCGTTTTCAATTTGCGTCATTCTGACGTCATGGGAGCAAAGGTGAGATAAAATTAGTTCAGCTGTCGAATGATTGACAATTTCCTATAAGTGGGCTTTCGATCAAAACTTTTAAAAATGCACTGTTCAGTGGAACAAAAAATTAGGGCTGTCCTGGTGTACCGGTACACGGGGGAATTCCTATTGTTTTCATATCCATACATAGAGTTGTGACGCAGTTCGTTAATGTTTCGTTCCTTTGTGTACCGGTACACGAGGACACAACCAAAAAATTTGTCAAGAATTGCGAAGAATTAAAAAGAATTGCAAGAATTAAAATTTGCAGAATTACGTGTTCATGTCATCGCCTTTAGGTGTGTTAAATATGAGTCGTCTAAATTATAGAGAATGGTTGTGATTCACAATTACAACCCTGTGTCCTAAGATTGACGCAAAAACACACAAAGGGTGCACTTTATGAGGTAATATTGAATCCGATGGCCATGAGATAAAATTCGTAAGGTTTTTCCGGACAATGAAAGAAATAGAAACTCACACTCTCGTGATATTGAGTTTATTCTGACCCCACATGAGATCTCGCGAATCGTTGTCATAATTAGAAACAAATATTGCAAATTATTTTAAACCTTAAACTTAGGGATTCAATATCACGCCTGGTTACATGAAGTTCCAGTTTGAGGGGGTTGTTGTATACAAGAAGGCCTCGGGGTGATAGATTGGGGGCGTATGTTTACTCTCATTCGGTAGATCTTTTCCTAAGCGTCGATACTCATTGCGGAACGTGGGCTACATATATTTTGCATAGTTAAGTTCTCATTGATTTCCTCTGTAACCTTTTTCTAGATTCGATTGTGAATTGCAATTATCTCTTGATGCAATAAGGTGACAGATTGTTGTATTACGAGTCAGCTTTTCCTTATCTTTCAAATCCGTTTTGACAACCGGCTCTGGTCTCTTTTGTTCATTTGGTAGTATTTTAGGGGATGCAACCGAATCTAAGACGGCAAGAAAGGTTGCTTCCTTTGGCACGACGTTCTGGTTAGTCCATTAACTACATACTGACCTCAAAACTACAAAAAAACAGGTGCTTCTAGCATTAATGAAATAACAAGGCAATTAGAGAAGAACTGAGTTTTATTACTAGGAAAACTAAATTGGATAATGATACTTTTATCATCCTGACATCCCAAAAGTTGGGTTACTTTGTTAACGTGCTTTACGAAACACTACAGATTTCTTTTCACAGAAAAGAGGAGAACTGGCAGTCAAGTATACCAATCAATTACTTCCTAATGTAAAATGTCCTTATTGATATCACCCATTTCTTATCCCACTGACAATTATTTGATTATATATACTAGGAACAACTAAATTATCTAGAGTATGCTGAGGGGATACTTTCTGTAATGGTCTCCACAAGGATGCTCCTAATTTCAAAAGTTTCAAAAGTTGAGGCAGAGAAAGGGTAGGGATCCTACAGCTCAGTTATTAATGTAAACAGATTGGTGGGTTGAGTGTTGGCAGTTGTCCTTTATATTCCCACCTTTACTGCCTGTATACCAGTGGTACTCACTAGGTGCATGGGACCACAAAGGGGCATCCTTGAGAAAAATTGTGTTAGTTTCTCCATGCCTGGCGATTTTCAGAACTTAACCTTAATAAAAAAATATGAGAATGATGTTCTAAGTTTCAATTACGACCAGCTAATACTCAAAGTATCAGTAATACAATTTGGTATAAAATTAAAATTAGAGTTAAAACTTAGGTATGTTGGTTCTAAAAAACGCTAATTGAAGAAGAAAAGCCATCTTAAGTTGTTTATACTTGAAGAGGTTTGTTAGACTGCTGTTTCAACCCAAACACCAGCATTTTCACAGCCCTGACCAACAGATTCTGCAAGTAAATAAAAAGAATGATAATCAGTCAGTAAGTTAATGAGAGGAAATGGAATCACGATATGATTATATTATCATTGTATGTAGGCTGAAAAACAGTGATCGTGGTACATATTGATTAATGATGTCAGTGAAGTGAAAGCACAAGGAAACAACAAGAAATTAGATAGAGAAATGAAGAGATTTAGTAATAAAAGAGGTGTCAGCTCCATTCCATAACCCTATACCCTCCTAACATTGATATCTATATTCTCCATACTGTTCTATTTCCTCTGGTACTGACAAGGAAAATTTGTTTGATCATAAAAAGCTTCAAAATTGGTGATCATTTCCTTTTTCCTCATGACCTTCATGTTTGATTTTAATGGTGATACTTTGAGGATAAACTAGATGCCAGTCACTCTAAGGGATTGAAGAGTTAATAATTAACCATACCAGCACTACTGGTTGACTCATTCAGTTTTCCAGAGGATCCAAATGTAGAATAAGCTGAGCGGTACCAAAGGTAGCTAATTAAACATATAATCACTAGTATTGCAAGAGCAAGGAAAACAGCAAGGACTTTGGATTCTACATAGGTCATGAACCCTGTAAGAAATAAAAAAACTTCCATTACAAATCATGAATAAGCAAGAATTCCCACAACTTTGGTTTCTTTCACAGATCTATAAAACCATTGACAATGTTAAGCCCTAGGATGGATGAGCAGAGTTGTTAAGGGTGGTAGGAAGGGGTGGAAGGGGGCCATGACCTCAACTCCTCATATTTCAGACACTATTTTCTGAAATTGCCCCAATCTTTTATGGTAATGTGAGGCCATTGAAAGTAAAGATCTTCCAGAGGGAAATATTTTCATAGGTATGTATAGAAGATACCATCCAAACCATTATTTCTCCATTCCAACTATAAGCTGGCCCTATTTTCACTTACCAGGTCGTGGTGCTGTTGATTTCATTGGATCTTTACATGCACATGTTTTAGGATCCATCAACTTGTTTTCAGCCTTACAATGATGTTCATAAAATGATGTGCAAACACAGGAACATTTCTTCTTATTCCACTTCTGTGTGACGCACAACAAAAATAATATATTTTTAGGTTACTTCAATCAATCAGTCAGTTAGTAATAACCCATTCAAGTATGAACTACACAAGTAAATTTTAGTCAAGTACTCCCTTATTTATTTCCCTTTCCATTTCATGTTCATCTCAGTTGTTAACCCGTAATAATTGATTATAGGTGTGGGCTGTTTTAAAAGGATTTTGGCTTCCAGTTTGCAACTGACCATTCTTGATTTATTCATTTAATAATTGGTTTAATGTGTACTCCCAAAAATGTATTTAAACTTTAAACTAATTCCTCCTGAGTAACAATCCTTGTGGGTAGAGTGACCAAGATTTTGCTTTACCAACAACTCGTGTAAGTGTTGCATGACCCATTTAACATTGTGAAATAATGGAAATACTAGTCAATTCACCACCTTATTACCTTTTCAAGAGGACAACGTTCATGTGTGTTGCATTCATATCGACAGAGATGGTTATTCCACCTAGAAGAATGGAAAAATGTCACAGAAATAAAATGTTTATTTAATCTACCGATAGGCTTCTAAGTGTGTCCTAACTGAAATGCAAACAAATGATTGTAAAGGCAGAGCTTGTTGGGCTAGGGGTCTGAGAAGCACAATAAAATCTGAAATTAACAGATGCTTCTCTCTCTCCACTGACTTTTTTGTGGTAAAATCACTCACCCAAAGCCCTTTTTTGGTTTCACGACATCGTCAGGCGGAGGCGAACGTGGATATAAACATTTGCACTGGCAGCTTTCGTCGTTCCATTCCTGCACTTTGAAATCACAATCGAGAGGACTTGCCTTGCACTCAGGGCCACATTTCGTGTGATTCTGGAGTCTTATTTGTGTCGATAGTCTATTGGTAGTATCATAGACCGAAAATGTAACCTCCCTACTCTCTGTGACCACACATTTCTTGATGTTGGGGCTTTCGAACCCGTACGAGCCCTCGCACCGGTGGAGTCGTATGAAATATGGATAATATCTGTGGTGCGGTTCGTCCACTGCCACAGTCGAGAGGACTGGTGGATTGCACTCAACAGCAACAGGTTTGACAGCCGCTGAAAATGAACACAATCGAATGCTAATGCAAAATGTCTTTATCTTCCTCCCCCGCCCCGTATCTCCACTAAATAACACGATCAGCCCAGCAGAACCTAATCACATGTCTTGATCGAAATTTCTCAAGGGACTCGTCCATGAAGGGTTATTACCGGTTGAGGGATCTTTCGATGAATGAAATCAGAAAGCGAAAGTAAACGCCCCACTTTGTGTTTGTCTTGATCGAAGAAAGTTTTGAGCTTGATACGTGGATGTTTGACCTTACTTATTTTTCTAGAGCCTCTAGATAAAGAAAATATATTGTATGATAGAATTGGTGACTTTTTTACAGAAAACTTCTTTTGGTTGCTGAGAAAAATTCAGACAGGACGTAAACTCGGTGACTTAGGGTTTTCCCCGATAGCCGATAGCTTTTAAAATAACTTCCTAACACTTTGACTGCTTTTTCTTTGTCGTTTTTTATCTACATATTCCCAATACAGTAGTATTTCATTGTTTGTTACATAGACTGTAACCAGGAATCAAACCGGAATTTAGCGGTCGATAGTAGTTTTATGAATCTGGCGTTGGTGACGAGGAATGAATAAATGAATGAACGAAAACGGTGCATCTATCACAAATAGCTTCATTACATCACCACAGGTGCAGACTTAATCATTAAGTATTGGGATTTTGAGAATGAAACAGTCAAGCTATGTGTGAGAATCGACACTTGGCAATTTACTCACCGGTACATTGAAATGCGGCTTGGGATAAAAGAAGAACAATTGTCCAAATTGAAAACTGCATCATAGCTCTTGAATCCTTGTCCTGGTGTGTTGTTATTCTCAGCGAGATCGGCGAATTCTCTACCCCCTATCCTTTAAAGCCAGGACCTGACTCACGTTCGATTTGTAGGTCTTAATTCATTGAAATGAAGTCGCGTCGTAATTACTAGGTTATTAAGTTTCAGTGATATGTAAATAGGTCACAAGACGAGGGCGGAACAATACAAAATGACAGGTTGACAATCGAGACTGATCAAATAAATACTGCCAGAAAATGAAAGTCTTTTGTATGGACTCAAAGGCTGAGACGGGGCTTTCCCCTGTTACTTAGAGGAGCGTGAGAAAAATTCTCTTCGATTACCCGTCGGAATTATTTCCATAACATGACGACATTTTACATCAATTAATCAGATTTCTCTTTTCAATCTTGACAGTACAGGAAATAAGGAAATAAAAGATAGTCAGGATCGAAAGTTTACAAAATATTCCAAAGAGTTTTACGATCGTACATTCTTTTGAAATAATTGATAGACATTCCTTTCTAACACCCACTCTCACACCCATTTTCTAAGAAAATCACTTAATACTAACACGTTTTTTCGTCGCATAAGAAGGCTTAGGGATTCGATTTCAAGAGAGATAGCGGTTCTATTCCACCGGAAGTTGATGATATCGCTTCAAGCGGAAAGAAGAGAGAACGCTTTGCCGTGATACTAAATACCACACTGTAGTGATTTCTGTTTGTGAATCCAACTCAAACGATCCTTTTTTATTTTTTTCCAAACCCTAGTCGTTGTTGTAGCTGATCAGCTTTGTGTGTATGATCTTTCCAGTACTGCACTTAAAAGCGGATCATAAACGATCTTGTAAATAACTCTTGCCGAGGAATACAAGTTAAGTTACGAATTAAGTATTGATAAATATACTAGTACACGTTGATTGTCACGAAATTGTCAGTGATTGGAATAGAGCGCGTGTTAGATTTCGCAATTTGCAGACAAAGTAGGCAGTTCATTTGCTTTGCGAGAGATGTTGTAATTGCACGCGTTTAGTCCGATAAATAAGAAAGGAAAAGGTGTTTTAAATATAGGTCTATTACGATAGGTTTGTTTGGGATTTTACCATATTCGTGATTTAAAAAAAAAAAATACTAGCTTAGTTTAGGCGAATGAAGAGTTAAGTCAGAATTGTCAAGATTATTACATTGTGAAGCGTAAATCGTGGTGATCAACGCAAATAAACCTTGAAAAAGAAGATTGCTTACAGTCCTCTTCGATCGAGTTCACCAGCGACTGCAGAGTCTGTAGAGATTTCGCTACAACTCTATGAGCAGGAATGAATTCACAGAAGTAGAATGGAGTTTAGAAAAAAAGAAAATGGTGCCTGATGTCAGGCTACCGTGCGTTTGGTAATAATACTAAGTATTTGCGAAGATTGCGGATCAGTCACTAATCCTAGCAACTTTTTCCCATAGCGCCTTGCTTTTGGGGGGTCGAGTTCGGGATTCCAATCGTACCATACATGAAGGTTTTTTATTTTTCTGTTTCTTTTTTTAGCTCATGATGATGAAATCATTTTATCAAAATTATAATAGCTTTTCGAGGTTTTAGTTTCTCATACATTCATCAACATCATGTTATTATCACGACTATCTAAAATGGTTGTATCCGTTATTACCAGATTTTTGTTATTCCAGAGGTTATTTCTTTCAAGGTCAAAGTTTTGAGGGTTCGTTACTTTGGAGGATTTTCCATTCTCTGAATTGAGCCCTGTTTTTCGTAGGGTGGGTTCTATGTTCAGTAAAGCAATGATTAGCAACTAGAAAGGGGAACTGCAGGCTCTATCGTGAGACTACAAATGTTTCAGTTACAAATTCTTCATCTAATAGTCTTCAAATTCTTTAATTTCCATATTTATTGAATTTCTCATTTCCAGAGAGTCGGGGATTATTTACAGGTTCCCTTTGTTCACGTGTAGTTGGTAAATCATTTTTAAGAGGCACTTTTGAATCAATATAGCACCATGTCATAACCCAAAACATGATACAATTGTCTGAAAGTGGGTGCGACATTGCGTTGTGCTACTTTCAGTGATTCCTATTAGATGTCCCTAGCTATACTCTTATGTTCCGCATATAGACAATGATTATTTTTCCAAATTACCTCTTCTAGCTAAAAGATCTGACTAGTTTTTTTTTAAAATAAATACGATGCTAAAATACTAACAATGTTATCTTTATAACAATTTTAAAATGATCGTTGAAGGAGCTAGCTTGACCATGATTGGCAAGCCTTGTGCACGTAATTCCTTGGGTCATGAATTTACGAGTAATACCCCATTCACGTCAAAGCTTACACATGTTTTACTACTTTGTTGACCTTTCTACCCTCAGAGTGATTAGCATCTAATCTCTCCTACCATATCACCCTTGAAACAAACATTAAGGTCATGAGAATAGTGGAAATGATCACTAACTAAAGCAGCTCTTGATTATTAAACAAATTCTCTCTGTCAGCACCTTGATAAATGTATAGTGAATGGTATGGAGAATAGGGATACTGATGCTAGGGGATAAAGAGTTAAATGCGGATTAAAATTTTCTTCTTCATAGAAGCTGCTTAAACTGATGTTTGTCGACGTCTAATTTAGCACATTGAAAATAGAGGCTAGTGACAACTTGAACCCTACTAATCAAAAATTGGTTTAACTTACCACGTTTTACTGAGTACATTGGGTACAAGAAAGGGACAGATCCTAGCAAATAAATGAGCAAAGGCAAGCAAATATTACGTGTTATTAACACTACTCTCTCTGCCTCCAATTTGGGGGATTAAATTGTATTTGTTGTTGAAATATATTATTTAAGAGTACACTCCTCATTTCATAGACAGGGAAAAAACATCTGCCTTCATCTTATTGACTTTTGTATATAAAAAATCGCCTCTAAGCGATCTCAGCGAAATAGTTCAGCTTTTTTCAAATTTGGTCAGTTACATATAAGTTCAGCTCTGTACCTGTGCAAATAAGGTGAGGAGAGCATATCAGCTCACTATCTATCATAAAAGATTTTAATCTCGACATCGAGATTAGCTACTGAGCACATCCTATAGTTTTATTGTTATATTAGGGTCGAATGGGTCATTACACTTCATCTTGTCTTTATGTGGATGTTTCTCTTTTGTTTCTTCTGTGGCATATCGTCCCCATTACACTTCACCTTGTCTTTCTGTGGATGTTTCTCTTTTGTTTCTTCTGTGGCATATCGTCGCTGAGATACTGGTATCCCTGAGGTATGGTTTTAGATGTTTGTAACTCGTACTTTGGGGGACAAAGGAGCAGTGCAGCTATCGTCGTCACTTGAATCCTTCGCACCTTCTAAGGACTCGGCAGAATTAGCAGCCACCTTTAGGTCTGAAAGGTTTTATAAATAACGATAATATTATTAATATAGCTTGTATTTAAGAAAGCAGATCGATGATATTTCTTGCATAACTTAAATCCTTTGCGTCCATCAGTTCCTCCTAGTTCTCCCCCCCCCCTTTGATACCTCCTAAGCAGCGACCATCCCTGATTCTCGGATAAGATTTGGATATGATCCCTATTTTTTATCCAGAAAAACTCCTCATATTCTTCAAGATACTTACATTGAGAAGCAACTTCATCATTCGTCTTTCCTGGGTCTGATCCGTCGAGCGGAGCGTTGGCCGAGCTGTTTCGGTTTCTCTTTCGTACCCAGTGTACCAGAGCACAAATGAGGAGTATGATGATGACTGCTTGACCTATCAGAAGTGTTATAAACATCCGGTTTCGAGAGTAAACTGCAGGAAAAAACAAATACTTTTATAAATAAAAATTAAAAGCTGGTAACATTTCAGGGGAATAACGGCTTGCCAAATTAAAGTAAAATGTTTCCAAAAGAAATCAGACAGGGAATCAATTCATAAGTACAGTCTTAAATTGGGGGCTGCCTTAACCAAAATGTTGAGCTAAACGCGTGACAAAATGTGCCTCCTAACCTGCTGAACAGGGGTATCACTTTTGTGTTTTTCAGGCGAACGGAGGCAAACGCGAGGCAAGCGTGAAGGGTGTTCACGTGCATTGGGAGAAGCACAGAAGAAAAATGTCAAAAGGTGAAATTTAAAATGAAAAAATGTTCGATAATCAAAAAAAAAAATGTATCACATTTCTTTCTGATAAAAGAAATGGTCTTTAAAGATGATTTAATAACATAGCGTCCTGAATATGTCCATGCTTGAGATTATAGACTACAAATTATAATTCCATGTTTTTTCCCCCAAATTGCCCCAAGCTTTTTCGTCAATGCGAATTCCATTGCAAACAAACTACAGCAGCTTTAAATACCATTTTATACCTCTGGGTGGAGAAAGACTTTTCCTAGGCTAGAGCCTCGTCTTGGACTCCAGCGGTTCACCAAATGTCAGTGCATCGTGTTAGCATCAAATTAGAGATAAACTCATTTTAGAGATACGTGTTTACCTGCTTTATGTCTGCGGAACGCCTTCACATCCATGCACTGGCAATCAACGTCAATTCCCAATTCCATTTGTATGCAGTCATTTACTGCACTGCTCTCACATTTGCAACCGCATATGTCTTTGCTCCAAGTCTGTACAAAACAAAAAGAATCATGATGCGCTTCAGATGAAGAACCAGTTATGAAAAAGAATGTGTAACGATTAAAACCCGTGAGAGGAATGTAATATCAAGCTGTCAAATACTGTTCTTCTACATGGTACATTTTGTACATATATTTTCATTCATTTAAGACTTTCTTCAGGAAAACACAGAAATTTTTTTTGTCACAGTCGAGCAGAGAATCGTTGAGCAGTTTTATATTTACGCAGTGGAAAGACTCCCAATCGATTAAAAAGTCTTCTAAGATCTGAATCTTGGGAATAATTGGTTTTGACTTGTAATTCAGGTGGCATCGGGAGACAACTTACTGCAGAGAGTGCGTCATTCGAACGTTGACTATTTTCTAAATTTGTATTTTCCTTCCATTAATTGTGAAATTCTTAAAATTCGGCGGTTATGAAGAATGCCTTACCATTCTGATGGGACAGTGCTCAGGTGCTCGGTCACATTCGCATGCGCATTTATATTTGTTCCACCTGAAAGAAATTCAAAAAGTAAACACCGAAAAAATTAATAACCCAAAAATATGGATAGTTAAGTGGCTGACGAGTAATTTAATTTTTTGGTCGTACATTTTTACCGTCCATCTCTCTGCAGCTAAATGTGTCCCTAACGATCTCCTAAGATAACATGTAAATATATTCCAGCAAGGACAAACCATTAAAGGGAAAGTAAAACGTTTTTTAAGCTTCCATTGCGATTCTTAAGGTCCGGTTCGTACCTAAATCCTTCTTTGCAAGTGAGTTCCTTAGGTGGTCCGTCAGGATACTTGCATTTGCATGCGCATAAATTATCGTCCCAGTCCTGTACTGCCAAATCGCAGTCAAGCGGACTGGCTACACATTCAGGAGCGCAGCTGGTGTGATTTTTCATGGTGACGGTCGTCCGGCGAAAGTTTGCTGCACGCGAATACACTGGGACGTTTATTTCCTCGTAACTTTGTGCCACACAATGTTGCACTTTGGGAGACACTGTGCCCACTGAGCCAGCACAGCGATGAAGCTTCACATAGAAAGGGTAAAAGCCATGATCAGTTGAATCTACGGGAATAACGGTCTCGTGCGTTTGACAGAGAACATTTGTCAACCCTGAGAGAGAGGAAGAGAGGAAAGCTGAAATTATCATTATCGTCGTTATTGAAGTTATTATGGCTAAGATGGGAAGTGAGGTCTGGGATCCAGGATATCCGCAATTAAGATGATGTCACGTAGAATTGAACAGTGGATAGAAATCTAACGAGGTAAATAAGAGTTCTGCGGGTCACAAAAACACAGACTATTTCCCTTCAACAACAAGTATTTAACAATGCAAGTGCGTTTGATCTGTTAAACTTTAAAAGGAGATTAACACTTATTTTTCATTGAAAAAGTGGGATACAGTCTGTTGATGGTTTTTACCTCACGGCAGTTCATCTTCTCAAAAAACCTGCCCCGCGTAGTCGAGCTTAGCCACGATTGTTGGTAAAGTGGAAATACCGAGTAACGGCAGAGAGGGATTTTTGCGTAAAAGCCACGAGAAGAGCTGACTACTTCCCACAGAGAATATGTTTTACGGCCGGAGTATTAAGATTTAATTTATGACGACTGATGATCCCTTTGATTAAGTGTTGATCGTTAAGATCGGCTACTTTTTCAAACCTGCACAGCCACGAAACTGTTAAAATCTGACTTTGAAACTTACTTTCCCCTTTCTGGGCCGACAAAGTTACATCCAGTAGTTCAAATACAAAAATGGAAATGACCAGCAACATTTTCGTTTAGCTTTCAGGAAATTCACTCGCAGTACGATCTCACGTTTGATCCTGAGGAATCTGAAAGGAAAACATAAATAAAAAAAAAAAAGAAACGTGAGCTCGTGTGCAGGGTATACTTCACTAGTCCAATGAATTAAACGGTTAGTGACGTGATTTCTGAGTTCTTTAAAACGAACATTACCAAAATACCTAACTTTGAAGAATTCGGACTCATAATGAATTATCAATTAGAGCTTGTCGTCTTTACAGTTTAATTAACCATTTTGAGCAATTAACACCGATAGTGGTACCTAGACTTTTACCTTACCCTCTAAATCATAAGCTAGAGGAGCTTTTTGAAAAGTTCAAACTGCCAAACTGCCTGCTTACATTTCGTATAGGCAGTCTAAAATATATCAGGGTTAGAAAATTTGAGATACTTGTATTGAATCGTGAGGAGGGAAGTTGCTGGATCATGTCTCAGTTCTGTTTTTGACTGAATCAAACTGAAAGATTTTAATGGGTTGGACTTCCTGTCAAGGCAAACTTTGTGCGACACTCCCAGGAAGTCCAAATGAGACTTGGTGAGCGAGTGAGTGTAGCGTTTCAGTGGACTGTTTCAAGGTTCATTTTCAGTGCGAAACACACGTTCAGGGAGTAAACCTCGATTCCTCTTCCTTCATCTGCATTTAATAACAAAATTGAAAAGGAGCCAATGTCCAGTCAAGCAGTGCTAAAAAACTGGTTCGATGGAATATCGAGGGAAGTAAAGTATCGATATCACCTCGTCAGTAGAATACAGGAAGGGAATACTAAAATTATTTACCAGACAACCTCTGAGGAATATCGTTCGTTTTACTGTGGTGTTATCTACATAAGGTCTCGTTGTACACTATGTTTGTTCCGTAATTTACCACCTCTTGAGAAATCAGCAGATCTGGGCGCGTCTACGATCACTGTTCTATCTTTAAGCTAAATACTTACATAAGCTTGATATGCAATACTTTATTTAGTCACCTCACGCATCACGAGTTGCCAACCTTTCCCTAATCGCATAATGTTGTGATTAAGAAATGGCGATCGAAATCCCCTCAAAAGTGTGTTGATTTTATGTCAGTCACCACTCCCTACTTGGAAGACGACCGGTGGATAATTATTTGCTTATCTGAATGCTAAAGTGATGGTGATCACACGATACGTGTATCCGATTAAAAGTGACGAGTACATACACATTTGACACGGGAACTTGGATGCAAGTAAGACTAGATCTGATAAGGTAGATTAAGAAATTTTCCAACGAGGTCCGACAGATAAAAGAGGACAGCAAACAAACCAAATTAAGCGTTTTATGCATAACGTGTGAACGTCACTGAAGTAGTCAAAGTTTAGTTTATTTTCGGCCAGTTTTTTAAAATCACCCAAACACCTTCTAAGTATCAAACAGAAGATCAGAAAAGCTCATTCGTGGGATTGTAAATATTTATACATATGTTGCAGCACACGACGTGTAATGATGTGTCTACTCAGAGGGAACGAAAGCTACCCGCAAATCTTTTTCAATTTATAAGTCTTACATGCAGAACTCTTCTCATTCCTTCAGCCAAACAGTAATTAACGAGTCGTGCAGATTCGTCCACGATTATTGATGTTTTCAAACGTTGAAAACGCACATTTTGCTGAGAGAGTGAGCTTCTAGAAAATGGTTCTCGAATATACAAATCAACACATCAGAATGAAAATGATTTGTATTTACATACCGTAATATGTCGGTAGCTACGTTTTGAATGTCTTGGAATTGGGACTCCCTTCTTTAAAAAGCGCTTTGATAGCGGATTATCTACTGCTCTGTCTTTCAAAACCACTTTGCGAAATGAATTATCTTGCAGCTTAAGGAGTCTTGTGATAAACCAAGGTTTCCTTCGCTCGCAGTAACTTCGGTAAATTTGCATTAAACGAAAAGCCGTGCTAATTGAAAACACTCTTTCCATGCCTCACTGATTACTCTTACAATGGGCAGCGAGGAGGCGAGAATAATACTGCGCCTGTGCGATTTTGCTTGTAGTTAAAGGTACGCAAAAAGAGATCCGCAAATAAAAACTTACCTTTTGGCTCAAACTAGGGCGCCGTTCAGCAACTCACGAATTTCTCGAGTTTAGAGTTAAATGGATGTTGAGCTCCACGAGGTCACTCTTAATAGCCTGTTTCGAGAAAATTACTTCCAGTGGTCGATGACGTCAAAGTGACAAGCTGCTTGACTTTCATAACTTTTCCATGCGATGTATCAGATATATCCGGGGTGTGCCCAGCAGTCTTCATAGCGACCTTTCTAATCATAGGTGCCCATTATTAGAAAACAAGTTATACTTTTTTGGTCAACGCAAAATTCAGGATCCTATGAAAGAAAACGGTTCTCTATTTCGTGCGACGAGAAAGAAACTTAACTATGGGCTATTTAGCTTTCCATCGCAGTATGAACCCCCTTATTTACTCTTTGTCGTTCCACCTCTTATGGTTTGTTTAATTTAAATCCTCTACAGATTCTGACAGTTGTTTAAGCTCGTTCGCGCTTGAACGGATATAGTTTCGCGTGACGCTCTAGGATGGTTTTTCGCACCTTTGACATGAAGTTTTCGCAACACCATAATTTCACGTTTTCGATTACGACACGATTCTCTCCCTTGGCAATTTTTCAATGTCTGGCTTTTTTCAAGGGGAGTAAGCGCTGAAAGCTGAAGATCGTTTGCTGAACCGCCATTTAGGGTTAAATCTCGCTCTCTCTCACTCTCTCCTAAATCTTCCTCTCCGTGAAAACTAAATTTTTGTTACAAACGTGCGCGTTTGCTTGGCTTGTGTTCGTCTACATAGGTTACGAGGCACCACAAGCTTTAAGACCTGCACCAAATGATTAACAATACCTAGAAGTCTTAATACTTTCAGCGAACTCATCTAGTTCCTGTTTTACTCAGAATACTTTTGTCTTCCTTTACAACGTTGTAATAATCCCTTAACCTCAGGTTGAGTAAGTATTTAATCCAGTTATCGCTCTTAATCCGCCTTATATAGGATTTCTGTATTTGGTCCTCGCTCTTCAGTTGGTGTCACGTTAAATTCAACCTCGCCCTTCAAATCCCATGATGAAAACTATGATCTTTTCTTTCCACTTTTTATTCCTTTCAGATTCAACAGGGTGAACGTGAGAAGAAGGGTTTCTGGAATAAAGGCTTGAAGTCTAGTATGGTAAAACTTCATTGGGTTTAAAAAAGCAGGAGAAATCAAGAATTTGAAGTTGCTCTTTGGAACAAAACGCTTCTTTGTTTACACAGGGCTAGTTAGGAGTTGTCTTTGGCATCGTTTTTGCCACCAGTGATCGTTACGATACAGAATAAGAACATTTTACCTGTCTCATAAGTGGATCTCTCGTCTTATAATCGTAAGACTTGATCAGTTTTTAAAATAAAGTTCGGTTACAGCGTGCGCTGTCAGTGGTTGAAGGAGCGTGCTCTTTCAGAGTATACTATATTATACTGTTTTGAAAACATAGAGGTAAAGCTGTCACGCCATCTGCCAAATTGTACGATGTCCGACCTGATTTCCCGGATGTCTCTCTAGCTTTTTCTCGTTAGTTGAAAGTGAAATTTCGGAACAAGCGAGCCGGGAAGTAGCAACAACAGAACCAAAGAAAGATTTGTAAACATGCCAATCGCCGTAATTTACGTTATTATAACGTGAGCAGAGACGAAAATTCTCAAAGAGATAACGAAAAGGACCGTGACAATCCGAGTTTTGAAGGTTTTCACGCTCAGTTAGATTGCAAGCCTACGTAAAGTAATAAAAATCCAACACAGCTAACACTTGCATAGAATGAGTGTTAGAGCGACTGCGATCACGCTGAGATCCATCGCGGCTAGCTCATTATAGCGATCTCTGGTCATCGCAATGAAGCAAGCCTCTCGCCCCATGTAAGGTAATCCAGGACAGTATTAGATTCTGGATTCCAAGCTGTGGATTCCGGATTCCAGATGCTGGATTCCGGATTCTACCTGTGAAGATTCCGGATTCCAAAAGTCATTTTTCCATAACAACATTTGGTAATTACAAGAAATATATTACAGCAAATCAAGGCATAAATTTTTCTTCTAAGAATACCTATTGAGACTGTCTGTCTCTTAGATCCAACGTCCATTCATTCTATATCTTTTTAGCAACTCTGAAGAGGTGTACCATATTTCTTTCATTCAGGTTGCTCCAGGTTCTTCAAGTGATTTGGCGGAATCAAAAGAACTAATAGTTCAAATCATTGCTTATCATTTTTAATTTTAAATAACTGTTGGACTTACAAGTTGTTTTAGCACAGCATAATATTTTCTGACTGGGAAAAGATGGCCAATTTTTGTAATCCAAAATTGCATGACTTTATGAAGAACTATCAACAAAACAGCTCGAAAATATTTCCCTATCATCTCAAATTACTTTTTTAACTTTCCTTTTAAACAAAAACCATAGTAGTAACGAAAAATTTAAACTGAAATATAATTTTAATAACACCCCGTGTATGTCGCAAATAAATCGCAGACTATGACTAAGAAAAGCTTGTTTTCCTATATGTAATTGGCGATGATGTTCGACGTTATGAGATTGCGCATAAAACGGTCTTCAACCAACTCAACTGTACTTAAACCTTTGCAAAATCGCAAAAGATCTGCATTTACACGGTAATTTTCCAAGAATGAGAGATTCTCTTTTCTACAATTCCCTTTTTCTTTATAAGGTTAGCCAAGTCAAATCACATTACGTCGGCCATGAATTCTCCAGAGCAATGATTCTTTCCTGTTTGACCCTAAAATCTGGTTGTATCTTACTTTATTTGCACTGAGATATGATGCCTTATGAAATCTTAAATTTTGTTATTCCGAAAGCCAAATATTAAAGAAAGCGGTTTATGTTTAAATGTCGAAATTTTGACCTAGAAATAGACCTCTCCCGTCGTTATTAGTATTCAGATATATCTTCATTCAAAGTTTATCGTAATTGGAAACGTGTGGTCTGTCGCCATGTTGGAATCCAAGCATATCCTGTGGGATTTGAATGCTGTTATTATGTAAACAATCTCTTTAGTCCCTCTAAATTTACACACCCATCGACCACGTGAGTGACCTGCACTCTACAGTGGTTGCATTGGTCATGATAAAACGCAGACTGCAGACCATGCAGACTGTGCAGACCGTGCAGACTGTGCAACTTTTTTGTTTGCTTTTTTAAAAATGTGATTTACATATGATTAAGGTGTTTACATCATTTTCTTACTCTTTCGGTAACGTTGGGACAGTTTCCAATTTTTGGACACCACATGAGGAAATTTTACGAGGTTCTTTCGAGCTCGCGTTATCTAGCAAGACAAAATCACGGAGTCAAGTTTCTCGAGCTCATGCAGATTAGCCCCACGCGGCAAGATGCAATTTGTGTGGACCGTGACGTTGACTTAGAGGTAAGGATTACCTGGATCTTCACAAGACAGCCCAAAGAACTTTACAGTAAAGAAAGTGCTGCAAGCTAAAATCGAACTTTACTAGGAAGGTTTTTGAATCTGTGTAGAAGACTGATCGATAATTACCGAGTAGGGAACTTTGGCTATGTCAGTATCGAAGTCGATTGGGTGATAGGTCATTACTGAATTTGTCAGTTTCTCGCTTCGAACAATCGAAATTCTCCAGCGAACAAAGCGCGGTCTACATGGTCTGTAGTCTGCATCTTAGCATGACCGTAGATGCATGGATGCGCATGAAAGCCGTCTATACGATTTTAATGGATTCTGGATTCATTCTTTAGCAGGATTCTGGATTCCAATGCCCAGTATTCCGGATTCCACGACCAAAAATTTCCTGGATTCCGGAATCCGGATTACCTTACATTGGGCGAAAGCCTCAGACATTACAATGGCCACCCTTCGAATGAACAACTAAGGACTTGCTCTAATATCCTTTCCGATGCGTTGTGTGGAAGGCCATTCAGTCACAGCTACCGAGTTTTTCGGCGTTGTCATCCTAAGCAATCTTCATGTTCCTGTGAATTTGGCTGTCTTTAATTCACCAAACTCACGCCTTGGGCAGTTTGTTTTCTAATCGTCTTATGAAGAAACTCGCGTGTTTTTATGAGCTTCAATTCGGCCGGATTTTACTGAACGTTTCACTTCCAGATTCTACATTAGAGACTAAAAAACTTCCAGCAAGTGTTAAATTCGACCTGCCGAACAGATTGTGAACTTTAATGGTTTGACATTTTTGACAGCGTTACTTTTGTTCAACCAATCAAATTATTTGAACCATTTAAAAAGGATTCTGACTGACTTATTGTAGCGGTTCTTTATGAGAGTATAGAGCATGCTGACGACTCTGTTGTTCGTTTTGGAAATTAAGTTTGTTTTGAAAATTGAAAGTAACGCGTGGGAAGGGGGGTTAATTAATGGATTCTTTACTTTAAAACAAATAGAGAAGCCTTGAATGTGCTCTGTTTTGTTGTAAAGTACGCGGGAAGCGTTCCTCCCTAAACTTCTTTTGACTACGTCTCGTGTTTCTCCCTACACTTCTTTCGTGCTCAAGCCGCTTCCTATGTGCTTTACAACAGAATAGAGCACAGTCAAGGTTCTCCATTTCTTAAATAGAGCAGAGATAGTAGGACTGAGGAGTAGATTAAGCGGAGTCTCGGGTATCGTGAACTTCTCGACCTTAATCTCACGCTTGGGGTGTATCTGACGTGGCTGTGTAATGATATAATTTCCCTGGGCAACACCACGAAATGCGACATATCACAACCCTTATTATCTTCTTCCACCCTAGGGAGGAAGGAATCTGGGTATCAATCTATCTGTTCAGTTGCTCTCTCATTTTTGGTTTTAATTTCAAATCGCGTACATTTTTTAACCTAAACATTGATTCGTTTTCTCGCACCGTTTAAAATGATACGAGGTGACGGCACTCACCAGCGGGTGTGGAGGTTATGATTATCATTTTCGGCTGCCAAAGTGCGATATAAACCTGTTAACAGGCTCTACACAGGCAGTTATCGAGAGGTTAATGTACGACATTCCCTGTCTAAACATTACACGAAAAATGGTCAAGACTAGTTAGAATATGGAAGATTTTACTTCCTATTCTTCGTTCGAAAGCACTTGTGGTCCGGCTTAGTTTACTGACTGGAATATATATGGGACTCTGGAGGAGCAATTGGCCAGTACATTACATGTGTCGTTTTATTTTCATTTTAAAAATCTACGCTCGCGTAGTTCTGCAATAAATTTTAAAAGAAAAATAGTTTATAATTTTTTTCATTACCTTTTCTGTTACGTAATAATTTGTCTCAATGACTTTCTTCAGCATAACGCGACCAGCTAAACCGTTTCGTTTGAGAGAATTTCATTGTCAGTCCTCAAAGCGTGGTAATGCTGTTGACATTTCTCAATCTGTCTTTTCCTACTCCAGTGCGTGAGAAGAACTTCCCTCTTTCTTGCACTGTTTCTTACTGCAGCAATAGCAGCAGCTCTAGCACTCAAATGGTAAACTTTATGCCAAAAATGTGATATTTATACAGGCAAGAGACTAAGTTCTCTTGACACAGATTATTAAGTAGATTCTAAGTCCCCGAACCTTTTTCTGGACACGTGTAAGACTTTAAGGTCATTTCTAACAGTTGAACAAACAATCGATTTGAATAAGCTGCTTAGAAGCTTGCACGTGCGCCAAGCGTCAATCTACCCCTTTAAAGATTCATGCGTGCTTCTCTAAAAATATCCCTGGCTTTCTTTCAACTATACATTGCCATTGGTTAGCTTTTTCCAGCAAAGCATTAGTTACTGTCATAAGGAAGAGACACTTTATCAGATGGATATAGCTGGAAAGGTCTTTCTGGCGGACTGATTTATGTCACTTAAAGCTGAAGGAGCATAGCAGTCATGATAGCTACTGCAACGAGCCACGAAACGATGTTATTAGTCCAGTCACTTTAAGCGTCACACACTATTTCTTTAAAATAGAACAAAACCTCGAGATAAACAATTCGAGGGAAGAAAAACATTGACGATGTCAAATTAGGCAAGGTATTACAATTTCTTAAGCTTATTTAGAGCCGTTTCTTGTCACTCACGCTAGTGATGATACTGCCAAGCGAGTTGTTTATGATCCCTTTTTTCCAGGTAAATGATTTAATGTGATTGATGGCATTAGAGGGGCATGTCGAGACTGATACGTACTTCTCTTCTGTTATGGAAACTTATTATCAATTGTAGGACTATCGTCTTTACTTGCATTAAGTCCAGTTGAAGTTCCACGATTAACGACTGCTTGACCATTATTTGAAGTATCTGTGAAGCAAAAGATGGAAATAAATCGATCTTAGTTGTACCAAGACATCTGATTCATCCTCCTTTCTAAAGAGAAAAACAATACACACTTAATGTATGGTCCCGAGGGAAACAGTTAGTTTTGCTTTCCTCAGAGTCCTGATGCTTCCGAGACGAGGTTGAGGGAAACATCAGGACTCGAGGGAAAACAAAACTAACTAGTTTCCCGAGGGACCATACATTAATAGGTTTGTTATGTATTTAGACTTTCCCTTAAACAATCATGAGGCAAAAACATGCTATTGTATTCGGCGCGCGGGCAACAACTGCGCTATTGTATCCCGATCGGGTACATTTGAATTTGATCAGTGACACGTGAACAAGAAACAACCAATCACAGTGCTCGTTTTGCTGAGAGAAAGTCTAGGTAAATAACAACATGCAAATATTCACTATTTGTCCACGTTATAGTCACTCAGGTTTCCATTGCGCTAAAAGGATGTAGTGAAGTTAATTTCGGTATGCAAACAAACTGGTCACTTCACATAGGTTTGTTAATGGAGAAATATCACCGATACTGAGATTTGGACCGATTTCAATTAAGAGGAAAGCAAAATATTTTTTAATAGGAAGTCGCTGTTGCCTAAAATTGCACTATTACATTTGGTTAATGGAGTCAAAATATTAATGTTATGATCGTGGATTATATGAATTATTTTTATGTGGGATCGGACTAAAAGAGAGAAGTAATTTTTTGAGATTTTACCTTTACGAGGACAGCGACAGGCTTTGCAGATAATTCCACCCCCGTATTTCCAGTATATGACCAAGTCAAATAGGAGAATTAAAACGACAAACTCTCCAACCATAAATAACACAAACTGCTTCCAATTCGTTGTCTCCACTGAAAAAGGAAGAGATCGAAATCTGTTGTGTTTAAGGAAAATAGGGGTAAGCAATGCCGACGATTGGACTTTTCGAGTACAATTTAGAAGAAATTGTCCTACAGGCTAAGAAATGAGGAATTTCAATCAGAGGACCCGAGAAAGGAAACCATAGGACCTTCCATACGATTATCTCGTGTGTACCAACTTGACAGCAACTCGATAAAACAACTATGTGCCCACGATCATTTTTCAGTTCATCAATTTCAATCCCAGGTCAATAAGCCGGACTTTTTTTTTCGGAAAAGTGATCAAAAACAGGTTTACTAGTTCGGCTAAAATTGAATTTAAGATCGATAAATTAACTGACAAAGCGAGTTTTGCATGGCTGCAGTTTAAGGCGTAAATCCTTGGTCGCATTTCACTAATAATGGTAACATATCTCCTGTTGATACAAACCTCAACCGGTTTTTCATGATACCTCACCCATACCATCAACAGCTCAACTATCACTCCAAAGAAAATTAATTAAAATGCAAAATTTAAAGCAAAAAAAAATAAGAACAAAAATGAAACAAACACAGAAAAATGAGGAAGAAGGCAGGCTCCGTTTGCCCATTCTAAACGTGCCTGCGCAGATGGTACATCTTTCGTATTAAAAGCCAAGCTTACACATATTATCTTTTTCAGTTTAATACTTACCAGTTCTTTTGCCAGGGACACCAGGATTTAAATTTTTCACTATTGTTTTAGGTTCTTCGCACTTACAAGTTGAGGCGTTGAGGACTTTTTTCTCCAATTTGCAAAATTCCACAACAGACCGAGTACAAACGCAACCACACGCTGTGTAACTCCACTCCTGAGGAACAGTGGACAGGAAGTTAATGTTAGTGGAGGAAAAAAAGGCGCATCCCCGCTTTACAGACACACACACTCAATGTTTGAATGTTCTGATATGAACTCGGAGGTTTTCTCATAAAATAAGAGACCCACCGCGCATCAGAGGCACCGGAAATTCAGTTATGATCAGAGTGATATTTGCTGTAAACTCTATGACTCGCTTTATGGAAAGCACCCGTCTGCGAATGATAACTTCCTGATGACGACTGTACTGTGAAGTGAAACTTAACTGACTGAGACCAGGATGGATAATCCCTCACTGGCTGGGAAATCTTGGGAACTCAACCTTACATGTGTAACGATACAGAAGGGTAAACCCCCGCGGAAGTGATTTGACAGTAGAATGGGGAAGAGAGAAGGACTAGGGGTACCTTTTTGCAAGCTCTTAAAACTCGCCATAATGCTGTTTACACATCACTGCGATCCATTCTTGTCTCTTTTTCAGCTTTTATAAGAAACAACAACAACAACAACAACAAAAGATCGTCAATGTCAGAAATTGCACTTACCATGTTGACAGGACAAAATTCTACTGGCCTTGCACAGACACACTTGCACTGGAACTGACTCCAACTATAGAAAAAAATTACTCCAAATTTTACCGATTCCCATGCTTATAGTATTACATTGGGCAAGGCATAGATTTTGTTTCGGCCCACAAGTAAATCTCTAGGTGAGGGTTTTCAAGAAGGTATCGCGTTTGGTGAACATTTAACGTTTCCAGAAGCTTTACGGAATTCATCACAGAACTTCTTTGAATGTATAAGCCTGATAAGAGGCGGATTTTTGGATGTGAAAATGTCGAAAATCGGAAAAACTGAGGAAGCTTAGTTCGATAATTACACTCTAGCTTTTTATCATCATTATACAATTCTATCTCCGGCTTTAACAGAATATGCAAACTCGCATGACATAAGTCTTTCCAGAAACCGAAACTCTTACAAAAGCTTTTCGAATCGCTAAGAAACAAGAAAGATTCACAATCGAAGACGATTCATCCAAAACACTATGGGGAACAAAAATATACGGGAGAATCACACTTGTGAATTTCTAACATGGGTCCAAATATGTAACCGCTGTACTAAATATTCCGTGTCAACAAAAATCGAAATCCTTTCGGGGGTTTTCCCAACCATATGGGCAATTTCGTCGGCACTGGCCAGTAAACAAATCCTTGCACGGTTAAGATGAAGTAATACGCACCTGAATCTCGCAGGGCATCCTACTTGAGGTTCATCCTGGTATTTACATTGACAACTACATGTATCTTCGTCGTAAAGTTCGTTTTCAGAGCAATCTTTAGCCTTCGCTACGCATGTACACTCACAACTGGTATGATTTAGAACCGTCAGAACCTTTTGGGTGCTAGTTTGCAAATCAAATACAGTTCCAGTTACATTGTTCCAGGTTGTGGCGGAGCAGTGGTACGTATTAGGTGAGTTGGTAGAGCAGCCTCCACTACATCGGTAAACACTGACGAAGAAGGGATAGTACTGATGGCGTGGGGCATCTATAGGAGTCACTACTTTCCTAGCTGCACATTTGATTGGTTTTGTAAAGAATCCTGAAAAATACCAAAGCGATTTTAGTAAACTCAGAATTCGTAATCTTTGAATAATGTGTGAAATACTTGCAAATGTTTATATGTTCGAAGTTGCGCGAGGAATCATTGCAAGGATCTTGCAAGTACAGATGTTCAGTTTCAACTTTCTAAACTGTTTTAGATAAGCCAACGAGCATGCCGATAGTTTTGCATTTTCATTATTTCCCAAACAAGCTCACTGTACCAAGTATGGCTGACAGTGGTTTCTGATTCTATCACTAAGGATTTGGTAATTTTTTTTGTATTTTTGTAGTGGGCAGAATTTAAGTTGACATTTGACAAAATCTGTTCTTAATTTACAACTGTACATAGTTTCTGCTGACAAATATGAGCAAATGTGGATGTGACCAAAATTTCCTTGTGACAACCTCGTGATTTTCCAATCCATAACATGTGGAATTACATGTTAGGCTTATCACGGACCGTGACACCCTCGGTTGATATTTTCGACTTTGCCTTCAAATTACAAACCTAATATTAATTTTGAATACAAAAGATACTGGCTAATCAGTTATTTCAAGCGAAATTCCGTCTCTATAGCGGAGGTGTGAGAAGAACGCGGCTAATTTAAATGTACTGACTTGCATATTTCAACTGTTAATGAATAATAACATGTTTCAAGACAGATTATATTTGGAATTACTACTGAGCCGATTTGTGCACCGGCAACCAGCGACAAAATAACTTGTTTACTCTGCGGTAACCCGTTTGGGGTTGTTGTTTCTTTTTATCGTTGAAAGTTTCACATGATGTGAACATAGTTAGCCTCCTTTCAACACAACCAAGTGTTGTTGTCAATATACGGGATATTGCAAGATGATATAGTCCACTGAGTTTTTCCGTGACAAAAATATGACAGAGAGGTCTCAGCGGTGATTGAAATCAACTTTGTCTTAGTGAAACAACCATTTTTTTTTGATAGCATCGATGATTGACTATCAGGAGGCGTCTAACTACCCACATGAGCAATTAAATAGATGAAGTCGAAGATGAATAAAGAATGGCGAAGTTTACGACATCAACAAGAGAATAAAATGATCCATAATACTCAAACAATCACTCACTTGGATTTACCTTCAACAAAGCAACCATTTGCTAGGATTGACAAGAATCCTACAAATGCGCTGAGAATTTTCATCGATTGAAGAAATCAATGCTTTTCAGTCATCCGAATAAATCTTCTGTAACTGGAACAGTTTTCGCCAAAGGACAGAAATAGTAATACGAGCAGATTCACTCTCTTTAGAAACTAGACTTTAGCATTCTCTTCCGCACGTGTCGCCCACATCAACTTCAAGTCTTCCGGTGGCAAAAACGTCATCGACAAAAACCTCAGCAATACGTGAAGCGTAAATATTCCGTCTAAGGTCACTCACAGGTTTCTCCTTACTGCACTTCTACATTGTATTATATTACATCACTAAATATTAATGAACACAAAGAAGAACAACGCAAGTAAACAATAAGTAATTAATGGGAAACATTCCACAGTGATTGTGAATAAATTTCCATCTCATATGCCGAAAAACATAGTGTGCGGCTTTTTCCATGGGAAGAAATATTTCCCTAAAAAGAAGGGTAATTATGACTAACGGTTGGCGCAACTATGAACGTAATATCCGCTCGCGTAAATCACTTCTTTTTCCATCATATTTCGGGCTGCAAACTTTGCCCCAAGATCTTAACTGCTCTGTAAGATTCAATTAGGTAATGTGTGATTTTATATGCTGTAATTCATTTACAAACGTATCCAAAGTTACTTACGCTATCGATATTTTCACTCATGAATCTGTATATCGGTCATCTAAGGTCATACATGGGCCGCATGTAATCGGATGCTGCATATAAAAAACCGGCATGTGAGGTTCGTTAGATCTCACCGATTGCTGGGTCAGGCACTGACGTCTGTGGGTACGAAACGACTGCATGGATACGGAAAACTTGGTATCTATGACACCCGATATCTACCCAGATATTCATTACAAATTTAAAAATAAAATAAACCTTATGCTTCCCCCTTCCCTTGAAAAAGCGAGGAAAAAAAATTATATTTCGATTAAACTGACAGTTCGAGATGTTTTAGCAAAGGCTGATAACGAAAAATTTGAATGGAAATTAAAGAAGAGAATCGTCCTTTACTTATATAGTATCAAAACCTTAGGAAACCGGTTACAATCTTCTCCGAAAGAAAAGTTTCAGACCCAGCATTAACACTGGAAAATCTTAAGATTCCTTTGTAAATAAATTAATCTTTAGATATAATATTTTATAAACACGCATCATATCCATATCCGTTAAGATAAGTTATGATGATGCAGATGAAATCTTGATACTCGTTAGACTTTGACAGGAAGTCTGCTTCATTCCTTTCAGCTATCATACGAATTGATCTCTGTATTTCTGTAAATTTGAAAAGGGATCAGGGTACCGCGCTATACTGACTGTTTCATTGACAGAAAATATGTACTAACCAGTTAATCCGTTTGTGACTCCGGACTCTGTGAATCCATTGCTCCATTGCTCTATTATTCCATATTTCCGGCAGTTTCTGAATATTAATCGTTCATGCGATACCACTTCAATTAGAGGTCATTTCTTTGTCTGTAGGATATTAATTGTTTGTTCTAACCTTGATCACCTTCGTATACCTGTAATCGCAGTTTTACACGCGGTTGTTAACTTAACTACTTGTGCAATGGCAGAGGTGCGTTTAAAGTGGTTCCACACATTCTTATTCCTCTTCCAAGCTATTTTGACAATAGCCGATACCTCTACAGACATCATGACCTGTCTGACTTACAGAGCAAACGACGATCAACAATGGTTTGCAGTGAGTCTCGGCGTCACGCTCTTGACGCTTATAGTGCTGTGCATTTGGTCGGTAATTGCGAGCACAAGTCGTACTTGGACAAAAGATGATGCTGATGACGAAACTGGTAACCCCGATGTAATATTCCGTTCGACTACGATTAATGTTGCTCTAGCTTGTTTGTGCGTTGGGCCTCCTCTGCATAGCGTTCAGTTGTTTATCTTTTGCGCTTGTCGCTTCAAAGAGCTTTGGAACTCACCCGATGGTTTGCGGATTGAAAAGGGTCGTCTCTACTATCTTTACGTTCACACGCTGAACTTGAAAATGGTGGAAGGCCTTTTGGAATCTGCCCCGCAACTGATGATACAAGTCTACGTGATGGTGATGCAAAGAGAGGAAGCCAAAATTGAACTGATTCAAATGATTTCGGCACCGGTTTCCTTTTTGGCTCTCGTATGGATGTCTACTTCAATGGAAGTTCTCCGAGAATTTGAAAAATACAACTTGACATTTCTTCACAATGTTGTCATCTTCCTTGGCAACGCCGGAATGATTGCTGCTCGCACGCTGGCGATTGTCTTTTTTACTCTATATTTCCCATGGCGGTTACCTTACGTAATCGGAGTTCATTGTCTCGTAATGGTGGCCACTGGATTCTTGCTATGGCGATCAAATCGGAAACAAGATATGTTTGTGTTTATTTTCGCTTATTCCCCATTTTATCTTTTCGTTTACAGCTCGTACTATTTAAAAAAGCTGCGAGGTACTGCATCGTTTGGTGCTGCACTTCAAACGTTATCAACAATTTTCTGGCACGCTCTTTTCACAGCTGAAAACATTGTTATGATTAGCGTGTGTTTCTTCTTGCACGATGAAAATAAGTGGATAAATACTTCCGCTTTCGCTGCTGTTCTCATTGGTAACATTGGAGGGATTCTCATTAAGTGGCTCTCTTGGTGCTGTTGCTTTTCCGGGCAACCACAGGGCGATGAATCTATCCGTCGACCCACGACAATCATTTTAAGACCGACTAACTAATGTTGTTGAACAAATCAAGAAGGGAATCAAAGCTCTCTTCCATGAGAGGCGTCCGACGCCATTTTGATGTTATGTGCGATGTTGGAATTTATCAGAATGAAACCAGAATGAGGTGTTTAAAAACATTCTTTATATTTTTCAGCGCCTGATTTTCTCATTTTCTTCAGAGTTTTAACGTTTTGGACTCGAATATTATTGCCAAGAACCCAGTATTTGTTAACTGCGTGTGATTTATTGAAAACAGATTACAGCAACGGAAGCGTTCGGCGAAAGATCTGGTCTCAAGGACAGAGAAGAAAAGCGAGAGCCTGGGAACTAGATTGAACGATTTACTGGTCGTGGTGGATACATGAGTATTTGAACTTCAGATTAATGAATGAAGATGAGGGTGATTATTGCAGTTATGGACATTTTTTATAAGTAGTACTTAGCACTAATTCACTTAGCATGAGTTTATCACGAGTTCATAAAATGACCGGCTCCCGGTTAAACAAGTCGTGTCCTGCTCTCTCACTCAGTCAATTAGTAGATGAACGTTCATACGATTTGTACATGAACGTTCATTCTTTTTGTACATGAACGTTCATGTTAGTAAAGTGTACACGCTTCGAGAATCACTTAGCTCGGTGATGCCTCTCTGTTCCAGTTTTGGTTTAAAAAATCCTAAATAGAAAAGCAATTCCCACGTACTTCTCCATGCTCCTTGATTACATATATTAATAGCAGTTTTTTTTTGAGTTCACAATTTCCTCTGAGTTCCACCCTTATTACCAAGCATTTTGCCTATTAACCATCTCCTATTCAACGTGTGCTCACGGAATAATTGTGAAATTTTTGATGGCAAGTGAAAGCCACGTGTGTTTTTCAGCGTCAAAGAAGTTTAAGTCTGCTGTTTAAACAGTGTGCACGAAAACGTCAGCTGTTACGATTATCAAACCGTTCAGTGGAGAGAAAACTTGCACAAAAATTTGGACGAGATAGATATAAATTATATATATATCATATAACGATATTTTAAATTTTCCATATATGAAATTGATGATGCTACTCGGAATGAAAAGTGCTGCTGCAAAAGCTCGCTGAGAATCCTGGGCCAGCGGTTCTACAATGAGTCGGGAGTGCAATCAAACTGCAAACCACTAATCTTTTCATAAGCTAATGAGAGGTATCAAACGAAAACAATTATAAAAACTAAGCCAAATAATCAGTAAGAAGAATGAAAATAGCATTACATCCTGAAAATTTTATTTACAAGCCCAGTATCTTTTACAAATTCCACTGAAATTCGAAAAAAGCCCGTAAATGTCAAGTTACTTCAAATCAGACTCTCTGTATTCTATGTTCTTGCTATATTGTAAATAGCAACTTCGTCAGTCTTGATAATAACATAAATAATCCATCCACATTATCACTATATTTATGGTATTGAATTTGATCAAAACATGCACACACATATGAAGACCCTACAGTTTATCAGAGACTTAGAACAAATCAAATATCATCCAGCATCGAAAACGAGCTTAAGTTGAATTTTCAGAAAATACCTTTAAAAATGATTTTTGAAATTATGCAAAACTTAAGCTTAAAAAGTGGCTGGATGAATAAATATTTAATGGATATTTTCCCTGGCTAGACCGCCACACTTATGAGATGAATAATGATATTTTATGTACGATTATACTTTTGTAATAGTTCATTATTAACAGGATGATAAATTGCCGTGTTGTTACGAAAAGAAAGCTGATTCTTCTCGTAGTTCCCATACATAACCGCAAAGGCTGTGTAAATACACGCTAAGTTTTTCGATGCGTCATAGCTACAGCCCATAATTAGTCCAGCCTCATCAAAGTTAGAAAAGTAAAGAAATGCTGTTTCAATTTCAACACGAATTCAATTAGCACTGAATTTTTAAGCATCAGTCGAATCCCAAGGTTCAAAAATATCATCCTCGAAGTTCAAATTAATTGCTCCTTCACCAGCGTCAAACCGTTCAGCTGCAGCGTACATATCCTGGCGCAGCTGTTCCATCTGTTGCTCCTCGTGTAACTCAGCATCTGCCTGAGCGTAAGCAGCCTCAGCATTGACTCCCCACCTCCTCCCCACTATGTGATCCAGCAGGCGCTCCTCAGCCCACTCCTCACAATAAAAACCACTCAGCGATGTCTCCAGTCTTGTGAAGCGTTGCGCCACCAGATCCATTGGCTTAGACTTTCTCTTAGCTCTTAGCTTTTTCTTGTTATTCAGGGCCAGTAGGTCTTTATTAGTTTCTTCCTCGATGTCTTTCTTCTCCATCGGCTCCTCGGAGTCAATCATAACCTTGTTTGGCTGCATGCCGGTGAACTTCCTAAAGCGCCGGATCATAAAGTCGACAATCTCGTACTCGTTTTCTTGATCGTCGATGGACTCTTTCACTTCGGAGAACACGTCTAATACGATGGTCAAAAACATATTCATCAAAATGAATGTGCCAAAGACCATTATGGTGAAAAAGAATATGGGCCCAAGAATAGGAGCCGCTTCTTCGATAGCCCTGTAATCAAATGAGCCGAGTAAAATTCCCATCACAGTCTCGCAAGTAGAAACAAAGTTGTAAAAATCAGAAATGTCCTTGCCGAAAACCGCAAAAGCAAACAGCGAGTAAGAGAGGAAGAATACCAAGAAGACAACGGAAAATGCAGCCAAAGGACCGGCAGAGCCTCTTAAGGTTTGCGCCAGAATCGTAATACGACGGTTAAATCGTAGGAGCTTAATTCCTTTTATCCAAGCAGTGAACACCACCATGCTCACCATGTACATGAAAACTTCGTTCCAGGAAGCTACTCGGCCAAAACTGACGTATTTTCCTGGATTTTCTTCGAGGCTGGTAATTGCTTGGTTCACGAGCATCGTACGCGTGAAAAACATACCCACGCACGTGAACACCAATATGATCATCACAAATTCGATGTAGTTCCAGAACTCTTTGAAGTATCCCTTCCGAAGCCTGTATAGTTGCTTGAGCTCCTGATAAATGAACACAGTAAAGAAAAGGAGGATGAAAAACTCGCAAGCCACAAGAAATGATTCAAAACCACCTCCGAAGGTGAAAAGGCGAGCAATCTTCAGGTCAGTAAACAAGAACACTCCGTTGGTAGGGAGAAATTCTACAATTAGAGTCATAACGCAGAACAGATTTACTACAGGGTTATATGTGGCTATTTCTAAGATAACAGCCCGGGTTTGTGAATCAATCCATTTGTTTTCCTCCAGGGTCTGAATAATTTTCGTGGCGTTCTCTCTGGTGTATCCTAATTCTGCGACAAATCCTCCCCCACCATATGTCGACACGAATCCTAGGAGGATAAAAGAAGATTATGTAGAGATTATACAGGAAAGCAATAAATCTTAAATTTTATCCTATTTTGTTATCAGCGTTTAGAATGTGATTACGTAAAGAACAATGTCTCCAAAAATTAGAAGAAAAGAAACAGAAAAACAAGAGTTCTTAATTGGAAGTGTCTCCTATAAAAACTGTACACATGTCTCACCCATCACAGGTAATGTGTCCAGTTCATCCGATGTGTTGAATTCCCACGCCTGGTAAGTGAATGGCGGAATGTACAAGGACTCGTTTTTGAGTGGCTCCCATCCAATATCAAACTGGCCTTTCTCCTCGGCAAAAAAACCATACCAGTCATTGCATTCGTCGATGAAAGGTGTGAAGTCTGATGCTACCTCACAGGAGTCTGTTGCAAAGAATAAATCGCGCTATTAGTCTAAAGGTCTCTTTCTTACTATGAGTCACTCAAACTAAAATGATAACTATGCGATTTCGCTTTTGCTACCCTGTGAAAACGTTTTTTTGGTGAAATCCGAGTGAGACTTCTCATCAGTTGCCATAAAGCCCTGCAGCGGGTGTAAATACGTGAGATTAACGCGCCCGTCCACTAACGCACTGAGGTGACCTTTTCTTGAAGACCAACTACTCTTAAACGACGTGGACGACCTCTCCTTTTTTTCACCACGATCTATTTGTTTTTTTTTTTCAGGATGTGCATTAAGATTTTTCTTACTCTCCAATAATTTAACAACCTACAGTTTTTAACTCTGAGCTGTCTCAGTCTTGCCATTCCCACAATGTATGCTGTCAAATCTGCAGTGTAGCCAGGCTCCGTGTCATCTCCATTATACAATGCTGTGGTGTACAAGGCATTCATCAGTGTCGTCTTGGCATACTGATAGAAATTTTCTCGGCTTCCAATCTACATGGGATCAGTAAAAATGGAACATGTGGTTAGTACATACAATAAAGGCTTCATACTCATCCTCTGCAAAGAGGGCTACAGCTGATATCCTGTGCAACTGTGTTAGGTAACTGCACGGTTGTTATTTTTTACCACGACAGTCAGGTATGCAGGTATGACCATGTTTTATTAACCGTAGCCTTTTAAACTATCGTGCCTATCACTTGTGTACAGCGGAGACCTGGACGACATGCTTACCGCTGAGAAGCTCTTTTGGCCTCCATGAACTCCCTCTACGAACGAATTATACATTTCTTCCCTAAAGGCAAAGGAAGTAGGATCCCTGTGAGAATAGCTGACAATGCACAGGCAGGCCACGAAAAACACGTACAACGCAACTTCCTTGATGATTGCATTCATTTTCATTTCTTTAAATCTGAAAAAAAAAAAAAAGGAAAGAAAACGTATAATTCTGTTAAAAAGAAAGTTACCTCTTAGGAAAGTAAACGATCCATAACTATAAATAGATGTGTAAGAACGGCATTCGTCTCCATCGTTTTCAGGCCAAAAGCAATCAACGAAAAAAGAGAATTAGCTCTAAATCGCTTTCATTGAAATCCAACGACCCCTCGTTGGTTATTAGGGTCATGCTGATAAACTGATTCAAATGATTGAGCGATTTTAAGTAAGTATACCTGAGTTGTCTGGCTTTCTCCAGTTTCGACTTGTCGGGTGGCTGTAAACGAATAAGCGTCTTTGGTTTCATTCTTCTGTCGCCGGATTCTGGAAAAAGGGAAAAGGGTTAAACGTTAGTTGGTAGTTTTGAGAGACGATACTTGAAATCATAGAGTGTGGTTCGTCACAATTTAACGTGAAAGAAAAATGGGGAGAGGGGGCTCAGGGGAGACTTGCAGAATCTACAAGATGAGAAAGAAGCCGTGAACGGTTTGGTAAGGATACTGTGACCTTACTGACCTCTTGGACCGTCGTGCAGCCAGTCTTCGTCATCAAGCTTTTTCTTATCTCCTTCCTCTTCTTCCTCTTCCTCCGCAGGTTTCTTAATGATAACTGCAATTATAAGTGCGACTGCGAGGATTTTGATGGGCTGACTGATAAGGACATCTTGGAAAAACGAGATCAACATGGATGAGATCCATTGAGCAGATTTTTCTTTACCAAATTGTAGTCCATAGAGGACACAGAAAAAAGCTGTTGTAAAACACGTCAGAAAGCAGATAACCCAGCCAATGTAAAGAAACCAATAGGGCAACAACCTCTTCTTCTTCTTCTTTTTCTTCTTCTGCTTTTTCTCCATCTCTTCTTTTCGCTCCTGTTTAGAGATTCTAAAACTAATATCTTCTGATTCGACACCCTCAGCTAATAGAATCTCATCGTTTACAGTCAAATTCGTTTTGGAGCTAAAGTCCAAAAATGTTTCCTCTTTTTTCGAGTCCCTTTGAAGGATTTCGATAAAATCGTTTTTGTTGTTTTTATTGAAGTCGAAGAAGCAGAAGAACAACTCTTGGAACCACCAACATGTTCTTTTACTGCGTCGCTCTCTGAGCTCTTCTTTCGTTGGCTTCGCTTCGACATTACGGAAGATTCCCACGATTAAGAGGTTAACAGGCACGACGATCAAGCTGCTCATAATACCAATCCCAATTTGAGCGGGACTAAAAGCCAGAGGTCCTATCTGTATGGTAGAGGCAGGATCGCTTTCTCCTCCAACCTGGTAAAACATGGCGTTTGTGATCATAGAACAGTACAAAAGGGTTAAACAGCAGCTAATGCGCTGAAGTCGCGTGAAACGACTTTTCGCTGGCCGCATGAAGACGGAGAACCAGAGATGGCCGTCTGCGAGGTTTTTCTGTGTAGTAGAGTAAAACAGGTGGTTGAAACTTGTCATTTCATCGAGGCCTGCCACAGGAATAAGTCTGTCGACTGCACCGTCGCCTTCCTCAACAGCGAGCCAACTCTCGCAGATGAACAAGAATTTCTTGTCGTTGTTGAGATCGTGAACCACGACACGACTGACATACCATGAAGGTGAGCGACCTACCGCCAAAAGGAAGGCATCAGAGTCAAAAACGGATGTGGTTTGATTTATGACCTGTACTATACTTTGGAAACTCGATATAACACAACTTTTAAGACTTTTATAATGCAAAGAAAATTGGGTTGCTGTATCGCTAGGTCTGTTTTCGGTTTTGTTGTGCATAATGCGTACGCTTTCAATCCATTGAACGGTAGAAACGAGATTGATTAACCATTCATTAGCAAGCTAAATTATTTCATTTGACATTTTATTGCTACATAGGATCATACGATCAGTTTTGGAACATCTTTAATTCCTATTCGAAAGTCGTCACATAACTCACGAAAAATCTCACCAAAAATAATTTACCTCCGTTATTGTGCCACAGGTGCAAGTAGTTCAGCTCACCAAAACTTTCTGGGAACGTTGCCAAGAATACGTCGACGCCACGTCGCTGAAACGTCTTACGTTTAGGATCTTTAAGCAGACGGGGCTCACTTTCACCTTCATCTCCGGAGAGAATAAAACTGACTTCGGCTGTAGTTCCTGCACGTTTTCCGAACCCCGTGTAAACTGTTATCTCGTAATGGTATTGGTCAAATGACTCGTTGTCCTCCAGAGGAGTTACTCCTGCCTGAAATTTCCAAATATAATTGCAATTAAAAAAAAGAGGAGTTCACAACTGACTGGTACAAAGGAATCAGGGAATTTTGTTTTGTCCTGTACGAGGGAGTAAATGGGCCCTATAATCCAACAGATGTCGCGCGTAGAGACTGCGCTGTTAGGCTGAAGGTGCATGAGAGAGGAAATAATTCTGGAGTTGAAGCGTGAGAAAGCGCAAGGAGAGCTCTCTTTTTAGTGAAGTTTCAATGCAACTCCGGGTATAACCCCTCCAATCTATCATTTCTGCTCCTAATGTGTATTATACAAAATCTCTTTCGATTTTAAATTTTAAATAACAATGTTTATCTTCCTCTCCTCCCTTTGTATTCTTTTTGTATTCACGCGCAGTGCGAGTGATTTCACAAATTAGCCAATCACGCTGAAGAACTCTTACCTTGACATTAAAAACCCGACGGTGACATTTTTTGCGTACTTTTGTTGTTTGTTTCCACGGAGTTTAGTTTGTTTTTGCATGAGCATTCGTACGCGCAAATTTGTTATCCCTTAGTTTGGAATTTTAAGAAGTTTTGGAGTTTGTTATCTTAGCCAAATGTTGTGGTTCATTTAACAAGTTTAATGCATATTTTCTACAGAGTTTGGAATTTTTTTTTTTTTTTTCGTAAATGGATTTTTTTACAGCTACTCTTCCTCGTAACCAGTTATTTAAGAGGATACATTACGTTACGGACAAATCGGCATCAGTATGCAACACGGAAACCGTGTAATTGTTTCCAGCTCTTAAGGATCTTCCTCGAGTGGACTTGAAGACTGGCCTATGGTCTCCGAGTTATTAAACGTCATTCATACCCGTTCAACATCCTTTAAATCTTCTCTGCGTGCATAAATAGCCAATACCAGGTAAACCCCAAATATTCCACAAACAACTGCCAAAGCGATAGGATTCTCCGCCAGGTTAGCGTTGAACACCTTGTTGAAGTCGATCGGGTTTGGCGCCACGAACATGCTACCTAACAAGTAACATTAACAATAAGTCACTACAACGACCAATCGAGAATCCATTGACGTGAATACATCCATCACCTACAGGCAATCGATTGGTTAGTCTAAGTGCAGTTATGTCTCAAATAATGTGTTAAAAATGTTACTGGAGTCAATAAAGATAGAACAGTGATGATAAAAAGTTTATAGGCAGACCTAAGGATAAGTGTATTAGAAATAGGTTTTCCCGCGTTTATATGAGCAGTTAACTTTTGCGCTTTGCAGTATCAAACATGCTAAAATATTAAGTTCTCACGAGAAAGAATAAGTGAAACTCACTCGCAATATTCACTTTGTTGACACTTTTTCTGAATCGTCGTCGCTTTATAACCTTTTTAACAGGCTGTGCATCCCCACTTGAGGCGGCTGCTGTCGGTGCCTCGGTTGTTGCTTCAACTTCTTCCTCAACCTCTTCCTCCTCGTCTTCTCCGGGTGTACATAAACAATGTGTGCTGTTAGCAATAGTCTTTGGTCCAACCTGGCGTTGGAAAGTTAAAATTTAAGCTAAGTATCATAAAGTATTGCAGTAATTGTGACATTTTGAATGAATTTTTTGCTGACTTCCTTTACACGTAGTCGCTGGAGTCAAGTTTATTTAAGTAGTTCTTCAGTGACTAGTCTGGCACTCGTCCTTTTTACCATTTTACCTTGTATACAAATCATGGTACTTAGAAAAATCATAAAGAGATGCAAACTAGTTATCAAAGTTCATAAAAATCTTCATCAATGTTGGCGAAGAAGTACGCCATTAAGGCTCTTTTGGAACTCCTACAAAATGAATCAGTAAAACTAACAAAATATTTTCTAAAAATTGGACTGATCCAGCCTTTTCATAAAAAGTGGGCTTGCCTTGGTTTGTATGGCGTAGAACGAAGGGGAATATTATAACATTCTCAGGGAACGAGGCCAGTCCGTTGTAGTTGAGCTTTGATGAATTCATGAATTCTGTCGTTCATTTATTGGCACTTATTTCAACTCCTAATCGAAGAATAACACGATGATCACAGACCCTCCTGCGCCCCCCGTCCCAAAACAAAAAAAAATCAAATATAGTTACCTTACAGCCTTTTGTTGTCCAAGTGTTTTTATCTTCATCAAACATTTTGCATGAAGGCAGATAGATTCGCATGGCATAGCTGGTGTTCGCGTCACTCAGCGCATCTTTGTTTATAGCTTTCACACCTAAATAAAACTGCTTGATTGTCACGTTAGCCAGCAGAGTTGCCGTATCTGTACCATTATCGCTTTCGTTTTGTCCTCTAATGAGAAGAGGGTTGAGTAGCACATGCGGAATGACATACGTAAATGGGTGTGGCCGCTTCTTCATTTTCTTTGCTTCCGCCTGAGTCGGGAAAGTGTGCGCAAAATCGTAGTGGTTTGCAGTTGGTTTTTTTTCGTACCTCACCGCCACCATAAATTTGATATCTGGGTGAAAGAATTTCATCTCTATGGCAACGGCGGCCTCTATACTTGAACGATTGAATTTATGAATACGCATTGGAGGGTCGTCGTCTGCATAGTGATTGAGCTCCATGGGTTTAACGGGGTTTATCTTGAGGTTTCGGGGAACGAACATTTCCAATTGTTGCCCTGCTAGATCCAGCGGCTTGCCGTTACCATCAGTGAGTGATAATCCAACTGTTTTGGAATTCAAATCGCTAGAACTGTTATCCCATGCAAACGGGTTCTTGTCCATCGCAGAAAGCTAAGTAGACAAATTAGGTTGAACACGGTTACGGGAAGGACAGACCTTACGTAAAAACTTTGAAAGTACTCATCAAACCTGGATGCGTGTGACGCTTTAACATACATTTGAATCTGCAAACTTCTTTCAGAGGTAAACTATCCGATAAGCTCAACGGGACACTACAGCTTCGTCTCCCAACAGGGAATTTTGAGCTCAATCTCGAGACAATTCACACGATTCCTCTTTAAATGACGTTAGTTGAAGGCACACACACAAGAATAAAACAAGTCAATGGTTCAGCCGTTTGCCTGTTTTACCAAAGAATTCAAGAACAAAACAGCGCCAGTAACGTGTTGTTTCGACATCATAAATCAAATCTAGCCACGTTTACATTTCGGCTCGCTAAATAAGACGCACGGAGTGACTAAAAGATGATACATGAAAAGAATGACAGATTTTTTCATTAATTGATGTACAGACCGTCGAGCCAATGGCGCTTGTAGCTCCATCTTCCACGGAGGCATTAGCTCCTCCAAAGATCGCCATAGGGTCGGGTAATTTGACTCCACCCATTCCCTCCCCTTCCTCGGCATCTTCGTCGTCATTCTCGCCACCGATGTCATCCAAAGTCTTCCTTCCAACAGACATATCCAAATTTGGCGATGATATCGACTTTGGTTTGTCTCCTGCAGCAAGCTGCTTCATAAGGGCACCACTGACTTTGTCTACCACGCCAAGAGCGTTTTTGGTATTGTTTCGACTTTTGCTCTATGGAAGTAATGATAAAATTGATAGATAAAACATTCTAACATTGCTCGGTCGTAATAATGAGTTCTAAGCCAAGTAGTTACGATAACCACACTCAGATTTTGATAGTAAAAATAATGATAATCATGTGGATAACGATAATAACACATACTGGATCTCCCGAAGACGTTCCATTAGCGGCTTTTTGATATGAGTCAATCGACGCTCCTACTACATTGCCAATAGCGGAACCCAGGCTTTTTGCTACATTTTCCACGTCACGTGCGCTGTCACTACTCGTTAGGAAGTCACCCATTTCTCCTAACGCATTCACTGTAGCGTTCTGTTAAAAAAGAAAAAAAACCGGTATGACGTGTTTGCTCAAATGTTGAAATGCCTTTGCATTTATTTCAAAGTTGGTCCGACGAATCCGGTATTCATCAACGGTGCGGAATTTCTGTCCCTTTTCCTGGCTGATTTTTTTTATCATTCATCCCTCGTGATTCCTCTTCAGTTACTATAACCCGACGATAGTTCATCTCCGAGGACCATCTCTTTGCGTAAATTATTACTGTCGTTTACGGCTTTTGTATCGTACTGCGATGAAAACAAGACTGAAATAAAGTGCACGAATTATTACAACACAAAGATGAACGTTGGTGTTTTTGTTTCGTTCTACAGCACATAATTATGTCCAGTTCTTGTCCTTTGAACATCATCATTTCAAAATTGGAAAAGGAGCATTTAAATTAGCAGTATATCGCGGCTGTGCCATCCACAAGTTGTATCACAAATAAACGGCACGACCCTCGTCGCGCACACGCGCCCCAATCCTCTTGGCGCTCCATCTCTCCCTTTTTTTTATTTTCATCTATTTCGCGTTCTGCGTATTGATATCATACACTATTACATAGCATGATTACTAAATGAATAAAAATATTTAAATGCATCACTGCACTCGTTTACCTGAGCGTCCTCGTCCACCTCACCAGTCGCTGATGTCAGTGAGTTGAGAGCTTCTCCCTTCATGGCTACACCGTCAAAATCTTTGACAGGGAGCTGACTTAACTGACCAGCTACCTTGCCACGGAACTGAAAACCAATACACAGTCTAAAGTTCACATGAGGCTCAATTGACAGCGTTTTCTCAGAGTAACTATTTCAACTGCAAGAGTATCAACTACAAAGATGGTCAAAATAGAAGGAAGAAATTGACTTTGATGCTTTCAGGTTGGATTCCACCCACCTCACCCCCAAAAAAGCAGTCTCCCGGTGGAAGGTGATCTTGAATTGAAACATTAATTTTCAATCGCATATCTAAGCGACTTTTAGAAGGTTGACGGAAGGGACGAGGCAAAAATGAGACATGATATACGACAATTACATACCGCGGCCCTTTCTCCCGCACCATCGTCTCCTTCCTTGCCAGCTTTAGCGTTCAACACAGAGCTTGCCGCTCCTGCTAGTTGAACCGCTTTTTGGTCTCCTCCCTCGTCGCCAGCAGCGTCCTGCATGTCTCCGAACACTTGATCGTAATCCACAGAGACGGGTTCTAGAACCTGGAGAGATTGCAAGAGAAAGGGGTGAGGGGTTTCCTTCCACAACATGCTCGAAAGCTTCAGTGTTCATGTGTGTCAAACAAGCAAGACATTCCTATTGTTGTTCCCTCTATAACCGAATAATTGTGTGCCGCATAAACTGAAAGGGAAAAGTAACGTTCGTTAAAAATTTGAGGCTCTCGATACGTACCCGCACAGAAAACTGAGTTTCTGCGCTCAGTAAATAGGCGTCCATGACTTTCACTCTGACTTCTAGCGTGTAATTGTGTTCCGGTTTGCCAAGGGGAAATACCGATGTCATATTCTTCTCAAGTCCCGCAGTTAAAGGAATAATTTCTTCTCCATTCTTAAGCTCTGTAAAGCATGAAGAAGATTGACCGTTTGTTTTGAGTTAGAGTAATGTATACTCATTAAACCCCTTTCTTAAAGTTTTTCATTAGTAGGAGAAAAAGAGGAAGATAAATGAGGTTTCATGTACTTAGGAGACTGACGATTACATCGTGCCTTGATCTGTGCTCGAACAAATCAAATAAGAAAGAGGTACATCTGAAACAGCAATTCCCCAGAGATGGCTCCGTTGGCCGGGTCGCTGGAAACTCCATTAAAAAATTGCAAGTAAAACTAAACTTGACCCTGGCTTAGTTACAAACAAAAACAACTCGTTGCCATAAAATTAGATCTTGACTAGTCATGGCTAATTAAATTTTGAACAATTCGGTCCATGGGGTCTCGCGTTAGAAGTTAGGTGTTAGCAAAATATTTCTAACTTTCAACCGTTGCGCTGTCATTCTCGCCATGATCAATTCTTAAGTTGGATTGCTGGCTTTTTTTTGTCATCATTCGCCGATACTGCTCTACTCGTACTCTGAAAGTTTTTCTCGACAATTCTCAGACTCACACTATCTCTGACCCTTTTAATCAGTCCTACCTATCAAATAAGAAAGAGGTACATCTGGATCCGACCATCCTTCGCATACGACATTAAACAGAGTTTCCAAAGCAAAGCCTTCAGACACAGGGACACTGCACGTACCCCCTGATGGGGCAATGTTCATAGTCATCTCCTCTATTACATAACCTCCTGGATACCCTCCTGGTCTCCAGGCATTAAGTTGTAGTCTGTACGTGCGTCCGGGTATCAGATATCCAGCCTCGATAATCAAACTTGATGCGTCCAGTCCTGTGGCTTGGGTATAATCCGTCCAGTCCGTTTTCTCCTCCCAGGCACTATCGTCATCTTTCTTTGCTTCTTCGAGCAGCAGGGAGAGTTTCCACTGATACCCAAGGCGGTCACTAAGCCCGCAGTCGATGCACCGACTCTCCATGATTAGTCGTTTGAAAGGGTTTTTCTTTGCAAGCACATTGAACACATACCTGGAGAGCAAACATGAATACGTTATATTTGCATGCGAGTTTGATGCATTCATCAAAAAAGGGTCAATATAACTGTTGACAAAAGTTTCATTAAGTCAAATGAGACTGAAAGGTTTACCCGGTACAATGACCTATTCCTTGTCTCGTCGGATGATTACGGCGGTACACGAGAAATCTCGTTCTTTTGCCGATTGGACATGTTCTTAGTGAAACAAATTCATTGGCTTTACTACCCTTTTTCCTTTTGATTGCAACAATTGTCTTCTTTTTGTTTTTGAAAAAGAAAATTGAGAGACTAACAGATAAACATCTAAGTGAATCGAAAACAAGAACAAACGCAAATTCGTCCTCCTTAGAGATATGACTTTTCTCACATTGGAAGATATACTATTTTCAATCGCATCCAGGAAATTGTTTCAGAGTAGGAAAGATTGTGGTGCTTTTTTTCCAAACCAAGTTTAGTAATGGACTCTCCACTGCTACGAGTGAAATAAAATAAGGTAAAACGAAATTAGCCGACATTAGCAGCTTAAACTAAGATTTGAACTCACTCTATCACCATGGTCGGCGGTTGTCCTTGTAGAACTTCGACCCTTTGGTCGTAGTGGCTCCTGCGTGTATCCTTCTTCGCTATTACTCTGAAATCATACATAGTGTTTTGATAGAAGTCTCCCGTGAACACTGAAGCTATTTCATTATCGCCACCAAAAACGTATGTCCCATTTTCCCAACATCCACCACTTTCACCTGGCAATGAAGTGGTTGCTGGGAACTCTTCATTTACCTTCTTACACATCCAAGTGTACTCGATGCCATTCTTGTCATCTGGAAAATCTGGGTCATTAGAGTCAGACGCATCCAAAATTAAGGGTAATTGGTAGCCAACGGAACGCTTGAAACTACCTGAAATACATAGAAAGAATCCTATTTACATGCATATGATCATGCTTGCAATTGAATTTTAACTAACATCCCTTTTGTTACATTACAGCCGTACACTTTGCAACTCAGTCAACCTACTGGTGACTTTACATTCCCATTTCTTTTAATTCCATCGGTACATTTAATTTGGGGCCCTGGGGGCTGCGGTTCCCCTCCTGAGGAACATAATTTCCTCATTTTCAAAATCGCCGTTTGAATGGCATCACGTAAGGCTTCAGGCTAAAATGCACCATGACTGTCTTGTCAAAGCTGTTTTTTTATTTTCCTTTTTCCAACCTCTTTTTCTGAATTCTCTGATTCCAACCAAGTTCTCTAAGGCTACCCTTACAGTTCGACGGTATATTTAACAAATTACTCAAATAAAGCTGTTTTTTGATGAGTTTGTATGAAAGACCGCCATACCCCCCCAAAAAATAGCTTATCTCATCGTTCTTCCCTGAATGGAATTTTATTCAGGACATATTTGCTTCTTAAGGCGCTAAAGATAGAAATGAAGAGAGAGCTACAAAAACTTGAATGGCCACGAGATGTATAAACTTGAAATTAGGGTACGAGCTGTTTTTTCTCCTCATACCTCTTATTACTGCGGTCATTTCAGAACGCTTTACTTCAATCCATACACTGTCCGTGCCGGAGAATTCCGACAAGTCCCGATCCTTTCCGATAAAACTGACTGTGAGCTTAAACTTGATATAACCGAACGGAAGCCTCCTTTCTTTTATGAGCAAATCTGCCAACCGCAAAGCGTCCACCGTAACGGGAGTTTTAAGAATACGCACAAGGTCCACAGACAAATCCGGAATTGGAATGCTTTCGTTATTTGGGTCGTCATAGGTTACGAGGAAGACACCCCAAGTAAAGACAGTACTGGCGGCCACAGGACACCTAGAGGAAACTTCGTGCATTAAGGTAAGCATTTGAGACTTTTGAATCTTATCTGGCGGATCTTTGAAATCTTCTCCAACAATTTTCACTGTAGGTATATTGCATGGACTGGTAGTAATATTCACAAGAGCGCTTGCAACTTTCTTTGAGACAGTGTTGTAAGCTGAAAGCTTTACAGGGTACGACCCCATGTCATCGTATTCATGAATAAGCTCAACTTTAGTCTGGTTGGAATTCAACTCAAGAAATTTGTTATTAAGGGGTAGTAATGAAGGTCTGCAGCGTGGCTCACCCATGAACGTTACGTGCGAATCCTGAAAATCCAAAGTCAGACATGTGTCTGTTCCAGGCTCCTCGATATAAATGGTGAAATACGTTGGGTCGCCGTAATACGTCGGAAAACTAGCGTTCATCGATATCTTTTCGACCACTTTCTCTGTAACAATGTCTTTGATGGCATGCATTGTAGCTAAAATATTATCTACAGTCACTCCAGCTGTGTAAATCCCAGAACGGTTGTACACATGTGTTGTGTATGATTCCAAAGTGACATTTAGAGGCGATCCATCCCCGAAGTCCCATGTATAACGTACATCTTTGGCTTGCATCGTGACGTTAAAAAACACAGTTTCCGTGGAACGGAAAAAGTTTTTCAACTCTCCGAAGCCTTCCGTTCGTACTCCTTCTTCAATTCGCATCACACTGATACTGACATCTCTGATCTCTTGTACATCGATATCCGCTGTTAGAACGAGATTGCTAACATTGTTGGAAATGTTTACCGATGCTGTAAAGATCCCCTCCCATCTATACGTGTGCCTCTTTACAAACAGCTGTGAAGCTGAAATTATAAAAGGCGCACTCTGTGTGAGACCGGATCCATCCGCAAAATTCCAAACGCTGACCGCATCAGTCGGAGGCGTCACATTGGCTACTAAACTCAGGCTGAATATGGCTATACCGGGGTTTAGCCTTATAGGGCTGTTTGTCGAGAGAGAAAGGCTTGCTACTGGATTCTCAACGACTAAAGCTTCGGCTAAGTCCACAAAAACAGGCGACAAAGAGTTTGAAACTGTAACCCTCACGGGAAATGTACCTTGTCTAGCAAATGCATGATAGCTGGATAAAAGTTTGTTTTGGTCCGCCAAAGTACGGTAGATTGTGTCTGTGCTACCATCGCTATAGTCCCAAACGTATGTTATCCGGGAACCCTCCTTAACTCCGATGTTAATAGCAACGCTTTCATGCACTCGGATGAACCTTTTCTGGCTTGTTACCGTCACGCCTTTAATAGGAATGTCCACATCGTGAATGTCTGTGACTTCCGCTTCTCCCAGACGATTATGACACTTTACAGAGATGTTGTAAGAGCCAATCGCTGGATAATAATGGAAAAGAGGCTTGTTGAGGTGTGTGTAGTCGATCCCAAGCGTGTCTCCGTCTCCAAAGTAAATAGTGCAGAAAAAAACTGTTCCCGTTGCCATGTGAACAGTGATCCCTGAGTCGTTCTTAAAAACGGCAGGATCAGCACTTAAGGTGAGTCCTGTGATGTTTTCAATATTCTGGACCACGACCGTTGCGTTGAGAAGTCGCTTGACCGAATTGACAGCATTATAACATGTGATCTCTACCTTGTAAACTCCAACCTCGTTATAGACATGGCTCGTGCTGTAATCGTTACTTACTCTCGGTGGTGTCCCATCCTTGAAATCGAACGAACACCTAACGTTGGTACCATTGCGCACGACACGGTTAACACTGACTGTATCGCCCACAGCAAAGTAAACATTCTGCGTGACATGAGCAGCAGGAAGACTGAATTCCACCTCTGAAACTGGGATTTCAATAACCGCCTGGGAAATTATGGAAATATTCGGACCAACCAGGTTGAAAGCAAAAACAGAGACTGTATAGTTTCCTACAGCGGAATACAGATGAGTAGTGGAGCAGTTGCGACTTTCATCCAATGTAGTGGCTTTTTCATATCGGGGACTGCCATCTCCAAAGTCCACCACGTAAGTTATATTAGTACCTTCAGCTGCTTCCCACTTGATTTCACTCGGCAAGCCAAGTGCCTTAGCTTCGATTGGATTCGAAAATCTGAAACCTTTTATGAAATCGAAGGCAGCGATAACTGAATGTAAAACTATTTTGTTCACAGAGTTTGCAACAGTGAGTTTTATGTAGAAAGTTCCAGACGAAGTATACCTGTGAGTTGTTGAGTTTAACTGTGTGCGCACAATGCTTCCATCTCCAAAGTCCCATATGTGAGTGACGTTGGAACCAGAATGCCAAGGAACATCAAACACAACTGATTCGTGAGTGTTCACGATGCTTCGATGGCTCATCGTGACGTCCTCGCCCACAGGAATATCCACTGCCACTAGCACAGTTTGCGTGACGTTCGAGATCAAGTGTTTAACACCGGTGGATTTGTATAAATGCCGTATGACAAAGTGCGCGGCATGAACATAGTGCGCTGCCACGATATAGTGCCTGTGATGCATGCTGGGATTGCTGGACCTAAGCAGGTTGTCCCCTATCTGTGGGTTGGTGTGGTACTCGAATTCGAAAGCTGCTCCGTCAGCTGGATTAATCTCTCTAAATGCGAGATCCCCGCCGGCGGAAATCCAACCAAGAACATCTCCTTGTCTCACGGAGGGCTGCTCGTTCGTCGGTAAAGTCTTAATATGATGACCCACGGTTTCAATAGTAATCAGGTTCTCAGATATGAGCTCATAATCCGCCCTGGGTACGTTGGTCTGATGCGGCACTAGTGGAGCACATGTTTTTCTTGTCTCTGTGATATTTGCTATGCAGCGCCTTCTGAAGATGCAGAAAATCTCAGAAGGTTGGCACTTGTTCTTGGTGGAAGGATTACAAGTTTCACCGTCCAGCACACACGACTTGTTGGACAGACAATACTTTTCGCCAGCGTTGCAGCGAGGACGGAATATCTACGGATATAATTCATTATTTGAATTAACTCGTCACATGTTAGTTATCTCAAGCTGGGGAGAAAATTAACAATACTTACCTGTAATCTTACGTTTCCTATCTTTGCTCCTTCAAACTCGAATTCAGTGACTTTGCCATCATGTCGGAACTCATAAGCTGGTGATACGATCGTCCCTTGAGGGCTTGGCAAGATTGAGTGAAATGTGTCATTATTGCGAGGAATTTCTGGCCCAGCGTTGTAATAACGAGAACCTAGTAAAAAAGGTGACTAGGTAAAACAGTGCTCAATACACAGGAGTAGAGCGATGTATATATTGTGGGAGGAAAAAGACAAATAAACTACCAGTCCATTCCTACAGACCTGTTTCGTGGTTGCCCACTCATCAGGGGATTTAAACATTCTGCGTGACACGAGCAGCAGGAAGACTGAATTCCACCCCTGAAATTAGGAGTTCAATAACCACTCGGGAAATTATGGATTTAAAATCCCCTGATGAGTGGGAAACCACGAAACAGGCCTGTAGGGATGAACTGGTAGTTTAATTATCTTTTTCCTCCCACAATATATATATGTGTGTGTGTGTGCGTGTGTGTGTGTGTGTGTGTGTGTGTGTGTGTGTGTGTGTGTGTGTGTGTGTGTGTGTGTGTGTGTATACATATATATATATATAGAGAGAGTCACAGAGAATCGATGCGTCCTCTTTGATTCTTTCACTTACATATACTCAGTTCTGCTACCACAGCATTGAGCACTTTATGCCAAGGTAGACTCTACCCCCACATTTACACATTAATATATATATATATATATATATATATATATTGATATGTGTTAGTGAAATGGGGGTTAAACAGCAATTGGAACAGAAGTTCTGTTTCTTTCCCCTGTCACACCTCCATTTTTTTCTTTTTATTTATCTATCTATCTGTATATATATATTTGTAAATTTGAATTAACTGAATTATTGTGTCAATATTATTATTTCCATCGTAATGCATTTTTAGGACAAATTAGCTAAATAAAGTGAAATGAATAGACTGTGCATTTTGCCGTTTTGAAAGTTGGAAGAAGTAGTGACTTCCTGTCGTTTCAATTCATAAAACATTTTATCGGCGAAAACAAGTCTAGAAATCTTCCACCGCAATATCGACAAGTGGAAAATCGATTAAAAAAACTTTTAAATTGGATACGAGATTGATATGGCCAACTCAGTGTTACGTGCTTCGTGGCTGTTTATCATCTTTTATCCAACACGTCCTCATCGGATAACTATGAATTTGACACAGACGATGAGAAAATGGTACGAATATACATAGCAATAAGCTATGAATTACGTTTCGTTTCAACTGGCTTAAGTGATTAAAGGTACTCACTCAAAGATATGAACTCATAGCTTCCATCACCAAAGAAGAAAGTGTTGTTGATTCGTGAGCCCCGGATGAGTGAACCATTGCATTCTATCCAGGATCCCAAGGGAACCGAGTGTGGGCAGAGCAGTTCTATGTGCCCCATTGGATCATCGATGTCATACATCTAGCAAAAGGAAATATTCATGTGAAACTCGGTGTTAAAATCTATATTTCAACTGACGTGAAACAAGTATTACTTGTTCGAGTGTGCCTTCCAAATTTTCGAAATGCATCATTACAGGCAAATGGAACGAAAACTTCAATAATTTAAAAATCATTTGAGATACGCCCCTCTGTTGTCTGTGTTATGAGTGAGAGAAACTGCGGTTGGTCCAGATAGCACACCCCACCCTCTCAAAAAAGATGTTCGGCCAGAACCAATCTTATGTCGGTCACCGCTTTTATCTGCTCATGTGTCAACTTTTAGTGCTAAATGGCCTCTTTGTGTATTTTCATGCTTATACACTTATACCCCATTCACACCAAAGCTTATACATGTTTGCTGTTTCGCTATTTTGCTGTTTGCCATTTTGTTAAACATGGTTGAATATTTTTTTCTTCATGGCAGCTTCTTAAACCGTTTTTTGTTGCCTTAAATTAAGCACATTTGAAATAAAAAGTTAGTGACTACTTGAAACCGATAGAAAATTAAGTTTTTTAATTCTCTGTTTCTGATTTTCATTCAGTTAAACCTGGTTTAACTACACGTGTTTTGCTGGTGTGCATGAGGTATTAATTAATGTTACCTGTGAAACAGTTATTGATCCCGTAACAGGATTGGTTGCTGTCATGGAAACAATGTATGATCCTGGCTGGTCGTAGATATGACGAACTTGAGGCACGTTCGATGGCTCTAACGATTTCGAACCATCACCGAGGTCGAAAGAGAATGTAACGTTCATTCCATTGGTCAAATTCCCGGATATTGTGACTGGTTTCAGCACTGGCAAATGACGTGTGTTCATAAGACTCAAACCCAGTATCCTCTCAGATGCCGAGTATATGCTGTTTCTTAATCGACCACCGCATCTGAGGGAGGTGAGGAATAACAAAACCGTTGTATGTACCATTTTACCTTAAATTAAATTCATCAGGTAAGCTGAAATCCTGTATAGAGGCAGACACTAGCAAATTTCCCAAAATTAACCGAAAAAAAACTGTATTGAGCGTTCAGCTTGATGAGAGATCTATAAAGTCTACAAATATTCCGATTATTCGGTCACAACTTACAATCCCCTTTAATCAATTTCACCACACTTAAATACACTTCAAAACATAAATATTTATAGTTAACATACAGTCAATTAGTCGTTCTGAACGCATTCTTAAAGATACGACACTACAACATCAGAGTTGCAATTCTGATTATTTTAAATTTAAAACTACATTCTTTACGTTTAGCAGATGTGGTATATCTACCCGATACTGGAAAATTGGAAATATTGCTGAATACTCACTCTACTCTGTATTAAAAAATTAACAACTAGCTTTATTGTGCAATCTATCAAAGCGAAACTAGCAGAAGATTTTGTCTAGCTTCCAGTCTACAGGTTTTCCTCTCATAATGTGCAAAATAGTTTTTTTTTATCGCTTTTTGACATGTCACAAGATATATTGTTCGATGAGAACTTTGGATTGACCCTAACCTTAAGCATGCTTTTCTGTTTCTCCCCAGTTAATTCTTATCTTTCATGCCTTACCTAAGCCATTCTCGTGCTTCGTTAGTCCAGCTCTCAGAACCAGGACACTTCATATCACATTCAGAATCATTAACTGCCTCGACTGGTAATGAGTTTGCGCAGAGACATATATCTCCCTCCTCTAGGGCAGCATAATGGTATTTCCTACCGCACTGCCGCAGGCAATGCAGTGGACTAATATCTTGCATATCATAATCTCCCGGACTGGAGATAAACAAACGTTCCTCTTCGTTGATGGCAAAACAACCCTTGTACTCTGAATGAAGAGGAAAACGTCATATTATGATCTAACAAAATCACTCTCTTTGAGTATACTACCGGCCAAATAAGAGGCCGACCACCATAACTAATCTCAGGTTACTCTCAACATTTCTTGAATTTCACGGGCTGACGGTTCACGGCAACTGATTCAAACTCCTGGCATACAGATGTAAGTTAGAGTGAAATGTCTCTCCTAAGAGCACAATGTAACGACCCCATTCTAATTTGGCCGCAATCTAGGTAACTAACCAGGGTGTAGCACAATGGAAAAACGCCACTAGAGTTGAGACGTTAAACCAGTGAGGAAATCAACGAAGCTGTCATGTACTGAAAACGGGGAATTTAAGCTCGACTTCGTTTGAAGATAATATGTACGTAATCCCTTTTTTCAACTATGTCAATAAAATGCTTCGTCTTCATCGAAACATAAGATCACATATCGTGCACCAACAGTTCACAGAACTCTACTGCACAGAGCGCTTATTCAGTTACCTTAATACAATTATTTCTTTTTGTTTTTGCTTGCGCTTTACACATGTCTACCTTTATTTGGTTTTTTTCTCTTGTATCTGGCAATTTTAATTTTTGAGCTGTTAGAAAGAAAATGATTATGAATGAACTGAAAAATGTTTATTTTAGAGAGAATACGATAAATTTTTAAAAAGCCGGTCTCTATGTTCTCAACTACCGAATTTTCCAGTAATTTCTCCGCCAAAGGAAAAATAACCGACCGTCAGTCATATGCATTGTTTTTTTTTGAAGAAGAATCAAACACATCTTCAAAAAAGTAGGCTGTTGTAAATCTAAGCTGGTTTATAATACTATCGGTCAGATCTGTACCTCGCCTTGGAAAGCTTTTATAAATGTGCTCATGAAAAAGTGTGATAATTTTGTGATAATGCTTCTTTTGGTGTAAGCAAATGTTGGCAGTTGTGCCAAAGAAATCAATAATTTACAGAGCACAGTAATAGGCTATCAGCAATTTTACCTTAATTATTTAACATATCTTCCTTAACGACCCACTGGTTGATAAATTTTTCATGATTCAAAAATTTCCAAAATTTTCCTCTCTTGAAACCAAACTGTGTAACTAATACTCTAAAATCTATTTAATTAATGATTATTAATAGAGAAGGTACACTGAATTTTGGTTTAAATTTACGTCCTCGTGTACAATTTGACATTCTTACAAACCTCAGTTTCGCTTAACGAAAAATGAGACAGAAAAACTTTTCTTTTTTCGACGTTTGATGGTCAAATTTACAGTAGTCTCCTTTCCTTAAAATATTGGTATTTTGTTCACTGGGGACTTAATATTTGATATCAATTTTTAGAGTGAAACTCCATCTGTGTGATTGAAGTTTCGTGTATTGGTGGGAAGGCATTCACTTCAGGAGGAGAAACCCATTTATCGTTAACAGTTAAGTAGTAGAACTGTCGCCATGAGCTTAAGTCTTAGTTAAGACTATTTTTTTCCTTTTAGACCGTTTAGCAATTATATCTGTTCGTATTTTGAGAGGACAAAAAAAAAATAAATAAACTTAAGTATACATTACCTTCGGTTCGTACTTGCTTTCTTAGAGTCGAAACTCGAACCTATGAAGGTAAGAGAAGAAGATTTAGTAACAAAATTAATGAACCTTCACAGACAATTCAAACAAGAAACATGGCATGTGACATCAGGTGAAAAATTTACTTCTTACAGTAAAAAATGCTAAAAGAATGAAACATCCCACGTAGATATAATTCATTTCTTCAGATTCTTGCGGCAAAGAGTGCCTTGTCTATAGCTCAGTTAGGAAAGACGAAATACCCGCGAACTACTCAACCTTCTTCAGCTTGAGTGCTTATCACGGAAAAGTTGCCAATTTGACAAAATCTGCAAACTCATTAGGTTTTGATTGGTGAAGTTAAGAAAAATGATCGTTCATTATTAACAACTGATTAGCTCTTATCCGGCCAATCAGGATTTTATGTTGAACTAATTAGCGACTGTTTATTGCTTTTACCTGACATTGCAATGAACCACATAAAAATTTCTTTTTGTTCATTAAACTTAGATTTTGTGAAAAAATTGTCATGTTTTGACGACTACTCAAAGAAAATCTACTATCTCTATCTGAGTGGGGATATCTAAACTAAGTGATCGCCAATCACGTCTCGCTGATTCGTGAATAAAAAGTGTCAAAGAAACACTTTTAAGACTGTGAAAAAAAAAATTGAAGAGATAAAATTTTTATTACTCCGCGGGGTGTCTGAGCCATCTCCTATTCACAATAAAAATTTTGCAAAAGTATTTTATAGAAAAGAAATAAAGCTACGTAGACAGTCTATTGTGCAATTGCCATATGCGGTTTTTGAAATGACATATTTTGCCTTTAGAAATTAGCTAAAACAACTGGAAATAGGATTCTTTTAAGAGAAAATTAATGAGTGGTCCATTTTAGGGGCAAACAGTATTCAACTCTTACCAAATATTATTCAGTTTAAGATCAAGAAAAAGGCGCCGTGTTTTCACTTCCAGAATGAAAATTTGATCACTGTCTCACTGTAAACCTGTCCTATTCGCTTCCGATCAAAAGCAGGAAAAAATAATAGTAAATGTGGCACTATTTAAACAAGGTTCAATCATGAAATCACATATTATCCAGATTATTCCGTTGGAGGCTTGTATGTAGCGTGCCATCAATACCGGCCTTTCAGAAGCCAATCAAAAAATTTCTATAGGAACTGAAATAATAAGGATGAAATTAGATAGCATAACTTTGAAAGAAGTGTCACAGAATCAAGGAGTTTTTGGTTGTTCAGACTTAGTTAAAGGTTTCAAGGATTTCTGCAATAGCGAAAGACGTGGTTGGCGAGAAGGGGAGGGTTCTGAGTTCATTCGTCTTGTCAATCTTTTCATCATTGTATAGTACTAGATTCGTGCGTAGTTGGTAGGAAGGTTGTTATCACCTGGTGAGTCATTCGTACTTGACAGGATCTTATCCGTTTACAGTAGAGCATTTTTACGAACTTCGTGCGGATACTGGCTTTTCTCTTTCTACTTATAATCCTCTTTCGTTCTCGACAACTAAGACTAAATTTAGTGTCTTACTAAATTTGACAACCGAACTAAGACTGATTATCAATACTTCCATCAAGGATTGTTCCGAAGGGAAAATTATTCACTTCTTTTAAATCATTTTTTAAATAATAATAATTTTAATTTACAAAACACAATTAGCACACACACTACTTAAAATGCAGGTCTCGTTGCAATACTCTACTTACAGAACAATACTTATTTTAGTTACAATAAGGATTACTTAAGCTGGCAATACCATACTGAATACATTCTTTACAGAAAAAAAAAATTCTTGCATTACAGGCTACTTTAACTTCTAATGATACAATACTCTACTAACATTACTTTCTGAACATACAGTTTCTTAAAATACTTAGAATACGCTATGCGAAATATTTACATTACTTACATTACAATATTCTAGTTACAATAAAATTCTAACATGTCCTTCAATGTGATCAAAATGATAAAGTTCTTACTGCCTGGATCGAATCGTTCAGGGAAACTACAAAATTCCTGAACTGGGGCCTCCCTGTTAAATGTAGTTTATCATCTTACCAAGGATCCCAAATTGATTCATAACTCTGATAATAAGGTCTGCTAATAATGATGTTAATGACTATATTGCAAACTGTATTATAATGGAGGCCAGTATTGCTCAATTTTGGTAAATACTGTCTAATTAGGTTAAATGTGAATTCTCTTGGTAAACATGAGCATAGCATCCTAACTCTTGCATTAAATTTACGTATATTTTGATTCCTATCATGCTAAATGAACATTGGTGTTCAAGCAGGAAGTGACATCGGCAAAGGCTATCAGTTCTAAAACATCACGCCCAAACACATCCGTCGAAAAAACTCTATCCTAATTAGAAAGATCACTGTTATTTGCTTTTAAGCTCGCCTGTGTCAGTGAGTTTTTGTCCTTTTGGCTTATTTTTCTGCGTTGCGTTAAAATTGAAGCCGTGATCATTAGACGAACAAAGACGCAAGATAACACCCCGTCAATTTATTTTAGTTGAATGGTAAATGGAAAATTAAAGAACCTCCGGGCCTGTTATTTTCCGCTGACTTCCATGAATAAAGTTATCGAAATTCTTGATAAAACGTGTGTCTTCTCGACACAGTTTTCGCGGACCTCACCACTTGCTCATAGTCACACTCTTCCCATAATACTTGATGATACCTTGAAGTGCCTGTTTAATTAATAATAGCTAATTTATGCCGAAGAAAAAAACAAAAATATCTGATTCTTTCATTGTTTATTTTTAGTGTTTTATGAGAAAAAATTGGTTAGTTAGGATAACAAATAACAGCTTAATGAGGGTAAATAATAACTTGATATTATTTTTTACCTCTATTGAAAAGAAAACAGTATAAGTAGCGTTAGTTATAGAAAGACACTCACGCTTCATCATTACTGAGGACAGCGTTTATGCACCTAAAGCAGAACAACTTAACCAGATTCAAGTAGAAAGGTAGGGCGTTCTTGTTGCAAGCATACATTTGAAAACTATATATGGATTCTTTTTGAAATTTTTTAAAATTGTGTTAAATTATTTGTCAAGCTTCTTTAACATCGTGTACCGTTGCAAAGCAGTCGAGAGTAAATATAGAAAACAGAAAGAGCAAACGATATCATTTTGAAAACTGTAATGTAATGGAGGAGAGAAGACGATATCATAAAAAACTTAGACATAAAAAACTTTGTTAAGACGTGTCACTGAATGAAGCTATGGGTTGGCCTTTTTTTTTCGGGTTTTCATTTACAAGGATTCTTTGAAAGTGTTAGGGGTAATGAGTGAGATATTATATTTTGCCCTTAATCTGCTCTACTTACTAGAAAATGTATGCGCCTTTCAAGGCAGCACGAGGTCTCATCTGCTTCCGTAATTTTTGAATTTTATCGCCTTAAATGTTATATCTGCTGCCGCAAAATGGTCCAGGTTCGCCCCTCTTTTGGTTTTCTTCGATTTCATGGTGGGAAATGGCCATCTTATCGCGGTACCAGAGCTGGACGACAAGTGAAGGAGCGAGAAGTTTATCGTCACCGCCATATTGCAGTTATTTCACCAAGGTCAGCCAACCATGGCCCCTACCGTTTGAAGTCCAGTCACAAATACTGTAATAACGCCAACCTTCTCGCTATTCCACCTACACCATCTAAAGCCGAACCTGCAAAGTCATCAAAGCTATTCATGCCGTCGTTCTTTCTCTCCAACGTCATGTCACTGGCGCCGAAAATAGATGAAGTCCGTGAAGTCGTCCATTATGCAGATTTCGACCTTGTATGCATAACAGAGACTTGGCTCAAAGACCACATTGACAATAATATTGTCGCTATTTCTGGCTATAACGTGATCCGCCGAGATCGAACTGAAGCAGTGCATGGGGGAGTGTGTCTGTACATTAAAGAGTCTATCCAATTCAAGATCATTGAGGACATTATGGATAGGAAGTTTGAAGTTGTTTGGACTCAAATACGGCCTTCGCGTCTCCCAAGGGGCATTACCAGCATTATTGTTGGAGTTGTTTATCATTCTCCGAGCGCCGCGGATTCGCCTATGCTGGATTATTTGTATAACTGTTTATCTTTGGTTGAGGTTCGCTTTCCTGGCTGCGGGATAATTTTACTTGGTGACTTCAATAAAACTCTGTTAAAGAAATCTTCGCGCCTTAGTAACGGCTTTAATTTGAAGCAAATCGTTACCTTTCCAACTCGCGGCAGAAATACCTTAGATCCGGTGTTAACAAATGTGAAGGAGTTCTATGCCCCTCCGATCCAGCGCCCTGCTCTCGGTTTGTCCGATCATTTCTCTGTGGAAGTTCAGCCGCTCGTGCGTTCCCAACAACCAAGAACTAAACTTATCGTGAAATCGAGGGACTTACGGCCTACAACGCGTATGGCTATGCGCACGTATCTTGGAAATGTGGACGTTAAGACACTTATCGATAGTAAAGATTCTTGCAAGGGCAAAGTGGAAATGCTGGAGACCATAGTTAAGACCGGAATGGACATTCTCCTCCCCCTGAAGTCTAAGTCGGTACAAACCAACGAGCCGCCCTGGGTCAATCAACAATTGAAGGGTCTCATTCACAGCCGCCAAAAGGCCCTCGCTCAAGGCGACCAGGAGCAGTACCGCACCCTACGAAATCGCGTTAATCGTGAGAGGAAAGCATGCCGTGCAAAGTTCTATAACTCCAAGGTTGAACATCTGAAGGACTGTAAACCCGCAGTTTGGTGGCGTGAGGTAAAGAAGCTCAGTGGTATGTCAGACGCAGCTTCTAGAGGCGTTAATCCAGCTACCCTCTACCAACATATTGATTGTGGTCAGAGAGGTTCGCCTCCAAGCACGATAGACATTGCTAACACCATCAACCAGGCGTTCTTGGCTCCTATGCGCGTCTTCACCCCCCTTTCACCTAACACCTCAACCAACTCTGACCAGGAGAGTGCTTTCCAGGTATCAGAATTCTCTGTTTTAAAGAAGCTATCCGCCTTAAATCCAACTAAGGGAACCGGTCCGGACGGAATCCCCGGTTGGCTTCTTAAAGAGAATGCAGATTTACTAGCACTGGCTGTGACTGATATCCTTAACTGTTCGTTTAAGGAAGCACGGTTGCCTCAGTCTTGGAAGGACGCTAACATCACTCCAGTACCAAAGCAGAATCCAATACACGATGTAAACAAACATCTACGTCCAATATCCCTAACTCCCGTACTTTCTAAGGTTGCTGAAGATTTCGTCGTGGAGAGTTTCCTCAAGCCTGTTGTGTTGGCGAAAGTGGATGTACGGCAGTTTGGGACTGTGCCAGGTTCCAGTACGACACAAGCACTAATAAGCATGGTCCACTCATGGCTTAGTGCTACGGATGGGAACGGTGCAACTGTCAGAACCATCCTCTTTGACTTCCGCAAGGCGTTTGACCTTATTGACCATCAGATCCTAGTTCAGAAGCTCATTTCATACGATCTTCCAAGCGGAATAATTGACTGGATAGTGGACTTTCTGTCCTGTCGCCGACAGCGTGTTAAACTTAGTCAGGACTGTTACTCGGGTGGGGGCCATCCCATCAGGGGTCCCACAGGGCACAAAACTTGGCCCCTGGTTATTTACTATTATGATAAACGACCTCATCATCCCGGGTACAGACATGTGGAAATATGTCGATGACTCCACTATTTCTGAAACAGTCATGAAGTCTGAGGTCAGCAAAGTCCAACAAGCGGTTGACGAACTCGCGACGCAAGCTTCTGCTGACAAGTTCCAATTAAATGAAACCAAGTGCAAGGAACTGCGCATAACATTCAGTCACTCTAGAAAGAACTTTGATCCAATTAAGGTTAATGATCAGGACTTAGAGTGTGTAGAGCAAGCAAAGATCTTAGGTTTGCAGATATCTTGCGATCTTACGTGGAATAATCACGTATCCGAAGTTGTAAAGAAAGTAAACAAGCGCCTGTATTTTTTGCGTCAGCTTAAGCGTGCACAGGTCAAGTCGGAGGAACTTTTGCTCTTCTATTTGACTTGTATTAGGCCTGTCACTGAATATGCATGCCCTGTTTATCATCATAGCCTCCCGCAATACCTTTCAGTAGATCTTGAGAGATGTCAAAGGCGAGCTTTACGTATTATCTATCCAGATTGTTCGTACAATGAGGCGCTTCTTTTGACTGGTCTAGTTCCCTTACACAACCGCCGCGAGTTCTTATGTGATAAGCTTTTTAATTCCATCCTGTCTAATCCCTCGCACAAGCTCTATAGCTTACTACCTCCCAAGAATGAGTGCGAAGTCAATTTAAGGAGTCAGCACTCTTTTACTACACGGCGCCTCCACACCATTCGTACTCGAAATAGTTTTATCCATCACTATGTCCATAAAGCAATGATGTAATATTGTTTTTCTCTTAATTATATATTTTTGTCTTTTTAATTAGTTCTTCTTAGCCATGTATTTTTTGTAGTATATATTTTATTGTAAATCAAACGTAATTCAGCCTGTGGCTGCAAGGTTCTTGATAATAAACTATCTATCTTACACTGAATGACGAGCTAGCAGACGAAAGCCACAAAAGTATCTCGATAACAACGTTTTCGTCATCAAGACGATCCATAATTCCCCCTTATTGCATTGATTCGTTCCTCAGTCTTGACTTCATGAAGAAAAACCTCGAGACGCAAGTGGCCACTTTAAATCGTACTAAGATTTGAAAAGTATACGCATTAATTTTTCTACGCATGCTAGTCTAAACAAGCCTCCATTTTTCGCCAGAGAAATAGGAAACTGAAAAAAATTATCAGTTTCTTTACTTGCTTGAACAGCTGGAACGGTGTTATGAAAAATCGAAAGAAGTGGACCATTTACGAGGCGTATGCTAGTTGCATATTATACCCCTGAGTGGTTTGACGTTCTCTCTTGATGGAAATCAAGGCCGCATGAAAACATTTTTGAAATGACCAGTTTACAAAGGAAATGATCACTTGATAGGGTGATCTGTGATTAGACGACAAACAACAAACCAACATGGTCTTCTTGTGAGATGTGAGACGTTGAATAACAATAATATGTTAGGAAGATCGCGAGTAAAATTTTGGTAATCGGAAGGATATAGTATTGATAGGCTTTCTTATAACGAGAGAAATTTCCCTCTTTTTCTTTTAATCACAGAATTTGACAGGATGCTGAGCTTCAAGCTTTTCTGTTACATTAGTGTTCTACAGATTTCACTCATGATAGCTAACGGTTGGTATTTTCTGCTAACTTTATTTGCATTTGTGGTTTGGTTGGTTTGATAGGATTATACACACTTAAAGATACTATCTGGAAACTGTTTTATCAGTCAATGAACAAAAGTAATTTACATGTCACTCTGTCTTACTTTGCAGCTATCAGTGTACCAGATCCTGTGGCCGTCTATCCTCTAAACAGCAAGTATCTATCAAGAGAAATTAAAGATCGACTGCCCCCAGGTATCCTCAGTGATGTGTCTTTGGCACCTGGAATCGATGGAAAAGAAGGCGGCTCCTACCAATTCGCAGGAAATATTGGCAGTTACATTGAATTTCCGAATAATGGAAGATTAGACGTAAAGCACTCCATTACGATTTTATGTTGGGTGTATCCTCAGACCACAGGTGGTCCTCTCTTCCAGTACAGCGGTTCCGATGACTGGGGTGTTCACATGTGGATGGCGGAGGGAAAGTTGTTTGCTTTGTTCTCACGCAGGAACTACAAATCCACAATGTATCTGTTTTACGATGCTTTGGCTTTGGCTTTTAACCAGTGGCATTACGTGGGGTGCTCGTATGACTTCATTTCCGGTGAGGCAAATTTATGGTTAAATGGAGAATCGGTGGTAAAGATGAATATTGGAAAAGAGATTGAACTTGCCACTCAAGATGAAGTCCGAATTGGTGCTATCAACATGGATGAGCGGTACTTTCAGGGAAGAATCACGGCCGCACAAGTTTATGACGTGGCCCTGAACGCTGAGCAAATAAAAGCCGTGGAAGGCGTTGGTCAAGGCGGTAATTATTCTAAGACTTTAATTTATGCCAACTGATAACGTCCGCATAAACCAGTTACCACGGTACCGCCTTTTTTTTGGGATTCTTATGAGTCTTGCACAGTGTTTTGTAGATTACAGTCCAATGAATAGAGCGTCTTTGACCGGGTGTAATGAGGGAGGCCATTTTACTGATAGAAGTCTATGTGTTTGTAGCTGATGTTTGCGCAGACAAAAAGCCCTGTCAGAATGGGGGAGAATGCAGAAGCTCTGGTGACAGCTACACCTGTTCTTGTGTTGAAGGATTCCAGGGAAAAAATTGCGAAAATGGTGAGTAAAAGCTTAACCAAAAAATGCGTCAACAGTGAAAGTGTGAGGATAAAATGCCTCCAATGCTGCGATACCTTTTTAGCAAAAATTTCGACAGGTTGATTTTAGAAAATGAAAGCTTAAAATTGACAAAATAACTCTACAGCAGGCTACTACAGTTCGCCTCCGATTCAGGATCACAGGACCTTCCCTGAAAAGGCTTGACTTTTTTCATATCAGAGCAGTGAAGAATGAAATTTCGAACTAAAAAATTAATTAAACCTGTCTCTCAAGGACAACCTTTGTGCTTAGAAATTTTAACTTTGATGTTTTTCATTCTGGCTAGATATCAACGAATGTATAACTTTACATCCATGCCAAAATGGTGGACAGTGCATAAACGCACAAGGCGGCTACGAATGCAAATGCAAACCTGGGTTTACAGGAAAAAATTGTGAAAAAGGTGAGAAAATTACTGGGCATTTACTGTTGTTCATAACCTTTGTGCTTGCAAAGAAAGTAACAAGTTAACCTTCTCAAAAACCAACTTGGGGATTTCGACGGTAGCCTGCAGAGCAGGCGTAATTTTGGCGAGCGAGTGCTCATTATTTTCTAAACAAAAATTATGGCCACCATCTTTGATTTTAATAACAGCGGATGGCTGGGAAGAGAAGATAATTTCCACTAAGGGGGAGGTCGACGGTCAATGATGGAGAGGGGTGGGAGAGGGGTGGAGAAGGGGGAGTGAAGATTACGCCTGCCCGAAGTCATTGTTATTTTCCAAAACTCCGTTCGCCCACGAACGGAGTTCCAGATGGATGCGGTTAAGCTCCAGCTGTCAATTATAAACCAAATGTGTCATTTGGACATTTTGCTGTTGCGGAAAAAATACGAAGGATGGCAAACTCTGTAGACGATGAAATTGTTAGTTTCAATTCCGCTTTGAAGGAAGTACTCAAGTCTCTTTCGGAATTCAATGTCTCGTGTATCAAAATCGGTACAAAAAGAAACAATTGTTACACTGGTTCTGGAAAGGATCTACGGGCCGTGTTGCCAAATGGCTTTGGGAAAAGCCTAATGCTCTAGGTGTTGGTTCCTATGAAAGAAGTTATGACAGGGAAACCTGCGAGCGTAGTTGTCGTTTTTCCGCTCCAACGTATTGTTTATGATCAAATGGAATAAGCATCTTCGGATTAACGGTGGCTACGCTCACGGATTGGCCATGATTTTGGAGGACATAGAGTGCGGCAAATATCAAATTGTATTTGCGTCAGCAGAGAACGTTTTGGTGAAGCCATTTTTTTTCATTAATAAAAAAAAAAAGAAAAAAGCACACCGTTCCACCAGACATGGTATGCCGGTTTGCATCAAACAAATTGTGGTGCGTAAAACTTCGAGTGCTGTTGTTTGTGCTTCAAAGTATTGTTTCATTTGGAAAAAAAACCGTCAAATAAATTAACGCATCAATACTCAAGGATTGTCGTTTGGAAAATATAGAGTGCAGCAAACATCAGCTAACAATTGTGACCACGGAGGTTTCGTCGAAGCCATTTTGTTCCTGGGTGAAAAAAACGACCTTACCATTTCACTCATCGACTCTACATGCTTTTTTTTGTAGGAAAACAGTGCTACCGGTTTTTAATTTAACTCATTTTGATTGATTACCTGCTCATTTCCGTAAATGCAGTGACGCGCAACTAATTGGGGGTGTTTTGCTTTTCAACAGACTCCTCGGGCAGGTGTCTTCTCGCCCTTCCCCCGCCCCCTACCCCCATCGTCCACTCTAACTCCAAATCAAACATGGCCGGTCGGATAAACGATCGCGAGCCTATAACGTTAGCTCGCCGTAATAAGACGCCGGCACTGCAGGCTATTTCAACGGCAGTTTAATGATATTTAAACCTACTAAAGTTTCGCGAAACCAACTGGGCACACCGATGATTATGGGAACGGAAATCATAAAAGATCCTATTACTGATACCATAGCCAGGCCTTATTACGCTATATTTTTTCTAGAAGGGCATGAGGACTTACACGTTTCCGGTACTAGCCCATGCTATCTTTCCTCTCATTTTGAATCTTGCAATGACTTTCCTTTTGTAAAATATGTAGATTTACTTTCAGCGTAGATTAATGTGAGGGCAATTCAATGTGGCAGATCTGTTAGCACGCTAATTTGACATTCTGAGAACTTTACGTAATTACTACGCAGATACATGGTAGCTCTACCGCTCCTTATGAACCATAATCATCCCTCTTTCTTAGAGCCAGGCGTGTACAGTGGACACGATACTATTTTAAATAAACACTTCCAATGGCACGCGCAGTCTCTTGGACGGATCAGGCTCCATGAGATGCACTCCACGGGAAATAAATTGCGAAAACGATCTCGGCTCTTATATCACTTTTTGTATGTTTTTTTAATGAAATGTAGATGAGGACGATTGTTTAAATGCTGTGTGTCACAATGGAGGAAAGTGCATCAACGGAATCAACAGCTACACGTGTGACTGCAAGGAAGGATTCATTGGAGAACAGTGTGGTAAGAACGCTTAAAGGTCAACGGGTGTGTTTTGGTGACACCTTTTCTTGAACTGTTAAGGCTTTCCGGCAAAATAGAAATTCGAAAATCAGCATACGAGAGGTAAAATTTGACCCACCTCTTTACCGCTCCAGCATTCCTCTTAAGAATACATTTCGGTTCGCTTTGGGGGTACAAGGGTTTTTCCTTTTTTTGAACCTACTCTTTTCATATTTTTGTTCTCTTTGTTCTACGTCATTGATTAGTTCTACTGATTTTCAGAGCGAGACTGGAAAGCTTGCTTTTGCCTACCAAACAGCTTAAAACCCGACTTTGTCATGAGATTCATACCTAACTCTGTACATACACTTACCTATCCCCTTTCGAAAATGTACGAAGCGAGAATTTTCTTGCAAGTGTCGTCGCTCATTGTTATCTTAATTACAGAGGTAAACTTTTAAAGGAGATCTTGCATTATGGCTTTGAGAAATAAATTTTTTTACTTACATAATTGTATCGATGGAGTTGATTATATGTGTTATAGAGTGGGAAAAGCAAGGATGCTTTAAAGAAGTCAAAAATAAAATCAAGAACGCTATGGGTAAAGTTCTCGGAAAATTCAGAAAGTACAAGAAGAATATCAAAGGTGCTGTGGAGGCTTGTATGAAAGCAGCTAAGGGGAAAAAACTGGAGATCTTTGGGGTTCGTAGCAAATTCATCTGTGCGACAACCAAAGGCAATGCTGATTACAAGATGCATGGTGCATCACCCAAAGGGTGCAAAGAAGAAGGAGATTACGGAGTCGGAGTGAAATTGGCCAATTACGTCTACGTTTTGAAGAAGAATTAGAGCCATAAACTTTACAGCAAGGGACCTTAAGTTCACGGTGAGTCCAAAGTTACAATTACTTAAGATTGCCACTAGACAATACCGATTAAAATATGGGTTCCAGGATTCATTTCACTCTTAAGCGAGTCGAAAAGTTTGGCAAAAGCTGTTGACCTAATTCGTCCGTTAAAAAAGGAAAACGCTGCGGTTCTCAGACAGCCGATCATATAGCCACTGCGTGAAAACAGAAAAAAAAATTAAAATCATGTGAGATTGAGATGCGCTTCACTAACCCCATCAAAGGTGTCGTTTAATTGCTGTCAATAATAATTATTTTAAACATTGACGCAGTAATTTATCTTTACACTGTGCTCATAACAACTTAACGAACAAACTGCTTAGATGTAAGGGATATAAGGAACAATAAGATAAGATATGAGGTAAGAATATTTGTTACGCTTGAGGTATCTGTGCAGATTGACCGAAATTCATTTAACGGTAATCGGAGAACGGCGTCAAACAACATGTGACTGATTTCTTCGTTTTCTTGGCCGACGACTCTTGTGCGCTTCCTCCTTACAAAGGAAAGCCTGATCGCATAATCATGATGAAAAAAGAAACCTAACCACCAAAGTTCTGGGGCCCTGAAAAAGAAAATTCTGATGTCAAGAAAAGTTTCAGTGACAAACACTTGCTTGTGTCACATTAGATCTACATTACAAGTTTATTTGTTCACGTTGCATTTTTTTCCCTCTCAGGCCTGGTTATCAGCAAGAAGTTGCAACGAAGATTAGAAAGAGTAGAAAGAAACTGAAATGTATCAGCTTATCCGAATCGTGGGGTTTTATCTGGGATCAATAAAGTGTGTGGAAAAACTATCAGTGTTGCAATTCTTTTAAAAGATTATTGATGATTGTTGGTCGGGAATGGTTATCAGCGGAAATTAGGAATTCTTATCAATAGACCCAAACGAAATTGTTCTGTGGTATGAAGAAATAATTGACGCGCACAAGCCGAAAAATAAGGACATAGAAATTTCGTCTTTCGATTCACATAAAGCGTTCAAAGAGGAGACTTAACATGTTAGACATGTCACTCAAAACAAAGAGATCATTCTTACCTCCTCACCTTGCCGTAATAAGCTGCACTGTTGTATCTCATTTCGATCCGTGCCAATGTTTGGTTGCTTCAAGTTAGCTCAAGTGTTAATACGCACTAAATCATTATAGCCACTGTTTTACGCCACAGAGGATATCTTCCAAAGTCCATGTTATTAATGTTATTGGAGGGTTGTGGTCAACCGTTGGCGTAAAAACTGACAAATTTTGTCGTTAGTCGAAGAAACCCTTAACGCTAAAATTGTTTCTATTGTCCGTAACGGAAAGAAAGCAACTGTTAGCCGTAAAATAGCTAACATTTTAAGCGTTAGCCGTAATAGCCATCATCTCATTGTGCTCCTCGATGATACACATCCAAAATGTTTCCTCTTCTTTTTCACTTTTAGATTAAAATCAATTCTCGGGCAAGGCCAAGAAAATTTCAGTGCTAAACCCAATAGGTCCCATAGTTTTTTCGACTTCTTTCAGCGAAACTAACTTTTCCACTATGTGTTGTGATGATGACGCAAACATCCCTTAAAGGCTGAAAGCCAAGGGAACCTTGAAACCGTATGCCCACCGTAACTTTACGATCATGTGCAATTGCACCCTCAAGAACAAGTCGATGATGATAGCCAACAGTTTGATTAAATGAGATACGAATTAGATTAAGGAAGAGTCTCTTGAATGTTTAGCTCTCCTGATCGTTAGCCACTCATGTCAATCTTGTTTCTCTTTATCACGTTGTCTCTCAGACCATGAAGAAACGAAAGTTTGGTAATCAGGTTACAAAAGCCCAAAACCAAAGTTCTCTGCTCTCTACTATTAGGAATTTCTGCACATTTAGGGGTCTTACCAAACCTCATTTAAGTCCTCTTGCCTTTGAAATGAAAGGCTATGCAAATTATAACGGGCAACATCTTCATTTAAGTTCCTGAATTATTCCATCCTTTTAAGAAAGGTTGGTTGGATAAACTGACCGTTTTTCATTGAGGACGTGTTCCTAATGATCGGAGAGTTTACAATAGCCAGTTTGTTCACTTGAAACTGCAATTCTTATTTATAGAATATTGCTTCCCGTCCAATAAGGCCTGATCTTATTTTGGTCTTTACCAATTATTAATATATAGATTTAGCCAAGCTTAGAGCGGAGCTCTTGTTAGTTTACTTTCCAGCCCTTGTACATTACCCCACTTTCAAAGAAGAGCATTTCCCATGAAAATTTAAGCATTAAAAACATAAGCTACCAGTAACAGGCTTTTCCATTGTAAGTGTTTCATAACATCATATTCTCATCACATTTTTTTGTTACATTAGAAAGCATGATATTTTACCATTACATTTTTTAATCATTACAATATAATAAAATCCCCCATTTTAACCCTTTAACCCTTTAACTCCCATGAGTGACCAAGACAGAATTTCTCCTTACAATATCGTCGAAGTCGTCGATTTAAAAGAATTAGTATTTCTAGTTGGAGTTTCGCGAATGGCTGGTTGTGTTTACCGTCTGTTACGGCGTCAAACTTCAACTTCAACACAACGTATCTGAGCAGTGTTAAGTCCCAAATGGAAACTTAAATGATTTGCAGTCGGGGTTTCCAATCTCAGACCACGCAAATTTGGTAATTTCACGTTGATAATTGGGACTGCAAACCACGACGGCGACGGCAACGAGGAGACGAAAAAACAAAAGATCTTATTGGAACAACAATAGCTCAGCACGTGCATTTTAAAATTTGTATATTTCTTGGCCGTCCTATGCAAAACAACAACGTGAAATCACCACAACTTGCGTCGTCTGCGAAGCGAAACCGCAACGGTAAATTATTTTCATTTCCATTTGAAACTCAACGCGTCTTTTATACGTTATGCTGAAGTTAAGGTGTGGCGCCATATGAGACGGTAAACACATGCAGCCATTTTTGAAATTCTAATTTAAGGCAGAAATTAATTTTTAATCGAAGTCTTCCTTGGCGTTGCTGTCCTGACTGCTTAAGGTCCCTATTGGTGTGCAGAGGACGACGAAGAAATGTACAAATTTTTAAAACTCACGTGCTGAGCTATTTTTCTGCTCATTAGATCTTTTGTTTTCCCACATCATCCTAGCACAGGCTATCAACGTAAAACTGCAACGATAGAATTTTAGTTATTTAATGGATTTTCGCCACTAGGCAGGATCTTTAACATCGCAACAAATGTAAGTTTTGTATCATGTAGTTTTTTCGTTGTTCTCGTTGTAGCTTTCCTTGTGTATTTAGTCTAGTTTATATTGTAATAGTTTTCGTTCGCTGTTTTATTTGCAGTTTTAACCGTACCGTGTACCGTTCGCGTTTAAAATTGTTAGAATTAGTTAATATAAATCGCCAGTGGCAGTTACAACGAGATTAAACTCAGTCAGACTTGAGTGTGAGATTAAACCTACCTTAGAGCCAAATTCATGATGCTGAAGTTATTGTCCTAGCGATCTTCAACAGCCGTGGTAGACTCGGTTTTTTTGTGCAGCAAGCGAGTACTTCCCCAGAGACAAAGGACAGCCCTACCGCTATTGTGAATATTTTGAGTAATTCCCCGTTAGTCCCGTTACTTGAGAAGAAAGCCTTTCATTCATCAACCTGACCGAGTGGCGCCAAAGGCGAATGACGTGTCAGCAGCTGATTGGCTATATCAGCACACGTGAAAAAATATTTTTTCACGTGTGTTGTTAGACTTTTCTCAGGGCCGGAAATCCCTGTATAACACCACAGTTTATGTTATAACAGTAATTTTCCAACTTGTGACTTTAGAGACACCAAATGCCCTTCGGAAAGGAGCCCTTCTAATATTCAAGAATGTCCTTGGCTGTGGAACAGATTACTCAGTCTCAACTTTATTTAGGAAGTAACCTTTCTTAAATTTGAGACTTATGCCGTGTTATCTATTAGTTGATAAGATCTGCAGCCACTTATGTTATTCTAATTTCTAATTTTTAAGTTGTGGTACGCGAGTCTGTGATGTTTGCGATACCAGAGTTGCAGCGCGAAGCTCTGAGGCAGATAAAGCGAGACAGGTTCATTAGAAAGGAACTCTTCTACAGTTTAAGAATGTCCTTGGCTGTCGCAACGATTAATTTGTGTCACCTCTAGGAAGTAACATTTCTTGAATTTAAAAGTAGTGTTGTGACATATGTTACTTGGTAAGATCTACAGTCACTTACGCTCGTTTAAATATCCTAATTTTTATAACTGAGCTTCGACTTTACATTTTGTGAAAAAACCAAAAGTGAAGTAGTTGTGATTCTAACAATCCTTGAAAACAATTTGATAGAAGCATAAATAATTATGCATCTATATGGCGGAAAAAACTCGGGAACCTCGCAAAGTTATTGTGACGCAAGGATGCGTGGGCTTGCAGACTACATAAAATAGTCTAGATAAGGCGCAACGACGTCATTCTCCAGGTTTTCGCATTCCAACTAAAGGTTTTTAAATTCAAATGCTGCGTTGCCGTTGCGTCGCCTCTTTACTCTCAAAATATCTTTTATGATTGTAATACTATTCTAAAGCATTGCAAGCTTTTAAATGTCCTCCGTCGATCCCTTTGCTAACTGATGTGACATTTTGCATAATTCTAAAAGAAACGCATATTTTGCAATCTGATAAACACACGCACGGAAGTAATTGAGGAAAGTCAACGGCAATCAAGAGTGCTAACAGATCGGGTCACTGAAATCTGACAGATATCGACGAATGTTTGAATGCGAAGGTGCCGTGTGCTAATGGAGGAAGATGTGTCGACGGAATCAACAGCTACACGTACAACTGTGCGGATGGTTATGTTGGAAAATATTGTGGTGAGAAGATTGTAGCCCTATTATACATAAAAGTTAGGTACACGAGTCAAATTTAGTAAACCAAAAACTTTAAAAACAGAAAAAAATTCTGTGTCCAGCACACAAGAATGGAATCGCGAATTATTCTAGACACCAAACTTTAAAAATAAGCCATCATAGTGATTAAAAAGATTTATAACAACTATTTCGGACAAACTTGAAAACGTCGGCCAGACATTTTCAAGACAACTCGTTTCGAAGGAAAACAAAAACAGGATATTGAGAGAATTTCCTTGGGGAAAAGAGTAAAAATAACGCTTGGTACATTTTAGTTGTGCTGTAAAAGTTTACCCTGACCCCGAGCCGGTTTAACGAAAGAGCCTAATTTTATCGCACCGTTAAAAGAGCCATTGTTTGCCAGGATTCATTGGTTCGGTAACTTCAACAGACCAGTGAAGAAATAGTTACCACTTCTCATCACTATAAGTCAAAATCTAATAATTGTGTCGTTGTAATAACTAACATACATTGGATACAAATTCATAAATTTACCGGGTTTTTTTTCTCCTCCTAATTCTTTACCTCGTCCACCGAAATCTGAAGTAATTATATCGAATACTTCAAGGTTAGAAACTGGACTTCATAACATATATCACCTTAAACACATATTACTTGGCCTCCGAGGAAATTGTGTCTCTTCTAGCTTCGCTGATAATGTTCAATTTGTTTTATTAAGAATGGGAAAAGCAGGGATGTTTTAAGGAGGTGAAAAAGAAAAGTAAAAAGGCCACGAGAACCGTATTTGCAAAATTCAGAAAGTACAAAAAGAATATCCAAGGTGCGGTCGAGGCTTGTATGAAAGCAGCTGAGGACAAAAAACTGGAGATCTTTGCGGTTCGTGTGAGATACAAGTGTGTGACAACCAAAGGCAATGCTGATTACAAGGTGCATGGTGCATCATCCAAAGGGTGCAAAGAAGAATGAGATTACGCCGTTGGAGTAAAGAGCGCAAACTATGTCTATATTTTGACCAAATAGCTGCAACATGGAACTCGATAAAACCTGGTGAGTTTGATGCTGCCACCTATGAAAGGTTGTTTATTAAGTCAGTTTAAATAAAATTAAAAACTCTTTACGAGGAAGTGAGTGAGGTGCGCAGAAAACATCCCAAGGTAACTCAAAATGGTTTCCCATCTCTAAACGTCAACATAAGCGGATCGATACTTCTACGCCTACTCCCGTGTTCCCTTGTTACTGGTATCAAAAATACAAGTTGCAACTGGGAAATTCAATGTTATACCTCTCGAAAGTGTTTTTTAAAAAGCTGAACACGAGCTAAATATCAGAAACCTGGAAAACTTATTTCCCTTTCTATGGAATTAAGCGACTAGGGATATTTCTGCTCGCCATGGATGAGTTGCTATTCCGTCGCGTTTTATACCAACAATTTCTACTAGGTTTCCTTAAAGTTTGTTGGTCGGCTTCATTTATACTCCTCGATGGTGAGATAAGTGTCTTTAAAATAGCTAGTTCTATTCCTTGCGTTGACCTTCGGTTGTTTGTTTTCATTTTCCTACAGGTTTATCTGTTGGCAAGATGTCGTTTGATCAGTAAGTCGGTGTACCTAGAAACCTGCCCCATTAGTCATAAATCATCAAATCCACAGTTTAAATGAATTGGATGAAAAATTTCAAAACGGGGAAACTTTTAAAGCTGAGTGTACAGGTGAGCATCCTTTTCAAAAAGATTGGAATTAAACAATAAAATGTCATTTAAGCCGTGGAGAAAAACCACCTTAGGCTCCAATTTTAAGCTCAGTTGACTGAATCTCTTCAATCTAATATAGGTCCCTTTTAAGGATTCAACGAGATTTCAGAGCTGCTTTTTGACTGTTTACAATTAGAAAATATTTGAGACCGTATTACGTCTGATAGTTAGCTCCAAGGAGGCCTTCTAGTTTGCCTCTGTAATTACGTTGTAAGCCACTTCTCGTAACATACTGTGCCAGTGAAAACTTGAAAAAGCTAGGTACCTCAAGCCTCCCAAGTTAAGAAAGCACAGAAAACTGAAAGTTATCATTCTTTTGAGGAAAACCTAGCAAATTTATTTTCCTAAATAATCAGAATTCTGAAGAGCAAGAGTATTCTCATCTCTCTAGTCGGAAGGTTGGAGGTCTAGGGATACTTTGGGAAGCTAAGAAATTTCATGCTTATTAAACGTGTTTTGACAGTTTTATGTCAGTTTGAAATGGAGAAACAGGGATCGGAATTTATAGGTTATTCGAATTAAACGGGATGTCATTTGTTATGAATGCTTATCTTGAGAGATTGGAAATCTAGAAAAAGCTTAGAAAACTACAGTCTCAACTAAGTAGAGTAGAAAGGAGGACAATTTCTGAAGTATTTAGCTCCAACAAGAGATTCTTAACTGGTTTATGATCTCTTGGCTCCAATGTGAGAGTCTCAATAGGGTGATGGCTTTTACGGAAATTTCTCGCCACATGCATCTTCGAAAGGGGATGGGTTAATGCATGTACAGAGTTAGGTTTGATTCTCATGACAAAGCCGGGTTGTAAGCTGCTTGGTAGGCAAAAGCAAGCTTTTCAGTCTCGCTCTGAAAATCAGTAGAACTAACCAACGACATAAAACAAAGAGAACAAAAATGTGAAAAGAGGAGGTTAAAAAAAAAGGAAAAATCCCTTGCACCCCCGAAGCGAAGCAAAATGTATTCTAAAAAGAAACGCTCGAGCGGAAAAGAGGTGGGTCAAATTTTGCCTCTCGTATGCTGTTTTTCTTATTTCTATTTTGCCGGAATCGTTTTCGCAATTTATTTCTCGTGGAGTGCATCTCATGTAACCTGATCCGTCTAATAGAGTGCACACGCCGTTTGAAATGTTTTATTTAGCACAGTGTCGTGTCCACTATATACGCCTGGCGCTAAGAAAGGGGGATGATTATGCTTCATAAGGAGTGGTAGAACTACCATGTATCCGCGTAGTAATTACGTACAGTTCTCAGAATGTCAAATTAATGTGCAAACATAGATCTGTTATATTGAATTTTCCTCCCATTAATCTACTAAGGAAATGCATTGCAAGATTCAAAGAGGAGAAATGATAATAATGGCAACACGGCCAGTAGATCCTTTCCAGAACCAGTGTAGCAATTGCTTCTTTTTGTTCCGATTTTAATTCACGAGACATTGACAGCTTCATCATTTACAGAGTTTGCCATCCTTCTCATTTTCCCGCAAGAGCAAAATGTCTAAATGCCACATTTAGTTGTTTAGTAATTGACAGCTGGAACTTAACTGCACGAATCAGGAACTGTGTTCGTGAGCGAACGGAGTTTTGCAAAATAACAATGACCTCGGGCACTCCCCTTCCCCCACCCCTCTCCCTCTTATCGACCGTCGATCGCCCTCTTGGTAAAAATTTTTTTCCTCTTCCCAGCCTTCCGCTGCCATTAAAATCAAAGATGGCGGCCATAATTTTCGTTTGGAAAATAATGAGCACTCACTCGCCAAAATTACATCTGCTCCGCAGGAACCGTTGAAATCCCAAAATTTCTCTAGAGAAAGTAAACTCGTTGATTCGAACTCATGGTCGAGGGTGAAGAATTAGAAGACCGGACATCGGCAAAGGAAACAGAAAAGTTTCGTATTTGCACTTTATATTAACAAAAAGTCAAAAATTCTGGTCCGCTCTTCTCCTGGTAAAAGTTCGCGTTGATTACACAATTATCCTCGTTACACACTAAAAGGGCGTATTTAAATGTTTCTGAATCCTCTCAGGATTAGTCCCAGTCCTCACATAAATAAATTACTAATTGGGAAAATCACTCCTCCTTAGTGCGGAAATCTATTTATACTCGTGAATAGATTGAGCAACTAAAAAAATTTCAATTTTATACTGCATTTAGTTCCTGTTTGCTTGCAATTAAGCAGAGCTTGTGAATTGGACGATCATAAACTAATGTAGCAGTCTTTATCCTGGCTTTCCTTCTGAGTCCATCTTGTCCAGGACACATCTAAATTACTAAGCCCATCTTCCATGTTCTCCCCTTGGGGTGGGTTCTATCTCCAACACCAAGTCACCTTCTTGGAGGTTTCGCGTTTCATCCAACAACTTCAGAACTCTTGTGCTCGTTTCTCAGTGCTTCTCATGAGGTGTCTCGGGTTAATTCTCTCTTCTGGCTCCGGCACGGGAGGCGAAAAGTGGTGTCCGATTAAGAGGTCATTTGGCGTGATAGGCAGATTTTATCAAATCTTGACAAAGCTAGGATAGAGAGGACGTACCTTGATCAAATAGATCACTTCTTCCAGATACGTTCTCCCCTGTTCCTCTGTAAAGTTTTGATTCTTCGACGAAGCGTCTAAGGCTTGTCTTACTGATTTGATGAAACTTTTCACCACTCCGTTTTGATGGCTAGCTCGTGGTGTGTTCCACTCCCAGTGGAAAGCGCATTAAAATTCTTCTGATAAGACATTTTGAATTATGGGGATGTCCCAACCTTGCAACATTTCGTTCAAATAACTTTGTGCGCCAACAAAGGTCGTACCTCGATCCGACAAACAGTTACTGGGATGTCCTCTGAGTGGGGAAAATCGTCTAAAAGCCAGGAGAAGCGTATCGGAGCTTCTGTGTTACGAGCGCTAGATTGACCGCTTCTGTAGTCAGGCATGTAAATATGATTACTAGTGCTTCTTTCCGTGTTTTTCTGCCGATTCGTATTTGCAGAGGTCCAAACATGTCAATCGCTGTGTTGCTGAACGCTGGGAAACCTGCTGCAACGTACAGTCTCGGAATCTGACCCATCATTTGCTCCAACGGTTGACTTTGCAACTTCCTGCAGGTCATACATTTAGCAGTTACTTGTTTGGCCATGTTTCGCACACCCACGATCCAGAAACGCTTCCTTGATTCGTAGACGAAATTTTTGTAACCGCAATGTGCTCGCTTTTCGTGAAGGTATTTCAGTAGAGTAGATTTACCGATTAATGACCTCTTGGAAGGATAATGGGATTGCACATCTAATCTGGTAACGATCTGATGTTCTCTAGTCTTCCATGAGCACTCAACGCTCCTTGTTCATCTGACGCTGGAATCAGCTTCTTGTCTACAGTATCTACATCGATCGTCTGTTGACTCCATTTCAATAACCACAGCTCGGATTCTCTCAATTCTTCTGGCGAAATGGCGTCTCTCTTTTGCGCTTTCAACCTTGTGTTGTTGGTGAATCGTAGTACATAAGCCAAAGTTTTCCTTGTCTTGGCGAACGTGGAACAAGATTTCATGAAATGTTCCAAAATAGGGTTATCTTTTGACTTCGTTGGTGTAGCTGAGCAATTTACTTGTTTATGGGTTTTCGCTGTCTTGAAGTTGTTGGGCGGCTTCATTTCCTCTGACAATTCTTTACCACTTTCCTTAGGATTTTCTTCAAACTTTGGCCATTCTTCTTCTAGGCGTTTCAAGAGTGGATGACCTTCATACCAGGTCTTCAACTTTTCTGGTGGAGTTCCTCTCGTCAGGACATCAGCAGGATTATGATCAGATCTGATGTATTTACACGCTTCTGAGCCCATTGTTTCCTAGATTTTAGCAACTTTCACTGAAACAAACGGTTTGAACTTTCTTGGAGAGGTTTTAAGCCAGGTTAACACGGTCTGAGAATCAATCCAGAACAGTTTCTTGCAATTGCTGATCTCGGCGAATTCTAGTGCATGTTCATGTGTTCATGTGTGTTCATGTTCCAGTTCTATACATTTACTGTATAATTTTGCAAGTGAGGGGCACCCCATTAACTCCAAGCATGGTACTGACTTTTTCTTCAAAGAGGCAACAAGCGCTTTAACCATGAGCAGTATGCAGGAATAATTGCCATCTGCGAGTTTCCATCGAAGGAATATGGCTGAACCATAGGCTTTCTCACCTCCGTCGCAAAACCGTGAATCTCTGGCAATCCTACCGCGTTGTTAGGATTTAGCTTTCTGCTGAACTCCAACCTAAGGATTTGGTTGAGTACTTGAACATTCTCCATCCACTTCATTTGGCTCTCTTCATCCCATGAATATCCTACGCTTCATAGTTCTTGTAAATCGATCCTAAATTCAATGGTTGTTGGGGTTACAAGACCCAAGGGGTCCCAAAGCTGAGTAAGGTAGGCCACACAATTTCTCTATGTAAGAAGGCTCCATCGAACGAACGAGTTTTTCTTGTGTTATTTTCTCAGTTCCATGTCAAAACTGACAACTGTTACTCATTACGAAATCATTATAATTTATACAGAGTGCGGTGCTCGTGCTTATGTTAATTGCATAGTTGTGCGTGCTGTGTGAGTGCGAAGGTGACAATTACATAGTGTAACACTTGAAGGTAAATGTGTCGTGAACTTTGTTCCACTTATGTCCAAGGAAATCCGTGAGCTTCCGAGGCTTTGGCCGGGGTATTAATTGTTGGTACAGGTTTGTGTCCAAAGCTCGGTATCTTTTGTTCTCCACAGAAAGCGGTGTAACACTTGGTCATCTGGATGAATCTTCGCTTGGTTGAACATTTTGCGTACGTCACCAGTATACGCATCTTTGTCGAAGCGCCATGCAATGAACGTGTCGGGCAAACTATCGATATAGTTCGGTCCTTTCTCGAGATAATTATTCAATAACTTTCCATCACGTCCTTGCGCGGAGGCATAGAATTCTAGCAGGACTTTGGTTGTTCTTTCAGGAGTGAAAACTGCTTGTAGGGGAAGATACTATTCCGGAGGTTCATGGTTTATCTGATCTGGAGGTACTTCTTTTCCGAATTCTTGTTCAAGTTGCGTCTGAACTTCGTCTTGTATTACTTCAAGGTAATCTTTTCTCCTGAACGTTTTTTCGAAAGAGATCATTCGTTTGTAGGCGACATCTTAGTTACTCTCTTTTGGGGGACCCTCGTCATGGCATGCGCACTTGGACCCGCCCATCTAATATCTGAGTTGATTTTGCAATTGACTTGATAAATTTACTTTCCTTGAAATCTTTATTACTACACGTGCAGAGCTCGGTGGGTTGACTCCCAGCATGTCTTGAGTAAGGAGTTTCTCCATGTCTTCAATAGCACTAATAATTTCAACTTCAGTTTAATGGATTCGAGAAGGTTGGTTCTCTTGAGAAGCAAATTGTCCTATGACGAACTATCCAAAGCAGTTTATCTTCGCAGTAGGCTCTCCAGCATTACCAGGAATGAAGTGCATATCGATAAAGGCATCAGCACAGTCCGTTCCGATCAGAAAGTCTACAGTTCCACCTGATGAATGCAGTGTATTTGATATTGCTTTCAAATGTAGGTTGCTGTTTATAATCTTTCTAGAGACTGCTCTTGCTGGACTGTAAGGCTTATTTATCACGTAAGCTCTCACTGACTTCTGAATGTGGTCTTCAGCTGTTGACACAACACTTATGTTAATGAGCTCTGATTCTTCTGATTTCTTATTACCTCCTGCCAGGTTCATGGTCAAATGTGTTTTAGCACCGCTTATACCGAGCTTCCTCTTTACATTCTTTGAAATGAAACTTGTGTTCGAGCCACCGTCTAGCGTAGCGAGGACTGTAAAAAAAATCCGTTTACGGAAAAAAGAGACTAGAGTCCAAAATCCGTAGAAAATATGTATTAAACTAACATTTAGCTAAATAAAAACTCCGAAATTTGTGAAATCACGCGCGCATCGCAAGAATTCAAAAAGAATACGAAGGGGGAGAGGGAGAGGAAAATTGTAACTTGAAAATTAGGAAAACGAAAGAGGTTTTCTACATCCTCCCCCCTCGATCAATTTCCCTTAAAAATGAGTCCTCCTGTTCTTGAAGAAACTGATGGGCTTTTCGTCTTCTAACTTCTCCTGTGATAGCGGCACTCCTCCTCTGCCTGAATGGCTCTTGCGGCTGGCCCTTCTAACAAACTTCTCAAATAATTGAATTTGTCAACGTCTGATAAACCAGGGTTGTCATCGGCTGCACTTGCAAATGAGTCCCAGAGTGGATTGAAGGAAATGGGATCACCATAGAATTTCTTAATATTAGTCTTCAGCAGTTTTGCCTTTCCGATTCCAAGTCTTTCAGTAAACGAATTAGAATTAGAGAGAGGAATTGACTTATCTGTATTTCCGGCCTTTTCCAGTTCCATCGCGTTGAGATTTCCGTCAATTTCTACTATAATTTGATAAATAGATTCTCTGAAGTTTCCAGTTTCCTTGATTTCATCTTCGATGTGCTCTTCTGTCATTATTTCGTCGTCGTCGTCATTATTTCGTCGTCCAGGGTTCTAAAGACATTGAATTTTTCCGTAAGAGCAATCCGATAAGTTTTCAATTAATTCGCCAGAGGAAGTTCAAATTTATCGAGTAAGGCTTTTACCTTTTCCAGAGTCGTCATAACGTATCCTTTATGTCCTCCTCTGATCTTTCTCTTCTTTTTCAGTTCTTCGTCAGCCATTTTCCAGAGAGAGGGAGCGAGTCAATATTCCCGGGTCTTGGCACCACGTAAAAAATCCATTTACGGAAAAAAAGAGACCAGAGTTCAAACTCCGTAGAGAATATGTATTAAATTTCTTGAATGAACCACAACATTTGGCTAAATAAAAATTCTGAAACTTCTTTAAATTCCAAACAAAAGAGAATTTGGAGAATTTTCCACGACTGTTCAATCGTTTTGCACGGCCTTGATCCGACTAAAATGAGTTTTTTAGCTAATGCTTTCCGAAACCTTTGCAATTGTTCATCTTTGTCTTGTTTATACTTACCAGAATTGACAATTCGTACTTCCAAGTTGCGCAAGAACTGACAATTTCTCTAGTCCGTGGCTTGCGTACTTTTGCGAACTCAAAACATTGGTCATTTTTGTTACTGCTAATGTCATTGCTTCAAGCGCTTCGTGTTTAAACCGCGGCTTTTCAGTCGCGAATGATTTTTGATAAATGACGAACTGTTCTTCGCATTTTAAAAAATTAGCTTTGGCTTCGTCGCCGATTACTGATTCTTTGTTTGTGATTCTTCTGACACTTATTCAGCAAGTCTGTCGGCAATTTTTTCTTGCCGCTTTTTAACACTTCTATATTTAGATTCGACTTCTTTGTCTACGTATTCAAGAGTACTCCATACCGGTTCAACTTGGACGTGGAATTCTTCTAATAAGTCGTTCAATGAAACTATTGCACTGTCTCTTCCCGCAATAAATGTTGATAATTCTGCTTTAGGAGGCATTATATACTACTAACTTCAGATAATAAATATAAATTCCCGTTACTAGCGTAAAAGTTTGTTTACACACTTCCTAAAACATGGCATCAATGTTTCTTGGGTTTCTTAAAATAGACAGGTATCTCTTGCTTGAATGTAAACAGTTTAACTACGTGAATACTCGGTCAATTGTTGAAAAGAGTAAGGTCTTTACGATAACATCGTAAGTGATAACTGAATTCTTTAACTCCTGAACTTGAACATGAAAAAACGAGGTCGGCGGTAAATTAGGAATTGTTTTACCTTTCAGTTGTCAGATTTACCCGTTAAGTAGGCTTCTGTCGGCTTGTGTGTTTCTGAAGTCTTGAGCTTTCAAATGCCTTTTCGTCGAGCCTTTTGACTCACGACTTGTTCTCCTGGCGGTCCGTGGGCCGTTGACTTCAGGCTGGCTATTCGTCGACGTATGCTCTTCTTTTCTCGGCCAGTGCAAAAGGTTGTGAACAATAGTTGATGCCAAGTAATTTTCTCACCTTTTTTACAATTTTTACCCGTAAACCCAGGTTTGCATTTGCATTCGTAGCCGCCCTGTGTGTTTATACACTGTCCCCCATTTTGGCATGGATGTAAAGTTATACAATCATTGATATCTAGCCAGGATGGAAAACATCAAAGTTAAATTTCTAAGCACAAAGGTCTATTCCTGAGAGGCAGGTTAAAATACTTATTGAGTTCGAAAAAAGTCAAGCCTTTTCTTCTGAGTCGGTTCAAGGGGGGACAAATCAAGCGCGAATACAACGAATAACTTTATAGCTATGGTGTCTCTTTCTAATTTTGTTTTGTTTTGTTTTTTTTTGAAAAGAAACATCCATTAAGTCTGATTTTTTAGGTATTGACATGAACTATTGGAACAATCAATTTACTAATATCAATTATGGTTTGCCCTGTGTGTCTGTAACTTTATAGTAAGTTTGTCGCTACGATTTTCTTGAAGCAAAGACATGCCAACTTTTCCTTCGAGCGGTTTTGGCGAGCACTTTAGAAAAATCTAGTCGAGAATTTCTGAAGTTCTTTAATTTAACCACGCAGTGAAAAATATAGGCTTAAAACGGAGCAACCAGTTAGTTTAAATGCATTCTAGATAGAAAATTTGATAATAAGAATAAGAACGAAATTGTCCAACAAAAAAGAAAGGGAAAGGTTCGGTCAAGGAAGGTCCTGTGATCCTGAATCGGAGACGAACTGTGCGTAACCTGCAGTGAAGTTATCTTGTCAATTTTAAGCTTTCATTTTTTAAAATAAACCCGTCGAAATTTTGACCAAAGGTATTGCAGTATCCTCACTCTTTCATTGTTGACACATTTTTTGTGAGGCTTTTTACTCACCAGTTTTGCAATTTTTTTTTCCCTGGCACCCTTCAACACAAGAACAGATGTAGCTGTCACCAGAGCTGCTGCATTCACCTCCATTCTTAAAGGGCTTTTTGTCTGCGTAAACATCAACTACTAAACACATGAACTTCTATCAGTAAAATGGCCTCTCTCATTACACCTGATAGAAGACCCTACTAAGGACTGTGCAAAAGATTTGTACAAATTTAAAAGTTGAGGTACCGCGTTAACTGGTTCATGAAGAAGTCATCAATTGGCATAAATTAAAGTCTCGGAATAATTACCGCCTTGACCAACGTCTTCCACGGCTTTTATTTTCTCAGCGTTCAGGGCCACGTCATAAAGTTGTACGGCGGTGATTCTTCCTTGAAAGTATCGTTCATCCATGTTGACAGCACCAATTCGGACTTCATCTTGAGTGGCAAGTTCAATCTATTTTCCAGTATTCTTCCTTACCACTGATTGTCCATTTATCCATAAATTTGCTTCCCCGGAAATGAAGTCATACGAGTACCCCACGTGATGCCACTGGTTAAAAGCCAAAGCCAGAGCATCGTAAAACAGATACATTGTGGATTGGTAGTTCCTGCGTGAGAACCGAGCAAACAACTGTAACTGCCAATATTTTCGAACTTGAGCGGCACGCAAATCAAGCCTCTCGACAGTGGATTAAAGGCATTGAGGACCTTAACTTTCAAAGGCAGTACTTTTAACTCATGGAAAACAGCAATAAAGTGGTAACGCCTAACTTACCTTTGACACTTTTAGAGTATGGCAATCCATTTCAGCAGAAATATTTTGCTGTTGGTTATTCATTAATCGAACTGAATGCGAACAATACAGATTTTAATCCTATTTCTTACTCATCACTCGACCCAGATAAATTTACATAATAACGTTTCCCGCGCGTCAATCATCCTTTCATTTCAAAGAGTGATTAGTCCTTGAGTCGCTGAACATCAAGATCCAAATAATTTTTTAAGTAAACACCAATTAAGGATACCACCAAACAGTAAGAAATACATTTAATTTTAAAGAAAGAAATATCATCAAGAGAACACGATAAACCGTGTAAAAAGGCAGAACCGTGTAAAACCGTGAAACAAGGCAGGTCACAAGGAAAATTGTGACTTGAACATTTCTTTCAAATAATTTATTTTAACTGAACTCCCCTTCACTTGAAGTTTGATCAAAGGACTCATTCCCTTATCTTGGGTTTTTAACAAGCTGCTTGACTTTTCTCATCACCAGCACTAATATGGGAAGAAGGAAAATATGTTTTAAAAATTGTGACAAAAGTTGCTGCCGGTTACTAATACGAAATGATCATGGTAACTCATGTGGTTTAGTAATTTTTCTGTTTTCGCCACGATATGAAAGGATAATTATGAAACAGTAATTTCTATTGTAGTATAGGAGTTGGCTGTTCGAGATCACAAAGTGATCGCGTACGAAAACGCCAACTCTCTATACTACTTTCCATATTATGGAAATTATTCAACGAAACCATTTCATTAAATTATTCAACAAAATCATTTGATGGAATTATTTAAGGGAATCATTTGATGGAATCATTTCATAATATTAAAGTGTCGGAATACTATAGGAGACCAGTGCTACGATCTCACAACATTTTTCAACTGCGAAACATTTTCAGAAGAGCAGGAAATCAATGAAGTAATTTAACAGATACTTTTTCGAGGAAATTAGTCATAGCATTTGATTTCATACGGCAATCGAAATAGTGGTTTTTCACGCGTCGGAATTGAAATAGTGGTTTCCCACGCGACAGGACTGAAATACCGTGCAAAAATGGGCCGTTTTACTCCCAAGTGCCCCAAAATAGACGAGCAAGCGGTGGGTTGGTCTTCACAGCAGAGAGACCAAATAATTAATTTGTAATGTGAAATGAGAAGAGTGTTTGCTAAGTCGAGTGAGATATTCTTTCAATGCGTGGGAAGCAAAGAATCTGATTGGTGGTCAGAAATACGTTGTTGTCATGACGTAAAGAGCACTGCAGTCACTGACTTTACGGTCTTTTCGCGTTAACATTAAATCAGTACTTGGTTTTGAATCCCAAACCTTCGGTAATAAGCCGAACCCCGTTTCTTGTGTAAAAATCTCCCAGACTTTTGTGTCAAATACTGAAAAAATCGCTCGGCTTACAGGTTAAGAAATACGGTAGTGGTTTTTCACGCGTCTGAATTGAAATAATGGTTTCCCACGCGTCTGAATTGAAATAATGGTTTCCCACGCGTCGGAATTGAAATAGTGGTTTCCCATGCGGTTTAATTGAAAGAGCGGTTTCCCACGCGTCGGGATTAAAATAGTGGTTGAATTGATGGTGTACGACACTATTTATCATCATAACTAGTCTTTATGATTCTGATATGATTCAGAATATGATTTATCATCATTTAGTTTACATCTATGCACTTTTTCTGTTATTGCTTCAAAATCTGCATAGATGACAAATGGTATTGGTAATTGTTTATTATAATTGTCAAATTTCAATAAATGTTTTGACTTTTCAGGCATTTCAATTACTTGTTTACCACTTATTGTGATACAGTTAGTTTTATGCTCGTTCAACACATCTTCAGAACTGAAACACCCGTTGTAGAAACTGGTTTATCAGGTACTAGTATTAAGTCGCTCTGCTTCACCATTTGTTTAATGCTTGGTTTGGGAGTTGATTCTGCATTCTGTTTTAGCAACAGTTTGATCAATTCTGATTTACTGTACCTTTTTAAATCAGCCTTATTCATATATATATCTCTGTATTTTTCATTCAGTTTCATTATACTATACCTATAGATATATCTTGAAATGTTTGAAAAATAGTGGGTTGAAATAAGTTGAAATAACCAGTTTGTGGATAATTCAAAGATAAAAAGGTGCTTAATCACTGTTGCGTTGATGCGTCTTGCCTTTTACATGCGTGCATTTGCCAGCCAATGAATAATTATGACCGTTTTTACAAGCATCACAGTACAACCTTCTGATTGCTTTGCGAATATCTAAAGCACGCCCAAATAGGTATCTATATTTCGATCTTCCAGCGTAACCCTTTTCCAAAGCCCAGACAGTCAGACTTCCTCGATATTCACTTCTTTCGTCTTTTTCACATTCTCTTTTATATTCAGCAACAAGTTTTGGGGCTTCGCTTTTTGACATTGTAGGTGCACTGAAAGCGTCTTTCAAAAATGATAAGCCTTCGGGTACATTAGATAATCTTTTAATAGAACTTGCTTGTTCCAAAATTTCATGCGACAATCGAAATAGTGGTTTTTCACTTGTCGGAATGGAAATAGCGGAATGACGAGTTTGTTGAATAATTTCCATAATATGGAAAGTAGTATAGAGAGTTGGAGTTTTTGTACGCGATCACTTTGTGATCTCGTACAGCCAACTCCTATACTACAATAGAAATTACTGTTCCATAATTTTCCTTTCATATCGTGGCGAAAACAGACGCATTACTAAACCACCTGAGTCACCATGATCATTTCGTATTAGTAATCGGCAGCAGTTTTCGTCACAATTTTTTAAACATATTCTCCTTCTTTCAATGTCAGTGCTGGTGATGAGAAAAGTCAAGCAGCTTGTTAAAAACCCAATATTGATAAGGGAATGAGTCCTTTGATAAAACTTTAAGTGAAGGGGAGTTCAGTTAAAATAAATTATTTGAAAGAAATGTTCAAGTAACAATTTTCCTTGTGACCTGTATTGTCTCACAGTTCCATACGGTTCTGCCTTTTTACACGGTTTATCGTGTTCTCTTGGTGATATTTCCTTCTTTAAGCTGGTTTTTGAGAGAATAACTCATTAAATGTATTTCTTACTGTTTGGCGGTATCTTTAATTGGTGCTTACATTAAAAAAATATCTGGATCTCGATGTTCAGGGTTTGATCAAAAAGTACTAATCACTCTTTGATGGGATGATTGACGCCCAATACGGGAACATTGTTATGTAAATTTTTCTGAGTCGAATGAGGAGTATTAAATAGAATTAAAATCTGTATCGTTCGCCTTTAGTTTGATTAATGACCCATCAACGCATGCGCTGAAATGGATTGCTGTACTGTAAAAGCGTCAAAGGAAAGTTAGGCGTTACCACTTTATCGATGTTTTTCATGAGTTAAACGTGCTGCCTTTGAAAAGGTAAGGTTGACAATGTGTTTGATGCACTGTCGAGCGGCTTGATTGCGCGCCGTTGAAGCTCCAACTTTGCAGAAATTCTGTCTTATCTTAAAAAAAGGAATACAAGACGCATCAGCAGAGTTATGTTTAGAATTAGTTTGCAATTATCGTTTCCTTATTTCAACAGCAGAAGTTTCACAACATGGAGAGGTTCAAGGTGATCTTTCAAATCAGTGCTCTACAGATTTTGATCACGCTTACTAACGGTTAGTATCCTTCAAGATTTCTTTTTTGCAAGAATAGCGGAGAAAGTCTCTCGCCCCATTCAGACCAGATCATCTTCCCATGAGACCTCTTTATCATACAATTACCAAATCCATTCAAAACTCAGACTGTTTTACCTTTCGGCTGTAAGTGTACCAGTAACTGTACCAGTGAACAGTTTTTACGAGATCGAAGCTCAAGCAAAACTGTGAGCTTCGAGGAACAAACAACATCCAAGGATACATATACGAGCATTTGTTCTCGCCAAATGGAGGCTATTGAGTTTATTATCCTCCTGCAATACTTTTGCTACCCGTGGCTAAAATGTTTACGAACAATGTAGTGTTTGCTGCGCGTGGGATGGCTTTTCAGTGTTGCCTGGTACCACTTTATGAACAAACAAAAATGTTCCTTCTCCGGTAACAAAAAATAAACGCGCTCTCATCCTGAATTAAATCTTAAACGAACACTTTTATCCTAGTTGATGTGAAGTTTGAAAATTGAGGAATATCACTTGAGGTACATCGTCAGGATACATATACGAGCATTTGTTCTCGCCAAATGGAGGCTATTGAGTTTATTATCCTCCTGCAATACTTTTTCTGCCCGTGGCTAAAATGTTTACGAAAAATGTAGTGTTTGCTGTGCGTGGGATGACTTTTTATAGTGTTGCCTGGTACCACTTTATGAACAAACAAAAATGTTCCTTCTCCGCTAACAAAAGCTAAACGCGCTCTCATCCTGAATTAAATCTTAAACAAACACTTTTATCCTAGTTGATGTGAGGTTTGAAAATTGAGGAATATCACTTGAGGTACATCGTTAGATATTTAGGTTTAGCTAGGGCATATTCTTTCACTGGATGCATTAAGACCAATCGCGCATAAGCGAGAAATATTTGATAGATTATAAAAAGAGATATGCAACTGCTGATAAAATTAACAAGAACCAGGTTTGTTTTGAAAAGTTCTCTCAAACTGAGCGATAAAGTCCCACATTTTGTCTCTGATTCTTCATGCGTGACTAGTTACAAGCAAAGAAAAAAATAAATTAATGTTTTTGTTCTGATGATCAACAGAACAGTAATACCAATAAAAATTTTTTCTTGGTAGGATCTGTAATCACCTGAGCCTATTCTTTTTTCCTTTTTAATTTCAAAGAACTGAACAGTAAACTCCCAAGTTATGAGCAATTAAACTAAAGGTCAAATAATTTTAAGTTCTAATTTTGCTGTTCGAGAACTGCAGAGAAAACAAAAGAATGTGAAATATTCGTAGATGTATGGCAGAAAAAAGAAATGCAGGCCTGGAAAACAAGATATCAAGTTAGGACACGTGCAAACCTACTTTGAGGGGGGCATGCTATACAGATCATCCAGATCTTCGTGCAGACTCAAGGTGTTTCATATTGCTGGTATTGATTTCCTTTCTCTTGTATTGAGGGATTCAAGAGTCAAATGTACGTAATAACGGTCATTAAACGTGACTAAAAATACGCATGAACAGGAAGAAAATTTTCCCCCCTGCACTCCCCTCTTAAAAGGTTTTTTTATTTGGGGCAGATGTTGATGAATGCCGAAACTCAAACCCATGCCAAAATGGAGGACAGTGCGAGAACACATAGGGAAGCTTTTAATGCACATGCAAACCTGGATTTACGTGAAAAAATTGCGAAACAGCTGGGTTATCCACTATAGACGAAACATTTACTGTTGACTGCAGGTCTTGTGAACTTTTGGACCAAATTTAAAAACAATAATGATGATGAGAAAGATGTTTTTCGTCCTATAATGAGCGTGGAACAAAGAAAAAATTCTGAGTCCCTCAGAGGAGAGCGTCATCAGTGAAAATGAGCACCAAAAGGGGAGGGTAATACCTCTTTGTAAGCTATTCAAGGGAAGGGTCACACACCTTTTGCAGCGTTTTTTAGAGAGGATTTTTATGACGTTTCTTTCCATTTTCTCACGGATTAAGTTTTTCTTTTCACCTATTTTCATTTAATTTGGTGTTTTATTATAGGTTCTTGGTTACATTCCTACATGCATATTGTGCCATGGCACATAGTTTTCTCGGAGAATTCGTGTCCTTTTCCGTTCGTATCGAAACCATTATACTCAGGTATCGTTTCTTCAGCTTCCTGCTCCCGTTGACTATCTCCTTCCTGATCTCCTAAGTCATTTGGTTCTCAATTTGAGTCAGAGGTTGGCTGAATGCTGTTGTGACTATCCTGCACAATAGAAGTCAAAATCTTACTGCTAATATGTGCCTTCACCCCTCTCACTTTCTCATCTTTCTTTCCTTTAAATGCAACATTGTGGTGATCAATATAAAGTTCAAGTTTACCTATTCTAAGGGATGACAACCGGTTTCTGTGATAGAGATCTTCCAAGTCAATATCATCGTATTCCTGTTGCTTTCTTTCCGCACGCTTCCTGTCTTTATTTGTTCGCCGCTTATCTTATGTCAGTTAGATGCCCAATATAATCTGCAAGAATGCAAGCTTTTCCGAAACAATGTCTTTTTCAGGAAACTGTTTGATTGCCTTTTTATCCCCTGCCCTGAGCTTACCCTCTTGAAATAAAAGGGTAACCTCATAAGGTTTGCGGACGCTTTTAGGTGTTTTCGTACTTGATGAGTAGTGAAAGTCGAGAAGTTTGCTGTAATCGGGATAGAGTCGTGGAGTTGGCGTCGCTGAAAAGGACTTACAAAGTCTGAAAGTTTATACTTTCATTTTCAAACTTCAGCTATAAAACGCAAAATATCCCACACTGATTGTTCGCATTCTCTTGTTTCAGCTCGCACACATCCAATGTCGAGATATATTTATATTGAAACATTTTGCGTTCGCAAGAGAAATGTTGTGAGGTTTCTGCGCCATGGAACATACCATGTAGTTGTTAGGGGGACACTTTATTTACATTTGTGGTTTGGTTTATTTGACAAGATTACACACACTTAAAGATACTATCTGAAATTGTTTTATCCTTCAATGAACAAAAGTCGTTTACATGTCACTCTTTTTTACTTTGCAGCTTCCATTGCACCAGATCCTGTGGCCGTCTATCCTCTAAACAGCAAGTATCTATCAAGAGAAATTAAAGATCGACTGTCCCCAGGCATCCTCAGCCATGTGTCTCTGGCACCTGGAATCGATGGAAAGGAAGGCGGCTCCTACCAATTCGCAGGAAATATCGGCAGTTACATTGAGTTTCCGAATAATGGAGGATTAGACGTAAAGCACTCCATTACGATTTTATGTTGGGTGTATCCTCAGACTCCAGATGGTCCTCTCTTCCAGTACGGCGGTACCCATCGTTGGGGTGTTCTCTTGTGGATGTCGAAAGGAAAGTTGTATGCTTATTTCCCACACAGGAACTACCAAGGCTCAAAGTTTCTGTATTACGATGCTTTGGCTTTGGCTTTTAACCAGTGGCATTACGTGGGTAGCTCGTATGACTTCATTTCCGGTGAGGCAAATGTATGGTTAAATGGACAATCGGTGGTAAAGATGAATATTGGAAAAGAGACTGAACTTGCCACTGAAGATGAAGTCCGAATTGGTGCTATCAACATGGATAGACGGTACTTTCAGGGACGAGTCACCGCCGTACAACTTTATGACGTGGCCCTGAACGCTGAGCAAATAAAGGCCGTGATAGGGGTTGGTCATGGCGGTAATTATTCTAAGACTTTAATTTATGCCAATTGATAACGTCTTCATAAACCAGTTATCGCGGTACCGCTATTTTTTTAGAATTCATGTAAATCTTTTGCACATTGCTTCGTAGTTTACAGTCTAACGAATAGAGGGTCTTGTATCGGGTGTAATGAGGGAGGCCATTTTACTGATAGAAGTCTGTGTGTTTGTAGCTGATGTTTGCGCATACAAAAAGCCCTGTCAGAATGGGGGTGAATGTAGCAGCTCTGGTGTCAACTACACCTGTTCTTGTGTTGAAGGATTCCAGGGAGAAAATTGCGAAAATGGTAATTTAAAGCTTAACGAAAAATTTGTTACCAGTGAAAGTGTGAGGATAAAATGCCTCCAATACTGCGGTACCTTTTAGCAAAAGTTTCGACAGGTTGATTTTGAAAAATGAAAGCTTAAGAATGACGAAATAACTCTACAGCAGGTTAGTAGAGTTCGTCTCCGATTCAGGATCACAGGATCTTCCCAGACCCCACCTTTTCCTTTTCTTTTTTGTTGGAAAACTTCGTTCTTATTCTTATTATCAAATTTTCTATTTAGAGTGCATTTAAACTAACTGGTTGCTCCGTTTTAAGCCTATATTTCCGGCTGCGTGGTTAAAGTGAAAGAACTTCTGAAACGCTCCACTAGAATTCCCCAAACTGCTCGCCGAGAAGGAAACGTAGGCACGTTTCAGCTTCAAGAAAATTGCTACAAACTAACTGGATCTTCATTTAACTATAAAGATACACGGAGACACAGGGCAGCCCATAATTGACATTCAAAAATCGATTGATTAATCGATCCAATGATTTATGTTAATGCCTAAGAAATTCAAACTTAAAAAAAAAAAAGTCACAAATAAGAAAGACACACCATCACACCATAGCTATAAAGTTGTTCGTTGTATTCGCGCTTGATTTGTCCCCTCTCTCTCCCCCTCATCCCTGAACCAACTCAGAATAAAAGGCTTGACTTTTTTCATATCAGAACAGTGAGGAATGGAAACTCGAACTCAAAAGTTACTTAAACCTGTCTATCAGGGACAACCTTTGTGCTTAGAAATTTTAACTTTGATGTTTTCCATTCTGGCTAGATATCAACGAATGTATAACTTTACATCCATGCCAAAATGGCGGACAGTGCACAAACACACAAGGCGGCTACGAATGCAAATGCAAACCTGGGTTTATAGGAAAAAATTGTGAAAAAGGTGAGAAAATTACTGGGCATTAGCTGTTGTTCATAGCTGTTGTGCTTGCAAAGAAAGTAACAAGTTAACCTTCTGCAGACAAACTTGGGGACTTCGACGGTAACCTTTAGAGCAGGCGAAATTTTGGCGAGCAACCGCTCATTATTTTCTCAACAAAAATTATAGCCACCATCTTTGGTTTTAATGGCAGCGGAAGGCTGGGAGGAAAAAGAAATATCCACTAAGGGGGCGGTCGACGGTCAATGATAGGGAGAGGGGTGGGGGGAGTGAAGATTACGCCTACCGAGGTCATTATTATTTTGCAAAACTCTGTTCGCCCACTAACGGATTTCCTGATGGCCACGGTTAAGCTCCAGCTGTCAATTTAAGTAGCGGAAAAATGAGATGGATGGCAAACTCTGTAAATGATGAAGTTGTTAGTTTCGATTCCGCCTTGAAGGAAGGAAGTGTCTTTCAGAATTTAATATTTCTCGTGCATCAAAATCGGAAGAAAAAGAAACAATTGCTACACTGGTTCTGGAAAGGATCTACTGCCAGTGTTGCCAAATGACTTTGGGAAAAGCCTGATGCTTCAGGTGTTGGTTCGTATGAAAGAAATTATGACGGGGAAACCTTCGAGCGTAGTTGTCGTTTTTCCGCTCCAACGTATTGTTTATGATCAAATGGAATAGACATCTTCGATCGGGTTAGCGGTAGCTACGCTCACGGATTGGCTATAATTTTGGAGGACATAGAGTCCGGCAAATATCAACTCGTACTTGCGTCGGCAGAGAACGTTTTGGTGAAGTCATTTCTTTCGTTGATGAAAAAAAAAAAATCCACACCGTTTTACCATAGTATGCCGGTTTGCAACAAACTAATTATGGCGCGTAAAACTTCGAATGCTGTTGTTTGTGCTTCAAAGTATCGTTTACGAACAGTTGGAAGAAAAACAGTCAAATAGATTAACAGCAGCCATACTCAAGGATTGTTATTTGAAAAATTTAGAGTGCAGGAAACATCAGCTCATATTTGTGACGGCAGGGAGGTTTCTTCGAAGCAGTTTTGTTCCTGGGTGAAAAAAAAACGACCTTATTATTTCACTCATCGACTCTATGTATTTTTTTTTTGTAGGAAGACAGTCCTACTGGTTTTTAAGTTAACTCATGTGGATTGGTTACCTGCTCATTTCTGTAAATGCAGTGATGCACAGCTTATTAGGGGGTGGGGGTGTTTTGCTTTTCAACAGCCTCCTCGGGCAGGCGTCTTCTCGCCCTTTCCCCGCCTCCTACCCCCACCGTCCACTCTAACTCTAAATCAAACATGGCGGGTCGGATGAACGATTGCTGGCTTATAACGTTAGCTCGGCCTAGTAAGACACCTGCACTGCAGGCTATTTCAATGGCAGTTCAGTGATATTGGAACCTACTTAAGTTTCGCGAAACTAACTGGGCACTCTGACGATAAGGGGAGGGTCACACACCTTTTCCAGCGTTTTTTAGAGAGGATTTTTGTGACGTTTCTTTCCATTTTCTCACAGATTAAGTTTTTCTTTTCACCCACTTTGATTTAATACGGTATTCTATTATAGGTACTTGGTTACATTCCTTCATGTATATTGTGCCATGGTGCATAGTTTTCTCGGAGGACTCGTGTCCTTTTCCGTCCGTATCGAGACCCATTAGACTCAGGTATCGTTTCTTCAGCTTCCTGCTTCCGCTTCCTGATCTCCTAAGTCATTTGGTTCTGAAGAGGTACTACTAAATTCAACAATGCGCTCTACCCTGTCACTGTCACTGTCAGACTCGGAATTTGAGTCAGAGGCTGGCTGAATGCTGTTGTGACTATCCTGCACAATAGAAGTCCTCCTCCCACCACTCTCACCTTCTCATCTTTCTTTCCTTTAAATGCAATATTATGGTGATCAATGTAAAGTTCAAGTTTACCTACTCTAAGGGAAGACAATCGGTTTCTGTGATAGAGATCTTTCAGTCAATATCATTGTATTCCTGTTGCTTTCTTTCTGCACGTTTCTTGTCATTATTTGTTCGCCGCTTATCTTTCCTCATTTCAATGTCCGTTAGTTGCTCAATATAATCTGCAAGAATGCAAGCTTTTCCGAAACAATGTCTTTTTCAGGAAACTGTTTGATTGCCTTTTTATCCCCTGCCCTGAGCTTACCCTCTTGAAATAAGAGCGTAACCTCATAAGGTTTGCGGCCGCTTTTAGGTGTTTTCGTACTTGATGAGTAGTGAAAGTCGAGAAGTTTGCTGTAATCGGGATAGAGTCGTGGAGTTGGCGTCGCTGAAAAGGACTTACAAAGTCTGAAAGTTTATACTTTCATTTTCAAACTTCAGCTATAAAACGCAAAATATCCCACACTGATTGTTCGCATTCTCTTGTTTCAGCTCGCACACATCCAATGTCGAGATATATTTATATTGAAACATTTTGCGTTCGCAAGAGAAATGTTGTGAGGTTTCTGCGCCATGGAACATACCATGTAGTTGTTAGGGGGACACTTTATTTACATTTGTGGTTTGGTTGGCTTGACAAGATTACACACACTTAAAGATACTATCTGGAAATTGTTTTATCCTTCAATGAACAAAAGTCGTTTACATGTCACTCTTTTTTACTTTGCAGCTTCCATTGCACCAGATCCTGTGGCCGTCTATCCTCTAAACAGCAAGTATCTATCAAGAGAAATTAAAGATCGACTGTCCCCAGGCATCCTCAGCCATGTGTCTCTGGCACCTGGAATCGATGGAAAGGAAGGCGGCTCCTACCAATTCGCAGGAAATATCGGCAGTTACATTGAGTTTCCGAATAATGGAGGATTAGACGTAAAGCACTCCATTACGATTTTATGTTGGGTGTATCCTCAGACTCCAGATGGTCCTCTCTTCCAGTACGGCGGTACCCATCGTTGGGGTGTTCTCTTGTGGATGTCGAAAGGAAAGTTGTATGCTTATTTCCCACACAGGAACTACCAAGGCTCAAAGTTTCTGTATTACGATGCTTTGGCTTTGGCTTTTAACCAGTGGCATTACGTGGGTAGTAGCGTATGACTTCATTTCCGGTGAGGCAAATGTATGGTTAAATGGACAATCGGTGGTAAAGATGAATATTGGAAAAGAGACTGAACTTGCCACTGAAGATGAAGTCCGAATTGGTGCTATCAACATGGATAGACGGTACTTTCAGGGACGAGTCACCGCCGTACAACTTTATGACGTGGCCCTGAACGCTGAGCAAATAAAGGCCGTGATAGGGGTTGGTCATGGCGGTAATTATTCTAAGACTTTAATTTATGCCAATTGATAACGTCTTCATAAACCAGTTATCGCGGTACCGCTATTTTTTTAGAATTCATGTAAATCTTTTGCACATTGCTTCGTAGTTTACAGTCTAACGAATAGAGGGTCTTGTATCGGGTGTAATGAGGGAGGCCATTTTACTGATAGAAGTCTGTGTGTTTGTAGCTGATGTTTGCGCATACAAAAAGCCCTGTCAGAATGGGGGTGAATGTAGCAGCTCTGGTGTCAACTACACCTGTTCTTGTGTTGAAGGATTCCAGGGAGAAAATTGCGAAAATGGTAAGTTAAAGCTTAAAGAAAAAAGCGTTATCAGTGAAAGTGTGAGGATAAAATGCCTCCAATACTGCGATACCTTTAGCAAAAGATTCCACAGGTTGATTTTGAAAAATGAAAGCTTAAGATTGACAAAATAACTCTACAGCAGGTTAGTAGAGTTCGTCTCCGATTCTGGATCACCGGATCTTCCCTGACCCAACTTTTTCCTTTTCTTTTTTGTTGGAAAACTTCGTTCTTATTCTTATTATCAAATTTTCTATTTAAAGTGCATTTAAACTAACTGGTTGCTCCGTTTTAAGCTTATATTTCTCGCTGCGTGGTTAAAGTGAAAGAACTTCTGAAACGCTCCACTAGAATTCCCCAAACTGCTCGCCAAAAAGGAAACGTAGGCACGTTTCAGCTTCAAGAAAATTGCTACAAACTAACTGGATCTTCATTTAACTATTAAGATACACGGAGACACAGGGCAGCCCATAATTGACATTCAAAAATCGATTGATTAATCGATCCAATGATTTATGTAAATGCCTAAAAAATTCCAACTTAAAAAAAAAAAATTCATAAATAAGAAAGACACACCATCACACCATAGCTATAAAGTTGTTCGTTGTATTCGCGCTTGATTTGTCCTCTCTCTCTCCCCCTCATCCCTGAACCAACTCAGAATAAAAGGCTTTATTTTTTTCATATTAGAGCAGTGAGGAATGAAAACTCGAACTCAAAAGCTACTTAAACCTGTCTCTCAGGGACAACCTTTGTGCTTAGAAATTTTAACTTTGATGTTTTCCATTCTGGCTAGATATCAACGAATGTATAACTTTACATCCATGCCAAAATGGCGGACAGTGCACAAACACACAAGGCGGCTACGAATGCAAATGCAAACCTGGGTTTACAGGAACAAATTGTGAAAAAGGTGAGAAAATTACTGGGCATTAGCTGTTGTTCATAGCTGTTGTGCTTGCAAAGAAAGTAACAAGTTAACCTTCTGCAGACAAACTTGGGGACTTCGACGGTAACCTTTAGAGCAGGCGAAATTTTGGCGAGCAACCGCTCATTATTTTCTCAACAAAAATTATAGCCACCATCTTTGGTTTTAATAGCAGCGGAAGGCTGGGAGGAGAAAGAAATATCCACCAAGGGGGCGGTCGACGGTCAATGATAGGGAGAGGGGTGGGGGGAGTGAAGATTACGCCTGCCGAGGTCATTATTATTTTGCAAAACTCCGTTCGCCCACGAACGGAGTTCCTGATGGCCGCGATTAAGCTCCAGCTGTCAACTAAGAGCCAAATGTGTTATTTGGACATTTTGCTGTAGCGGGAAATTGCGAAGGATGGCAAACTCTGTAAATGATGAAGTTGTTAGTTTCAATTCCTCTTTGAAGGAAGCAAGTGTCTTTCTTTCTCGTGCATCAAAATCGGAAGAAAAAGAAACAATTGCTACACTGGTTCTGGAAAGGATCTACTGCCAGTGTTGCCAAATGACTTTGGGAAAAGCCTGATACTTCAGGTGTTGGTTCGTATGAAAGAAATTATGACGGGGAAACCTTCGAGCGTAGTTGTCGTTTTTCCGCTCCAACGTATTATTTATGATCAAATGGAATAGACATCTTCGATCGGATTAGCGGTAGCTACGCTCACGGATTGGCCATAATTTTGGAGGACATAGAGTCCGGCAAATATCAACTCGTATTTGCGTCAGCAGAGAACGTTTTGGTGAAGCCATTTCTTTCGTTGATGAAAAAAAAAACAAAAACAAAAAAAAAAAAAAAAAACCACACTGTTACACCAGAGTATGCCGGTTTGCATCAAACAAATTATGGCGCGTAAAACTTCGAGTGCTGTTGTTTGTGCTTCAAAGTATCGTTTACGATCAGTTGGAAGAAAAACAGTCAAATAGATTAACGGCAGCCATACTCAAGGATTGTCGTTTGGAAAATTTAGAGTGCAGGAAACATCAGCTCATATTTGGGACCGCAGGGAGGTTTCTTCGAAGCAGTTTTGTTCCTGGGTGAAAAAAAAAAAACGACCTTATTATTTCACTCATCGACTCTATGTGTTTTTTTTTGTAGGAAGACAGTCCTACCGGTTTTTAATTTAACTCATTTCGATTGGTTATCTGCTCATTTCCGTAAATGCAGTGATGCACAGCTTATTAGGGGGTGTTTTGCTTTTCAACGGCCTCCTCGGGCAGGCGTCTTTTCGTCCTTTCCCCGCCCCCTACCCCCACCGTCCACTCTAGCTCTAAATCAAACATGGCGGGTCGGATGAACGATTGCTGGCTTATAACGTTAGCTCGGCCTAGTAAGACACCTGCACTGCAGGCTATTTCAATGGCAGTTCAGTGATATTGGAACCTACTTAAGTTTCGCGAAACTAACTGGGCACTCCGATGATAAGGGGAGGGTCACACACCTTCTCCAGCGTTTTTTAGAGAGGATTTTTGTGACGTTTCTTTCCATTTTCTCACAGATTAAGTTTTTCTTTTCACCCACTTTGATTTAATTTGATATTCTATTATAGGTACTTGGTTACATTCCTTCATGTATATTGTGCCATGGCACATAGTTTTCTCGGAGGACTCGTGTCCTTTTCCGTCCGTATCGAGACCCATTAGACTCAGGTATCGTTTCTTCAGCTTCCTGCTTCCGCTTCCTGATCTCCCTGATCTCTAAATTCAACAAGTCATTTGGTTCTGACTCGGAAGAGTCAGAGGCTAGAATCTTTCTAGTCAATCAAAATCATTGTATTCTCATCTTTCTTTCCTTTTGCAATACTGTGGTGATGAATAAAAGTTCGTTTACCCCTAAGGGATGTCACCGGTTTATTTGTTGGCCGCTTATCATTTCCTTTTTTTTTCACTGTTTATTTGTTCAGTTATCCTCATTTCAATCAGATAATCAAGATAATGCAAGAAATGCAAGCTTTTCTGAAACAATGTCTTTTTCAGGCAACTGTTTGATTGCCTTTTTATCCCCTGCTCTGGGCCTACCCTCTTGAAACATCTGTTTTATTGGAGCTCGAGGCTGATAATCATAAGGTTTGCGGCCGCTCGTAAGTGTTTTCGTACTTGGTGGGTAGTGAAAGTCGAGAAGTTTGCTGTAATCGGGATAAAGTCGTGGAGTTGGCGTCGCTGGAGAAGGACTTACGAAGTCTCAAAGTTTATACTTCCATTTTCAAACTTCAGCTATAAAACGCAAAATATCCTATACTGATTGCTCGCATTTTCTTGTTCCAGCTCGCACACATTCAATGTCGAGATATATCTATATTCAAACATTTTGCGTTCGCAAGAGAAGTGTTTTGAGGTTTCTACGCCATGGAACCTACCATGTAGTAGTGAGGGCGAAACTTTATTTGCATTTGTGTTTTGGTTGGCTTTATAGGATTATACACACTTAAAGATACTATCTGGAAACTGTTTTATCCTTCAATGAACAAAAGTCGTTTACATGTCACTCTGTTTTACTTTGCAGCTTCCATTGCACCAGATCCTGTGGCCGTCTATCCTCTAAACAGCAAGTATCTATCAAGAGAAATTAGAGATCGACTGTCCCCAGGCATCCTCAGCCATGTGTCTCTGGCACCTGGAATCGATGGAAAGGAAGGCGGCTCCTACCAATTCGCAGGAAACATCGGCAGTTACATTGAGTTTCCGAATAATGGAGGATTAGACGTAAAGCACTCCATTACGATTTTATGTTGGGTGTATCCTCAGAGTAGAGAGGGTCCTCTCTTCCAGTACGGCGGTACCCATCGTTGGGGTGTTCACATGTGGATAGGGCAAGGAACGTTGTTTGTAAGATTCTCACGCAGGAACTACCAATCCACAAGGCATCTACTTTACAAGGCTATGGCTTTGGCTTTTAACCAGTGGCATTACGTGGGTAGCTCGTATGACTTCATTTCCGGTGAGGCAAATTTGTGGTTAAATGGACAATCGGTGGTAAAGATGAATATTGGAAAAGAGATGGAACTTGCCACTCAAGATGAAGTTCGAATTGGTGCTATCAACATGGATAGACGGTACTTTCAGGGACGAGTCACTGCCGTACAACTTTATGACGTGGCCCTGAACGCTGAGCAAATAAAGGCCGTGATAGGCGTTGGTCATGGCGGTAATTATTCTAAGACTTTAATTTATGCCAATTGATAACGTCTTCATAAACCAGTTATCACGGTACCGCTATTTTTTTAGAATTCATGTAAATCTTTTGCACATTGCTTCGTAGTTTACAGTCTAACGAATAGAGGGTCTTGTATCGGGTGTAATGAGGGAGGCCATTTTACTGATAGAAGTCTGTGTGTTTGTAGCTGATGTTTGCGCAGACAACAAGCCTTGTCAGAATGGGGGTGAATGTAGCAGCTCTGGTGACAGCTACACCTGTTCTTGTGTTGAAGGATTCCAGGGGAAAAATTGCGAAAATGGTGAGTTAAAGCTTAACAAAAAATGTGTCATCAGCGAAAGTGTGAGGATAAAATGCCTCCAATACTGCGATACCTTTTAGCAAAAGTTTCGACAGGTTGATTTTGAAAAAGGAAAGCTTAAGATTGACAAAATAACTCTACAGCAGGTTAGTGGAGTTTGTCTCCGATTCAGGATCACAGGATCTTCCCAGACCCCACTTTTTCCTTTTCTTTTTTGTTGGAAAACTTCGTTCTTATTCTTATTATCAAATTTCTATTTAGAATGCATTTAAACTAACTGGTTACTCCGTTTGAAGCCTATATTTCTCGCTGCGTGGTTAAAGTGACTAGAATTCCCCAAACTGCTCGCCGAGAAGGAAAAGTTGGCATGTTTTTGCTTTAAGAAAATTGCGAGAAACTAACTGGATCTTCACTTCACTATAAAGATACACAGAGACACAGGGCAGCCCATAATTGAAATTCAAAAATCGATTGATTAATCGTTCCAATGATTTATGTTAATGCCTGAAAAGTCAGACTTAACAGATGCTTCTTTAAACAAATAAGAAAGACACACCATAACTATAAAGTTGTTCGTTATATTCGCGCTTGATTTGTCCCCTCCCCCCCTCCCTGAACCAACTCAGAATAAAAGGCTTGACTTTTTTCATATCAGAATAGTGAGGGATGAAATTTCGAACTCAAAAGTAACTTAAACCTGTCTCTCAGGGACAACCTTTGCGCTTAGAAATTTTAACTTTGATGTTTTCCATTCTGGCTAGATATCAACGAATGTATAACTTTACATCCATGCCAAAATGGCGGACAGTGCACAAACACACAAGGCGGCTACGAATGCAAATGCAAACCTGGGTTTACAGGAACAAATTGTGAAAAAGGTGAGAAAATTACTGGGCATTAGCTGTTGTTCATAGCCGTTGTGCTTGCAAAGAAAGTAACAAGTTAACCTTCTGCAGACAAACTTGGGGACTTCGACGGTAACCTTCAGAGCAGGCGTAATTTTGGCGAGCAAGTGCTAGTTAATTTCTCAACGAAAATTATAGCCACCATTTTTGGTTTTAATGGAAGCGGAAGGCTGGGAGGAGAAAGAAATATCCACCAAGGGGGCGGTCGACGGTCAATGATAGGGAGAGGGGTGGGGGGAGTGAAGATTACGCCTGCTGAGGTCATTGTTATTTTGCAAAACTCCGTTCGCCCACGAACAGAGTTCCTGATGGCCGCGGTTAAGCTCCAGCTGTGAATTAAGAGCCAAATGTGTCATTTGGACATTTTGCTGTTGCGGAAAAATGCGAAGGATGGCAAACTCTGTGAATGATGAAGTTGATAGTTTCGATTCCGCCTTGAAGGAAGCAAGTGTCTTTCGGAATTTAATATTTCTCGTGCATCAAAATCGGAAGAAAAAGAAACAATTGCTACACTGGTTCTGGAAAGGATCTACTGGCCGTGTTGCCAAATGACTTTGGGAAAAGCCGTTTCACCAGAGTATGCCGGTTTGCATCAAACAAATTATGGCGCGTAAAACCTCGAATGCTGTTGTTTGTGCTTCAAAGTATCGTTTACGATCAATTGGAAGAGAACAGTCAAATAGATTAACGGCAGCCATACTCAAGGATTGTCGTTTGGAAAAGTTAGAGTGCAGGAAACATCAGCTCATTTTTGTGACCGCAAGGAGGTTTCGTCGAAGCAATTTTGTTCCTGGGGGAGAAAAAACGACGTTACCATTTCACTCATCGACTCTATATGTTTTTTTTAGTAGGAAGACACTGCTTTCGGTTTTAATTTAAATCATTTTGATTGGTTACCTGCTCATTTCCGTAAATGCAGTGATGCGCAAATAAATAGAGGGTGTTTTGCTTTTCAACAGCCTCCTCGGGCAGGCGTCTTCTCGCCCTTCCCCCGCCACCAACCCCCACTGTCCGCCCTAACTCCAAATGAAACATGGCCGGTCGGATAAAAGATCGTGAGCTTATAACGTTAGCTTCCTCTAATAAGACACCTGCACTGCAGGCTATTTCCACGGCAGTTCAGTGATATTTGAACCTACTTAAGTTTCGCGAAACCAATTGGGCACTCCGATGATAATGGGAACTGAACTCTTAAAAAATCCTATTACTGATACCAGAGCCGGGCCTTATTACGTTATATTTTTTCTTGAAAGGTATATTATATGTTAATGAGGACCTACTCGTTTCCGGTACTAGCCAATGCTACCTTTTCTCTTCTTTTGAATCTTGCAATGACTTTCCTTCTGTAAAATATATGGATTTACCGTCAGCGTAGATTAATGTGTGGACAATTCAGTGTGGCAGATCTATGTTCGCACATTAATTTGACATTCTAAGAACGTTACGTAATAACTACGCAGATACATGGTAGCTCTACCGCTCCTTATGAAGCTTTATCATCCCTCTTTCTTAGAGCCAGGTGTATACAGTGGATACGATACTATTTTACATAAACACTTTCAATGGCGCGCGCAGTCTCTTGGACGGATTAGGCTACATGAGATTCACCCCACGAGAAAAAAATTGCGAAAACGATCTCGGCTTTTATATCACCTTTCCTACGTTTTTTTATGAAATGCAGATGAGGACGATTGTTTAAATGCTGTGTGTTACAATGGAGGAAAGTGTATCGACGGAATCAACAGCTACACGTGTGACTGCAAGGAAGGATTCATTGGAGAACAGTGTGGTAAGAACGCTAAAAACGGTTATGTTTTGGTGACACCTTTTCTCGAACTGTTAAGGCTCTCCGACAAAATAGAAATTAAAAAAACTTAAAAAAGAGGTAAAATTTGACCCACCTCTTTACCGCTCCAGCATTCCTCTTTGAAATACATTTTGGTTCGCTTTGGGGGTACAAGGGTTTTTTTCCTTTTTTTGAACCTACTCTTTTCATATTTTTGTTCTCTTTGTTCTACGTCATTGATTAGTTCTACTGATTTTCAGGGCGAGACTGAAAGCTTGCTTTTGCCTACCAAACAGCTTAAAGCCCGACTTTGTCATGAGATTCAAACCTTACTCTGTACATACACTTACCTATCCCCTTTCGAAAATGTACGAGGCAAGAAATTTCTGGCGAGTGTCGTCGCTCATTGTTATCTTTATTACAATTCAAAGACTGAGAAGTAAACATCTTTTATAGGAAATTGTGCATTATGGCCTTAAGAAAAAACCCTTCCTTACTTAATCGTATCGATGGAGTTGATTGTATGTGTTATAGAGTGGGAAAAGCAAGGATGCTTTAAAGAAGTCAAAAAGAAAAACAAGGCCATGGGTAAAGTTCTTGGAAAATTCAGAAAGTACAAGAAGAATATCAAAGGTGCTGTGGAAGCTTGTATGAAAGCAGCTAAGGGGAAAAAACTGGAGATCTTTGGGGTTCGTGGGAAATTCAGCTGTGCGACAACCAAAGGCAATGCTGATTACAAGATGCATGGTGCATCACCCAAAGGGTGCAAAGAAGAAGGAGATTACGGAGTCGGAGTAAAATTGGCCAATTATGTCTACATTTTGAAGAAGAATTAGAGCCATAAACTTTACAGCACGGGATCGTTAGTTCACGGTGAGTCCAAAGTTACAATTACTTAAGATTTCCACGAGACAATACCGATTAAAATATAGGTTCCAGAATTCGTTTGCAGTAGTTTGGCAAAAGCTGTTTACCTAATTCGTCCGTTAAGAAAGGAAAACGCTGCGGTTCCCAGACAGCCGATCATATAGCCACTACGTAAAAAAAGAAAAAAAAATCATGTAAGATTGAAGTGCGCTTCACTAACCCTATCAAAGGTGTCGTTTAAATGCTGTCAGTATAAGTATTTTTAAACGTTGACGCATTAATTTTTGCTTTACACTGTGCTCATTACAACAACGAAACAAACTGCTTAGTTATAAGGAACAATGAGATAAGAAATGAAGTGAGAATATTTATTACTCTTGAGGTATCTGTGCAGATTAACCTAAATTCATTCAATGGTAATCAGAGAACAGCGTCAAACAACATGTGACTGATTTCTTCGTTTTCTTGGCCGCCGACTCTTGTGCGCTTCCTCCCTACAAAGGAAAGCCTGATCGCATAATCATGATGAAAAAAGAAACCTAACCACCAAAGTGGTTCTCATTGGGGCCCTGAAAAAGAAAATTATGATGTCAAGAAAAGTTTCAGTGACAAACACTTGCTTGTGTCACATTAGATCTACATTACAAGTTTATTTGTTCACGTTGCATTTTTTTCCCTCTCAGGCCTGGTTATCAGCAAGAAGTTGCAACGAAGATTAGAAAGAGTAGAAAGAAACTGAAATGTATCAGCTTATCCGAATCGTGGGGTTTTATCTGGGATCAATAAAGTGTGTGGAAAAACTATCAGTGTTGCAATTCTTTTAAAAGATTATTGATGATTGTTGGTCAGGAATGGTTATCAGCGGAAATTAGGAATTCTTATCAATAGACCCAAACGAAATTATTCTGTGGTATGAAGAAATAATTGACGCGCACAAGCCGAAAAATAAGGACATAGAAATTTCGTCTTTCGATTCACATAAAGCGTTCAAAGAGGAGACTTAACATGTTAGACATGTCACTCAAAACAAAGAGATCATTCTTACCTCCTCACCTTGCCGTAATAAGCTGCACTGTTGTATCTCATTTCGATCCGTGCCAATGTTTGGTTGCTTCAAGTTAGCTCAAGTGTTAATACGCACTAAATCATTATAGCCACTGTTTTACGCCACAGAGGATATCTTCCAAAGTCCATGTTATTAATGTTATTGGAGGGTTGTGGTCAACCGTTGGCGTAAAAACTGACAAATTTTGTCGTTAGTCGAAGAAACCCTTAACGCTAAAATTGTTTCTATTGTCCGTAACGGAAAGAAAGCAACTGTTAGCCGTAAAATAGCTAACATTTTAAGCGTTAGCCGTAATAGCCATCATCTCATTGTGCTCTTCGATGATACACATCCAAAATGTTTCCTCTTCTTTTTCACTTTTTTAGATTAAAATCAATTCTCGGGCGAGGCGAAGAAAATTTCAGTGCTAAACCCAATGGGTCCCATAGTTTTTTCGACTTCTTTCAGCGAAACTAACTTTTCCACTATGTGTTGTGATGATGAGGCAAACATCCCTTAAAGGCTGAAAGCCAAGGGAACCTTGAAACCGTATGCCCACCGTAACTTTACGATCATGTGCAATTGCACCCTCAAGAACAAGTCGATGATGATAGCCAACAGTTTGATTAAATGAGATACGAATAAGATTAAGGAAGAGTCTCTTGAATGTTTAGCTCTCCTGATCGTTGGCCACTCATGTCAATCTTGTTTCTCTTTATCACGTTGTCTCTCAGACCATGAAGAAACAAAAGTTTGATAACCAGGTTACAAAAGCCCAAAAACTAAAGCTCACTGCTGTCTTCTATCAGGAATTTCTGCACATTTAGTGGTCTTCATCTCTATCGGGGTTGTTACTCTACCCTGTCTCGCTTATCCGAGTATTCTCGATCAAAGAGAAAGGAAAATATTGCGATTCAGTAAGGATACATTCCTTGCCAAGACTGTGATAACTTAGAGGTCAGCTTTATCTACATGATTATCGACACCGCACACATTTCTTTCATGACTACGACATGCACAGTACTACACGTTGTTTTGCATCGAATGCATAATTGATTACTAAAAATTTTATTCGTATTTATTACACAGTTATTACACAGAGTAGAAAAGTCTGTTTTCTAAGGCGCTTTCTATAAGAAATTACTTCAAAGTTTGCTCGGAAGCCTTTTAAATCACCGCTATCATAACCCCTAGAAAATGTCTCGATAAAGCCTTTAATTTTTCTGTTTTCTCTGCCACTTACTTGCCCTGTATCAAGAAAGGTTCTATTGTTCCGGCTCAACTTTTCCATTAAGCATCAAACATAAGTCCTTTTATTATTGGTAGTGCTGAAGGACTTTAGCCAATGCGAGCCGCAAAAACTCGCAACTGATGGAGAAAATTAGTAAGATCAATCTCCATTGGTCTACTCTAGGGAAGACTTGACTCTCGATGAGGGCATCGAGCAAAAGGTTTGCCAGTTCGAAAATAATTTAAGTTGTCCGTGTAGTGATGATTCATTTAAACCACCTCCCTCTAAATGCGAGTCAAGTCCCCTAGTAAAAAGTCAACGCATGAAAATCTTTCTTGAATATACGATCGACGTTAAGACCAATCTCTGTAAGAATCAAACATCTTGGGAAATGAAAATTTTCAACTCCCCTTCAAATTTTGCATGCAGTTAGGCACTCAGGGGGGATGCACAAAAATGCCCTTTTTAAAGATCGCAGCACTCTTGTTGCCATGGTAACAACGACTGCTTGTTCGAGGCCTGGGGCCTCATTTTCATACAAAAACGTCGCAAAAAAAAGAGTGAAATGTTTATTTCTCTATCTCAAGCTAAATACATTACAAATTGGCACTTCTACCATACATAGTGACATCATTCGTCTTCACTTTGATTCATTCAATTTCCCTGAGAGTGAGTGTGAACACACCAATATATTATTCATCTCAGTACAGTTTCGGTCATTTTTGTTGTCGGGTAAAACAGGGAAAACGTTTATCTGAATTTCTCCAAAAGTACACCGATTCTGGAACTGAAACTACCCACCTAGCTGGTTATAATATTCTAGTTTTTAAATATGTAAAAATCTCTGCGGGCCTGCCTCTTCTTTTTATAAGGGCAATTCGCGAAAAAAGCTCAAAATCAGATATTGCATAATTTGGCGATGTTTACTTCTAACGTTCTCAACAACAAATGTTTCAGAAAAATGAAACATGCGAGGTTTTGAAAGAATGTTATCTTATGAGCAATATCCCGAAGAGAAATCTCGCCTCTGGTTGTCATCTTTTGAAAAAATAGGCAGTCTATGATTAAATGTGCCTAGTGATATGAAAAATAGTATCATCTGCAATGACTACAAGATACAACAACAACTAGAAACTTTATTGTGAAATAAGTATCAACTGTAACAATTCATAATTGAACAAGAACTAAGTAATAAAAACATGTAATGGTACTTTCTATTAATAGTAATTATGCTATAAACTATTAGACTTGTAAGAAGAGTCTTAAGGTTGTCGAGTAGAAATTTGACCAGACTCAAACATCAGGCTTATTGAGTCGTGTATAATTTGGCACCTGAAATGGTGTGCAAACGCAAGTTTGATGTTGTATACTGTTGTATAGTCTACAAAGTCGAGTACGTTTGCAGGTTTTAGCATTTTCATCATATAAGTATTGTTGCATACAACGCATGATTTAGTAATTTTCAAAAATAAAGTCAACACAATGGCCTTCAGCAAGAGTGCCATTCAATTCCTTTGGTAAATGAGGTTGATGCCTTTAAACAAATCTTTCATCTCAAGAATAGCTGTGAAAGAGTTTGTATTAGGAAAGTTATTCTATGTGGCTTTTGGAAGAAACTGATCTTTGTATCTTTCAGGAATGCTCTATGATGTCTATCATAAGTATTACGTTTTGCTTTTCTTTCTGGTGAAATCAAGGTTGCTCAACGACTTCTAACATCAGCATTGTGTTTAGCTTTTTTTTCTGGCGTATTTAAAGCTGCTCTACACTTTCTTTTGTTTTCATTGAGCTTTGCTCTTTTCTCAGGAGAATCAGTAGCTTTTCTATATTCTTTCATATATGCAGCTCTATTTTGTCTTTTGCTTTTTGGCGATAAATGAATATGCTCGCCCAATTTTTCATGTTCTATATTAGTAGAATTTTCTAAAGGTGAGACTGGACATGTGGATACATGTGGATTTTCAGCATCATTACAAAGTGTTGGCTCAATTATTGTTGTTTCTCTGAAAGTTTGACTTGATTCTACTATATTTATTTTTAATTGCATGGAGTCAGAAATTGCTTGTATAACAATGTTATCAGCCCACATACCTTGGTGTGACATATTACACATATATTGATTCCATGAAGTGCCTACTACACTTTCTTATAGACCGATCAGGATTATCAGATAAGAATCTCACAGCTGTTGCTCTAATTTCAGCATGATGGTTTGAATCACCATATAACTGATGTGATATTGATTTAAATAAACTATTACCTTCACCACCTACATCTAATGGCTGTAATCCATATCTAAGCATTCTATATTGCAATACAAAATTTTGGTTGGTAAAGGAAATGGTTTCAAAAGTATTCCCAGACATAGGACCAGAATTTAATTCAACATCACCTGATAATGACACTTTGAGTTTAGCCAAAAAATATCTTTCTCCCTTAACTTTATATGCATAAAAATATGAACTTTAGAAACTATTTTCTTTGCAAATACACTTCATTTTCCAATGCTTGAAATATTTTACAACTTTGTACAAAATAGATGAAACAGGTACATATTTCAAAACCATTTTCTTGAATTTGTCACGTGACTTTTTCTTTTTGAGCAAATTAATAGTTTTCATCCTGCACATAGCACGTTTTACACATAGTTGAGAGTGTCTGTTTTTCATTACAAGGCTTACATTTATTTGATAACTCATTAGAACAAGGCTGAACTTTGATTGATGCTTTCAAAGAAGTTGGCTCATTGTTGTCTTTTGATAAATCCCCGAAGGGATTTTGTTTGGCACTCCCGAGGGAGTTTAGTTGTGGCTCCCCGAAGGGACATTTGGCACTCCCGAGGGAGGTAAGTTATGGTTCCCCAAAGGAAGGTTTGGCACTCCCGAGGGAGTTTAGAACACTCGCCAACGAGCGTAGTAGGATCGTCGTGGTACACCTTTTGGCTGTTTATCATAGGATTTGCTACTTTTGCATGGAAATTCCATCTTCTGTAGAAGTTACTGATCGCTAAACAAGGCATATAACGACAGGATTCGGCAGGAAACGCTCGTCCACGGCCACTGATCGAGGGAAGAATCATTAACACTTTTTTCAGTTTCTTTACCGATAAAGCAAGAAAATTCTCGAAAAACCCTTAATGTTGCTTTCAAGATCAAATTCTTTGAAAATCCACCGAAAGTTCAGCCTGGCTCTAGAAAGAAAGTAAGATAAATTTATCTTACACATAGAAAACTTACCAACGTCGTTAAACAAACGTGCAATGTGAGCACATAGGGCGATCGTAGCAAAAAGTTGCCATGTACGTCATGTCTTCTCGGGATACGAAAATCAAACGAACATTGCTCGAAAGTGGTCTCGGGTTGTTGGCGAAAGAATACAAGAAAAACCGAGTTACGGACACACACGTGTGCACGATAACATGGTGCCCTAGGGTTCTACGAGTACTAGGCACGAAAATTGATCAAACTTCATGGAGGACTACTCGACGTAACTACAAACATATACCTCAAATTGTGTGCATATCATCCAGATTCCGAGTGCTGCACCTTCTTTCATGGGAATTTGAGCAATCCGAAGTCCTCTGAAGATACACTGATATACTTGTATGTCATTTGAAACATGTTGAAGTCTGCTGATCTACACGAAAGTATCCTCACACCGGTCATTTGTCATAAACATGTACGTTGTTACGATTGCGTAACGCTGTATTTCTCCATGAAGTTTCCATCGATCGCCCCAAAGAAGACGAGAAATGGACATTTTTGTATATATCAGCAGATTCCCGCTCATTCTAAGTAAAAACAACCAAAAAAAAAGAAGAAAACCTCAATTGAACGCTCGTAAACACTGAGAATCTAAGAGCAGAAATCGCAGCTTGTCAGCGGCAGTAATACGTGTAAAACCCAGTCGCCACAATAGCAATTTGTACGACCCGCGCGAAAATCATCTCAAAGTGGAGATTTTGAACTACTCAGTATCCCTGCAGTTCGGAAAACGGAACAGGGATTTCATCACAATCAATTTCCAAAATTTAGCTTTTTTCAGGGAGTCTTTCACGTGCTCGAACGTTATATTGGCTTTGAGCCTTGAGATTTGTTTCCCTTGACAATAAAATACTATCGAAAGTGCATACAAAATTACAAAGGAACTATTTTTGGTGTCGCCTGGACCGAGAAATACAGATTTGAAATAATTAATGCTGTCACTGATGAACCAAAGGGCACAATCTTCTCAGTTATTAGCTTGATAATCTCCACAGACTAACGTTATTAGACCTAACGATCTCCTTTTTCTTCCTGGTGAGCCGGAAAACTTCCTTGTGTTCGTTCTGCACAGTGGCAAAACGGAAGGACCATTCCTAGTATTATAATTGTGGATTTGACTATTCAGTAAAAAAAGTTATTGAATTTGGAAGGGAGTGTAGAGTTCTTGAATGAAAACATAAAAAGTACCCTCAGGGAAAATTAAAGAGTTTAATTCTCTATTTAATGTGTTAATTAGGTAAACAGGGTCATTATGGGAGATAAATAAGTTTGTATCATCAGCAAACAAGATTGCATCAAGCAGGGAAGCATTGTTCAAATCATTAACATACAGGATAAAAATAAGGGACCAAGAATAGAACTGAGGCACCCCACAGGGAATCCCCTGTGGGGCAGATCTAACGTTATTAAATTCGACAAATTTTGACTTCCTCTTGTATAGTTTGTTTTTCTGCTTGACAGGTAGATCACTGAGTTTCTTCAAAGAAAATTGTAAGCTTTAGTTATATTCATCTTTCGTCTATTTGAGCCAATCAATACAATCTAATTCCTCTAGGAAGTTGGAAATAAAAGATATCCGGGGGACATTCACAAATATACCAGATGGTTTTATCCTTCGGGCGGCTCTAAGAATATCATCCTTCTGCCTCCAGTCGCGCAGACGACACACAATGGTTCTTGGGCGTGTGTTGATACCATCAGCAGCACCTGATCTTGGTCTTGCTCCGGTGCGATGCGCTCGCTCGATCATCGGCTCAAAGCTCAGGTTTAGTTTCTCCTGTAGTACTTCCTTCACCTTTGTTTCAGTATTCAGCCAGGTCTCGTTGTGTTGTTCGGGAATTCCATCGATGCGGACATTGTTTCTACGGCTTTGGTTCTCAAGGTATACCAATTTTTCTTCTTGTTTATGTAACCCTGTTTGGATGTCATCAAGTTCTTCTTCCATTTCGTCTATGGCGTCTGCAGCTTCCTTCAAGTCGTCAATATCTTGTTGTGAATATTCTAGGCTCGCTTTTAGTTCCGCGACAGATTTGACAACCTTGTCGATTCTTGTATTTACAGAAGACAGAACCGACTCAAACATATTGCATAAATTAAAACTTCCTCTCGGGTAGATCACTGAGAGATTGCGTTATATTCATCTTTCTTTAAGCTTATAAAAGATATCCGGGAGAAAAGTATGGAAAATAATGGTGATGAAATCGCTGTTCTTTTCCCTGAAGGACATGAAGCAATCCAGATTACATATTAACCATGGAGAGTTTCGTTCAAGTGACAACTTGCGATTTGCATGTGGATAATAAGTTGTTTGAAAGGTGGAATTGTGACATTATTATTTCATTAAATCTTTTATTTCGAACTTTGTTATAATTTTTTCTCTATCAAGTCATGGAAGAAAACATTGATTGACTCGATAGCACTGCGGCAGTGATAAGTCTTTCCTCGTCATATCTTATGCAAATTTTTTAACAGCTTTCTGACAGTTTTCAGATGATTTGAAATATCTTAGTTCCTGTCACAAGGAAATGATAACTGCTCGAATCTGCTCTTTGTAAGGAGATGCCTATGTCGCTCAAATTGCTAATTGCAACTGGGTTTTACATGTAGTACTGCGGCTGACAAGTTACGATTTATACTCTTAGATTCTCAGTGTTTACGAGCGTTCAGTCAAGGTTTTCCTCTCTAAAAGATGACAACTAGAGGCGAGATTTCTCTTCAGGTTATTGCTCATAAGATAACATTCTTTCAAAGCCTCGCATATTTCATTTTTCTGAAACATTTGTTGTTGAGAACATTAGATGTAAACATCGCCAAATTATGCAAATTACGCAAATTATCTGATTTCGAGCTTTTTTCGCGAATTGCCCCTATAAAAAGTAGAGGCAGACCCGCAGAGATTTTTCATATTTAAAAACTAGAATATTATAACCAGCTAGGTGGATAGTTTCAGTTCCAGAATCGGTGTACTTTTGGAGAAATTCAGATAAACGTTTTCCCTGTTTTACTAGATAACAAAAATGACCGAAAGTGTACCGAGATGAATAATCTACTGGTGTGTTTACATTCACTCTCAGGGAAAATTGAATAAATCAAAGCGAAGACGAATGATGTCACTATGTATGGTAGAAGTACCAATTTGTAATGATGTATTTAGCTTGAGATAGAGAAATAAACATTTCACTCTTTTTTTGCGACGTTTTTGTATGAAAATGAGGCCCCAGGCCTCGAACAAGCAGTCGTTGTTACCATGGCAACAAGAGTGCTGCGACCTTTAAAAAGCGCATTTTTGTTCATTCCCCTGAGTGCCTAACTGCATGCAAAATTTGAAGGGGAGTTGAAAATTTTCATTTCCCAAGATGTTTGATTCTTACAGAGACTTGTTCTTAAATGCAATCGAAAGAGACGATTTTCTGTACAGAGCCTCGAGGCAATTGAAGACCTTGTTTCTAGTGCAGAGCTGTTTCCCAACGAGGAGCTCATTTTTTAGAACCAACTGACTGAGCATCTCTGATTGCAGGTAAAACTTTATTTTAGAGCTAACCAAACCCTATTTAAGTCCTCTTGCTTTGCAATGATAGGCTATGCAAATTATAAGGGGCAAAATATTAATTTGAGTTCCTGAATCATTCCATCCTTTGTAGAAAGGTTAGAAAATCTTTGTTTTCTTGGTTTGATAAACTGACTGTTTTTCAATGGGGACGTGTTAGTAAAGATCGGAGAGTTTATAATAGCCAATTTGCTCACTTGAAACTACAATTCTTATTTATAGATCACTGCTACCCGTCCAATAAGGCCTGATCTTATTTTGGTCTTTACCAATTATTATTAAGAGAGCACGCATCTATATAGCATGTTCAGTTAAGCTCATTTACTTTTCAATACTATAACGGTCAACAAACATTTTTGGTTGAAATGTTATAAAAGTCAAAGGCTTCTTACGTTACGCGCGCTTGTCCTCTCTAGTTCCTATTAAGCAACAGTGGTGTGATGTCTCAAAGTATGCAAAGTTCTCGTCAAGTTTAGCCGAGAGTTTCCGTCGCTGAACTTTCCTATAGTCAAGTGGAAGAATATTAACAAAGCAATTATGACTAGCTTACCTGAGAATTCTTGTACAAAAGCAACGCCGTCGGTTCAAAAAATGAACTTAAAGTCATTTAGTTTGTTTCTCTCTTTCCAAACCAACCCGAAACTGCATATGGAACTCAGCGTTAAATTATAAATATAAATTATAAAAAATAGCCGTCGTCGTTGACATTCTCCAGACAACGTTAAGTTTGGTCATTTCACGTTGTTGTTTTGCGGGGAAGGCAAAGACATTTACAAAGATTTATAACGCACGTGCACAACCATTGTTCTGCTCATTAAACCTTTTTTTCAGGGACGTTCCCGTTGTCGTCGTGGTTTTTTAAACTTTCTGATATCTAATCTTTGGGTTTGTTTTGCTCTTTTATATCGTGTCGAAAACAAACAAATTACTTGACCACCTGAATCAACGTGGTGCGTTTACATATTTGGGAGCAATATTTGTCACAATTTTTCAAACATTTTATGTTTTCTCCCATGACGGTACTGGTGATGAGAAAATTCGAGCTGCTTGGTAAAAACACAATAGGAAAAAGATACTGAGTGCTTCAATTAAACTTTACGTAACGGATATTTTAGTTAAAATAAATTATTTAAAAGAAAAATATCTTTAACATACAGGATAAGTCACAATTTCGCCTTGAGGTTGACCTTTTTTATGGTTCCAGATGTTCTACGCTAATTCCCCGCGAGAAACCATCCATCTGCGTTATGATATTTCCTCAGCGGTTTTATAACAGACTTGCCCTTTAACAGTATTTCTTACTGATTGGCGGCATCTTTAATTGGTGCTTAATGAAACAAGTATTTGAGTCCTGGTGTTCAGCGTTTGATCAAAGAGGACTAATTACCCTTGGATAGAATGAATAACGCTTAATGTAAATGTATTTTTGTCAATGCTGATTTTAGAAATAGAAATAACTTCGGTATTGTTCGCCTTCATTTCGATTTAGGGATAATCAAGAGCCCATAATATGAGCTAAAACGGATTGGTATACTACATGAGGGGACGCAAATCGTCTGTACTGTAAGTATCCCGGAGAGTCCCCTACATTGTCTTAGACTTTTAGTCTAAGAAAATGTATGGGACTTTTTGAACGCTCCAGGCAGCTCTCCTGTAAGGTGTCATAAACCTGTTGCTGCTGACATCGATGTGACAGATAATTGCTTTTGCACTGTTTTCTTTGCCGGCTTATACTTGTCATCAAGTTTCAATAAGACGGCTATCATTTTTCACAAGAATAATGAAGTTTTCGTATGTACTTACAGTGCAGACGATTTGCGTCCCCTCATGAAAGCGTTTAAGGGAAGTTAGGCGTTACCAGTTCATCGCTGTTTTCCACGAGTTAAACGTGCTGCCTTTGAAAAGGTAAAGTTGTCAATTACTTTTAGAGAATTCTTACAAGCTTCCCGCAAACTCATCTGTGATGAGTGAGATATTTTCAAAGCCCAAAGAAAAACACTTTGGGTCGTTGGGGCTGGTGAAAGAATGATAACTAATTTTTATGACAAATAACCTTAGCCAAGAGAAAATAATGGGACAGAGAGGGAAATTCAGGGCGTCGGCGACACATGCATAAGGTGCGTGGTCTGATTACGACCATCTATGAATAACTTATGTGAAATTGACATATCTCAGAGCCTGGACCAGAAGCCTCCCTGTCTGTTCCACTATTTTCTCTTACATAAGCCCAATTCAGATCCTGGACAAAAGTTTTTTTTTTTAAAATAATTCCAAAAACTTCCAGTTTGTAATAAAGTCAACGGGATGTAATAGAGTACTGTAAAGCCTACATCTCATCCACTGTCTAGTGGCTTGTCAAACTCGAACTTTGCAGAAATTCTGTCTCATCGTAAAACAAAGAATACAAAACTTGCAATAGCAGAGTTATGTTTGTAATTAGTTTGCAATTATTGTTTCTCATTTCAACAGCAGAAGTTTGAAAGCATAGAGAGGTTCAAGGTGATCTTTCAAATCAGTGTTCTACAGGTTTTGATCACGATTGCCTACAGTTAGTACCCTTCAAGATTTCTTTTTGCAAGAGCAGTCGGGGGGGTCTTTAACCTCACTCAGACCAAATTATTCCCCCAAGAGTCCTCTTTATCATCCACTTAGCGAATTTATTTCTAATTCATATCGTCTATCTTGCAGTTGTAAGTGTCCCAGATCCTGTCGCCGTCTTTCCCCTGAACAGCAAGTATCAAACGAGGGAAATTAAAAATCGAGTTCCCCAGGGAGTTGCTGTTGGTGTATCTTTAGCTGATGGCCCTGAAGGAAATTCCGGTGGCTCGTACATGTTCGCAGGCAATTCTTTAAGTTACATCGAATTCCCAAGTAATGGAGCATTGGACGTTCAGTACTCTATCACCATGTTATGTTGGGTTTATTATACGGGTGCAAGTGGTCCTCTCTTCAATTACAATAAGGGAAACACTGCGTGGGGTGTCCATCTGTAGATAGCGTCAAGACAGGTGTTCGTTCGCTTCACTCACAGAAATTATTAATTCACTCCACATTTGAACGGTGGTAGTTTGCCACTAAACCAGTGGAATTATGTCGGTTGTAGATAGCGTCAAGACAGGTGTTCGTTCGCTTCACTCACAGAAATTATTAATTCACTCCACATTTGAACGGTGGTAGTTTGCCACTAAACCAGTGGAGTTATGTCGGTTCTACTTGTGACTATGATACTGTTATTGTAAGATTGTGGGTGGATGCAAGAGAAACCGCTCAATCTAGTATTGGAAGAGTCCACCTTTCCACTCAGGACGAGGTCCGGATGGGTGCACAAGACGGGGATATTCGGCGTTTCCGAGGAAGAATTGCTGCTATGCAACTTTATAACGTGGCTTTAACTGCAGAGCACATAAATGTATTGAAAAAGGTTGGCTTAGTTAATTACTCTTAAACTTTTCCATAGCCTGCAATTATAGGATTTTAAATTACATTCACTACCAAACAAATCAATTTTTATAACTATCTATTCATTCATTTTTTGTAGCTGATGCTTGCGATAAGTTGAAAGCGTGCCAGAATGGGGCTGCATGCATTCCTTCTGGTGATGGTTATACATGCTCCTGTGGTGTTGGATTCTAAGGAACCAACTGCGAACACGGTCAGTGAACATGACTTAAACTGTGCATAACCAAGCAAACATTGTGTCCACCCCTCTCTTCTTCTCGTGTCCCTTTACGTGCAAACTGATTTTGGTTTTACATTTTTTTCATTTGGGGTAGATGTTGATGAATGCCAAACCTCAAACCCATGCCAAAATGGTGGACAATGCGAGGACACAGCTGGAAGCTATCAATGCAAATGCAAGCCTGGATTTACAGGCCGAAATCGCGAAACAGGTCGGTTATTGTTCAGAGACAAAACATAATAATAATAACAATAATTTATTGACTTCTAAGGCGCAAATTCTATGTATATATATTCAAATGCGCCGTAACATAATAATTACAATAAACTAAAGATAAAATAAAATAATAATAATGATGATAATTGGAATATAAATAACAATTAAATGCGATTCATAATAAATAATATATATAACATATAACTAATTATTAATTGAAATGTTCTATTTAAAAATTTATCAATTAATAAATAACTGTAAAAACTTTATCAACTATAAAATGCTTTCTTTAAAAGAAACGTCTTAAGCTTCGATTTAAAACTATTATAGAACTAGATTCTCCTATATCCCTTGGTAAATTATTCCACAGCTTAGGTGCCGCAAACATGAATGCCCGGTCACCATGTGTTGCCTTAGACTTAAAACTAGGATAACTGAATAAGGTCTGATCACTAGAATTCCTTAAATTATATCTTGACTCGGCCTTTCGTGTAATTAAAGAACTTAAATAAGACGGTGCTTAACCCTTAAAAATCTTGAAAATAATTAATACTATCTTAAAATCAATTCTTAACTTAATAGGTAACCAGTGCAACTCCATCAATAAAGGAGTAATGTGACAATATTTATTTTCATTGCAAATTAATCTAGCACATATGCGTTGAACACGTTGCAATTTGTTAATTTAATATTCCGGAGCACCATACAATAAACTATTGCAATAGTCAATTCTGCTTGAGATAAAGGCATGGACCAGAGTTTTTGTGTTCTCTTTAGACAGGTACTTTCTTATCCTCCTCAGATTGTACAAGTAGTAAGAGGCAGAGTTGCATGTTCTTGTTCTGTGAGTCGCCATTGTGAGTTTTGCATCGAACCATGAGCCCAGGTTCCTCGCAGATGACACGGGAGTAATTGCTGAGTTACCAACACGGAGACTGAAAATAGTTACTTTAGCGAATTGCTGGGATGTACCAATGATCAGAAACTCAGTCTTGTCGTCGTTCAGTTTCAATTTATCATTCAACATCCAATTAAGATTATCATCAATACAGCTTTCCATTCTAGCCAAAGCAACCTCTTGGTTAATTAACACTAGCATTGGGGCAGAAGGACAAATAAAGTTGGCTGTCATTTGCATAACAATGGGTGCCAGGCAGATGTTTGTCCACGATTGGAAAAATCTTGCTCGCATACAATACAAACGATAATGAACCAAGGCACGAGCTCTGAGGGACACCACAAGTCAGTTCAAAGTTCATAGAGAGGTAACCATCAATGAGTATTTGCTGGGATCTGTTACTTAGATAAGATGCAAACCATGACAGTGGCCTATCACGAATACCAAACCCAGATTTAAGTCTCTCCAGTAAAATACAATGGTCAATGGTGTCAAATGTCGCACTCAAGTCTAGCAAAAAAAGTAGTGTGACATGCTGTTTTTTTCATATTTCATAGAATTTAATTTTTCACTTTCAAGAGTGCGGTTTCAGTAGTGTGAAACTTTCTGTACGAGGACTGTAACACTCGAAATAAATCATTCGCTACCATGCGATGATGGAGTTGTTTAGCAACTGCACTTTGAGCAAGTTTGGACACAAACTGTAAATTACTGACCAGCCTATAATTTTTAAATATAGGTTCCAAACCATCTTTCTGGAGCAAAGGCAGAACCAAAGCATTTTTCCATGCAGAGGGAAAGTCACCATTTTCTAAGGAGTAATTGATCATCTTAGCGATGATTGGAAGGGGAACATCTAAACAGTCCAACAATAGCTTCGTGGGAATTGGATCGAAGCCACAAGACTTCTTACTGGATGCTCGAACCAGGTCATGCACTTCTTCTTGAGACAGAGAACTAAACTTGAAGAGTAGAGAATCAATTTCGATGTCATTAGAAACGCGGTCTGTGGAAGCTTATTGTTTATCATGATTATCAAGGTCTAAACGAATATCGGCGATTTTCTTAATGAAAAACATACCCATCTCATTAGCTAATTTCTGTTTATCTCAATGCGGTGGCAAAACTGGGGTACCTGTGATGTTCAAGAGTTTCTTGCTTGAAACAGATGTTTTTGATCGTGGCTATTTTCTGCTATGAGAGTAACAGTTATAGTTCAGAGTGGTTATGAGTAGTTATGAGTTCATTCATAAGAAAAGTCACATGGTTCCTTTTTCTCTTAGCTCAGCTAGATAAGACTGACATTTGGAAGGTCTTCATTTTCCCTCTGCTTTTCGACGTTGAATCTTAGCTTCTATGATATTGCTGCTCATCCAAGGAGCGCTGGGACGAGCGAACACTCTTTTTGAGCACACCAGCTGTTGGTTACTGTTCTCGTTATATAAATCTGTTAATTTTAGTGTAAATTGGTTGCGAGTAGTCAAAGCAATTGTAATAAAATTTGCGCAAAATGCCCTTTACGTCAACGACAAAACAAATTTCCAACAGAACTCGAAAGTTTTGGAAAATAAAAAAATGAACAAATGTTTGTCGAAATCTTACGTCTCTTGAGGAGAAAAGAGGACAGTTTTTACAGGGAAAAAAAGCTTGTTCTCAATATGTGATTGGCGTGCCAGACAATGTACCTTTGGTCCTTGAAGCGAGATAAGTTGGAAGCAAAGAAATAAATTCAATTCATGTTTTTATTCCTATGATAATTACCTTAATTTTATATCAAAAAAATATTCGCCTTAGACTCAATGATTATTGTTCAATAATCTTCTCGATTCCGTCTCGGAGATTGTTCAACAAAATTCACTCCACCTTCTTGCGAGAAATTGTTAATTATTATAAATGCTCTTTTCTTGAGGATTCCAAGGAGAAAACTGTACGTTAAAACGCGTGACCAAGCAAATATTCTCTTCACCCCTCTCTCCTTCTGGAATCCCCTTACGTGCAAAATAATTTTCATTTTGCATATTTTTTTCTCTGGGGTAGATATCAATGAGTACCAAACCTCAAACCCATGCAAAAATGGCGGACAATGTGAGAACACATCTGGAAGCTATGAATGCAAATGCACGCTTGGATTTACAGGACGAACAAGTTGGCCACAGGTATTCTTTGACTTTTGTAACTGAGCTGTAAAATAGCATGTGAGCGAACTCAAAGTCAAATATTTGTGATTCTAACTATCCTTTACCAGAATTGGATAGAAACACAAGCATGTTAAATGTATCTGTATCAGTAGCGGAAAAAAAATAGGGTCCTTGGAAAACATGTAACCGCTTAAGAAGCTACTTCGACGCGAGGATGCGTGAGCTTGCAGACCACATAAGGCCGGGTATACTAGATAAAAGGCAACGACGGCATTCCCAAGGTTTCCTCTTCAGCATTCTATGTCATTGTATTTAACTTAGTGGGTGCTGCTTTGTCGCAGTGTTGCTTTTTTACCCAAAATATGTGTTACCAGCCGTGGTTGTAATATTGTACGAAAGCGTTGGAAAGTTTTGAATGGCCCTAGTCGCTACCTGATCTGACATTTCGCCTGATTCGAAAAGAAAAAACATATTTTGCAGTCTGAAAAACAAAGTCATAGAGCTAATTTAGTAGAGTTCATCTCAATCAAGGGTGCTAACAGATCGTGACACTGAAATACAGATATCGACGAATGTTTGGATGCAAAGGTGCCGTGTTACAATGGCGGAACGTGTGTTGACGGAGTCAACAGCTACACGCGTGACTGCAAGGATGGATACGTTGGAAAATACTGTGGTGAGAAGACTGTAGCCTTGTTATTATACATTTAAGCAAGATAAGTCTATTATCGACCAGCGAAAAAGTTCTGCACAGTTTTTTCACGTGTTTTGTTTAACTAGAATCGAGCAAAGCAAAAATAATGGAGGACAGCTTTCGTTTATATATCCTGAAATCAGTTTCGCGCTTTCAGTGTACGAGTAGCAACTTTCAAACTATGACACAAAGGTGGAATTATGAATTATTTTAGACCCCAAAAATTGTGTCTTATTGTTTTAATTGCTTTATTAAGAATGGGAAAAGCAGGGATATTTTAAGGAGGTAAAAAGGAAAAGTAAAAAGACCATGAGAACCGTATTTGCAAAATTCAAAAAGTACAAGAACAATATCCAAGGTGCGGTCGAGGCTTGTGTGAAAGCAGCTGAGGACAAAAAACTGGAGATCTTTGCGGTTCGAGGGAGATACAAGAATGTGACAACCAAAGGCAATGCTGATTACAAGGTGCATGGTCATCATCCAAAGGGTGCAAAGCAGACGGAGATTACGCAGTTGGAGTGAAGAGCGCAAACTCTGTCTACATTTTGAGCTAACAGGTGTAACATGGAACTCGATAAAACCTGGTGAGTTTGATTCTTTACCTATGAAAGGTTCTCTGTTAAAATCAGATCAAAACATAATGAAAAACTCATTATAAGGAACTGAATGAGGTGAGCAGAAAACATCCCAAGGTAACTCGAAATGATTTCACTTCTCTAAACGTTAAAGATCGATACTTCCACGCCTTCTCGCGTGTTCCCTTGTAACTGGTATCGAAAAAATCTAAATTATTGCTCAACAAGTTGATATGATTTTTTGACATTAAAGGTTATCATAACAATAATCTCACTGCTCTACTTAAACACCCTTATGTTTGGCTTCATCCCCAATAACGATTTCCGTAGCCCCCATTTTATACTACTGAGTTGCAACAAGCATGTCAAGACTCATCTCTCTGCAAAGCTTGAAAAAATGGTCTACACAGCACAGAGCGACCATGCTTTTAATAATTCTTAATCATTTGTTGAATTGGATATATAAAAAGTGCCGAAGTATTGATCCAGCAAAGAGTTCATGGACGAAATACACGAAACCGGTTTGAGTCACATTTAAAGAATTCTTTAAACTGTCAACGCGTCTAATCAAAATCAAAGTGCTCTGTGAGCAAACTCGTGAATTGACACATGATTTTATAGATTATGTTTAATGTTATCTGGTTTAGGGAATTTTGTGGTTGATTGTCATATCTAGAGTACGAGCAGTAGTTCAGTGTTCGCTAATGTAGCAAAGAAACAAAGTAACGTTGGGATAAGAAGGCATTACCATTGAAATGATCATGCTATTACATTTGACAAGGTGGATGATGTCATGTGTTTCTGGTTTAAGAGAAAAGGTTTTGATTGTCTTTGATTTTGGCTGTTTTGGCTGTCCGATTTGCTGCCTTTCGTTGTAAATATTAGAAAATCAAGGCAATACTGTCTTAATGAAAACATTAAAGATTCCCTCTTTATCAAAAGAGACAAACGGGAACGAGTTTTGAGTGATATAACTAAGCCAAGCCTGCCACCGTCATTTTGGATCTCCGCCTGGGTAGATTTAAGTCACGTGCTAGGCAACGTATAATCAATAACAAGATAGAATTTCATTTCAGGCCTATTTACCAATTTTGTGGTGTGTAACTTTCGCATTTTAGTACGTTGTATGTATGTTGAATCTTCAAATTGTCTTGAAACTTAAAAGAAAATTGTTCTTTAAAAATTCACTGAAAATCGGTAGCTAAAATTGTTTGTTTAGGTGTTATTTGATTTTCGTGTTAACTTGTTATTTCGTCAGTCGCCGGCATCTTTTGTTGCTTCACACAGGAAAAACACACGCGACGAAACGTAATGATCAATTTTGTCCTCAATCTCACGCTATAACAGAAAAAGCTTTTGAACATCTGTAAACTCCGAGCGCTTCGCAGTAAGTGATATTTTCAATGAATCTTTGGATTGTTTTCAAGTTCAAGGATTGTAAATTACAATTTTATGAAAAACGAAGGTTGTTCTGTTATTTCAGTGTGAATCCTTGCATGCCTGCCAGTCGCTGGCGCCGCTTGTTGAAACTAAAACGTAAAAAAAAAACTCTTTTAAGATTATAATTGGCTTCTTTTTCACCCCACCACTATTCTTAGCAACAAAGGTCGCCATTTCGTCTGTTTATTGCTCGCCAAAAACTATCAAATGCACTCAAAAGCCTAAAATCGAAAAAAAGTTTACAGGAATCGACCAATCGAGCGAGCGAGCGAGCGAGCGAATGCCATTCCCCACATCGTACCTATAACTCGCTCTTGCGCATGCGCGCAATTCACGAGTTAAAAATGACGATTTCCTCAACTGTGTTTGGGTTAAAAAGCTCCTATATTCCACTAATTCACTTGCCAAGTGTGATCTAACAGTTTGTTATCGGAAGGTTCAATAAGCCAATCACATTTAAAGTTGTAGTCAACCCACATAACCTATAAACAATTCACTCCTCCTTTGTCAATCTTTGAAAAGAAATTTTCCCCTTTCTTTCATAACTTGGATATCCCTTTTTTTCTCAGAAGTTCTAATTTTTATGATTTAATTGGTAATAAGACTTTATGTCATCCAATTCGGTCTGTAATCATACTCATGATAAACAAATCGGACTCCCGCTGTGATTGCCATCTTGCTCTCTCGGGTAGTCAATCAGAACACAGGATTCGCTTCATATTGCCCACGATATAACACCATTGGATAGTACGTATCTTTTAATTTTTTGGTTAACGTTGGCCGCTTGACCGCCGTATGGTATAGGAGAAGTATTACACTTCCACAACAGAAAGAATAACCAGTTCACATCAAAATTTCAGGAAGACTTGCAGATTTTGCGTTGAATGAGGGTCTCAATGGGATTACCCGTTTGCCGTGAAACGGCCAAGAAATTCAGCCATTAGGGTTAAAAACTGCCAAATTCTAACCATTAATCGTAGAAAAGAGCACCATAATAAAAGTTTATGGTGATTACGATGGAAAGATATTAACCGTTAGCCGTAAATTGGCCAAAATTTTAACCGTTAGCCGTAAAAGCCATCATCCCTTTGAGACCCTCTTGAAATTTCTACGCTCTACCAGGGCTTTAGTTACATAAGTTAATCTTTGAATTTTGATCGATTAGTCATAAGTTTGGTTTTTTCGGTTCGTTCCCACACAGCAAAAGATCTGTAAATAAGCACCACGCCTAGGAATAAGATCGAAGTTTTATAATTTTAATCGAATTCTTGTCTCAGTAAGTTTGAAAGTTGCTACTCGTACACTGAAAGCACGAAACTGATTTCAGGATATATAAACGAAAGCTGTCCTCCATTATTTTTGCTTTGCTCAATTCTAGTTAAACAAAACACGTGAAAAAACTGTGCAGAACTTTTTCGCTGGTCGATAAGCTGGAACCCAAACACACTTGAACTCTCGTCTCGTAGATTTTACGTCCCGTACCCTTGAAAGTTTCTCGGATTGGAAATTATTGCGGTATCTCGTGAAAATTCAGGCCCGGCTCTGTAAATTGCTTAGTGTTGAAATTTCATGTGGCTTTTGTCGTAAAGCGTTGCACACATCGTGTGTTAATTTTAGTTTTTGCTGTTTTGACGGTCGAAGGTAACTATGACTCGCTTACATTTGAACAAATCTTAAAAGAAATTTAGTAAGCACCCAAAGCATTAATAAAAAGGGGAAAATTTCACGAAATTTTCATAAGCACTCATGGAATAACTTTTTAATATCCCAATTGTCACCCGCATTTTCTCGGTATAGATACGATCCTTTACATGGGTGCCTAGAACATACTAGTTACATATGGGATTTTCCATGGTATACCTCAGGAAACAGACAAAGAACGTTTGAAATTGAGTAAGGTGAGGCTTCATGCGAGAGGGGTCCTGGATAAGGTCTTCAATATCGGTCAGAATAAATTCGAACGTGTCTCGAAACGCCTTCATCCCTTTTTTGAGAGACGCTTCCTTTCAGTTTTGTTATCCATTCATCCAACGGTTTCCATTCCTTAACACATTCTTTTCCTCAATCGGGACTTCACTCGTTTCTGTTTCTTTTTGTTTTCATGATTCCTGACAAAACAGCGAGTTCTATAGCTTCTGTTCCGAACTCCATCCCTCTAAGAAAATGTTTCTTTGCCATTTCTTCGTTTCATTAATGAAGGGGGTATGTTTCTCGAGAAACTGTGGTGCTGCGTCGGTGGGGGAGTATAACAAAAAAAGATATTTGATGGCCAGGAGACCTTCCTCATTGGGAATGACAGTATAAAGAGATGTAATATCCATAAATAAAAGAAGTTTGTTTTGGCCATGGAAATTAAAATCGTGAAAAATTTCAAGTGCGTGTTGGCTGTCCTTAATGTACGATGATAAAATTTGGACCGCGATATAGGTGCCATAATTTTGTCTAAATAGCCGGAAACAAGTTCGATGGGACAACTACAGGCGGAGACGATGGGTCAACCTGGGTTGTTGGGTTTGTGGTTTTTTAGGTAAAAAGGAAATACACGAAGCTCTCCGGGTCCTCAAACATTTTTTCGATCAACGTACTGTCAAGGAACTTATCTCTGAAACTCTACTTCGTCTAGTCGCACTAGTTCTAACACTCACTTACTTTACATTCGGTGGCAACTATTACAAACAAACTAATGGTGTAGCCATGGGTACCAAAATGGGACCCAGCTACGCCGATCTTTTCGTAGGTTTTATCGAACACCGATTTTTCGGTCAATACAACGGTCCCAAACCTGAACTTTACGGTCGCTACATTGACGACTGCATTGGCGTTACCTCCTCTACCAGAGAGGAGCTCACTCAATTTATAACCGCCGTCATTTCCTTTCCCCCGGCTCTGAAATATATCTGGGAATTTCAATTGAAGGCGACGGTCTATGCATTGGTGTCTACTACAAACCTACAGATTCACAGAGTTACTTGTTGTATCCATCTTCGCATCAATCACACGTGAAGACTTCCATATCCTTTTCACAGTTTCATAGACTTCGTCGCTTATGTAGTGACGACTCTGATTTTTCCGAAAGACTGCGCAGTTGTTGTTTGTCGGGCCGACCTCTATCAAAAAGAAGCTTTGCGGCAACTTTCTGACACCTCGTTTTATGCTAAAGTGGACAAAGATCCCACTTTAATTAACCAAAAAATTGTCAAAAATACGATTAACAATCTTATAGCTAAACAAGAATTGCCGGCCACTGCTAAAAATCTCATCATTACTACTCCTTGATCTTCGTGTATTTACTTTTTACCTAAAATCCACAAACCTAACAACCCAGGTCGACCCATCGTTTCTGCTTGCAGTTGTCCCACCGAACTTATTTCCAGCTATTTCAGTAGACAAAATTATAGCACCTATCGTCAAAACTTTACCATCTTACATTAAGGACAGCCAACACGCAATTGAAATTGTTCGGAATAGAGAGACAAAAAAAAAGAATAAATTAAATGAATAAAAAGCGCTCGGTGATACGTGGGATCAGGAGTGCCGATTTTAAAGATAAATTTTCGTTCTAGAGTTTTTCGGCTTTCCGAACTACCTAGATAAAGGGAAAGGCTGCAAACTGCTAAACGCTGCTTAGAATGGCCTGAGAGACTAAAGTTTCTTGTCACTTCTTTCTACGTCGCAAAGGTGTCCAATACAATAACTTTTTGCAATAAGTGCAAGTTATGCATTTTGGAGTAAAATGACATTGACAGGAGTGCATGGGAAGTGATCGGTGATCTTAATGGATCTCTCGGGTCCCGACATTTTCTCTTCGTTGTGAATGAGAGAAAAAGTTTTGCATCGTGAGCGAGCGCATTTGAAAGTTCCAGGTTGGTCATTGGTTTGAAATGAGCTTCTGACAAAAAGTTGCCGGTACTTCTGTCGCGTTTGAATGAAATTAGTGGAGGTTCCGGAAGAGATAGCGCCAGTCTCTGAATCGTTTTGAAGTAATTTAAAGTTAACAATGATAGACTTAACTGTGTGGTTGTGAGGGTAAAATGTGAGAGTGAATAGAATGCGGTCAGTCTTTTCCTTCGGAGACGTTTGTAGTGCTGACTGTCGATCAATTTGTTGGGCGCAAGGTGCCAGTTTTTCGATAAACGTGGCTATCCTGTCTCTGTCGTTCAAGCGGGCCACCACCGTGCCCAACAAATTGATTGACAGTCAGCACTACAAACGGCTGAGAAGGATAACACTGACCGCATTCCATTTACTCTTACATTTCACCCTCTCAACCACGCAGTTAAATCTATCATTCTTAAAAATGTTAAATTACTCCAAAACGATTCAGAGACTGGCACTATCTTTTCGCAACCCCCACTTATTTCATTCAAACGTGACAAAAACATAGGCAACTTTTTGGTCAGGAGTTCATTTCAAACCAATGACCAATCTTTCAAATGCGCTCGCTCACGATGCAAAACTTGTTCTTTCATTCATAACGTAGAGAAAATATCGGGACCCAAGAGATCCATTAAGATCACTGATCACTTTACGTGTACCTCCGCCAGTGTTATTTACTACACAACTTGCAATCATTGCAATAAGTTATACATCGGCAAAACAGGAAGACGACTGGGTGACCGATTCCGAGAACACCTTCGTGACGTGGAAAGAAACGACAAGGACGCATCCAAACCAGTCGCTATACACTTTAATCTTCCTAATCATTCTAAACAGCATATGGCAGTTTGCGGCCTTTTCTTACACCTAGGCAGTTCGGAAAGCCATAAGACACTAGAACAAAAATTTATCTTCCAAATCGGCACCCTTAATCCCCATGGAATCAACGAGCACTTTTCATTCAACTAATTTATTCCTGTTTTCTTGTCACCATATTTCCACCAATGGCGTAGCTCCACTTTCTGCATATAAACCCACACACAACCCACAATTCCTCCAATCGCTCTGATGAAGGGCTAACGTTCGAAACGTCAGCCTTTTTTACCCTTTACGGTTGGCTAATTTATGTTTTCAACCAGTTGTTAACACGAAGGAATAAGGAGATATAATGTGAAAAAAAATCGATGATGTATTTATTGATTACACGTAAGTATATAGGAGCGCAAAATACTGCAGTGCAAAAAAATGTGACACCTCACTTCACGTCAGTCACGCTCTGTTCAAGTGCAAGGGCGGCAGTCGGTCACCAATCGCTGGTTAAAGTGCACTGCAACCCTATGACATTGTTGACTAGGCAAGGCTGCACGCTCTGGGACTTGTAACCGGTAACAGATTTTTATATGTCATGCGACCCTAAAAATAACCTATGAGAGCATGTGTTAGTTGGGGAAAAAATCCAGCTGTCTGGGTGATGATTCACCATCGTTTACTCTTTGTATGGAAAAGATTACCATGACTTCTGACAACAGGGTAAAAATTTTTTCCATTGCTGATATGAAAGCTTAAAACATTGAGTAAAAATCTGCACGCTAGCTAGATATCCCTCTCCTAAGAAGCTTATTTCACTTTCTATGGTGTTAAGCAACTTGGAATATCATCACTCCCCTTGAATGAGTTGCTATTCCATCGACGTTTATACCAAAACCTTTGTCAGGTTCCTTGATGGTATTTTGGTCGGCCTCATTTATACTCCTCGATGATGAGATAAGTGACTTTAAAATAGCTAGTTCTATTCCTTGCATTGACGTTCGGTTGTTTGTTTTCATTTTTTTTACAGGTTTGTCTGTTGGTAAGATGTCGTTTGATCAGTTAGAGGAACGTTAAAGCAAAGTTACTGAAACTGAAGCAATATGTCTGCTAAACATTGTATTAATATGAGGCTTGAATTTGGTTGGGGTTTAACACCTGCTATTGTGTTTGGGATTAATGAGGTTAATTGTTATTTATTCTGCCGGTACTATTTTCGTCCATCAAACCTGTAACGGAAGCTTTTGAGTCTAGCGTTACGCTTGATCATTTTACTCCATTTTATATAAACACTAGGGATGAAATGTCTTTTAACCGAATTATACGAAACTTCGTGTGAGAAATGAACAACTCCTTTGTGTTGTATATTATTGAAACCAAATCCAATAGGCAAATACCGCATTAAAAATTTGAGCTTAGTTGTTGAAGAAGAGTTAAAAAAATGCAAATTGAACGAGAGGATTTGAACCTCTATTTTCGCGGTTGAATCCTTTGCAAGCGACTTTATTTGTACATTACCTAATTATAGTATGAAAAACATTATTGACCTATATTACACCATATGCCATGCTTGCCACAACAAAATAATGTTATACTAACTGAGAAGTGTAAGTGCTGGTTATGCAACGCTTTCGAGAGGTCTAACCCTAAGCATCAGTGCATTATTGACCAAGCGTAAGGTCGAGCAGGATGGCTGGATATTGGCCGATTTATTTTTTTACGTTTTAATAAAATCATAAAAAGGAAAAACTAAATAGACAACTTCTTGGTTTTGTGTTGAAGTGGAATTTAAAAAATGCGAGTCGGGTGAGAGCATTGAACTTCAGTTTCCGCGGTAGAATGCTTCAGCAAAAGACTTTAATTGATGTTCGTTGCGGTATACTTACTTCATTTAAACCTTGCGTTCGACCTTGCTTGAGAGTAACGATAGCTTGAAATCACCAAGGAGTAACGCAATGAAGCCCTTTCGTTTTTTATAGGTTTGTCATGTCTAGTTCTAGCTTTTTTCTTGGCTTGGTAATACAAAAGAGCGCTATAACAGTTACCTTTCTGCGGGAAATCGTATCCCAATTCAACGAAAACAAATAACTTGCAAACGCACAGAACTGCCATAAGCACAAAAATGGCAGTAGCTTTTGCAAATATCTTCTTAGCTAAAATCAAAAGGCAAATCCTAGATAAAGGCGCCTGTTTGGAAACGCTACATCGACCACATGATATCTCTCTTGTATTCCAAAAGATATGTCGTCAACTAGTTCATTGAACAAGCGACTAAAACCGCCTAACAGTCAAATTTACTGCTGAAATATCTTTTTCAGAAGCTAATTTCTTAGACACCACGATATGTAAGGGTGAAAGATTCATCAGCGAGTCAGTTTCGACATTTCGACGCTTCAAACCAACAGGAAAATTCCAGTACGCACTCTATACGACGAGCCTATCACTAGGAGCAAAAAGAGACTTCGTTAAAGGTGAAGCGTTACGACTCCCCAGGACTAATGCTTCAAAAGAAAAATTGGAATAGAATTGGATATTAGACAAAGTTCAAAACATACGTGGCCGAGAAAGACTACCGAGAGACTTTATTGACAACCCGCTCCCAGAAGTGAAATTTGAAGGACGTAAACGGGCCCTCCTCCAACAGGGAAAAACAAACTATTGAATCTTGCTCTTTGGAACAACACAATACTGTCCAACAGTTCTAAACCTTAAAGAATCCTTATCAGCAAGAGCATTTAGTACAGCAATAAGAATTGCTGAGAAAAATCTTCAAAGAACCACCAATTATGTCAGACAGAAATGGGTGTTCACTCAGACATACTCATGAAAGCAAAATTATATCGAAGGCAAGGAAACTGCAAATACTGTTGTCGTGTAATCACTTGTACTTGGACGTACTACGCAGCCATTCAGGCCTGCCAATCCCAATTTACACGGGAGAATTAATTAAGCCCGTTTCTAAAGAAAATAAAAATCTCCTTATGTCTCTGAGGTCATGTGATTTGTAACTTGAGCTAATTTATGATCGTCTGTACCAATCCTATCTCCTATCCCACCTTCGAAGCGGAGCATATCCTGGTCTCGCCTTCCTATCCTACATCCCGCCTCGATTTTAAGCCTCATCCTGCATCCCACCAAACCTATGTTGGACCTTCTTAACTATTATCGTGAAACATTTAAGTGATTAAACAGCTAAATTGCTTCTTTATTGTTATCAGTGAAAACGAACCAGCGTTGATAATCGGCTCAGAATTTAACCCTTTCTTCTGCGACAACAAGAAGGTACAAATGGATCGCATAGGGAGCGATGCACAACTGATTACATTTCCGTAGTTTCTGCCGGAGTTCCCGTGATCTTGCTTTTCCTGAAAAGATCCTCTAAGGAGTTCGAGGAGAAAAGTTGCAGCTCACAAACCTTTGGATTTTTCTCAAACTATCACATGACCTTAGGATTTCCTCTAAGTGCACGAGATAGTAACGTAACAATCTTGTGAAAAAGAACCGTTAAAATTCCCGAGATACTAACTTAACAATCCGATACGTCGTCCAGTCGTTTCGCACACACGGTCATTTCGTACCTGGTCGATTTACACTTAAATTCAGGCAACTCGTACCTAGTTTGGGTCTGGTCGCACTTGATCGATGGTCGATTCCTACTCGTCCCAATGTTCATACAAACAAGGCAAAATTACTAATAAAACTAACAATTTTGTTTAAATGTGTCTAGATTTTTCTTAAACAATTCAAAGAAGCAAATTTTCCTTGACAATTTGAGATAAACCAGATGAGTTGTTATCACTCAGACGAAAACTTTTGGGGCCTTCAGCCTTCAGGACGGCAATGCATGCTGGAGAAGACTTCCATTTAAGAAGTGACTGAATATTACTAGTGATAATTAGGCTAAGTTTAAAATGAAGGAACTCTTTTCCAAACGGGAAATTCGCCTTACAACAAACTCAAACAAATTTTTAGAACGACAGAAAAATTAAAAAAAACCGTTTTCAAACATACTCTAAGCGAAAACTAAAAGAGAACTGAGCTACTACAAACTGGTGAGGTCTACGTTTAAAACTGAACATCGATTATAAAAAAGAAGCTAATTGGTGTGCCAACTTCATGGCTGCGTCAAACTGATTCATGATAAGAATGATAAGAAAGTGGTGATACTGATATCTAATTGCGAGGAACTCTGCTAATCAGCTTGCTAATGGACACATTTATCGATATCACAAAAAAAAAATTTAGTTGTTGATATGGTTTGATATACTGTTGTTATGGTTAATTATGCCAAATAATAGAAATAACTGTTCCATAATTATCCTTTCATATCGTGGCGAAAACAGACAAATTACTAAACCATCTGAGTCACCATGATCATTTCGTATTAGGAGTCGGCAGCAATTTTCGTCACAATTTTTTAAATATATTCTCCTTCCTTCAATGTCAGTGCTGGTGATGAGAAAAGTCAAGAAGCTTGTTAAAAACCCAATATTGATAAGGGAATGAGTCCTTTGATCAAACTTTAAGTGAAGGAGAGTTCAGTTAAAATAATTTATATGAAAGAAATGTTCAGGGATAAAACCTCGAACATACAAGATAAGTCACAATTTTCCTTGTGACCTGCCTTGTTTCGCGGTTCCATACGGTTTTGCCTTTATACGGTTTATCATGTTCTCTTGATGATGCTTTTTTCTTTAATCTGGTTTTTGAGAGAATAGCCCATTTAATGTGTTTCTTACTGTTTGGCGGTATCTATAATTAGTGCTTACTGAAAAAAATTTGGTTCTTGATTATTCAGCGATTTATCAAAAGGGATTAATCAGCCTTAAATGACGCCTAATGACGGGAAACACTATTATGTAAATTTATTTTTGTCGCATGATGAGTAAGAAATAGAAATAAGATCTCTATTGTTCGCCTTAATTTTGATTGATGGATAATCAACACCAAAATATTTCTGCTGAAATGAATTACTATACCCTAAAAGTGTCAAAGAGAAGTTAAGCGTTACCACTTCATCGCTGTTTTCCATGAGTTAAACGTGCTGCCTTTGAAAAGGTAAGGTTATCAATGTCTTTGATAGCATTTTTGCAAGGTTCCTGGAAACTTAGATTGTGATGACTGAGATATTTTCAAAGCCCAAAGAAAAATACTTTAGGTCGTAGGGGCTAGTGAAAGAAAGAAACTAATTGTGACCGAAATGTTAACTAAGTTTTAAGACAAATGACCACTTACCTTAAGCCAGGAGAAAAAAATGGGACAGAGAGGGAAAATCAGGGCGTTGGCCGGGTTATGTCAATTTCAATTAAATTATTTTTAGCTTGAGCTGGATAGCATTGCAGAAAGCATTCCTACTGTGGTTTCTTATTGACAAAGTCAGTTTGATGTTAAAAGAACTAATCTCGACGTTGCTTGCCAATACATCAAACTTACTCACAGGCGACCATGGCTAATTGAAATAGATGTTTTTTAATTTCCGTAAAAGGCCACATGCGATGCTTGGCATGCGTGAGAGTACAATAATACACAATATTTCCTTCGGATTTAGCGAAACGAGATTCTTTCATCGTAACTTATGGAGGTACATGTACAAGGGTTTTAATCTATGAAAATTTCTACCAGGAAAAACGGTTTTGTGACGTTTAGTTTGTTTAAAAATGTTATCCTGTGCTTAATACAAGTAACCTCATTGATTTTTTAACCTAAAATTCGATAAATGAATATAATTAGTTTGAATTATTATTTTTTCTAATTTCAACAGCAGAAATTTGACACCATGAAGAGGTTCAAGGTGATCTTTCAAATCAGTGCTCTACAGATTTTGTTCACGATTGCTTACGGTTAGTGTCCTTCAAGATTTCTTTTTTGCAAGAGCAGCGGAGAAAGTCTCTCGCCTCATTCAGACCAGATCATCTTTATCAGACCTCTTTATCATCCACCCACCAAATCCATTCAAAACTCACACTGTTTTACCTTTCAGCTGTAAGTGTACCAGTAACTGTACCAGATCCTGTCGCCGTCTTTCCCCTGAACAGCAAGTATCAAACAAGGGAAATTAAAAGTCGAGTTCCCCAGGGGAATCCTGTTGGTGTATCTTTAGCTGATGGTCCTGATGGAAAAGCCGGCGGTTCGTACGCGTTCGCAGGCAGTGCCGGAAATTACATCGAGTTCCCAAATAATGGAGCATTGGATGTTCAGTACTCTATAACCATGTTATGTTGGGTGTACCCTACTGGTAAAGATGGTCCTCTCTTCAATTATAAGAGAACCGGTAGTTGGGGTGTCCATCTGTGGGTGGTATTTGGACAGCTGTTCGTTCGCTACACTCACAGAAATTACCAATTCACTCCACATTTGCTTGGTGGTATTTTGCCAGTAAACCAGTGGAGTTATGTCGGTTCTACCTATGACTACAATACTGGTATTGCAAGATTGTGGGTGGATGGAAGACAAACCGCTCAATCTAATATCGGAAGAGTCCACCTTTCCACTCAGAACGAAGTCCGGATGGGTGTGAAAGACGGGGATATTCGGTACTTCCAAGGAAGAATTGCTGCTATGCAACTTTATAACGTGGCTTTAACTGCAGAGCAGATAAATGTAGTGAAAAAGGTTGGCTTAGGTAATTTCTCTAAACTTTTTCATAGCCTACAATAATAGGACTTTTGTTTACTTTCAACGTTATTTAAATAAATTTTTATAAATATACACTGCTTAAGAAAAAAGAAAAGAGAGAAATGAGTCATTTCTTTTTGTAGCTGATGCTTGCGATGAATTGAAACCCTGCCAGAATGGGGCCACATGCAGCACATCTGGTGATGGCTATACATGCTCCTGTGTTCAGGGATTCCGAGGAACCAACTGTGAACACGGTCAGTGAACATGACAAAATTTATGCATGACCGAGCAGACATTCCCTCCATTGCTCTCTTCTTCTGAACAGCCCTTACGTTAAAAATGATTTTAATTTTATGTGTTTTTTCTTTATATGAGGTATAGATATTGATGAATGTCAGACCTCAAACCCATGCCAAAATGGCGGACAGTGCGAGAACACACATGGAAGCTATGAATGCAAATGCAAATCTGGATTTACAGGAAGAAACTGCGATACGGGTATGCTATCAACCATAGACGAAATATAAGCTGTCGGTTACAGTACTTGTCGTATGCCTTCATTATTCAAATTAGTGAGTTGACACTGAGGTAACGTGTTGATCTCGGATTTTACCCTTTCTAAAATTGATTCGAGTGATATACTTAGTTGTGACTCTCGTAATATTAGTTGGTTGTGTGAAGCCGCTACGCAAAGCGAAGAAGTTCAAGACTTAAGAATCTTACTGGCTGTGGCAAAGATTTATTAGCGTCATCTCTAGGAAGTCACGTTCCTTGAATGCAAGGGATGTTTAAGGAAAAACCTCCATTTGGGGCGAAAACATGCACGAATATTTGTCCGCGGACATTATCTTTTCCGAGATGTGAGCAGTTTATACGAGATCGAAGCTCCAGCAAAACTGTGAGCTTCGAGGAACAGACAACATCCAAGGATACATACGCGAGCATTTGTTCACGCCAAATAGAGGCTCTTGAGTTTATTATCCTCCCGCAATACTTTTGCAACGCGTGGGTAAAATTTTTATGAGCAATGTACCGTTTGCTGCCCGTGGGTAAAATGTTTACGAACAGTGTAGTGTTTGCTGCGCGTGGGATAACTTTTCAGTGTTGCCTGGTACTACTTCACGAACAAACAAAAATGTTCCTTCTCCGGTAACAAAAGCTAAACGCGCTCTCATCTTGAATTAAATTTTAAACGAACACTTTTATCGTAGTTAATGTCAGGTTTGAAAATTGGGGAATATCACTTGGGGTGTATCGTCAGATATTAAGTTCTAGCTTGGGCATATTTGCTCACTGGATGCGTTTAGGCCAATCGCGTATAAGCCAAAAATATTTGATAGATTATAAACAGTGATATATAGCAGCTGAAATAATTTAAAAGAACTTAGGCTTGTTTAAAAAAATTCTCGCAAACTGAGCGGTAAAATCCTACATTTTGAACAAACTTAAGGTAAAGCGAAGTTTCAGTACGAATCGGCAAGGAAAAAAGATGGCAGTTTCTACGAGAAAAATGACTTGCTGTCATTATGTGATCTACAAACCAAACTACTTGTCTCCGTTCCTTGATACCTGACAAGCAAGAAGTAAAGAAAAAAACAAGTTCATGTTTTTGTTCTGATAATCAACAAAACCGTAACACCAATACAAATTTTTCCTTCTCAGACTCAATGAGCTATTGTTCAATCATCTTCTCGACTGTGACTCGAGTATTATTCAATAGTATGCTTATACCTTCGGCGAAAAGTATTAATTTTTAGACATACTCCTTTTTCGAGGATTCCCGGGAGTCGACGATATGTTGAAACGTGTGATTGAGCAAAAATATATCGCCCCGTCCCTCTCTTCTCTTGGACTGTCCTTATGTGTATATGTGTATAATAATTTTCACTTTAAATTTTTTTTTCCTTTGGGGTAGATATCAATGAATGCCAAATCTCAAATCCATGCAAAAATGGCGGACGATGTGAGAACACACATGGAAGCTATGAATGCAAATGCACGCCTGGATTTACCGGACGAAACTGCGAAACAGGTGGGTTAAAATTTCGACTGTACACTTTCAAAAATCGATTCGAGTGATATTCGAACCGGTGACCTTCGAGATATCAATTGATTGCATGAATCTATGGCGAAAAAATAACGAAGAAGATCCTTCAGAAAGCTAATGAACTCTTGACAGATTTAAGAATCTTTCTGGCCCGCCGTGGCACAAATTTATTGGTGTCATCTCAAGGAAGAAATATTTCTAGAGTTTAAGGTTAATCCCGTGATATGAAATAGTTGGTAGGATTAACAATCACCTAAGCCTGTTCTTTTTTTCTTTTTAATTTCCAAGAACTGAACAGTAAACTCCCAAGTTTTGAGCAATTAAAATAACGTTCAAATCATTTTAAGCTCTAATTTTGTTGTTCGAGAACTGCAAAGAAAAAAAGAATGTGAAATATTCGTAGATATATGACAGAAAAAAGAAATTCAGGCCTGGGAAACAAAATATGAAGTAAGGACACGTACAAACTTACTTTGAGGGGGGCATGCAATACAGATCATCCAGATCTTCATGCAGGCTCAAAGTTTTTCATATTACTGGTATTAATTTCCTTTCTCTTGTATTGAGGGATTAGAGAGAGTCAAATGTACGTGATAATAGTCAGTGAATATGACTAGAACTAGGTATGACCAAAAAGAAAATTTTCCCCCCTGCTCTCCCCTCTTACAAGTTTTTTATTTGGGGCAGATGTTAATGAATGCCAAACCTCAAAGCCATGCCAAAATGGCGGACAGTGCGAGAACACACATGGAAGCTATGAATGCAAATGCAAACCTGGATTTACGGGAAAAATTTGCGAAACAGGTGGGTTATCAACCATAGGGGGTTGGAAAATATACCGTTGGCTTCAAGTCTTGTCGACTTTGGCTCAAATTTAATAGTAATGATAATAATAATAATGATGATGATGATAATAATATATTTCTATAGCGATTATTATTAATAGCTTATGGTGCTTTACAATATTATGGAAAACAAAAATTAATGAAGATTCTTATTAGAGCGGAAAGAAAATGAACAATTCCGTTTTACAACAACTCGGAATTTCAAATATACGATAAATACTTCAATAAAAATATACAGTTGCAAAACAACGAAGGTAAAGATATTTGATAGGTGTTCTACAAAAACGATTAATTTCTATCAACAAGATAACTAAGAGTATGTTTGATAATGATTTAAATAAGTAAATCAGTGAGTTGACTGTTGATCGTGTCCTACATCCCTTCGATTGTACCATTGTAAATCGATTCATAGAGAATAATACATGGGCGCGCGCAGATATGGAATTTCTCTTTGAGTGTTTGACTCGATAGCTCACGAGTGAGCGCAGCGAACGAGTGAGATGTCGATTTGAAGAGACTTCATCAATGAATGAAAATAAATAAATCGACAATCGTGGAGTGCGTTGGCGCTAGCTCTTAAGATGGAAAAATGCGTTGAATCATGATTACAAAAACAACAATGGTCGTAATTTTCAATTTACAAACTTTTTTTGACTTAGTCCTTACCGACAGAAGAAATCTGTCAGCTAAACGGCCAGTGGCAGATCTTCCAGTCGTCGAATTTAATTCTCAGTCGAGAGAAATGCCAACATTAACGCCCCTGAACTCGTAACTTTCGGTTTTTTCTTTTTGCATATTGGTTTTCTTCCCCTGCTTGGAAAGTTTGAACCTCACCGTCTGTCAGCCATACGGTTTTTTTAGTATTTTAGCCGCCGTAATTCGATAAAGTTCTGACAAACTATTTGTAAAGAGAATCGAGAAGGCTTTGCGTTTCATTCATCAACCTGACCGAGTGGCGCCAAAGGCGAATAACGTGTCAGCAGCTGATTGGCTATAGCAACACACGTGAAAAAATACGATATTTTTTCACGTGTGTTGTTAGGCTTTTCTCAGGGCTGGAAATCCCTGTATAACACCGCAGTTTATGTTATAAAAGTAACTTTCCAACTTGTGACTTTAGAGATACCAAATGTCCTTCGGAAAGGAGCCCTTCTAATATTCAAGAATGTCCTTGGCTGTGGAAGGTTACTCAGTCTCAACTTTATTTACGAAGGAACATTTCTTAAATTTGAGACTTATACCGTACTATCTATTAGTTGATAAGATCTGCAGCCGCTTATGCCTGTTTTAACTTCTAATTTTTAACTCGTGGTACGCGAGTCTGTGATGTTTGCGATACCAGATGTCGGTTGCAGCGCGAAACTCTGAGGCAGACAAAGCGAGACAGATTCGCTAGAAAGGAACTCTTGTACAGATCAAGGATGTCAAAGCGAGACAGATTCGCTAGAAAGGAACTCTTGTACAGATCAAGGATGTCCTTGGCTGTCGCAACGACTAATTAGTGTCACCTCTAGGAAGTAACATTTCTTGAATTTAAGAGTAGTGCTGTGACATATGTTACTTGATAAGATCTACAGTCACTTATGCCTGTTTAAATATCCTAATTTTTTATAACTGAGCTGTGACTTAACATATTGTGAGAAAACTAAAAGTGAAATAGTTGAAAACAATTTGATAAAAGCACAAACGTGATAAATAATTATGCATCTATATGGCGGAAAAAACATGGGAACCTCGCGAAGTTATCGTGACGCAAGGATGCGCGAGCTTGCAGACTACTTAAAGTAGTCTAGATAGGGCGCAACGACGTCATTCTCCAGGTTTTCACTTTGGCATTCCACGTAAAGGTTTTTAAATTTACATGCTGCGTCGCCTCTTTACTCTCAAAATATGTTTTATGATTGTAATACTATTCTGAAGCATTGCAAGCTTTTAAATGTTCTCCGTCCCTGTGCTAACTGATGGGACATTTCGCATAATTCCAGAAGAAACGCATTTTTTGCAATCTGATAAACACACGCACAAAAGTTATTGAGTAAAGTTAACGGCAGTCAAAGGTGCTAACAGATAGGGTCACTGAAATCTGACAGATATCGACGAATGTTTGGATGCGAAGGTGCCGTGTGCTAATGGAGGAAGATGTGTCGACGGAATCAACAGCTACACGTGCGACTGTGCGGATGGTTACGTTGGAAAATATTGTGGTGAGAAGATTGTAGCCCTATAATACATAAAAGCTAGGTACACGAGTTAAATTTAGTAGACCAAAAGCTTTAAAAACAAAAAGAAAATTTAGTGTCTAGCACACAAGAATGGAATCGTGAATTATTCTAGACACCAAACTTTAAACATAAGCCATCGCATGTTGATTAAAAAGATTTATAGCATCTATTTCGGACAAACTTGAAAACGTCGGCCAGACATTTTCAAGACAACTCGTTTCGAAGGAAAACATAAAAACAGGATATTGCGAGAATTTCCTTGGGGAAAAGAGTTAAGATGACGCTTGGTACATTTTAGATGTGCTGTAAAAGTTTACCCTGACCCCGAGCCGGTTCAACGAAAGAGTATAATTTTATCGCACCGTAAAAAGAGCAATTGTTAGCCAGGATTCATTCGTTCGGTAACCTCAACAGACCAGTGAAGAAATAGTTACAATTATAAGTAAAATTCTAATGACTGTGTCGTTGTAATAACTGACATACATTGTATGTAAATTCATAAATTTACCGGGTTTTCATTCTCCTCCTAATTCTTTACCTCGTCCACCGAAATCTGACGTAACTATATTAAATACTTCAAGGTTAGAAACTGAACAACATAACTTATATCACCTAAAACATATATTACTTGGCCTCCGAGGAAATTGTGCCTCTTCTAGCTTCGCTGATAATGTTCAATTTGTTTTATTAAGAATGGGAAAAGCAGGGATGTTTTAAGGAGGTGAAAAAGAAAAGTAAAAAGGCCATGGGAACCATATTTGCTAAATTCAGAAAGTACAAAAAGAATATCCAAGGTGCGGTCGAGGCTTGTATGAAAGCAGCTGAGGACAAAAAACTGGAGATCTTTGCGGTTCGTGGGAGATACAAGTGTGTGACAACCAAAGGCAATGCTGATTACAAGGTGCATGGTGCATCATCCAAAGGGTGCAAAGAAGAAGGAGATTACGCCGTTGGAGTAAAGAGCGCAAACTATGTCTATATTTTGACCAAATAGCTGCAACATGGAACTCGATAAAACCTGGTGAGTTTGATGCTGCTACCTATGAAAAGTTCTTTGTTAAAGTCAATTTAAACAAAATGAAAAACTCATCACGAGGAAGTGAGTGAGGAGCGCAGAAAACATCCCAAGGTAACTCGAAATGGTTTCGCTTCTCTAAACGTCAACATAAGCGGATCGATACTTCCTCGCCTTCTCGCGTGTTCCCTTGTGACTGGTATGGTAAAAATGCAAGTTATAACTGGGAAATTCTATGTTATGCCTCTCGAAAGTGTTTTTTAAAAAGCTGAACTCAGAGCTAAATATCCGAAACCTGAGAAACTTATTTCCCTTTCTATGGCATTAGGCGACTAGGGATATTTCTGCTCGTCATGGATGAGTTGCTATTCCGTCGCATTTTATACCAACAATTTCTGTCAGGTTTCCTTAAGGTTTGTTGGTCGGCTTCATTTATACTCCTGGATGGTGAGATAATTGTCTTTAAAATAGCTAGTTCTATTCCTTACGTTGACATTCGGTTGTTTGTTTTCATTTTCCTACAGGCTTATCTGTTTGCAAGATGTCGTTTGATCAGTAAGAGGAACATGTAAGCAAAGTAACTGAAACGAGAGAAATGTCTCTGCTAAATATGATATTGATATGCTGATAGCCAGAGAGAATTAATAAAGTGCTTCAGCGCAAATTGTTTTGAATTTTGGTTTTTTTTCACTCAGAAATGTCTATATTGTTCGAAAATACTATTGGCCCAACTGAACGAGTAGTAAAGGTATAGATACTTTCCACCCTATCCTCCAGGCTCTTGCTTCTCAAACTAACCTTACCTACAGGCTTGAGTTCGGCCGGACTGTAACATCTGGTGTTGTGGGTGTTTGGGATTAACGAAGTTGTTCTTCTGCCAGTAATACTTTCATTTCGTTATCAATGAATATTTCACGGCTACTATGATTTCGAGTGCTACAGTGTGCTGCTTCATTACAACTCTTCACGGAACTAAGTCGGTGTACTTAGAAACCTGCCCCAACAATAATAAACATCAAGTCCACAGTTTGAATGAATTGGATGAAAAATTTCAAAACGGGGAAACTTTTAAAGCTGAATGTACAGGTGAGCATCCTTTTAAAAAAGATTGGAATTAAACAATAAAATGTCATTAAACCCGTGGAGAAAAACATCTTAGGCTCCAGTTTTAAGCTCAGTTGACTGAATCTCTTTAATCGAATGCAAGTACCTTCTAAGGATTCCACCGTTAGGATTTCAGAGCTGCTTTTTGACCGTTTACAATTATAAAACATTTGAGACAGTTAGCCTCTGTAATTACGTTGTAAGCAACTTCTCGTAACACGCTGTGAAAACTTGGGAAAGCTAGGTACCTCAAGTTATCATTCTTTTGAGGAAAACCTAACAAATTATTTTCCTAAATTATCAGAATTCTGAAGAGCAAGAGTATTCTCATCTCTCTAGTTGGAAGGTTGGAGGTCTAGGGATACTTTGGGGAGCTAAGAAATTTCATGCTTATTAAACGTGTTTTGACAGTTTAATGTCAGTTGTAAATGGAGAAATAGGGATCGGATTATATGGGTTATTCGAATTAAACGGGATGTCAGATGTAAACAATGCTTATCTTGAGAGATTGGAAATCTAGAAAAAGCTTAGAAAACTACAGTCTCAACTAAGTAGAGTAGAAAGGAATACAATTTCTGAAGTATTTAGCTCCAACAAGAGATTCTTAACTGGTTTATAATCTCCTGGCCCCAATATGTGAGAGCCTCAATGGGGTGATGGCTTTTGCGGAAATTTCTCGCCACATGCATCTTCGAAAGGGGATGGGTTAGTGCATGTACAGAGTTAGGTTTGATGCTCATGACAAAGCCGGGTTTTAAGCTGCTTGGTGGGCAAAAGCAAGCTTTTCAGTCTCGCTCTGAAAATCAGTAGAACTAATCAATGACGTAGAATAAAGCGAACAAAAATATGAAAAGAGGAGGTTCAAAAAAAAGGAAAAATCCCTTGCACCCTCGAAGCGAAGCAAAATGTATTCTAAAAAGAAACGCTCGAGCGGTAAAGAGGTGGGTCAAATTTTACCTCTCGTATGCTGTTTTTCTAATTTCTATTTTGCCGGAAAGCCTTCACGGTTGAAGGTGTCACCAAAATACACCCTTTGGCCTTTTGGCGTTTTTTACCACACTGTTCTCCAATGAATCCTTCCTTGCAGTGTAGCTGTCGATTCCGTTGATACTCATTCTTCCATTGTGACACACAGCAGTTAAACAATCGTCCTCATCTGCATTTCATAAAAAAAAAACATACAAGAAGTGATATAAGAGCCGAGATCGTTTTCGCAATTTATTTCTCGTGAAGTGCATCTCCTGTGGCCTGATCCGTCTAATAGAGTGCGCGCGCCGTTTGAAATGTTTTATTTAGCTTATAGCGTCGTGTCCACTATATACGCCTGGCTCTAAGAAAGAGGGACGATTATGCTTCATAAGGAGTGGTAGAACTACTATGTATCCGCGTAGTAATTTCGCACAGTTCTCAGAATGTCAAATTAATGTGCAAACAGATCTGCTAAATTGAATTTTCCTCCCATTGATCTACTAAGGAAATTAATTGCAAGATTCAAAAGAGGAGAAAATAATTCCAGGTCACGATGCATTTTTCAAGAATACCTCACCGGTATAGTTCAAGAATACGATGCATTTTTCAAGTATACCCCACTAGTAAACTTCGGCCACAGAGAGAAACTAGCCATGTGTTATTAAGTAGGCGCCAAGTAAAATAATGCACATTAAGGATGCAGATGAACTTAACTTAATATGTGGATAGCAGGCGTCTTATTAGGGCGATCGATTATCAGTCCGGCCATGTTTGATTTGGAGTTAGAGTGGACGGTGGGGGTAGGGGACGGGGCAAGGGCGAGAAGACGCCTGCCCGAGGAGACTGTTGGAAAGCAAAACACCCCCTCAGTTGTTGCGTGTCACTGTATTTACGAAGATGAGCAGGTAAATGAGTTAAACTAAAAACCGGAAACATTGTCTTACAACAAAAACAAACACAAGTAGAGCCGATGAGTGAAACGGCGAGGCAGTTATTTTCAGCTAGGAAAGAAATGGCTGCGACAAAATCTCCTCCCCGGTCTCAAATACGAGCTGATATGTTTTGCACTCTAAATATTCCAAACGACGATCCTTGAGTGTAACTGTCGTTCATCTATTTGACGATTTTTCTTCCAAATGATCGTAAACGATACTTTGAATCACAAATAACAGCACTCAACGTTTTACGCGCCATAATTTGTTTGCTGTGTTTTTCATTGGCGAAAAAAATGGCTTTACCAAAATGTTCCCTGCTGACGCAAATACGAGTTGATATTTGCCGCACTGTATGTCCTCCAAACGACAATCCATGAGCATAGCTACCGTTAATCCGATCGAAGATACTTATTCCATTTGATCATGAACAGCCCGTTGTAGTGGACAAACGACAACTACGCTCGAAGGTTTCCCTGTCATAATTTCGTTTACTTCAGGAACCAACATCTGAAGTATCGAGCTTTTCCCAAAGCCAGTTGGCAACACGGTCAGTAGATCCTTTCCAGAACCAGTGTAGCAACTGCTCCTTTTTATTCCGATTTTAATACACACGACATCGACAACTTCATCCTTTACAGAGTTTGCCATCCTTCTCGTTTTCCCGCAAGAGCAAAATGTCCAAATGCCGCATTTAACTTGTAATTGACAGCTGGAGCGTAACCGCACGAATCAGGCACTCCCCTTCCCCCACCCCTCTCCTTCTTATTGACTGTCGATCACCTTCTTGGTGAAAATTTCTCCCTCTTCGCAGCCTTCCGCTGCCATTAAATTAAAATATGGTGGCCATAATTTTCGTTGGGAAATTGTGAGCACTCGCTCGCCAGAATTACGTCTGCTCCGCAGGAACCGTTGAACCCCAAAGTTTCCCTAGAGAAGGTTAATTTGTTGATTCGAACTCATGGTCGAAGGTAAAAAATTAGAAGACCAGATGTCGACAAGAGAAACAGAGCAGCTTAGTGTTTGCACTTTATATTAACAAAAGTAAAAAATTCTAGTCCGCTCTTCTCCTGGTGATGTTCGTGTTGATTACACAATTATCCTCGTTACACACCAAAGGGCGTATTTAAATGTTTCTGAATCCTCTCGGGATTAGTCCCAGTCCTCACATAAATAAATTATTAATTAGGCAAATCACACCCCCCTAGTGTGGAAATCTATTTATACTCGTGAATAGATTGAGCAACTAAATAAATTTCAATTTTTATACTGCATTTAGTTCCTGTTCGGTTGCAATTAAGTAGAGCTTGTGAGTTGGACGGTCATAAACTGATGTAACAGTCTTTATCCTGGGTTTCCTCGCGAGTACATCTTGTCCGGGATTCGTTTAAATTACGAAGCCCATCTTCCATGTTCCCTTGGGGTGGGTTCTATCTCCAACACCAAGTCACCTTCTTGGAGATTTTCGCGTTTCATCCAACAACTTCAGAACTCTTGTACTCGTTTCTCAGTGCTTCTCATGAGGTGTCTCGGGAGGCGGAAGGTGGTGTCCAAATAAGAGGTCATTTGACGTGACAGGCAGATTCTCTCAGATCTCGACTGAGCTAGGATAGAGAGGACGTCCATTGATCAAATAGATCACTTCTGCCAGATACGTTCTTCACTGTTCCTCTGTATAGTTTTGAATCTTCGATGAAGCGTCTAAGGCTTATCTTACTGATTTGACGAGGCTTCCCACCACTCCGTTTTGATGGCTAGCTCGTGGTATGTTCCACCTCCAGTGGAAAGGGCATAAAAATTATTCTGATAAGACATTTTGAATTTTGGGGATGTCCCAACCTTGCAATATTTCGTTCAAATAACTTTGTGCGCCGACAAAGTTCGTACCTCTGTCCTCTGAGTGAGGCAAATCGCCGAAAAGCCATGAGCAACGTATCGGAGCTTCTATGTGTTACGAGCTCTAAATAGACCGTT